ACCCTAAATAAACGCCGCAAAGAAAATAAATTTGTCGAGAGAAGATAAAAACAAAACAGAGAGAAGAGGTATACAGCATAGAAAAAGTTGACCTTCGTCACAACAAACGAAGGGAGGTATCATCATGAAGGGGAAAACCTGTCTACGCATTCTAGATCCATTTTATATCATATGCCCCAAGTAGCTACGATTTTTCATACACTTGAAGAAAATTATTCTAGATTTTGGTCTATTGACCGTTAAAACATCGTTAGAAATTGATAACAATAGGTGATTAGTTCATGCTTGTATAGATAATATGTTATTGTAGCCTTTCCCCTTTCCATTCTCCTATTTCGCCCCGTAGCTCTTCGCCTGGCTGAGCTTGATGCATGTCCTGTCCTCTAATCTTTGCCATGCTTTGAGCTACTGATACGTTTTTATTCATAACGAAGGGCTTGAGAATCATTTCAAAATCTACCTCTTGTTCTTATGCCACTTTACATCGTGTTTTACAGACCTGCTTCTTCTTCTCCTCTCTTTTCTCATCTCTTTTCTCATCTCTTTTCTCCAGCCGCTACATCCTTATACCCGATACACACAATTGCCATTTTTCCTGACAATTGTTAACCGGAACCTCACCGTGGGCTCTCCCAGACCAAGCTCTTTTTTCCGCTGCCGAATATGCATGTGAGGCAAGAGAAGCCAAGAGACACAAATTGAAATGCGCTCAAAATTTCGAGCAAAAAAGAAAAAAGAAGAAAAAAGAAGAAAATGAGATATAAAGGTCAATGCTTTTATAGTACGCGATAAAAAAAGGCGGATAAGATATAACAAGAATAAAGTCGGACAAGCGGTTATATATAGGAGTCGCGTGACCAAAATGACTGACTGATTAGGCGAAAGAAAAAAAAAAAGAGCAAAAATTGTTCTTGTCCCTGTTCTTTTCCAATCAACTACTTCAAATGTCAAAGAGAGGCTTCAGCTTGATAATCAGCTGCCATTCATCGTTGGTCACGTCTTTACGATAGTACTCCTTCAGAGTGTCAATACTAGCTCGAGAGATTTGGCTGTAGAGAAGATCGGCCTCTTCCAGGTGTCGACCATATATGGGCTGGTGACCTCCCATCTCGATCTTGATGGCGACAGAGGGTTGACCCTTTTTGCAAACTTGGATTTGCTTGTGGTCTCGCTCAATCGAGGTGCTAAAAGTATATCGTATCAGTATAAAAGTTCACAAAAAGCATTGGTAGGGTGAAATTTGAAAGTTAAAAGGTAACGTGGAAGGATGGAAAACTCACACTCTACCAAGGCCAACAATCTCTTTGGCGTTCGTCACTGGGTTGGTCTTCACAGCTGCAATTGGCGTATTGATCTTAAGCTGGCCCTCTGTCACGTCGACTCCAATGACGATGGGGCCTGTCTTGTTGAAGACAGCAACTGGCTTCAAGACGCAAGGGAAGACAGCCAACATTTTAGATTCCTCCTTCTTCTTCTCCAACATCTCATCCATATGCTTGGTAAAGTTATCAAACAGATGATAGATGATGTCAGCGGTAAAAATCTTGATGCCTTGGTCCTCGGCATATGCCATAGCTTCTTTGTCGACCTTGACGTCGAAACAAAGCATCACAGCATAGTCGGGCGCCTTTTCCAGCATAACACCACATTGCATGACATCACGCTTGTAAACTGGGCCGATACCAACATTGGCTACAGGAATCTTGCAGTCCTTCAAGAAATCGAGCAAAGCTTCCAGTGAACCAAGGGTGGAAGCTTGCACGCTGACACCACGACCAGAAGTTTCGACTCTGCTGAGAAGATTTGCCAGATCTGATTCGACTTCGTCGCAGATATCTTCTTCATCATCGTCTGGTCCAACCACCATCAGCCTAGAACCTGCAATGGCACCTTCAAGACCAGGGGCGCTGATCTTGACACCCAAAGCAGCCTTGACCTCCTTGTTGTGGACGTACGCTGACTTGAGACGCAGTTCGCGCAGTGGCGCTGGAGTGAGAAGAGCTCTGATATTCGTCACAATAGCTCCTTCAGTACCGCACAAGACTATTCGGTCGCCTTCCCTCAAGATTCCGTTGGACAGGATGACATCAATAGTCATACCGAAACCCTCAATAGCCTTGACCTCAAGGACTGTTGCTTGTACCTCAGACAAATACATGAGCGAGCCAACCATACGCTCCTGGGTGAGCTGAATGATAAGTTTCAACATATCCGGGATACCCTCTCCAGTGTGTGCTGAAGTGGGCACAAGTGAGACGAATTTGGCCATAGACTTGTTCTGGTAAAAGAGCTCTGAGTTAAAACCTTGCTCTGCAAAAGCTAGTTTAGTCGCCTCCAAGCGGTTTTTGAACTCGTTTTGGACCGCTTTGCTCTGAAGCGCCAGACTGTCTTGGAAGCCATTGTTGTCCACCTTCTTCCATCCGTAAAGTCTGTCGATCTTGTTGAGAGCCACAATAAATGGTGTTTTCCTGTCGCGGAGCAAACGCATTGACTCCAGAGTCTGCGGTTCAAGACCGTGCATGATATCCACAACCAAAATAGCAATGTTACACAAGGATGAACCACGGGATCGGAGGTTAGAGAAAGACTCGTGACCAGGGGTATCAATAACCAGGAGACCGGGAACCTTGAAGTCAAACTCATTGTTCTTGTTAATGACGGCCGTCTTTGCTCTGATGGCCTCAACTGGGAAGTATGTAGCACCAATCTGCTGGGTGATACCTCCGGCTTCGCCCTCTTGAACGTTGGTCTGTCGGATCTTGTCAAGAAGCTTCGTCTTTCCAGTATCGACGTGTCCCAGAATACAGCAGATGGGAGAGCGGAGATTGTCCTTGGATCGAGCAGCCAGGGCGGCCTGGTGGGCCTTCTCTCTCCGTTCTGCAGCTTCTTTCTTGCGCTGAGCTTCGGCTTGCTTGGCCTTCGATACGGCTTCGTCCTCAGACTCGCTTTCGTCGCTTTCGTCGCTTTCCTCCTCCTCCTCCTCCTCCTCCTCCACCTTCTTCTTCTCATCTGTGCCGTTAGACTTGGCAGCCGATTTCTTCTCGGCCTCTTCGTCAGAATCGGCATCCCAGCTGTCTTTGACATCGTCCTCTTCTCCGCTATTTGCGGCGGCTTCCCAGTCATCTTCAATGTCGCTCTCCTGAGCCGCCTTTGCAGCGGCAGCCTTTGCCTCGGCTTCAGCCTTTTCCTTTGCAGCCTTCTCTTCTGCTTCTTTTGCGGCTTTCTCGGCCTGAAGTCGGGCTCGTTCCGCAGCCTCTGCTAGAGCAGCCTCTTCGTCTTTCTGAAAAGGGGGTAAAAATTACAACATTAGTAGGAGTTATCAAAGGGGGATAGGTGGAGGGGAGAGGTGCGCTCATTACCTTATCGTTCTTTCCCCTCTTCTTCTTGCTATCATATACCACCTTCTTTTTAGGTGCACCCTCTTCTGACTCCTGAGGGCCAATTTTGATACCAGCGGCAAGCATCTGCTGGAGCTTTAACTCATTTCGAGCCTTCTCTTCTTTCTGCGCCTTAGTGAGGAATTTGCCCTCCTTCTTCAGCTGATCAATGCGCTCCTTCTCACGCTGCTTCTTGATAGCCTTCTGCTCTTCTCTGCGCTTGGCTTCTTCGGCCAATCGCTTTTCTTCCTCTTCAGCCTTAGCCTTAGCTTCAGCGTCCAAGCGGGCGATCTCTTCCTGTCTGCGACGGAGCTCCTCTTGTTGCTTCTGAATCAAAGCGAGATGCGCCGGAACCTTCTTCTTCTTACCTCCTGTCTCAGCAGGAGCAGGGCTGGCAGCCTGTTCAGGGGCGGCTTCATCTTTGGTAGGAGCTGCCTTTGCCGGCTCTGGGGCTTTCGCGGGTGCAGTTGTCTTCTTCTTCGCAGCCTAGTTATGTCCACGTTAGAAATTGCTATGTCTAGAAGTGCCAATGCGATGGGGAGTCCTAACCTGTTCCTTCTTACGCTGCTTCTCACGCTCCTTCTTCAGCTTTTCCTTCTCAGCCTTGGTGAGGATCCTGCCAGGCTCTTCAAGGTCGTCGTCGTCCTTCTTAGCCGCTGCTGGGGCAGGCTTGCCCTTGCCACCCTTGCCCTTCTTCTGCGGTAGGGCGAACTCGTCATCATCCAGAGATGCTTCGACTGGTGCTTTGGCGGACAGATCCTCCTCTACCACCGGTTCGGGTGCAGGCTCCTCGTCCACAATGCCCTTCTTCTTGCGCTTCTCCTTGTTCTTGCGCATGATGGCCATCAGGCCGCCGCCACCAGCAGCAGCTTCATCGTCCTCGCCATTCTCATCGTTGGTAGCGGGCACTGCATTCGCCGGGGCGATGGTTTCTCCCAATTCAGCCTCCCAGTCGTCCTGGTCCTTCTTGTTTCCCTTCTTCTTCGGTGCCATCTTGGTGATATTCCTGATGATATTTGATCGAGGGGGAAACGACGATACTGTCGACGAAAAAAAAAAAAAGAGGAAAAAAAAAAGAGGAGGGGTAGCGAAAATGTAGTAATTCAGCTTCAGCCCCGCAGTGTTGAATAGAACAGAAGAATAGGCGACGATCGTTCTCCCAACGACAGAATGGAGGACAATGCAGTGGGAGAAGAAAAACCAACCAAGAAAAAAAAAAGCCCGGAGATAATACCTGAGCTTGTCCCGCACTAATGGCCCATTATGGTTTGTGGTGGTTATACTACCAAGAGCGTGTGTTATGGAGCCGGTGGGTTGGCCACTGGGCTTTGTCTTGTGGGGCAGATGACTTTTCCTTAGCTGGCTTTGGAACTATTACTGCCTGGCTCTGTGCCAACAAGTGCAAACTTACATGTACCTAGGCCGCTTGTATTGCACGTCTATAGTACACGCCTGTAACTACGTCGAATGCTTAATGCTTGGCTTTTATACCCATATCTCTAATTCTTTCTTACTCTAAACAAGTAAGGAACTGCAACTCTCAAATGCACAGACTCATAATCATAAATTCATTTCCGATGAAGATGGTAAATGCTACATAGGTATATGCATTGTATTCTCCCATTACAGTGCTGGCGCTACGAGAAACTCGAATATCTCATAGGCGAGCTCAAAATATTTCTTTCGCCGCTTCGATTCGCCTTCGTCCTTGAATCCAGTAGTGAGGCTCCCCCCTTCTAGCGCATCGAGGTGGTCGCAAAATAAGGCAAAGGTGTCATCGGATTTCATAATCTTTTCCAATGCTTTTAGTTGTATGCAGCGCTTTAGCAAATCTCCGTCGATATGCATGATCCTAGGGCTTGGTTGCAAATCTATACTCATAACGTCCACCTTCTCGTTAATCGCAGACTTGTCAAACAAAGCCATACCGTAGTTTTGGTGCGCCAATGTCTGGACCATGAGTAAGAATCGCCACAACTCAAGGCCAAGCAGCGAAAATTGCTTCATGGAACCATCTAAGGAAACGCCAATAATATCCGATCCATCATGGGTACTCGGTAATGTTCCGTAGCGCCGATGGGTATTGTCCACGAGCCATAGCGGCCTGCTGCGGGCTCGTAGGAATCTCCTCACTGAAGACGCTAGCATGCCTTCGAATACAACTTCAAACTCTCGATCTCGCTGACCCAGTGGGACCCAAAGGCCTGTTATGAAGCCAGCTTGGTCCGATACAAGAGTCAGTGGCCACTGGCCATAGCCGTCGGCCGGATTGCCCACATCTATCATATGAATTGTTCTTCTAGAGGCCTGGTCGCAATGTATGAGTTCCATAGTGCCTTCATCTGACTGGTAGTCTATAACTTCCAACGAATGCAAGTTTGTGAGTGCAAAAAGCTTGCCTTTGAATATGCGTAGTTGAATCGCTGGGGAATCCAATTGGAACTGCTTCACATGTTTCAGCTTCCTTTCCGCCAGATCGAGGATCTCCCAATGAAGTGTCTGGTCAACACAGTACAGCAATCCTTCCTCATTCCCCACTATTGAAAATATCGGGCCTGAAAGTTGTTTCTTATATCGTGTCCAATATCTCAGTTGCCTGCTCTCTCCTTCACGCGAGCGAGCATCCAACTTTTCCGTGGAGACAATTATGAGTCTTCCATGATGTGTGGTAACGATGATAAAAGGAAATACTTTGCCGTCCTTTTTGTAAAGCCATTCGTGAAGCCCATGTATTTTATCTTCGCGGTGGCCCAGACCAGAAATGTATTCGGTAGGATTCTTATCCTTGTCAGTTGGCACAGAGATGATTGCCCCCGTATCAGGATCAATGAATACCAGCGTGGGCTTATTATTGGTAATCATGGCAACAACTAGGCAATTCAGCATCTGCGAGAATATGATCCTTGTTGGGGTGCCTTGAATAGGAATAGGCCGGGGCACATTCCCAACTTGAGGGCCAAAGTCAGCCAAGAGCAGCCTTGAGCCTGCGAGTATCAGCAGAGATGTATGCCCGCTTTGCCCAGACAGATTTTGAGATATTCTGTGGAGTGAGTGAATGGGGGGTGATGGCATTGATGGCTCGTTCGAATCTGTTAGCCAAATGAATTGCTTATTGGTAAATTTACAATTCTTCGGAGAAAAATCGCTGAGAAGTAGCAATCTATTGTCGCAACAAGCAAATGTGGCGGACGCTTCATCGAAAGGAATCGAGGAGGGAAACACATCGACTCGTGCTACCCCGATAACTTCAGTATTCCAACTTATATCGTCCGGAGATTGGTCAGATATTCGAGCAGTAATGAGACTACCGCAACGAGTACCTAAGACAAGATGGATCTCGTCGGTACTTTGGTCTGCGACGGAGATGCTCGTCAGAGCTTCGAGCTCTGTACTAACTCCTTGGCCCACTATGATATGTCAGTCGGAGCTCAAAGATATCAAGAACAATCAAACAATCCAAATCATTTTAGGGGCATAACTGAAAGACATACCAGAATTAGCTGTAATCGCTTTTGCAACAATAGGCTCCCCAGTCGTTGAGTAGATGGATAGCCATGGAACTCCATTGCACATAGACGTAGCCACAATGAAGGTGTTGCTCGAGACTGTAAATATCGACACGCAAGTCACTTCACCCTGTGCATCCCAGCTTCTTGTTAAACCAAATTCAATTTCCTGGGCTCTCATAACGTGGAGCCGAGAAACTTGATTGGCGTGCGTGGAGAATACTACAATATGGCCAATGCAAAAAGCACTCTCTGCTGTTGCATCAGCTATACCAAGGGCTTCGGCAATTAAGCATCGTGAACTAATTAGATAATCAGTATTGTGATTCAAAAAGTTAAGATAGTCCATCAGGATTCCGTACCTTCCTGTAGGGGTGGCCACATTAATGGAAGTTTCGGTGACCTGAACTATAATATCTGACACTTGAACAGCGTGAAGAGTTCTAGATGTCAAATCAAACGGTGTATCTTCGGTAGGAACCGCATCGACTTGGTCGAGGTTTTCTGAGAATCGGAGAACAATTGATGAGTGCGGTAGCGCCAGAAGGCCATACAACACTGTTGCATTGCCATGATGTGTTGTAAATGTCCATGCTTGCCTAATGGGCTCGCCGGTTTCAATGTCCAACCCAATTCTAGCTTGTATTCCCCATCTCCATTGCACCACGCTGCCTTTTAGGCCGCGGCAAGATGCACTGAATATGCTGTCTTGTTTTCGTACCCTATTCTGCTGTACGGCTGCTGACTGGTGTTGACCTATTTGAAGATCCGTATTGTTCGCACCCCAAGTCGAAAATTCATTCGTAGTTGTCATATCAATAACGGGAGACCAGTTAGAGAGGATGCTAACCTGCTGGATGTCCTCACGGGGGGCGAGCTAAAGACAAAAGGAGGGCCACCGTCAAACACAGTTCATGGTACAAGGGTCATTGTTTGGCGGATTGCTTACCTTCCAAATGCCTCCTGGGCCAGAGTCTCCGCCAATCATGAGAACGTCTGAAAAGATGTCATAAGCCGAAGTGAAGGCCGTATCGATATTGGCCCCTAAGCATCCGACATTAGTCACAGAAGGGAGCAATTCAGCCGCATCTATTTCAATATGTATGATTGCGCCATCTTCACGGGCCAAGTAAATGATGTCCGTTTTTTCAAGGTATTTCTTCCTGCGAAAGGGTCGCGCCCAGGCCACCCAGAGCGGATCGCCATGCCCATGATACAGCGGCGTAGGCGCAGGTGGTTCCGCTGGTAACATTTCGAACTCTGGCGCACCCGACAGCGCATATTTTACAATACCGATATAGAACTCGGAGACGGCGAAAAAGGCCGTTTTGAACCTGAGTGGAATGAGCAGCAGAGGCATCTTATGCTCTTTAGGAAGCCGAGTTCCAACCCTTTCTTCAGAAAGGATGAGTTGAAGATTGTCACCCAACTCCCATTCGTACGTTGCCATACGAGAGATGGGAGGTCCATTGACACGCTCTCTTCGAATAATGATCAATATTAGGATAATATGATGATGATCCTCTGGGCGGGGAAATAGAAACTCCATTTTCTGTACAACCCCACTGACAGCTCTGATGCGAAAAGATTTGATGGGGTTGATGTACTCTCGGTTTGCATACTGTCGATTGAGCTCTGGTAAGGCCACCAATTCGTATACGATGAAGATGCCTTCCGGAGTTGCTGCAGCCATGTATCGGGAAGACGGATCCACAGCAAGGTGATAGCCTACATAAGGCAGCAGCTTAGGATTTTCATATGTGCTCGTGACAAACTCTAGCCCCCCGTCAGGCTTTTCCCTCACAAAGAGGAACAGCATCTGACAAGATTCTAGTACCAACACGAGCATCTGCGGAGGGAGCAAGCGAACTCGAAGGTCGTCGGAAATTCCATCTTCTCCCGGAGAGGATGGAGAAGGCGATGGCTCTTGTTTGACGGTGATACCGTATGGGTCGTCGTCCAATCCATGCTCCAAGCTGCCGCCAAGGACTACGGCATTTCGAATTCTGTGTCCAAAGTCGGACTTGCGAACAACATCATGGACCTGGCCATCTCTTCCAAGCTCGCTGACTTGGACAAAGTGATCCTGATGAGGCAATGTCAGCCAAGAAAATGCCTAAAGATGGAAAAGTGGTATCCGACGGTGTGTAACTCGAACTCTCATGGAATCGCTTGTTCGTGAAAAAGAGGTACTTACGCCAATGAAAGCAATGTCGTTATGAGTGCTGGAGCGCAGCCGAGCCGGGAGCACCCATCGAACAACAGGGCTTTCAACAATAGTCTGGGATAGAATACCACAGACTGGGGGTCGCGGCAGAGGCTCAGAGGCCAGCTGTGGAGCGGCAGATGCCCTCAAGGCGGCTTGCAGGTTGACGGTTTCAGTAACCCACTCGCCATCCCTCAAAACCCTAGTATGGAAGGCCATTCTGTCGTTCTCATAATACCGTCTCAGGAAGGCGTGAAGATAGCGTGGGTTAGACGAGCAGGTGGCTCAGAATCAAAGAGAGTTCGAGCGTTGAGCTCGTAGATTGCTTGTATGAGCCAGACGGGGGCGGAGAGAAGCGTGCTTTCGGAACAACTTGCGCATCAAAAAGAGCATTGCACTTGACGCCTAGAACTAGGGGGACAGTATCTCGACCATGGCGGCCAAAGCAAAGCGGAAGGTCGGAGGTGATGCCGGCACGAGGCCTATATACGCTTAGGCACCTCTTTGATGACGCTGATGTTGGAACGTGCAGGCTGCTCACGCCTGTTAATTGAAGAGGGTGGTCAGGCGCTGGTGCTTTGCGAGCATCAACACCGGGCAAGCTTAAGATCAGGGCAACAAGTCAATTTGGAGGCAGCCCAGAGGCAGATGCGCAAGAATGGAACGGGTCTCGCTGGCGACTGGCCTGGGTAACGTTGAAAAACGAGATTGGGCGTCTTGGTCGATCTATATGTATTGCTAAGCGACTCGCTATCATGCCGCTTGGGGTGCCTGGCGATAGCAGTGCCCGTTGTCAACAACCGGAGTACTCGTCCGGAAGTCACTCCAGAATCTCAATGCCTAGCACCTACCTAGTACCTTTTAGAGGCGGATGTCAAGCACAGGCTTCCAAGGCACAATCAAGGGCCAGAATGAGGAGGAAGCTGTTTGTCGTTTATTAGCAGCCAGTAGCACCTCTGCTTGCAAGAGCTGTGGAGTGGGGCTCTGGCCGCCGTTGGGTACATGCCTCTGTATCCACCACTGCCCACGCTGCATGTACACTGAACCAACAGCATCTCTAGCACATGCTCTGAGGCTTGGCTACATGTATGATGGCTGCCAAGGGCCATTTTGTGTCCGTTGAAGATCGGTCCAACGCCAGTTGGCCGTAGGGTTAGCCGCCTGGGGAACTGCTTCCAGCTGCGCAACCAGCACAGGCACGAGAGTCAAGTTTCAAGAGCAGCTACTATAGGTATAGTAGGTATATGCCCTCACGTACTCACTGCATATTAATGCCCTCACGCACACTCAATCGCTTGTGTCATATCTCATCTTGTATGTCTCCACAAGGGTATACTGTATAATGCGTGTTACTACCATTTTTTTTTCTCGGCTTGTGTGTAACCAGCAGGCCTGAGAGCAGTTTTTCAATAGCGGATGAGAGGTCTGGCCTCTCCCATAACCCCTTCTTCTGTAGCTGTGGGGAAGGATTCGTCCACGTATGCCAGAAATCCAGTCCTGCTACTACCGTTACGTATGTATGGTGGGCATCCCGTCGAGGTTCGTCGAAAGGATGCTTCTGCCTACTCTCCTAGCCACCATCTCGGGTGCTTAGCTGCCCATGTCAGGCTTCCAAGTTCAACATTATCACCTATTTGCACCCAGCTACTCTATCCGAGCTATAGACACCGTCCAAAATCTGCATTAAGTTTCTACTGGCAGTCTTGCGAGTGAGACCGGGCAAGACAAACGTTCGGAATTCTCTGTGAATTCTCAGCATTAGAGTCGATGGATCTAGCTACCGGGTCGTGGCTGGCGGCGGGCGAGGCGCGGGAAACAATGTGACTTGGCCCCCATCCATATTCTCACCACTCAATTGGTCCTTCAGGATTCCTTTTGCTTCAAGATGATATGCTTACTCTCAATGTGAAGCTGGTGGACGATGAGCGACTCCTTCCCTCGACAATTTGATCGATGCTGGATATTCCATGCATATGCCCATCTACGTGGTCTATATGGCCCTCACTGCCGGCCATACCTAGTACGTATGGACTAAGGGTTATAAGCAAAATCACGACGCTCAGTCTTCTAATCTAATATCGGGACCTGTTTAGTATCTTTATTGCTTGTCAGCTAATACTGCTTTCAAGGCTACAAGTAGTAGATACCTTGTTGTTGATTCGACTCATAACAGAATCACACATTGGAAGGCCTCAAATTACCATGTATGGCCGATTCTAGCATTTCTTTATCTCCAAGTAACCAGCCACTTGTATCACATACTCCAATGACTTTGGGTAGCATTTAGCCCCAACACGCACAGTCCACTTGCCAGACGCGCGTACATTTATGCGACCTACATGTAAGTACGAAGAATATAGGCAGCTTGTACACGCACGACTACTACTCAAGATGTTAGACTCCATGCCACTTCGCATAAAGATAGAAATCCTACGGCTCTTTTGGAAAGCATCTAGATTTTGCATGCTTGTAAGCAGTCTCCGTGCGGATGTGTCCTGCAACCAATAAGGCTGGTTGCCGGCTTGGACTACATGCATTTTCATATATATCGAGCATAGCAGCCTTCCGATATGTTTTGTACCACTCACATTCAGTGTCGGCTGATCAAGCAGTGGCTGTGAAGTTTTATCCCGAGTTCCATGATGAGGAGGATGAGCCACCAATAGCAGAATTATTCTTTTTCGTTATGGAGACACTGCTGTTGACTATTTGCTGCAGCCTCCCCCGGCTGTATCCACTCGGTGAGAGATGAGACCAGGATTGGATAGTCAAAGGATGTAGAGTCTGGCCAACCAGATTTTCTCATTGGTGGGTCCTTGTAGTCAAATTGAATCCAAGCCAGCATCTGCAAATCAATGTCTACATAGCAGTTAGGTAGCACGTTTGGTAATACTATTACACGTAGGATTGCTGCTGTGTTGTAGAGTACCAATAAGTTCACTGTATAATGGGCTATATGCCGATCCAATGCTAAATATTGCCTTGCAGAACCCATTATGTAAGACATAAACATATTTGCCAGGCATGGTTTCTTAATCGTCTTATAGCAGCTTCTTGAAGATTTAGACACTCCTGAGCTGGAGTAACTAGGTACCTGCAGAGAAAAGTTTCGGGAAAAGGGTAGGCTATAAGTACTACTAAAAACAAAGGAAATAATACTATAGTAGGAGGTAGGTAGGTAGGCACTAGGCAGATTTGACCTCGGATGAGATTGTTGTGTTGTTTTGAGCGCAACTAAAGAATTACAATCCTTGCCTATACCTAGTATTCAAGTAGGAGTAGGTATACGTCATGTACCATGCGAAACCAGCTATATCAGGTCTTTGTAGCTCTCAAGGCTAGGTGCTCTTCAGTGTAATATTTATATTATCTACTTTCCGTCGCATTTGCTTTACTTTATGGCATTTAAATATCCTGTTAATTACAGAGGTTATGCTGAGGCTCAAGCAGTACCTACATACAAGAAGGCGAACAGATTCTGCATGTGATTGCCCTGTATGGGCCCCCAGAGGGGCTGCTCGTAGCGCGAACCCCACCAAGTAAACTAAACCCCAGGGGATAGCAGATGCAGCCCAACGCTTATTTACTCCTTCAATAACGCAGTGCCATGCTAGTCGCGACACCAAAGCACCGATCCCGCACATGAGCCTGGAACAAGAGCTGGTCGATACCGCTGGCCTCCACCGCGATGATGTCGACTTTGCCGAACCAGAGGACCCTGTAGTCGATCCGGGCCCCAGTCCCGCCGTGGCCCTGAAGACCAGCGAGATCCTCGCGGCCTGCACCTGGCGAGACGCCACACGGCTGAGAGCTCTGGCCGAGTCTGAGGGCGGCCTTCTCGCCGATGCACTACGTCAGGCAGCATGTATGTACTCGTGAATGGCCTTTCATTTGACCTCGCTTGTTTCAATTGTTTTTATGTCATTCAAATCTTTATATGCTAACGTGATTCTTCCACAAGGGCCCATATTGCTTGGCCTGCCTCCCCCAGCCGATGAGAAAGAAGGCGAGAGCATACATTCGGCAGACCTCGATGCCGCTCCCCCAGACGATGACTGGAAAGAGTTTCCACGCCACCAAGATGAAGACCAGGTCCAACTCGATGTGAATCGATCCTTTGTCCATTATCCCAATGGTATGTCTCAACAATCCCTCCACATATCCTGTATCAGGTCAATCACACGAGCAAGGAAGCTGCAGATGCCGTTACAGTAAGACTAATAATAATCGACGATTTCTCTCTCTAGATCAGTCTGAGGCACAGTTGCAAGAGAGAAAGCGTGAATTATCAAATCTCATTGTCGAGGTTCTCCGCCGACACCCATATCTCTGCTACTTTCAAGGGTACCATGATATCTGCCAGGTATTCCTCCTGGTCCTAGAGCCAGCGGCAAGAGCACCGCTGGTTTCGCGGCTCTCTGTTCTCAGAATCCGCGACTTCATGCTGCCCAGCCTCAGCGCCACAACCGCACAGCTGAGGCTCCTCCCCGACATCCTAGCCCGCGCAGATATCGAGCTTCGTCGGCATCTCTCCAGCATAGAACCCTTCTACGCTCTCGCTGGCACTCTTACTATGTATGCTCACAATATTGAGCGGTACAAGGACATATCTCGATTGTTTGACGTCATCTTGGCGCGCGAGCCTACCTTTTCCATATACCTGTTTGCCCAGATTGTCATAGATCGCCGTGAAGAAATCCTTGAAATTGACGAGCCCGATATGCTCCAAGTCATTCTCGGTAGAGTCCCCCCGGAATTAGACTTGGATGCTCTTATCAAGAGATCTGTAGATCTTTTCACCCAGCACCCCCCTGAGACCCTAAGATCATGGCATCAAATTTCTCCGTCCAGCGTCCTCAAAACCTCCAGGGATGTGGATGAAAGCGCACGGCAAACTATAGAGGATGGCCATCACTATTTCGAGAAACAGGTCAAGGAGATACAGTGGGAGGAGCTAAGAATGGGGGTCAGAAGGAGGATTTGGTTATACAGGCGGCCTGCCAGGTTCATCGGAACAGCCATCATGGTTGGAGTCGTGGCATTCTACCTCCGGCGGAACCCTACTCTTCTGCAGTATATATGGTCCTTTTTCCCGGGCCAGCAATGACATTGTCATTTATAAGGGGGGAGAAGAAGGAAAGAGATGAAGGAACCAACTATAGAATTTTTGTGTGTGTAAAATCTTTTTATAGATGTGCCTATCTAATATTCAACCTTCTGCCATAAACATGCTATGCCTCCAGACGCCGTACAATAGAAACCAGAATCCAACCCTGAGTCCGCATCAATGCTTAGATCCAAAGCCATGGTGCATACGTTATTATAATTATTTTTACTTCAAACGTAAATATGTACTTCTATGATTCACCCTGGTATTTTTGCTTTAATTCCTCAAAGTGCTCCTGTTGCTCCTGCGCTAACTTGCCCGTTTCATCGCCGATAATGGTAAGAATCAAGGAATAGTTGTTATATAAGAATCGCTCGCTTTTTCTCGTATCGCCGTGTGTTTGGCTATGTCGAGTCAGGAAAGCTTCGACTTCAGACCGCAGACGGCGAAGACTAGCGACGACGGGCTCATCGTCGCCAGCCTCGGTGGAGAGGGCCAGGAAACTTTGGAGCAGTTGCCCGAACCGCTGGGTCACCATGTGTGGTGCAGCGGACAACTTCAGCTGGTCGGCCCGGGCCAGTTTCGCGGGGGCAGCATTAGTCAATAGTCGAACGGATTCGCAATGGCGGTCCATTATAACCTGCAGCCGCGGCCATAATAGCATATTTGTGCCGTTGATATAGCCATCCACGGCAGGGACCTTTCGCCTTTGGAGATCAAAAGCAAAGTGTTGGTTAAGTCGAATACAGAGTAGAAGACCTAGGGCATCAAATGTCTCGCTTACAAGGGTTCTTGAAAGCACCCTGCCGACTTCAAACGTTGGCTCAAATATGTAGTTGAAGTTTTTAGATATTTGCGAATACGACAAGGCGGGTGCGAAAAAGGCTGCCAAGAAGGTGTACTCGGCTGTAGCATTATCGATGAGAGCCAAGTTAAAGTTTCGAAAGGGTACTTCTAAGTAGTGAGTTGATTGATCCTCCTCTGCCAGGTATGATGAGATGGCCGAGGTGCTCTTTGTCCGTAGCATGTCAATCCGACGTCCGAGGTTGAATGCATCATGTGGTGGACCTGCAACGCGGCTACTAGATAAGACGGCAGTTTTTCTTGTCGCGTCTTCCTGTCCCAACACATCATTCTTGTCCAGAATATGCAGTTTGAGCTTGGCCAAAGCTCTCTCATAGCGTGTGAACTGATTGAGGTAATACCATCGCATCGTGTTCATGTACGCCTGCGAGATTTCCTCTGCGAGGGCGGCGTGATGTTTATGGAGAAACGTATAGAGGTCTTTGAATTTTAGGAAATTTTGTTGCTGGATGATTTGCGCATTAATATGAGGTGAGCGAAGGGCTTTTATCTGGGCAACAAGAAAGTCGCGAATACGTTCGACAGCCTGCAGCACCGCCTGTTAGTCGATATCACGGGCACCTATTGTCAAGAATGGGCTGAGAGAGACGGTACCTTTAATATTAGTTTTTCCAATATTGGAACGAGTTCTTCACTGGCTTTGCCCTGCTGTGTTCCTGATAGCTTCTGAACGGCCGAGGCTCTCTTGTCCAACTCATTCAAAGTTTTCGCCCATGCTTCATCGATATGGCTTGTCGTTATCCTGGAAATGGTCTCGGGCGACACGCTCAGCTCTTCCACCAGTGGGCCAAGCGCCTTCTCTATTCGTTTTCGATTTTCCAACCTTCGGCTCAGTACGCTAGAGCGGGTTTGCAAAGTTTCGATATCGGCGGAAACAGTGGAAAGATCATTGCGAAAATCCGCAAGGTTGATCTCGACCGAGTTCAAAATATCGTCGCAGGCAACAATGGATCGATGCAAGGCGTCGAATCGGGCTTTGTCATTCTCATCTAGAATGGCAAATTAGTATGTGAAATACAGTCGCCCGGGGCGGCGTGTCGGAGTTATAACGCACACTCGGTCGCATTCTGGGGCCGGCGGAAGCTTGTGGCATCACCATCGATGCTCCCAGCAGCCAGCTCCTTCAGAGACAACCCGCCGAAATCAACATCAAGCCCCAGATCCTCCTCTGTGATTAAGCTTGCCTTGCCCTGGGTCTTGCCTACAATCTCTGAATCCGCCGCCAAGAGCTTCTCTAAGATGTTCACCGAGTCCGGAGCCTGGGGCGCAGCTGGCTGTTTCACTTCTGAGCCATTGGGCTTGCGTGATGACGCCAACAGCGATGTTGCAGAGTCGCTGGATACTAATGACAGAGATGACCCCCTCGGAGAGGGTCCCTGCCGCTGAGAGGTTACATAGGGACTAAGATTGGCCTGCGTCTTTCGCGGAAGCGGCGAGTTGTGTCGGCTGGTGATCTGAGGAGTCGAGGGCCCGGACGCGCTGGCTTGGCTCCCTGAGAGACGGTCGAGCCACATGGTGCGAGAGAGGCCGGGAGCTGGTGTAGGGAGTTATCGGTGGAGGAAAAGAGGGTGCCTCGCGATCATGACCGTCTCATCGCTTGGGAAAAAAGACCTGAGTGCCGAGCAGTCACTGCGTCTAGACAATTGGTAGTCACGGCGCTCCAGTACGTTGAGCATACCTCAGGTGCTGTTAGCTGTCCAATACGGAGTACTCAGTGAGACGACCGGCCAGTTCAGTTGCAGCAGCGAGGCTATGCCGATGCGACAGTGGAGACGAGCTTGGGGCTGTCGATTAGCGCCGTGTCTGGCGAAGGGACGTGCTGCAATATGGATCTCAGCGCGCCGATTGAATAGGTACTTTAAGCAGCCTACTAAGTAGGTAGTAGTGAGCGGTGCTGCTTGATCCGTGCCTCCGTACTAGATTAGAATTCATCCATTCTTATTCTTACTGTTAGATGCTTGTACGTGCTCTGGAGCTCATAACCGCCAGAAGCCGTAGCCACCGTCTCAAAGCTTATTGGTAGCGCTTCGAGTCAAAGGTTTTGAGAAGGACTGGCCCTGGGCTCTGCACGGCCAGCGAATGCATGCATTTCTGCTGCAGAAGCTTCATCTCTGTTACAGATTGATCACCAACGCATATCACGCGACTAATGGGAGATACTGTGCAGCAATCTCATAGCAACCCGTAGCGTGCGACAGCTTTGCTGCCAGCTCACAATTAGACTCTGCCAGGGGATCGTGGCCGTTGCTCTTTTCGGCCAAGGAAGAAGAGCTCAAAGTACTAATCCAGGAGGATCTAATAGCCATTTCACATTCGCCAATTCCATGTTTTATCCCATTGATTTGCTTAGCACCTTGGCTTGGCAAGATACTGGAAGACACAGCTCGGATCATGCATGAGTGCTGCCAGTAGGATTTCGCAGACTCGAGCTAGATGTGGAGTTGTGCGTGTGTGTGATCATCTTACCCTTTTCCACACAGAGTGAGCTCATGCAGCCTCCCCGCTCCCGAAAATAAAATCGGGATGCTTTCATGGCAACGCAACGCAACACAGCTGCAGAGAGTCCAGATGCGGTGATACTTCCGTACCTACCACCTTAGGCACCTGGGTAGATGCAGTGCTAAAGGTACTACAAGTAAGGCATCAAGACAGATGATGCATGGGCGTGCATTTTTCAAAGCTGTCGGCACCGTGTGTGTTGCTAAAAGTACTACAGGTTGGTGGTAGGTATGGTATTACATAGCAGTATTACTGCCCACCACAACTCAGCAGCTCTCACCTGCTACCTAGCCTATTAGCTGCTATATCCATACAGAGGTAGGCAGCGTAGCGCCACGACAAGCCTCGGAATTTTCTCTCAATAAAATTTTTCCCTAGCAAGGCTGGCTCAAAGCCGCCTGACCATCTAGGAAAGAAGAAAAAAGACGAGAAAAAAAAAGTACCAAACCTTACTGGCCGGGTCCAAAAGGTACTAAATCCGCTTCCAAGAGGCAAAGCTGCGTCCCACAGCCGCCCAGGCAAAATTAACGCCAGGGCCAATCACGCCGGCGAAAAAAAATTCAGGTAACGCACCTTTTCTACCCCCTCCGTCCACCTTTTGCTCTTCTCCTCTCACCTCTCTCAATTTCTCCTCTCCACATAACTCTCAGCACTCTCCACTGTCTGTCTGCCGCGCAGACTCTCTTTCACTCTTCGTCTTCTTTCTCTTGCTTCACGACAAGTTCGATTTTTGCGCAATCCATCACCATGGCTGACGAGGTAAGTCGTCCATCTCTCTCATGAGCGTCTTGCGCTGCCTTCACAAGAGAAAAAACCACCCCGCAATCGTCTTGGCTGCCCCTCGACTGAGCGACACCCCACATCACAATATTTTACAATTTTTTTTTTTTTTTGTAGATTTTGCCAGATGAGCCTCTGCGCTGCCATGATAATTCCTTCTACAATATTGGCTCCAAGCTCTTCGTCAAAATTACAATTCGCCTGAATTTGCTTCATCGTGGATATAGGTGCTAATCATTTTATCCGTCTGCAGCATGATGTTACCTTCGAGTCCGCCGACGCCGGCGCGTCTCTCACCTACCCCATGCAGTGCTCTGCTCTGCGCAAGAACGGCTTCGTCGTGATCAAGGGCCGCCCCTGCAAGATTGTCGACATGTCCACCTCCAAGACTGGCAAGCACGGTCACGCCAAGGTCCACCTTGTCGCCCTTGACATCTTCACTGGCAAGAAGTACGAAGATCTTTCTCCCTCCACTCACAACATGGATGTCCCCAACGTCACCCGTCGTGAGTACCAGCTTGTAAGTCAATCTTGGTCCTAGGATGAAAATTGGAGGAAAATGAGGAAGAAAAAATGTAGCTTCGGAATTATTGACACCTTTTTGTAGCTCGACATCTCCGACGATGGCTTCCTCTCCCTCATGAACGACGACGGTGACACCAAGGATGATGTCCGCATGCCCGACGGTGAGATTGGTGAGAAGATCAACAAGCTCTTCAAGGTTGACGAGAAGGACACCAGTAAGTTGCTCTATCTATATTGACATTGAGAATAAGCATTCAAGAGCGGATCCTAACCTTTGTTTCTAGACGTCGTTGTCCTCACCTCCATGGGTGAAGAGGCCGCTATTGAGGCCAAGGAGGCTCCCAAGCAGGGTTAAACTAACAATCCTACTCTCCTCCGCCAATTGAGTAAAATGAAGATTTAGGATTTGTTTATAGCCCCCTCGTTTCCTTCCACCTCTTGGCGTTTACTGCGGCCGTCGTAACATCGAATATCCTTGGGTTGATGTATGGGTCGTTCCGCTCGAAGGTTGATGGATCGGATTTTTTCAGCTAGTTTCAATACTTGGCACTTCAAATACCCTTTCAAAGGGCCAATACAGTTTCCTTTGTCCTTCACAAATCATGGCCAAAGCTACCCAGATGAAAGTTTGCGTAGCTGGGAATTATGATAGAAAATGAAGATAAAAAAAAATGAATGTGCATATTGGCTTGCTGTACAATCTATAAATCGATACAAATCGTGACATGCATAACCGTAAGCGACCCATGATATTGATGTATTTTATTTTATTTTTCTTCCTTTAGAGCTACGAATGTGTGGAACTTGGTGTCAACAGCGAAGGCTAAAAATACCAGCGGGTAGTCGTAGTAGGTAGTAGGTTCTCTCTAGCGGGCTGTCGGTACTGCGCAAAACGGGCATCCTAGATCTAAGATAACGCTAGCTTGTACTTTTCAGCAGTAAAGCAGCCTCAAGTTGCAAATTCACGACTTAATCCACGGCTTCGTCGCACGATACCACAGTATCGGCCACATTGCTCTTAGTTGAAGTTTTTTTTTTTTTTCTCCATCTTCTCTTTAACCAGATACTACGATACAACATGAAGGCAAGCTTCTTGATTGCTGCCGGAGTCGTACCGCCTAAGCCGTGAAATCTACGCTCGCTCATCCCAACTAGACGCAGCCCGGCCATTGAAATTTTCTAGACACACAAACGAGATTCAGAGAGGGAGCTCACAATGGAAGCACCAGGAGGACTTCGTAGGATGCCCCGAGGGGAGCGATGCCCCGAATGCGGTAGCCAGAAATGGTACCTGCAGGACGGGCTGAGATTTTGTGCCCGAGGTCATCAAGTCGAAGTGAGTCTCTCTAAATGGACGCTCCTATGGAAGAAGTATCGGCTATAGTTGTGTTGCTGATCATCTGTAGGGTTTTATACAATTCGATCTAGGTGATATTGAAGACTCTGGTAAAATGGGAGCCGTGTCTCGACGTGAAAAAGTCACTAGAGATCAACGGAAAAGGGCGCCACTCACTGGCCAAGCGGGCAGAGATCTTTACCTTGAATCCCTTCAATTGATTATTAGAAGTCAATTGGCATGGCTCATCAATGAAAAGGGCCACAGAGAAGAGCTCGAGACTGTTGTTCGCGACTTATGGGACTTGCGCATTAGAGGATCTAACTCTGGCTTGGGAGATGATATGCACGAAGAAGAGGAATTGGAGGTTTTCAGCTCCGAGCCTCCTCAGAACTCCGCCTTGGCAAACTGGCAGCAACAGTCCAGAAAACAAAGCTGGGATCCTGAGCTGGGTTCGCGGTGGCCATTGCCGCGTGTTCCCGATACGCTCGCAATCTGCTATCTGGGTTGTGTCCTTTTGAGGATACCTACTCATCTTGGTGAAATTATTCGATGGGCTAATAATGGCAGTCTTTTGTATAAAAAATGCGTGAGTACGGTGGCTTGTAAATATGGTTTCCCGATACTAACCAGAAACCAGTTTCACTCTCTGCCCCAAGAAATGCGTGATCGACTGCCCGCCGCGTATATCAAGCTCTTAAAGCTGCCATTTCGTTCCCCTGTGGAAGGCGATGAACTGCATAGGGTTGTGATGGACTTGGTGCTTTCATATCATTTCAACTACAACTTGGTCTTCCCGGAGATTAATCACATTCCAGAGCTCATGCAATTTGCCAAGGAGCTTGCGCTACCCAGTAAGTCAAGAGTGATGGATCTCGGCAGCAATTACTTTCTCCTAATCGAATTATAGTTGAATCAATTACTGTGGCCCGTAAACTGGCATCTATTTTGGGGTATCAGTTTCAATTCCCAATTGAAAGGCTGTCGAATACCCGGCTAGATTACCCAGAGATACGACTGGTAGCCCTGCTCATTGTCGCTACTAAACTCTCTTTCCCTTTTTCTGAGAACACTTCAATATCCCACACCCCCAATTTCGGTTCTATCGAGATGCCTAGACTCGACTGGGCGAGATGGCGACGGGGGAAAGAGGGTCTGCCCACACAGCACGACACGAAGACTGGCAAGTATGACTTTAATAAGGTCACACCCAGCCAAATAGTCTCTATGGATGACGAGGAGCTCGACGCGTACTTCGCTCACGTCTCTAGTCTCATTGATGTCACTAGTGAGTCATCATTGAGAATATCCCCGAGGTGATGCAAGTTCTAACATAGAAAATCTAGGCGATAACCCGATTACGAAATTTTTCCCAGTAGAAGACCTGTCAACAAACATAAATCAGGCGGAGGTTATTTCCACCACAGAGTTGGACGATGCAGTCAAAAGTCTCCTAGCACAGACTGTCGGATACAATTCATCAGGTTCGGTCGAGACAGCCAAAAGCACGGCAATGCCTGTCTCAAGATATGAAGCATTCCGTAACGTCAACCATCTGACTCAGACAGCTTCCGATCTTTATAAAGCAGCAGGTATGTCTCTCACGCTAATAGCCCCCATATCAAATCTGCGGTACAGAAGCTAAAGGATATAAATACATCAAAGGTGTTGTTGTGGGGGCTTCTCTTGAAACCATGACAGACGCCATATACAGGATCGAAAAGGCCATGGTTGTCTGGCAGACAAAGAATTGTCACGAAGGCGAGCACTAGATGTACCTAGTAAATAGGCATACGCATCGACTGCGTGAGCAATTATCAATATTAGCTTAGTTTATAGCTTAGTTTATAGGTTATATCAGCTGGGTCGCAGCTTGGGGAGTGCTGTATTTGCAACCTGCTCATTTCATCTCATTAAACAACGAGTAGTAAACTACCTGGTAGTATCAGCAACCGACCTTCTATATTACGAGCATCAGTGTTTATGGCATCAAGACGCTACTCTGGTGAAGGTACTAATTGGACCAAGGCAGGGTGGGTCGGTACGAGGTCTAGCACTAGTAGCATTTGGGAAAGCCCTCTTGGATACCCCATACTGAGGAATATTTTCTGCTGCAAGTCACGTGTGTCGGCTACTGACCTAGGGTTTTCTATGATTTGAACTTCCGCCCCACCAAATTTGCGCGCAGAATCAGCGATTGAACCTTCACATCGTCAAGCATCACCAAAATCGTCCAAGAGTGAGTACCGTCGCCGTGCCCAAGCGAGCTGCAGAATCCGTGATGTAGATGAAATACTAACCGTAAATAGTGCAGATGTAAGCTCAGCAGCAAAAAGAAATTCCCCGATATCGAAATCCGGCAATCCGTACTAACATGCGAAAAGTTTCGTGAAGACCCTGACGGGCAAGACCATCACCCTTGAGGTCGAGTCCTCCGACACGATCGACAATGTCAAGTCCAAGATCCAGGACAAGGAGGGAATTCCCCCGGATCAGCAGCGATTGATCTTCGCTGGCAAGCAGCTCGAGGATGGCCGAACCCTGTCTGACTACAACATCCAGAAGGTGCGTCGCTAAGGAGCTGCATTTCTGTATCGCTCATGCGAAAATCGTGGCGAAAGAAATGGAAAATTTGGAGGAAAGAGGAATAGGATGCTAATGCGAATATACAGGAGTCTACCCTCCACCTGGTTCTCCGTCTGCGTGGTGGTATCATTGAGCCCTCCCTGAAGGCTCTCGCCTCCAAGTTCAACTGCGACAAGATGATTTGCCGCAAGTGCTACGTACGTACACCTTGTCATTATCCATCCGGCAAACCAGTTTGTTTCCTTTTTGGTGCTAATTGTCGCGTCTATAGGCCCGTCTCCCTCCCCGTGCTACCAACTGCCGTAAGCGAAAGTGCGGTCACACCAACCAGCTGCGACCCAAGAAGAAGCTCAAATAAATTATTTCACCAAAGATGCGGCGTCTGGTTTCTGGCATTCTGGGGTTGGCAAGGACAGAGGTGCTACTGCTTTATTCCGGATTTGTTTCTACATTAGTATCATGGTAGAGGCGAATACAACAATCTAGATGATATCTGATGGCAACTTGTTAAAACTATCCTTCGAGGAATGACCGAAGTGACCCGGCAGTGCCTGGTACTGAACCGGCTTGTACTCTGCGGCTCCGAATGCCGGGCCTGTGATTTTAGGCCTTTGAAGAGGGCAAATTTCAGAAATCCGAAAGTATCTGATAGCTGTAGCGACCAAGAAGTCGAAAATAGCAAAACAAGATAACCAGTTGCATCTGCAGATTTACATGAGCTGCTGCATACATGTACTCGTCCCCATGTGCTCTGAATTACGGCAATGAGATTGTATCTAATCACAAAAGAAAAAAAAAAAAAAAAAAAGGCTCAATATTTGCTAATGCAGGAATTATACATATCGCGTATACCTAATATCATCATGAGTTCCAAAGAAATATCTGCTAGGCCAATTACTATTATTTAGCCGTAAATAATTACTGCAAGCGTTAAATCATAGCTTGCTTTCATCCCGTTGATGAGCGATCCGATGCCTTAGTGGCTCAAGCAGGAGCTATCACGTGATACGCAGCATACACGTTACAAGCTACCTATCCCAGCCAGCCAACATGTCTCTGGGGGAGGACATGCAGCTATTATACCGTCGAAACTAATTGCTCTCCAACTTCGGTTATAGGAAGGCTTTTCAGACAGCACATTGATAAGAGGATTTAAGCTACGTATTCGTCGACAAAAGGAAGTACGCCAGCAATGTCCGGTTCCGGATATGACGCAGTGGTGGACGTGGACGATGAGGTGCGTTGCTCCAAGGAAGTTATACATTCCTATACATTGATCTTACCATGCTGGCAAAATGCATGCTTCGTTTTGGCTCACCTGGCTCACCTGTCCTAGGGCGACCTCGGAGACACCGATCTTCAAGAAGATCTCGAATTCCACAGCTCCAACTTCAATGAGCCCTCTTCCTCACGAGGCGGCCGCAAGGCGCCAGCATCGGGACTCCCACCACCAGCGACATCTTCCTCCTCCTCCTCTTCAAAGCGCTATCTCTGGAGCATGTCGTTCTACGCACAGTTCTTCGACGTCGATACATCCGCTGTTCTATCGCGCTGCTGGGCCGCCTTGTTCCCGCGGGCAAACTTCCTCGACGTATTAGAGGGGAATCCCGACCTGTACGGTCCATTTTGGATCGCAACGACGGTCGTCCTCATTCTATTCCTCGGCGGCACAATCAGCCAATATCTTTCGACCACAGGGAAATCCGCATTTGCGTATGATTTCAGGTTACTAAGCGGTATGGCTTTATCTTCCCGGATATCGTTCCCTGGCTTGTCATTAGGTGGCTAACTAGAAGGGGTGGACATGTAGGCGCGGCGGGCCTAATTTACGGCTATACCTTGGTCATCCCGGTTGCCTTGTTCCTCGCTCTTCGATACTTTGGAAGCGAATCAGCGAACCTCCTAGAATGCTGGGCCCTATACGGATACTCAAACCTGATATGGATACCTGTTGCTCTGATCTCATGGTCACCAATCTCTATCCTTAACTGGGTCTTTGTGGGTGTTGGGTTCGGCCTATCTGTGGTATTTTTGGTGCGAAACCTATACCCAGTATTGAGTGCAACCGATCACCAAATCAGCAAGATCCTACTAGTTATCGTCATCCTGCTACACGCCGGTCTTTCTTTGACTATCAAGATCCTGTTCTTTGCTCATGGAAGTCCAGTTGCGCGAACTCCTACCGATGGCGGTTCTGATACGCCGCAATAGATGACGAATTTTCGCTACTTTGATTATTCGGGTCAAAGTTGATGGAAAATGGGAGAGTCTCAGGGTTTTATGAAGAAAGATTTGTCTTAAGATGCAGGTTTCCAGGAGAATGCCAAGAATTTAGCCAGAGCATTGTACACTACAAACAGCACAATTAGCTATACCTCAATTTAAATGATTGAACATGATTGTAGATTTTATTACGGATATTGTTTTCTTTTATCCTTTTCTTTTTTTTTCCAACCGGTCCCGTGCTTCTTGGTGTGGCCTTTTATCTTCCCGTCTGGTCCCGCGTTATCAGTATACATATATATACAGCTGTGGTGGTAATACTAAGAGCCACTGTCTCGATACAACAACTGCCAGTTTAATGGCCTAGTTGTCCTTCTTCCCCGGCTTAACCACCTCAACCGGCCCCTTGTTCTTATCCCAGTCGAGCCAACTGCCCGGGTATTCGCCAACACTCTCCCATCCAGCATGTTGCGCCAGGCCCGCAGCCGCCTTGGCACGCACGCCAGCCTTGCAGTAGAATAGCAGAGGGGCATCCTTGGGCGGGCGGCTGTAGCCGTACATGTCCTCAAAGTCCTCGTCGGAGATGTGGAAGCTCTGGACGGCAGAGGTGATGGGGATGTTGATGGCGCCGGGGATCTTGCCAGTGTCAAGGAGCTCGGAGGGTTCGCGGACGTCTTTTATTACATGGTCAGTAATCGAAATACAACCGTTATACAGTCTCGGCAAAAGGGCTGGAAATGTGTAAAAAAAAACTGCGGAAGAGAGCGCGCGACATACCGACGATGATGACCTTTTCCTTGGAGTCCTTCTTCTCAACCAGCGCCTTGATCTCGTCAAAGCCCCAGATCCGACTGCCTGGCACTTGGTTCTCGGAACTGCCAGAATACCACCGCACAGCACCAGCGCTTCGGCTCTGGCCCTTGCCCCAAGCCGTCGGCAGCAGTGAGGGCGCTGTCCAAGCCATCGCAGGGGCGGCCGTCCTTGCCGCAGCGACGACTGTCGCTGGGGCAGCAGCAGCAGCAGTCATCCGCGAGGCGATGCGCCGCAGCGCAAGCCGCTGGCAAGCTTGCCGAGTTGCCATGATTGCCCGTGTTTCACGTTTCACGTTTCCTTTTTTGCGTGCGTCTTGAAGCTTGGCTCCCCCAGTGGATTGGATTCGAGAAACGGCTTTTGGGATGCAATTGCCGGCTTTCCAAGTAGTATAGTAGTCCGCTCTGGATTCCCGAAATTCCGCTATTGATTAATAGCCACTAAGCCATCCGAAATAGCCCAGCCTCGGGAAAGCTACCAAGCTCCAAGTTGTAAGTTCAACTCCAGCTTCTCAGAAGCTAAAAACAGCTTCATTTTATATATATATATATATAACAATGGAAGCATACAGGCCAATTACAAACCGCCCTACTGAGAAAGGTTTTTTTTTTTTTTTTTTTTTTTTTTTTTGGCGTGGGAAATAGCGACCTCGAGGATCATGAAGCTCCCAATTACAGCGCGCGAAACGTCATATCATGTGCAGCTACCTGTTTAGCTAAAGGCTTCAGGCTTCCTTCGTCCGTTGGAGCCACCCCTGAAGTGACCTAGTTCCGAGGATTTGGATTGGATTGCCAGAATGCCAGCCTAAGCCATTTGGATATTTCGCGTTGATGCCCACGCATATCAGCTGCTCTATAAAGGATCAACAACCTCCTTCATCCGAAGCGGCCGCTTTGGCCTTCGTTACTGAAGCAAAATGCTATGGCATCGACTATTTATTGCCACGGGATTTGCTTCTCACTCATCTTCCCATAAATCTCATTTCACTTTCTCCTGAGGCAACAGCCAGCTCAATGATATTGATCTTCTTTTTTTCTTTTCATTCCATCAGCTAAACTTGATGTTGTTCATGACGCCCAGCCGCAGAGGGGAATTATGCGACGGCTGGGATAACAAAATACATGTATATATATATACACTGATGATTGGGTATTAAAATTATGTACCATCCCCCCTTTAGAGTCTTGCCTTTCCTTTCCTTCGCAAGACCAATCCTGAACTCCTCCCTATTATTAAAAGCTTCTTCAAAGCAGCTCAGTGCTTAACAAATGCCATGTGCAAAGAAAACGCCGTCTATAGCCATCGATGACATTCGCCAACTGGACGATTATGTATCGCTTCGATATCGCACGGCCACGTTGTATAATGCGTCGCTGACTGCTGTTGTACAGTCTTCACCCTTTTTTTTTTTCTTTTCGATTTTCATTCAGTCGTGCGTGTTCGATTTATTTTCTCGCTTCGAAAGTAAGGGGGCAATCATCCTATATCGCCGTTAGCCAGTTGTTCAATCATTTCCAGTTCTCGATTTCGGCCATGGCTTACCTTGGGGAAGATGGTTGCAAACACTTTGATCTCTTCTGAGAGAGGGGTGGCGTGGTGAGTCCAGTTCATTTGCACAGATGCTTTTCCAATCATCAGAGCCAGGTTAAGCTGGGCATACAGTTGACCAAGGCAATAGTGAGGACCGGTTCCGAACACCAGGTAGTTCTTGGCGCCCTTGACTTCAGCATCGCCTGAAAAGTATCTCTCAGGGTCATAATAGTCAGGGTTGGGGTAGACCTCGGGATCGTGTAGAGCCATGTACGTCGTGGGGATCAGCATGGAGCCTATCGGATAAAATGTCAGTAATTTGCGTACAAACTTGATTATGAACCAGGCTAAGAATTGGGCTTACCCTTAGGAACAGTGTAGGTGTCGGTGATGGGGAACGGCTTCTTGACCAAGTACGGAACCATGAGGACTGGTGGGCGGTATCGGAGGAGTTCTCGAACAGCGGCACGGGTGTAGGTCAGAGACTCGAGCTGGTCCATGTTCAGCTCAGCATTGATATCGCCGTTGCGGACCTTGAGGTTTTCCTCCCGAATGCGGTCGAGAACATCAGGTCGCTGGGCCGTAACCTGGAAGAGCCATGTCGCGGCACTGCTGGTGGCATCCTGAGAGGCAAACAGGAAGGTGAAGACGGTCTGTGAGATCTCGTAATCTCCAAACATGCGCACCATGGGCGACGGCTTCACCAAATCCTCGGTGGGCAGGCCCTTTGCCTCAGCCTCACGCCAACGCTCCGATTGGATCATGACCAAGATCCAGGCATCCATGATGCAGGTGACCTCTCCTCCGGCAGCCATGCGAACCTTGGCCTTGGCAGCACACTTGGCGAATTCAGCAAGAACCATGTCGGCGGCCTTCTTTCCGTACCAGGTCTTGGTGTAAGGAAGAATGATGGGGAAGTTGACAAGCTCAAGGGCAGCGGTGATGAGATAGTAATCATCGGCAATCTTCTTGATGGCCTCGTCGGAGATGTAGTGACCGACAAAGGTGCGGCAAGAGACGGCGCACATGAGTTCACGGAATTCGGGCATGAAAGGAACGGGCTTGCCGTCATTCTCCTTGGTGATGTCGAGGAATCGTTTGAAATAGGCCTTGTACACCTCCTCCTGACCGGGAAGATAGTCCGCGAGAGCCTTGCGGGTGAAGAGACCGTTGAGACCCTTGCGGAAATCCACATGGAGCTTGCCGTCAAGGAAAACCCAGTTGTCCTTTCCGAGGAGCTTGTGGGCGACATCGACGACACAAGGCTTCACGTACATTGGGGAGTTGAGAACTTTGCGAGCCATGTCGCGAGTGGACGCAATAACGACGAACCTGCAAAGGAGCCAAAGTCAGTCCTGGTCACTAACTCTGAGATGTATCAAGCCTGGGTAGTCAATCTTACTTGTGGAAAACAGAGACACAGCTCAAGGGACCGCTCAGCCACTTGGCATAGTACTCTTCAAACTTGGGGTCCATGGACTGCAGGAAAGGTCCAATGAATGGTGTCTTGAATGCCGGACCAACAATAGAGCCCTTGTTGAGAAGATAGCTGACTGTTGAATAGCAAGCGCTCGTTAGTCGGGGATCAACTTCCTGCCGAGCCACTGTGGACTAGGAAAAAGCGAACAACATACTTTGGTCATAGGCGACGCAGAGGGCGAGGATGGTGAACAGCCAAGTCCATGGTCCCGCGGTAGAGATGGTATCGATCACATAGTCCAGCTGGGGAGGAATGTTGGCGCTGACATATTTCGAATTGGCGAGAACAGACGTCAAGACTGAGGACGCCCTGGTGGCATTGACGGCCTCCATGGTTGGCTAAAGAACAGAAGAAGGTGTATCGAGCTGTTCTTCTTGTGCTGGGTCGCAAGCTCTCTATCGGACGCGATACTATCGCACTGCCACCAAGCCTGGATGTCTGGTATGCGTCCGAGCTACGGCTACCGTCAAAAAGAGAGAGCAGACGGGGGCAAGCGAAGTGACGGCGATGGGGATATAAAAGAATGGAGGGCCGACAGGGGGCAGAGGGAAGAAAAGCCGTTGGCCCAAAGCCGTCTGGGGTTCAGAAGAGGCCAGGGAAGTATTTCGTGCGACTAGCACCTCTGAATTAGTACTAAACTCCGAGTCGCTTTAGTAATTGGACCTGACCCACGAGGACGGCGTGCTCGAGTTCGATATACAGAAGTACCTGGAGGTACAAGCAATCGCCGGCAGAGGCTCCGCTGCAGGGTCCGAAGGGCTGCCGTCAATTGGCCTGGTCTGCTGCGCGTGTGTGTGGCATTGACAAGCAGATCCCACAGCTGCGCGCATGAGCGAGAGAGAGGCCGGCGGGGGTGAATCCTGGTTGTCACAAAGAGTTTTTTTCCTCGTTGTTCAAAGATTGGATCAGAGGAGACCCACGGCCGTGCTCCACGACTCGGAAGATGCAGCTAATCCCTCCCCTGTGCGCTTGATTGCACCGGTCCCCTGCCAATTTTAATCTTGTCTTTCTCTTTTTTTTTCTTATCGATTTAGCGTCAAAAATAAAGACAACATGGCTTGCCGTGGATCAACGGGTGTACAGCAAGTACTACTCCATACTCCCTACTCGAATACAACTTCTCTTGCTTCTCATTACGCACAGTGTCTCTAGAGCTAGTAGTCCTATTGTTGTTGCTTTTGGAGAGATTCTCCTGGCCCTGGCCTCCGTAAAGGTTGCTGCGCGGCGCCCTCGGGGTTGGGCCTGACGTCGGTCCAAGAGCACAATGTACCGTTAATTAAACAGCCCACCTTTTAACTCGTCTATCAAGCGTGTATCGCGTATCCGTCAACGGATCCTAGCTCGGAAATACTAGTGCAAATTGCAGGTCCCAGCTCAGCTACGACACCTGCTAAACGTGCGAGGCTTGCCATGGTCCCGTCAATAACAGCCAGGGGATTGTCATTGCTGCTGGGCATCTCTCCGCAGACTCCGGAACGGTACCCAGCGGGCTGGATGACGCATTGGAGCCTCTGATCTTACAGGCGGTATCTGTGTTACTGTAGGCACCCTAAGCAGGCAGTAGAGTAATGCCCGCATTTGCTCCATCCACTGAGGCCCCAGGGCCATGCTTTGCGCAGGCTGGACGGGTATAGCTGCTGTATTCGTACCTGTACACTGGCAGTACTGTAATTGCTAATCTTAAAAGGCCAGTTCCATTCTCTCGGCCACGTTGACCGACTGTTGTCACTCGTAAGAGGACTCGTACGATGATGCGTGCGGGAAGCTGTTTCCCGCGTTCCGCATCTCAATGCGAAGCCGTCGCAGACTCTCGGGCCTGTCGCAGGCTGATGCTGATGCACTCATACCGATGCTTGGACAGCAGTAAGTAGGGCCCGTCAATGGGAAGGAAAAGGGGGCCCTGCATGCTTTGCAAGTACCTGCAAGTATCCTCTATCGAGACAGAGTGTCAGACTGCTACGCTCTGTGCTCGTCGTAGTACGAAGGGCTACTCGTCACACGAGCAGCAATTGGCAGATCCCACTAACATCGGCGCGCATTCGAATTCGTTCACAATATCAGATCAAATCTCGTTCCTGTGCTGCCGTCCGCCAATAGCAGCCGCCCTATTGCCAGGCCTCCCTTGCAGCGCATGCCGCAAAGGGCAACAAGCCGCTGAAAGAAGAATTTGTTGGGGCGTCTCGCAGAGCGTGCAGCCAATCGACTTTCACAGATTTAGCCCGCCGCCCTCCGCGTGTCGAACACGAATACGAATAAGCTCTCTAGCCCGGAGCTTGTCCCGCTTGGGCTGCGTTCGCTCCGCAATATTCCCCTGGCTATGAGATTTTCGGACTCTCTTTGGAGCCATTGGTGTTGACGAGGATATTAACCTGCACGCTGCGATTGTGTGCTCAGGTGCTGGCCAGCCCGAGCCCGAGCCCGAGCCCGAGCCGTCCGTAGACAACATCGCCAGCCGTGGATCATGGGCAATACGGGAGACAGGGTCCTAATATATACAGGCCCCCAGTGACGCACGGGGAATGTAGATGATGATTGCACTACCCTGCGGAACAATGCTGCTTCCAGTAATTGCCATGCTACGATTGGAATAATTCAGCTCCGTGACGGCAATTAAGCTAGGTAGTTAAAACATACTCCTGGTTCCTTGGTAGATCTAATCGCCCGATTCAGCAACCAGAGCAAAGCCGCTCCTTGCTCGGGCTTCTATTCCGGATCTCCCCAGCCGAGAATTTTATAATCAGGTCATTTAATGCCTGGTAACTAGCCAATCGTACTTTGGCTGGCTTTTTGCTGTTCTCTGACTGTTCGTGTTGTCTTTTACAGCATATCATCATTTCAGGCGCCATCCAATATAACAAATTGCTTACTTGTACAGGTATGCGGCTCCAAGCATGGGGTAGTCTTTGTAATATCCGCAAAACACACTGCATACTCGTCCACGTAAGGCAGCAGCTACTTGCATGCAGTTTCTCTCAAGCCCCTGATTGCTCGTGATGCTAGTATGGGGTGTCGTTGGGCACAAACGAATCTTTAACAGCCGCTGCGGTGTTTGCCTATCTCTTATACGAAGCAGCATGATTACCTAATCAACTGTTCAATTCTCCAGGGTAGGCGATAGACAAATGATGCCCAGGAGGCAGCTATTGTGTATCACTGCCTGCGAGCAGCTAAATAATCGACGATGCATTAAATGTGTCTAGCTTTGAGTTATTGAAAATACTGGTTTTGCTACTCGAATACTTAATAGAAGGAAAAGCGATCGTGGCAGGTGAAATCTATTGTTGTTGTCTTCGCCGTCTGCATATGTGCTAAAATCGAGACATGGGTCATATACTGTAGTATATTGTAAGCTCCTACAACCACAACTTAAATCATATGTGATGAAATAGATGACCAATGCAACGATCACACCCAGTTTTCAATATTATGAATCCCAACATAGCAGCGATACTAGGGCGGATGGGCATCCAAAGCTGGTAGGTCCAGTGTCAGGCCGGCTTGCACCAACGTATCATCGCACCAAAATCCATAGCTGGCTTTGGCGGGTGTAACATACAGCCCTGTAAAGCACGCCGAGCAGCTGACAGCCAAAGCAACTGGAGGGGCAGCAAACCTACCAGCTCCGGGAGCAAAGCTACGTCATTGAAGCCACCGACGTCGTTGTGTGCTTCTCTGCGTAGCTAAGACCGTCGCAGTATAACCCCAAGTCTGGCATACCGCCATCCCGCTAAGGCTGTCTCACCACTAGCAAACAAATTGAACCAGATCTTGGTTCACAGTCGTAATTAGCATCCGCGCATAGCACTTACGTGTATACGTGCGTGTCAATGTCCATCTGCTTACATGATACTTGGCTGTGGATGGAAGAGGCTAAGGAGTGTGGCTGGCCGGCAGGAGGTGACGTATCGATATCGGCAACCAGGTACATGTACTACTAATATCCTCAATTTCCCCTCCGCATCAAACAAGACCACAATTCCATCATATCACGTATCATTATCAACGACCAACTCGCCCAAGATGCCCGCTTACATTGTGAGTAATATGGCCAAGTCTTCGACTTTTGTCTGCCGATACAGTTACTGATATCTTTTTCTTTTACTGCACAGGTTACCCTGCACGACGATGCCACGGATGAGCAGATTGCCGCGTGAGTAGCAGACGTTCTATTGCTTTCCAGACACGCACCGCTGTATCGCTGACGCAAAGCCAGAGCCAAGAAGAAGGCCACCGAAGCTGGCGGCAAGATCACCCAGGAATACAGCTTGATCAAGGGCTTCGCGTGAGTCTCCTACAATTTACTACCATGACTGCATATCTGCCGTGCCTGGTTGACTAACATGGATGTGATGAAATGTAGCGTTTCTTACCCCGAAGGAACTGTCTCGACTCTCGCCGAGGACCCGTCGGTTAAGGCCGTTGAGGAGGACGCAGTGATGACAACGCAGTAGGGGCACTTACCTATGACACCCACGATGCTTTGCCTTACACTAGAAGGGAAATAAACATAGAGGATTTTCTACTTTGCATTGAGCAGAACTACAGTTGGGTTGACGGTGACAGTGACAATGACGCCCAAAGTAAACAAACGCTGCCCCGCCATATCCCCCTCCTTTAGCTTCCTTCTAGTGACGTGACGTAAGTCGATAAGAGTGGGGATAAGAGTACGTAGTAGCAGCAGCAGCAGCAGCAGCAGTTTCGTTATCGCCGCGTGACTGGCTGCCTGATTTCTTCTTCATGTTGTAGATCCAAAGAATTATTAAGAAGATGTGTATACGCCGATATTAGGAGTTCAATGCCATCAAGTTGCCGTACTTTGTTCAGCTTGGGAGATAGTACTATATAGGTATTCCTACTAGCATCCCGCTTTATTGGCTCTGTGCCGTCACTAGCCTTAATCGGCTGACCGGCTGATTACGGCGCACAGAACCGCCATCTCGCAGCTAGCCGAGTGCTGCTGCCACCTAGTCAGTGCACTACATGACCGCTAACTTGGTAGCACAACAACGGAATTAGATGGCCTACTGAATTTGCTATAGTGCTCCAAGAGCGAGTGCTAGTGGGATGCGCCGAACATCGCTCAGCCGCCTACCGAAACGAAGCCCTTTTTGCCGGCCTGTAAACAACGAGGCTGCTTACTTGGCATCGCTTTGCATGAAAATCACAGGCAGGCCGCGGTGGTGCATCAGCGCGGCGTCCTCTGCTGCCTCTTCTGCTGCAGCCCAGAACATCGGCCGACGCCCAATGCTGCCATGACAGTCCTAATCAAGTCCACGAGGCTGCTGCGGCCCCTCGGAATTCGCGTCCCAGCCCTGCTGCAGGCCCAGCGCCGGCGCTTCACCTCTGATCGTGCGTACGATGTTTCTGATGCCGACATCACCAAGCTGGCCAACCTGCCTCAGCATCCTCTCCGTCTTGCGGATCTTGTAAGGTAGGCGGCGCAAGGATCCCTTCAAATCCCACCCTTCCTCCTACTACTCGAGTATACACCACATGTTGCTAAATATCAACTAACAATCTCTCTTCATCTGCACAGACACGGTAGGCCGCCTCTATCCGAAAGGTCGCTGCTGTCGTCGGCCAACTTCACGCTCTCCCTCGCTCCGATCCGTCTCGCCCATCGCCTCCAAGCTCTCCAGAACCTCCCGTACATTGTCGTGTCTAACCCGAACATTTCTCAAATCTACAACAATTACCTGCACTCTCTATCTATCCTGCTGCCTTACTGGCAGGCTGCTTCTGAAGGCCGAGCCATCACCACCCTCGACGATGAAATCAAGTTCACCAATGTCCTCGCCGAGCTGGTCGCCACTCATACCGACACAATCCCTATCCTGGCTAAGGGCTTCCTCGAGTGTCGTCGATATATCTCCCCGGCCGAAGTGACGCGCTTCTTGGACGAACATCTGCGCGCCCGTATTGGCACTCGCCTCATTTCGGAACAGCACATTGCATTGCACTTCAGCAGCCAGCCCCATTTCGATCCTGGCGCCAGTCCTACGCCATGCCCTGAGCACCCAACATATATCGGTGTTATTGACACCGCTTTAAAGCCCTCGCTGACGATTGACTCTTGCGCCGGCTTCGTGGCTGATATCTGCGAGCTCCGATACGGCGTACGCCCGAAGCTCATCATCGACGGTGAGCCAGAAACGACATTTGCGTTCCTGCCGATGCATCTGGAATATATTGTCACTGAACTCCTTAAAAATGCGTTCCGCGCATCAATCGAAAGCAAAACAACCGAGCCTGTTGTGGTTACCATCGCCCCTGAACCACCATTGAAACAACAAGAGGGCGATCTCCCTGATATCAAACCCCCATCCGAGGAATTAGGACCCTTCAAGTACGACGCTATTAAGCCTCTGGATGATAATGCCCCGGGCGTGACGATTCGCATCCGAGACCGAGGGGGCGGCATTCCCCCAGATGTTCTTCCTAATATCTGGTCTTACTCGTTTACTACGTTTTCCGAAGATCAGGATATCCCTGGATCCAGTGGAAACGATGGGCTCAGTGCTATTGCTACTGCTAGCACCGGGGGAAGCTCCATTGCCGGCCTGGGATACGGCCTGCCGCTGAGCCGCGCATATGCCGAGTACTTTGGCGGCGGTATTGCCGTTCAGAGTTTATACGGATGGGGAACTGACGTCTATCTCCGTCTTAAGGGCGTTGGAAAGGTAGGCCAGAAGTAAAGAGAATTGTTGTAGCAGTGGTTGAGCTGAGGGCGGCACTTGTATGCATAGATGGCTTTTCTTTTCTTTCCTTGTAAGATTGCCCAAAGTTGGCTAAAGCGAAGCAAAAGTGTATCTTAGTTCCATAGCGTGTGTATAATTTCACTTGTTAGATTTTTTTTTTTTATTCTTCTTCTTCTATTTGGTCTTGGAAATGGAAAGCTTCTTACCATTCAGCATTGTAAGCCCCATCATTCTTTATTCATGGGAGTCAATGGCTTATAACGTGCTTTTTCTACAGTCATGAAAAACACCAGAGATAATTAGAAGTTTAAGATATGAAAACCCTCAAATTCAAGATGAAATTATTTATTATAAACAATCGCTGCCACGAGAATGTGTCCGCCCCAAAGTCAGCTTAAGAAGATTATCGCTCAAGCTGCTTCCAAACAATTAAGTCACGGTAAAGCACATTATTCCATTTCATAACGCAATAACTCTTCTTCTTTCCAAATGGTAGGTAGCTTAAACAAAGACAGTAAACTTCTCTTATAAAAAGAAAAGAGAAAAAAAAAAACTCCCCATTAAAAACGCCGTTTCTCTGCCATATATCAAATGTTTGCCGATGCAATGAACGTTTTTCTTTTCTTCTTCTTTTCATGTGGTGATTCCTGTGGCTTCGTAGAGTACAGCATTTCATCCGATCAAAATTCGTGGTGTTGACTATCGTACGAGGGAGCAAACAGTCCCGGAAAATAAAATAAAGGAATGATTAGTACGAAGATAAGTATTAAAAAAGACACCGATATTCTATTTCGCCAATAAGCTTTGCGTTTCCTCCTCATTCAATCCATGCCCATATGTGTCGTTACATATTTTCCAACTCACGGTCAATTTGCTTGTCTACAAACGTGCGGCGCTCGCCAACAAGCTCTGTTTGTAGGCGCTGTTCAACAAGGGCACGAACCTGCTTCTTGGTCACAGTGTCCAGGTCAACGCCTTGCAAAACGCTTTGTATAGCCTCGACGATGGCAGCATCTGATGACATGATGCCGCCGGCCGCACCGTTGAAATCAAACGAAGTTGTTGACCGCGTTGCCTCATGGCCTCGGCCAAAGCTCATGGCTGAAGACGAGCGGTTCATGCCACCGAAGCCTGGGGATAAGCCTGGGGACAAACCTGGCGATGGAGTCAAATTGGACAGACCTCGGGTATGCATCACGCTAGTACGCTGGGGGAAGTCGGAGTACGGTGACTGGCTGCGATCCTGAATCGCAGTACCCATGGACATCATTGACTGGCGGTTCATATATGTGGGATCGCCGATATGGCTGGCGGCGAAAGGTGCAGGTGACTGGGGGGGCATGTATGTATTGCGTCCGTGCATACCGGTGAGGACCGAGCCTTGAGGACCGGCAGAGTAGACGGATTTCATTTCGTCCATCTCGTACTGCTCATTGTAGCCAAAGTCTTGCTTCTCTGGGTAAAGGTAGTTGCCACGGCGACCTGGAAGATTGTTGGCCAGAGCATAGTCATCCCAGAGCTGAAGAGGGATAGACTGAGGATTGAAGCCTTCATCATCTACAGCAACCACTTGCTTATTGCCTTTCTCTCCAATAACGACACGAGTGTTACCCCAGGAGAAATTGTCTTGGTTCCAGAAGGAGTACACCGGAAGGGCAAACGAGTAAATGGGGTATGCAATGATATAGATGATCATCCATCCAATGTGCTGCCACTGTCTCTTCAAGAGGAAGATAATTGCCTGAAGACCATAAACGGCCGCCAAGATGACAATAGACCACAAGGGGAATGAAGTCGGGTGCGTCGCTACGCTGTAGATCATGTAACCAAGATAAGCGCACGTTGCAGGGAGAATGATGGTACCAAAGAGATCAATGAAGACAATGAAGCGCATGCCGAAGAAACAGAAACCACACATATCCTTCAATCGCAGCAGCTCAACCAAGTTGTGGATGGTGGAGTTGATCCATCGACGACGCTGGGACAGGAGAACGCTCCACGATTCTGGAGCAGCTGTCTTGCACTGAGCATGCGGCAAGAACTTATATTGCATAGAGGGGAAGTGCTTTGTCATCAAGGTTGTCAAGTATCGATCCTCACCCAAAGAGAGAAGGTTCTTTTGGTGAAGTGTATCGACGTCGCAAACACTGTAATCACGAATGACAGCATCGGAAATGATTAGAGGCTTGCCCTTTTCTGCGGTTCTGAGACGATACATGGTGAAACTATGCGCACATTTGTGTTAGTTATATTGATAAGAGAGCAGGAATAAGAACGAGAGAAGAGAAGGAGAGGGGGGGTTGAGGACATCTTTAGGTTGGGCAGCCTTGGTTGGATTTTACTTACCATCCAGGTAAACAAGTAACGCTGCCGAACAAAGACTCGAAAGCCTTCGCCATGTGATGAGAGATGTAGTATTCATAGACCTGAATCATTGTCCACCATGATTTTTGGTCATTCTCGAGACTGGTCTCACCGCAGATACCGGCAATTTTGGCGTTATGGGCGCAAGCTGCAACCAATCTGTTCAAAGAATCTTCTTGGACACATGTATCTGCGTCAACCATGAGTAGGTATTCATACAGCTCGGGGTCCACGCCGATGACATTGTTGATCTGATTGAACATTTCCAGCTCAAGCGGGTTCATGGGAGAGCGATGGTGTACACGGTTAAGAAAGCTCATAAGAAGAATCTGAGAATCACGCTTGCCACGATTACCCGGCTTCGGCCTGCTTTGTTCCGCCTCACGACCGACTTTAACAACGACCAGGTAAGGGACAACGTTTCCTTCGTACTCGTAGAGGCCAGAATAGACTTTCCCGTAGTTAAGCTGGTCACCGCCAGCACCGACAGCTTTGAATGGAAGAGCCGGAGGGTCGACTTTGGGGTCAACACCCAGGATGTCCAGAACAATCTTGGGCGTAGGCCGATCATTACCTCCTCCGACAACCATACCGTCGCAGATGATGCAGATGAGCTTGCGCTTGTTGTCGTATTGCAGGGCTGTCAACGAATCGAGTGCCTTTCGCAATGAGTCCTCACCTTCTGTGTAGGCAGGGACTTGACAAATAACAAATTTGTCTTGAGGAGAAGGGCGTCGCTTGCCGCCAAATTGAAGGGCGGACACGAACTTGAGCAAAATGACAATACACAGAACAATAGTGAAAGAGAGAAGGATATAGTTGTTGACCACGCATCGAGGGGTTACGCGGAAATCAGTGTAACCCTTCAAGAAAAGGTTTCGTATGCAAAACCAGCTGTTTGCAAGATTGGCGTGTACGGTGCTGTTGTTGTTAGGGTCATTGAGAATAACGTCAAGTTTGCTGGTGATATCGGTTCCGGGATTGTTGGCCCATAAGTCAGTGATTTCCTTGTTAAGGAACACTGACTGCTTGCTATTATCATAGACTTTGAGGGTCGAGAAATAGTTGGTCAAGTCATAGATTTCGTTGCCATACATGGCCCACATCCTTTGGTCGTTGTTGCCTTGATTCTCAACATCCGTCTTAAGGTAAACCAATTCTCCCTTGTAATATTCCTCAATAGCTGGCGTAAAGACGTCAAAGTACCAGTTCTCGTTGCTCAGCTTAGATGTAGGATCAGGTTGGAAGTGGCCTGATGTATGCACAGCCGCTGGATATAGAACGGTGTTGTTAAGGGATAGCTGAAAGGCATTTGAAATTCCAAGACCTGGGCAGGCTACGTTCAGAGGAGGGATGAAGTAATCGTCCATATCCATACCAGCCAAGGGCAGCATGACATCAGAAGTTGTCTTGATGTTTGTGTCACTGTGCTGTTGCTTCCAGAACTTGCTAATATCATAGACACTGCCATGAATACTGACGTAGAAATCGTTTTGGCCTTGGTGTGTGGCAACCTCCTTTCGGTTCCAAGCTTTGTCCATGTTAGGGCAAAGAACACGCCCGAATCCAACAATCCAAAAGACGATGATAGCATTCATAAGGACAATCAACATGCACAACGTGAACTTCTCACGCCAGGCCATTCGGACATCGGGGCGTTTCATGCCACCAGGCCAGCGGAGCAGGAAGGAAGGAATCCACCAGGTCATGGCCCAAGTGAACCAGACCCAGGCTCGGCGGGCATTATCGACCTCTTTTGTCTCAATCTGTTTGTGATCAGCTAGCTCGGGATCGAGGGCAGCGGCCTCTGCGTTATAGAAACCGTCATTTCTGTACAGATCACCCTTGTTACCCAAACCATAGTCACCATTGCGCATAGTAGGTGCAATGGATGGGTGGATGGATGGGGCAACATGTGGCGCCTGGTTTTGGCCGAGGGTGAACTGGCTCATGTTGCCTTGGCTCATGCCGCGGTTGTGAGCCAGTGCGTCACGACTGGAGCCGACGCCATTGTCGAGGCCAGTGGGTGGGAAGTAGCCGCTGCCAGTACCTGAATAGCCGGTGTCAAAGCCACTATTGAAGGGATTGCTGTGGATGGGATGCAATTCGTCGCCTGGCTTGACATCTAGCATGCTCTCGGCCTCCCACCATGCATTCTCGCGAATCCAGACTCGCTCCTTGCCGATGAAGACTTCGCCGTTGCTCCAGCCACGCTCCAGCATCCACGTCTCGATGCCTTCTCGCCCATCCCTACAGCCTAGGGGAGCATAGCGGTGTACAAACTCATCAACGTCAAAGTCGGCAGTAAAGTCGAGATTTCTATGCCTGCGGTTGGCCCATTCTGGCAGCCTCCAGGAGCGGAGCTGTCGGGAGACAGTGCCGGCCGACCAAGCAGACGTGATAGAAGGCAGCGCTGCTAGGCTAGCAGGTGAATCATCTGTTGGGTGCAAGCAAAGATGATACCACATGCGGTTGGAGCTAAGCACCGTGGGGAGATCAATACGGCCAGCTCTACCCAGGTTGATGCCTTGGCCCTCGACAGGGAAGAGCAGCTTCTTCAGGAAGCTACCCTCGTCGGCGCCATACGCAGCCTTCTCCAGGATAACCTCCCTTTTTTCCAGCTCATGCTGTCGCTCACGTCCTTGTGGGCCATTCATGACTCCCAAGTCTGGTGCTACTTCAGATACCGCCTGCTGGACTTCTCTCAGAATCGAAGAGCCTGCTGAAGGAATCTCGAAACCATCGCCGATCATTTCGGCATTAATGCCTTGCGTATCGTCAAAGACGGAACGCATGCACAGTGCCCTGCCAAGGGCAGGGTCCGGCACCTCAAGAACGGTAATGGAGACAGTATCACCATTATCTTCGTTAGAAGTGGGAGTACGGACACCGTGACCATCCAGAGACTCATCGCCGTCCTTGATGCGGGTTAGCTGTGCGGCAATGGCATCATTGGCTTTGGAGATAACCCAATCAACGAGAGATTCGTACAATCCGCCAACCAAAGTTTTGCGATCCTCCGTGCTGCACTGACGAAGGACGACCTCGGGATCGATTCCGAGCAGGCCGCCAACATCCTCACCGATTTCTTCCAATGCCTCAGATTCAATGCTGTAGTCAAGTGTGTCACCAAGCTTGAGCAGGCCGGCAAGAGTGGAGATGAAGTTCCGGTGAGCTGAACCTTTGATGCCAATGTCTTTGAGGGCCTGACGGAAGTCGTCGGCTGATGCGGAATCATCCGCAGTGGGCAGGTATGATGGCGGGTCGTATGTGCCAGAACGAGACAGGAGGGAGTAGGCAGATGCTGATTTGAGGCTCAAAAACTCTCTCTCAGCTGGCGTTGAGGCTGAGGTTAAGAGGTAGTAGAAGACATCAAACGCGCGATAGCCCGCCTCGGCAGGAATGTTGAGCAAGCCAGCAGAGGTGTCGATTCCGCCTTGCGAGAGGGCCAGGGTAGCTCCGGTAATGTTGCCAGCGAGATTCAGGGCCAGGGTCACACCCAGACCAGCTTGTTTTGGGGCTGATGGGTTCTGCGGCGTAACACATCGTAGAAGCGGCTGGAGGGCCTCTAGAGCCTTGTAGACGCTGGATGGAATTGCAAACGGGAACGACGACAAGAAGGGGACGAGGAGGGAGGGAGAGGACTGGTGTAGAGAACTAGATGAAGTACTCGTTAGCAAATGAACTGGGTAAATTGGTGGTGCGCCTATCTCTTACCCCAAGATGATGCAGCCGTCCTCAGCACGCCGCCTGGCATGTTCCCAAGCCCGCGACGCGAGAGTAGCATCAACAGCAGGGCCGCCCTGGGCGGCTGTCAGCCAGGTGTTGACAACGACGCTGGTGCTCGCATCTAGCTGGTGCGGTTGTGATGAGAGGTAGATGTTGTGGATAGCGTTGAGCAAGGTGGTTGTTGAGACCTGGGTGGCCTGAGGTCCGCCAGCTCGAGCCTCCGAGGCCATGGAGAACATGGACAGCCGGTTCGCCATGACGAAGGAGTGGGCGTAAAGGCCCTCGAATCGACGGCTGCTATTACGATGCCGAGGAGTATATGGTGGGCGTGTTGTCTAGGCAGTCGCTAAAGTATGCCAACAAGCAATATTATGGAGAAAGGCAGCAAACGATGTATAAGAAAAAGTGACGAAGTTGGCGTCTGCCGATGCACTGCTGAGCGAGGGACGATGGAAACGCAGAGACGCGGTTGCCAGTTCAACTCCTTTCCTCTTCTTCCGCAGGCGAGGTGCAGAACGGGATAAACAGACGACAGACAATGCAACGCGAACAAACAAACGATTGAAAGGAGGGCTGCCAAAGCGAATGAGGCAGTCTCACCAGGGGAGGTTGGGGGGAAGCAGCAGAGGAAAAGTCTCCCAGCGGCTGCGTCTGCAGGATAAATCGACCGACGATGGAGTTTGAGCCCATGGGCGGGTTTCCAAGAGCGTTGTGCAGGCCATGGCGGCAGCTGGCCAGGGGGAGAGGGCGTGTGCCCAGCGAGTCCGGCCGGCGCCAGCGAGCGGTAGCGCACAATGCTTCGACCAGGGTGGCCAGTGCTAGGACAAAGAACACAGCTGGTACTGTACATAAACAAGGGAGCACGCTTGCAGCTAGGCGCTGGCGGGCGCCGCTGTGGCGGGTTGCCCTCACTGAAGCCGTTACCGCTAGGCCTCAACTTTAAGGGCTAGCGGCTATCAGCAGCGCCTGCGGGCACAGCGACGGCGAGCTTTCCTGAGCATGTTATACGACTGCCAATTCTTGGGCTGCATGCTGTGGATATTAGAGTTGCGCTGGTGTGAGATATCTCGTACTTTGCATTGCACGAGATTATACAATGCAACACTAGCTTGGCTGCATGTACGGAGTATGCTTATAAGGATTGACAGCACGCTGTTGATACTGCTAACTTCTGGCATTCAGCTATCCATGGGTGATCGGGCAGTCAGGACAGCAGATCTTCTGGGAATAGCGCTAAGCTACCAGAGATACTCCGCACTGTACCGTCCTACCGGGCACCGCAATTGCACGATGCTCCCTGTCATTGCCGCTCCGGGCAAAGCGAAGCAATTTATTGGTATGGAGCGCAGAATATTCCACACCTGAAATCGAAATTTCACACGCCGGGTCTCTTCTCCGCGCGGGAAACAGGGCTCGATACGGACATCATACTTGTGAGGAGACCCAGAGTCAGCGGATATGCTGCCGGCCAATACGAGGTCAAATGCATGAATGCGACCACTGTGTGTTTTGCGTGCGGCCTGCGAGCCCGTCTTCGGACGATTCCACTTGTGGCCAACCACGGCGCCGCCTGAATACTCGTATTTTTTTTTTTCTCTCTTGAGAGGGGCGGCTGTGCTAAGAACCGCTCGCACTACCAGACTGCGCAGCCTCGATCAGTCCAGCCAACAATGAGCCATCTGCAGAAACCGATTGGTTAAGAGGAAAGAAGCTACGCATGGGAGGGGGGAGAACGACATCAAGGAGACAAGAAACACGTCTATATGCGGCCACGAAGTACGCGCAGAGGGGAGAAAAGATCTTATTTACTACTAGTAGTATCAAACCGCCCGCTGACCATGGCTTGATACCCTACACTTTCGCATCAGTGCCATCCACAGCTCTGATAGTCCATCAGCAGGCAGGGGGGCACATGTTAACCTTTCGACGATGGCACCTCTATATCTTGCTGATGGCGATGATCACGATTATCCCTGCAGTGATACTCCATACTCCATACTCCAAGCTCCTCCGTGCTAGTACGAAGTTTCCCATACTTGCTAGACTAAGTGGTGCTACGATGTCCAAGGCGCTCGTGCTGGATATATAGCCCCGCCAAGACTAGAGAATAAGTTGGAAAAAAAAATGAAGGAAAACAAGCAATGCGCGAGTGTTTGCGTCAGGAGGCCGAAGGCGCTACGCAGTCAGTCGAGAATGATGTCCAATGTAGCATCTCTCATGCTCGACTAACAGGCATGGTTGGTGCTGGGGCATCGACACTGGGCCACTTGGGATCAGCACGATCCATCCAAGCAAACATGGACGCTTAGATGCATGACACAGAGCACCTCGTGTTCCGAAAATTTCTCTCCGTACTCCAACGACAATCGGATCTTGTTCTGGCAAGATCTGGCTAAAGAAGTTATAAAAAGAACGCTGGGCTGGTAGGCCTACTCTTAGGCTGTGCCCGTCAGGCCACCAAGCAGGTAAGCTTCCTTGGCGGCTTTGTCAGGATCAGCAGAACACTGAACTTTGGGGAATAGCACCCTCCTCGCGGTGTTCTGAAAAAAGTTTCGGGCATAAGAATGGATCGAAGCATTACGAGGCAGCCTCTTACCATATGTGCTATTCTCTCCTACAGGCACTGACAACTGCGCCAGCCAAGTGAGCGCACCAGCGCCCGCGCACGTAAGCAGCCGTTCATGGAGGTGATGGAGCTGGCCGCATTCACCGGCAGCAGGGCAGTTTTGCCAGCCCGGCACAGGCAAGCGAGAGGGCAGGGCTAGGCCGGGGCCAAGCAAGGGAGCAGCTGCGTGCAGTCTCGCACGCCGAGGTGTGGAGGAGCCCGACAAGAAAATTTGATCTCTGATGCTGGGAGAGACGAGATTATGCTGTGCAGCCGGCTGTGTTCACAACTTGGTGCAACTCGCTGCCGAAGAGAGCACACTCCCGCTTGCAAGTACCTTTTATGGGGCGGGGAGCACAGAGTACATGGCCGCAGCTCTGCTACCACTGCCTAGTACCTAGTATGTACGGCTAGTGCTGGTGGCTGTAGTCTTGCCGTCCAGGGTCCCTGGCATGGATCGGATCGCCTGGCCCACTTCGAAGAGGCCAAGTAGCCGCCAGGTACTTCCAGCTGCGTTGGACGCACCGAGCGAGACTAAGCAGCTACATGTGCCTGCAAGCCGCTGTTTACAACAACGCACACATTAGTGGACGCTTGTAGCTGGAGGCGTTACGGCCGCCATTTTAGCTACTCAAGCTAGCAGCTGCTATCTTAGGGCTCGAGCTACTGCTTGAATTGAACTTTTCTAGCATCGGGTAAGGGGGAAAAAGGGGCACGCGCAAGTTGATAGTGTGCCGGTAGCACGAGTAAGCTGATCAATCCCATGCATCCCAAGCCCATAAACTTTTTTTTTTTTTTTTTTAAATGCTGCTGATGTAACGATCTAGAGGATTTAGATTTTGTATACTCCGTACGGCTCGATGCGGCTCCGTGAGATCCGTGTGATGATTCTTGTCCATGTGAGATTGTATACAAGGCCGTGTACGGTAGGCGGGCGAGTGTGGAACTAATATTGTAGGTAATTTCGCATCAATGAAAGATCAGCTTTGGTCAAAGACGGGATGCGTCATTCCGCATGCCTGGGCTATTCCAAAGAATGCATTGCCAGTTCCTCTTTCGTCCGTCTGCTCTGTAACCATGTAAGACAGCCATAGACACGACGGTATTCACCATGGATGAAGTCCCCTTGATCTATGAACCATGTGCGCCTTGCTTGTAAATCTGCTGCATTTTCTAAACGTGCGTCTATGTTCATCGTCTATCTACATGGAGGAGAAATTCTTGTAGCATCTTTCATGTATTTATGGATTTATGGATATATGCCTGGCTAGTTATCGGTGCTTATAAACGAGATCCCTATTCATTTTCTGCTTCAACTCTTCTCCTTTGTTTCTCTCAACATTACGCATATAACCTATCATGGCGCACATCATATCGCATGGCATCAGCTGCTTGTATCGAAATCTTAGAGTGCTGCGCTCTTGATTCTCACGCATGTATGAAGCAAATATTTCAGTTCTCTTCCCCCCTCCCCCTACACCCTCCCCCCTACCCCCTTCGACGCTGTGCCCACCCACCGGACCACGCTCTCACTGATTCCCGGCGACCACAGCAAGACAGGCATGCAGACGGTAGGTATGGGGCATCGGCAGGGCAGGCTGTGCTCACGAATGCTAATAATAATTCGAACTTGCCTGCGACCCGCCGTCCACCACAGAGAGTCTGGCCCCAGGGGGGGTGTAGCTGGAAGTGCGCTACTAGTCCCGTGGCGCCCGCCGGACTGCGCCGTAATGCCGACTCCTGTCACGCTGCTTGTCCAGGCACGCGGCTGCCAGAAAACAAGGCCCCTTTCCTACCTGAGGCCAATGGCTTGGATACAACATCCTCCTGGCGAAGTCAATTAGGCGTGACCTTGAGAAACCTCCATGTTGGCGTTTCAAACTTTTCGGTATACTTTCTTTTGACGTCCCTCTTTCATCACCTCTCTCGTTTCATCGTCGTCGGTTTTGCCTCATATTATCTGGCCAAAAGTTGAGCCGCTTACACTTCTTTTATACGTCAACTACGTGCTGTTCTAAACCACAACTCATTTAAAAACCATAATTGCCCCGCGATATACGCCGAGGGCTATTTTTTGATTTATCGCTCGCAGCCAGTCATCGGTGCTGGTGTTGGCGAAGCTCTTTTAGAGCCAAGGGCGCGATCTAGTGGGAGGTGATTGCCCACTGGGTTTTTATCTGAGGTCCCTCGGCCATGAGCTTGCCTCTGAGCGCGGCCGGCAATGGAGGAGCACACACGCAGCATTCTCTACCGGCATTGCCGGCCCATCTCCAGTCCGACACCCAGATAACCGCCCATCTCGCAAGCCGGTTCCATGTCAACCTCCCGACGACCAATTTGTCTTCCTATGGCGTTGTAGCCTTGAACACGTACACGTCGTCCACAAAGGGACCAGATGGCGGCAGGGAGGGGAGCGCCATGGCGGCGGCGGAAGATGTAGCTGACCGTGCATGGCTAAGACTGGGGAACCGGTCTGAAAACCAAGCCATTGTGTTTCTGTGAGAGCATAAGCCTCCCCTTTTTCTTTTGTGTTTGACATGTTGCCCCCCGCCCTCTCTGATGTGTGCGGAGGGAAGTTTTTTTCCTCGCCTCATTGAGAAAATATACTAGGGGGGAAACTCTAAACGACGCGCAAACTCAGCATTTCTAACTTGGCTGACTTAGGGGAGAATCTGGCTCTGGAAAGTCTACGAATCGAAACCATACCGTTACGGCACTTCTGAAGAAATCGTCCACGCCGTTATCCACAAAAACGTCCCACGCAGTGTATATTTTCGACAGCCTTACCACGACAAAAACCGCCACGACTCCCAATGCATCGCGAGCCGGTCTCTTCCTCGAGTTACAGTATGACACGTCTGCATCTACAAACCCGACTCTTATTGGTGGAAAGCTGCTGGACCATCGACTGGAGAGGAGCAGAATCACTGATGTTCCTACTGGCGAGCGCAATTACCATGCACTGTACTATCTTGTGGCTGGTACGAGCGATGCTGAAAAGTCCCATCTCGGATTTGACAATGAAAATGGCAGCAAACGGTGGAAGTTTCTTGGGCACCCCACCCAGCTCAAGGTGGGGATCAACGACGCTGATGGCTTTCAGCTCTTCAAGACCGCCATGAGGAAGTTGGAATTCACTAAGAATGACATTGCCGAGACTTGCCAGCTTCTTGCTACTGTTCTCCACATTGGCCAGCTAGAATTCGAGACTACCAATAATACGAGTGTCACTGGGGATGATAGCGGTGGCTTCTCTCACGAGGGAAGCAATGCTGTTACCGCTGTCAAGAACAAGGAGGTGCTTGTCATCATCGCTGCCTTCCTCGGTGTCAGCGCTGCTGATCTACAGACCACTCTGGGGTATAAGACTAAAGTGATTCACAAGGAGCGAGTTACTGTTATGCTTGACCCCAATGGTGCTCGCGCTCACGCAAATGAGCTTGCTAGGACTCTCTATGCACTTTTGGTTGCCTGGATCGTCGAGAGTATGAACCAGCGCCTCTGTGCCCCTGAAGAGAGCATCGCCAACACCGTCTCCATCGTCGATTTCCCTGGTTTCGCCCAGCAGGCAGCAACAGGTTCCGCGCTTGATCAGCTTCTTACCAATGCGGCTACCGAGGCCATTTACAACATGACCCTCCACAACTTCTTCGACCGCAAAGCAGAAATGTTTGAAACTGAAGAAGTCACGGTATCTGCCACTAGCTACTTTGACAATACCGATGCCGTCAAGGGTCTGTTGAAGCCTGGGAATGGCCTTCTGAGCATTCTTGATGACCAGACGCGGCGCAACAGAACCGACATGCAGCTTTTGGAAAGCCTCCGCAAGCGCTTCGAGGGGAAAAACCCTGCCATCGAAGTTGGTTCCGCAACCGCTAAGCTACCGGGCAGCAACTTCCACACCGAGAATTTGACCGCAAGCTTCACCGTCAAGCATTTTGCCGGTGAGGTTGAGTACCCCGTCAGGGGCTTGATCGAAGAAAATGGCGAGATCATCTCCGCTGACCTCATGAACATGATGAATGGCACAAAATCCGACTTTGTTGCCAAGCTTTTTGGCCAGGAGGCTTTGCAAACCGTCACCCATCCGCAGGAGCGCACAACTGTGGTACAGGCCACCATTAGCTCGAAACCGATGCGAGCGCCTAGTGTCATGGTCCGGAAGGGCGCTCGTCCTAGGCTCAATGCTGCAGGCCGGCGCCAGACGCAAGATAACTTCGATCAGATGTCACAGGACAGCGATTCGCGGGAACCCAAGCGCGGAGCGCCCAAGGGAGGATCAGAACAAGGTGCATCTGGCCAGTTTCTGTCGTCTCTTGAGAATGTGCAAAAGGCTGTCACAGACCCCGGTACCAATGCTTACTTCTTCTTCTGTCTCAAACCCAATGACCGACGAATCGCCAACCAGTTCGACAGCAAGTGTGTACGGACGCAAGTCCAGACATTTGGTATTGCCGAAATCAGCCAGCGGCTGCGCTCTGCTGATTTTAGCTTGTTCGTGCCTTTTGGCGAGTTTTTGGGTATGGCAAATAGTGAAGCCCTCCTGGTGGGTAGCGAGCGCGAACGAGCTGAAGCGGCCATTGACGAAAGACAATGGCCTCGCAATGAAGTCTCGGTTGGCGCCACAGGTGTGTTTTTGAGCGAGCGTTGCTGGCTGGAGGTTGCCCAACTGTCTTTTCCCAGCGGAGCATCAGGTCGTGGTGCCATGTCCGCATTTGACAGCGAAGGAGGCGATGGTCTCACCCCCGGCGACCATCATGCCTTTGGCGCCTCCAAAGAGCGGCTCTTGTCTGCTGGCCAAACGCCTCTCGGCTATGGCGAGAAAGGCCGGAGCGGATACTTCGCTGACGATGCCCGTTCTGAGGCGGGCGCCTCAGCATTTGGTACTGGAGATATGTTCAAGAATCATGACACTCGCGCGCAGATGGCTGAGAGAGGCAACGAGAAATCTATGGTCGAGGTTGAAGAGTACAAGGATAGCCCCAGCCGTAAGCGTTGGCTATTCGTCGTATACGCCCTCACTTGGTTCATCCCTGATTTCCTCATTAGGCTGATAGGCCGGATGCCTCGAAAAGATATACGTATCGCCTGGCGGGAAAAGTTTGCCATTAACTTGTTGATTTGGTTCTCTTGTCTTGTCGCCGTCTTCTTTACTGCCATCTTCCCCATTCTCATCTGCCCAACTCAGCATGTATACAGTGCCGCAGAACTTTCTGCATACAATGGGAAGGCTCATAGCAACGGCGCGTATACTGCCATTCGTGGCATTGTCATTGATTTAGGCGCATTTATTCCATCTCACTATCCCCAATCGTTGATAAAGCAGCAGACTCTTGAGAGTTACGCTGGCATGGACATTACTTCTCTATTCCCCGTCCAAGTCAGTGCACTCTGCGATGCCGTTGGTGGCCCGGTCGATAAGGCGGTGACTCTTGATTATAAAACGACAAACTTCACCGGATCGCCTGCTCTTATTAGCAACACTGACGCAAACGCCAAGTTCCATGATTTCCGTTACTTCACCAATGTTAGCCAGCCTGACTGGTTCTATGAGCAAATGTATTACCTCAAATCCAACTTTAAGAAGGGTAACATTGGTTATACCGCTAAATACGTGTCGACACTGGGCAAGAAATCGCAGAACATTGTAATCTTGGACAGTAAAGTCTATGACATGACTACTTATCTCACTGGAGGCCGCCACCTACGAGCTCCGCCGGGTGAGAAACCCCCAACAAACCAGTCTCTTACTGATTTTATGGACTCGTCAGTCACGGCCCTTTTTCAGTACAACCCTGGTCAAGATATCACGCAACACTGGAATGCTCTCAAGCTCGACGCCACCGGTAAGGCTCGGATGAAGCGTTGTTTGGACAATTTGTTTTATGTCGGCGATGTCGACACCAGAAACTCTGTTAAATGTCAATTTGCCGAATATCTGGTTCTCGCCATTTCAATCATGCTTGCCTCTGTCATTGGATTCAAATTCTTCGCAGCTTTACAATTCGGTGGCAAAAACTTGCCTGAAGGTCTCGACAAATTCATCATGTGCCAGATCCCCGCGTATACGGAAGACGAAGAATCCCTACGCCGTGCCATTGACTCTGCTGCTAGGATGCGATATGATGATAAACGTAAATTGCTGGTTATTATTTGTGATGGTATGATTATCGGTCAGGGCAACGACAGACCAACTCCCAGGATTGTCCTCGATATTCTTGGCGTGTCTGAATCTGTCGACCCCGAGCCTCTAAGCTTCGAGTCGCTAGGCGAAGGTCTGAAACAGCACAACATGGGCAAAGTATACTCCGGTCTCTATGAAGTGCAAGGCCACATCGTACCATTCTTGGTCATTGTGAAGATCGGCAAGCCCTCCGAGGTTTCGCGTCCTGGCAACCGTGGCAAGAGAGACTCTCAGATGGTGTTGATGCGCTTCCTGAACAGAGTCCATTACAACCTTCCCATGAGCCCTATGGAGCTGGAGATGTATCACCAAATTCGCAATATCATTGGCGTCAACCCAGCATTTTACGAGTTCATGTTCCAAATCGATGCCGATACCGTTGTCGCCCCAGACTCCGCCACCCGTATGGTTGCCGCTCTCATCAACGACACGAGCACCATTGCTGTGTGCGGCGAGACGGCCCTGACTAATGCTAAGGGGTCGTTCATCACCATGATCCAGGTTTACGAGTACTACATTTCCCACAACCTTGCCAAGGCCTTTGAGAGTTTATTCGGCTCTGTCACTTGTTTGCCTGGTTGTTTCTCAATGTACCGTATTCGTGCTGCTGAGACGAATAAACCACTCTTTGTCAGCCGTGAAGTTGTTGAGGCTTACTCTACCATTCGAGTCGATACGCTGCACATGAAGAACTTGCTGCACCTGGGTGAAGATCGTTTCTTGACCACTTTGCTGCTCAAGTTCCACTCAAAGTACAAGACCAAGTATATCTTCACTGCTCACGCCTGGACCATCGCTCCTGACTCTTGGGCTGTTTTCCTTTCTCAGCGACGTCGATGGATCAATTCCACCGTGCACAATCTGATTGAGCTTATGCCTATGCAACAACTTTGTGGTTTCTGCTGTTTCAGTATGCGCTTTGTCGTCTTTATTGATTTGCTCAGTACCATTGTTGCGCCAGTGACTGTAGCTTATATCGTTTACTTGATTGTTCGGATTGTTCAGCATCCAAGCACGGTGCCCATCACCGCCTTTATTCTTTTGGGTGCCATTTACGGTTTACAGGCTATCATCTTCATTCTGCGTCGCAAGTGGGAAATGGTTGGCTGGATGATTATTTACATCCTTGCAATTCCCGTTTTCAGTCTTGGTCTGCCCCTGTATGCCTTCTGGCACATGGATGACTTCGCCTGGGGTAACACGCGTGTCGTTGCTGGTGAAGACGGTAAGAAGGTGGTTATTTCGGATGAAGGCAAGTTTGATCCTGCATCTATTCCCAAAAAGAAGTGGGAAGAGTACCAAGCCGAGCTTTGGGAGACTCAGACTTCGCGTGATGATACGCACTCGGAAATTTCCGGCTTCAGCTATGGCACCAAAGCTCACGGTGGTGCCATGTCTGAATATGCTTATCCCAGTCGGCCTGCCTCCACAACGGGCTTCATGCAGACTGCCCCTCACATGCAGCCATATGAAGCCCGCAACATGTCCCGCATGTCTATGGCTCCTTCAGAGATGAACCGAATGAGCCAATATGGCGGTTCCCAGTTCTTCTCTCCAGAGGATATGGTCGGGCTGCCCAGTGACGATGCTATCTTGGGCGAGATCCGAGATATCCTGAAGACTGCGGATCTGATGACAGTGACCAAGAAGGGTGTGAAGCAAGAGCTGGAACGCCGTTTTGATGTTCCTCTTGATGCTAAGAGAGCCTATATTAATAGTGGTATGTTTATGCTCAAATCTCCCAAACCACCATTCATATCCTTGCCTGAATGATGACGATGGCTAACAACTTTTTTTTTTTAAAGCTACCGAGGCTCTTCTTTCTGGCCAACTTTAAGGTACTCTCTTATGTGCCAAGTCGCCATGCATTATACGCCACTTTAATTTGACGATTTACTCGGACCCCAGTGGGGACCCACTGTTTTTCTTGGATATTTGATAGAGTTTTTTGCTATATGTTTGGTTTCTGGTGTATCTCACGAACTCTTTTGGATTTATTTTGGCAATGTTCTGCGGATCCAGGCTATTCATAATGGCCTTCCTCATTTTGGCATATTTACTCATCTACGCATCTTTACATCTATTAATATTTCTTCACGGATTCAAACAAAAAATCGAGAAAAAAAAAGAAAGGAAGGAAGGATAAAAAGGAAACAATAGCAAGCGACTACCATACAGCGTCAAGAGTGTTGCAAGCGTTGCATTCAGTGGCGTTGATTATGTTAGCGAAGCGAAGCGGAAGATTAAAAAAAGCGTTGAGCGGATTGGAATTCCACCTCTTCTTTTTATTTCTGTAGCTTTTCTTCAATGGACCTTGAAGGGAACGAGAAGGGGCTTTGTATGTACATGTATGATGAACTCTTGAATTGATCGAGTGGTCCTTATCTCTACATTTACTCTATATGGCTGTGAAATGTCTGTTGTGTAGTGATGATACAATACTTAGGATGTAGCCAAGGTAAGCGCGCAGGTGATAAATTGGTAATAGTATTCATGATGTATCTACGCTCAAGAAGGCTTGTATCAACCTTGACCCATATATATCCGGGTATCTATTATTACATGATAAAAATGAACGGGAAACCCCTTTATATACCCTCGCTACTGCAATTGCATATCTCCAAGAAGCTTTTCCACCCCGTTTTTGCTCCACGTCTTGACTCTCGCCTGATCACAAGTCTTCCACGCCCGACTCATGAGCGCCTTGTAAAGCTCTGTATCTTCAGGAACGCCACACGCTACTCTTTGCGCGTCTAGCCAGGCGAGCAGTCCGAATCTAGTGATTAGCGTCGTGCTGCCAGAGTCGATGCAAGTGGCCCGGTAGATGATTCTGAGGATCCTGGTACGGAGGTTGGCGCGGAGATATGGGTTGCTTCCCAGGGCGAGAATCTTTTCGAACCAACGCTTCTTGTGGAAGATGCTCAAGTCAAAGGGAGTCTTGAGAGCATCGAGGATGTAGGTTAAGAACCAGGCAATTTCGGTGTAGTACTTGTCGTCCTCTGAAGGTTCTCCATGAAGAATATCGTGAGCTAGAGGGAGCTTCTCTGGCGACCAGACAGGGCTTCGAGTCAAGAAGCTGTTGATCTTGGGATAGAGCGGATGTAGAGGGTTCTTCAAGACGTCCAGAGCATGGATGGAGAAGGCTATAAATGCTGACGGAATCGGACCGCTATCAACCTGTGGCCGCGACGACTCTGCCAGCTCGGACAGGAGCAGCCAGAATTGCTTCTTCTCTTCATATGACGACTCATCGATTTTAGCGGCCATCTTGAGAATATTTGTAAGTGCCTCTTTGCGGATATTGGTGTGTTCTGAGGCGAGGAGGCGAATCAAGTTTGCAATCAAACCATCTTCGACCAGATCTTCGACACCTTTGGCGTGCCATCTGAGGAGCACCGCTGTATCCTCTGGACTTGAAAACGGAATATGTAACGCCTCTTCTAGCTTTCCTTCATCCATTGTCGTCTGCTTCTCTCCATTATTTTGATCCTCTCCTTCCTCGTCATCCTTTTCATCTTCCTGGCTGCCACTGGTTATGGATTTTGGTATTTTTCGTTTCCCTAAACCTGCCAGCTTCACCGAGCGTGACGCAAAAGACTCCTCGATTTTGCTGTAGACACGTTTAAGCGCATCGCTTCCCTTTTTCTTGTACAATGCGCTGAAGTATAGGGATATGAAATTGGATAGCGCAGAGAGCCCCTGAGCGTCAGTGGACTCCATGATAAAAGGAAGCTGTTCTGCTATGGCAACAGTAAGTAAATTGAAGCTGCGGTCATCAGCCGTTGCTTGTACGTCGACGTTATCATCGGTGAGATAGTTTTGGAGTACATCGAGATACTTGATTGGCGAAGTGGCGCAGCGGCTAAGGCAGTTATCCAAGAATGGCCAGACTTTCTCCATTTCTTCCGAGCTAATCTCATCCATACTCATCGTAAGGGCTTGAAGGAAAGGTTTCAATCTGGTAGCCGCGGAAACAAGCTGATTTTCCACCGCAACGTCTGCAAGGACCTTTTTAAGCTGATGAAGTGGTGCTGCTCGATCACTGCTGGAAAGTAGTTTAAGAAGCGCGGTGAAGGGTGAACAAGGGCCTTCGCCGCTGATAATCTCAATCCTAGAGAACCATCTCATGCCAGGAGAGTAGCCAGCAATCGACACCAAGTTCTCCAGCTCCATCTCGCGGAATCCATCGTGCTGGTGATCGGAACTTTCATCTTGTAAGCTTCGTAGGACGCTAACGAAGAAAGGCGAGACGTCAAAGTTTGCAGCCAGTGCAACTTGCGGAATAATCTCATAATACAAGAGAAGCAGCCTGCTGGCCATAGTTTTGTGCAATGCATTCTCACTAGCAATGCTTTTATAACTTCGTACAATCTCTTTCATGTCTGGAATGCGCCTGCAGAAGGCATCAATCAATCTTCGGGCTGCTTCAGACCACTGGGCATCTGTTGCTCGAAAGGCGTCTTCATGCAGTTTGATGGCTACTGAAAGTTTCTCCAGCGCTTCGATCAGCATTCTTGTCGCAAAGAATGACGTCAAGTTTGAATTTGGCGAGAGGCAGCGAATTATGACTCTTTGATTTAGCGGAAGCGGCAAGATGTTATCCAAAAGAATCTGAGTAGGTGGAGGACCGCGAGAAAAGCGCGTTTTGTCGCCAAATGAGGGGGGGAGCGGGATCCTCATTGTATCGAATAGGAATGATGCATACCCAATCCAAGTCATTGTTAATTTCGGTTCAAAAGTGAAGGATTGGTTGTTGAGAAAGTAGTTTGCTATTAATTCCGGAGCGGCCTCAAACATTGCTGTCAGCAGCTCGCTGTGCTTCATGCTGGACCAGGGACGCAATTTTGCAGCAAATTCAGACAAGACAAAATTGTAAACAGGGACTCCATCACGGTATGTATCATCCTTGCCTACAATTCCGTGTGCTGAGCTTTTCTGCTTGGCAAGCTGGACTGAGAACTCCTCATCCGTCTCCTTGGGGTAGAGACCTGTAGATGGGTATAAAATACCCGCGCCCGGCTGCGTACAGACATACATAAGGAACTGGTGAGCTTTCTCGGTTACTCGATCAACCTCGCTCTCTGCCTCTGAGCTATTGGTATAGGTATACAGAGCAAGAATTCGCATCAGGGTCTTGGTGTTGAAGCATTTGAACTTGATGTCTCGTGAAATCTTGCTGTCTGCTAGAATGTGAGTCTTTAAGGTGTCCAAGATCTCCAAGACAAGAGCCGGAGGGTCGCTCTTGATCATGAATGTTAAATGCGACAACAATTCTTTCTGAGAGAGGAGCTCTTTTCGGCCATCGGAGTGTAGGTACCTGAGGCAGCTCAAGAAAAAACGAACAGCGTTTGTTCTCACTGATGCTTTCCCAGAGTCTCCTTGACTGTCGCCAGCAACGCCAATCTCTAAGTTTCTTCCCAGAGACGCGAAAGTATACGTTCTGGCACGGACTATCTTCCTTGCATAGGCACCTCCGTCTAGGCTCACAGCTTCCCGAAGTAGGCGCAAAGTCGGAGATATAATAAAGCTTTTCGTTTTGTCCGAGGATAAATTTTTCGAAATTGACTTGAGTTGGCGATCTTGGACAAGCGACTGGCAGATACCAAGTCCATGCTTGACCAAGTCTAATGAATCGGAGACGATATTTAGCACAAGCGCTAAGACAACAGCCGCAGAGGACATGACGCCGCCTTCATTCACTTGGGCAGCAAACGACCACATCTCCATGATGTCCCCCAGGAAAACAGCATCGTCGCCCTCGTGCCGCGGCTTCACTAGTTCGAGATACTCCCGTAGAATACCAAGGTTCGTAGATCGATCGCCATCGCCGGAGATAATTTTGTCAAGGAGCCTTTTGAAGGATTGAAGACCTAATCAACGATATTTAGCTTCATGAAAGCCCAGCATTGATATGTACTTTGTAGAATCGGCCTTCAGCTCACCATGTCTTGCTCGGCGCATGTCTTGGTCGAAGGCGAGTAGGCGCTGGAGCTGCTCCCCAGTGTTTACATCCTCGCCAGTGGGAACATCGTGTGTGATTTTCTGGCGCTTCCGGAAAGCGGCAGCTCCGTCAGCGTCCACGGATGTTCGTTTCCCCATCTTGAATGGCCCTCTGCGGATTCGTCCAACGTCAACTGCAGAGTATCTCCATTTGCTAGAAGTCTCAGATATTTTGGGATACTGCCAGGATTTACCGCCTCGCTTTCTTCCAGGATAGGCAAGCCTAGCAAGCTTATCTCATGCTTCTAACGATATCGGCTACACTGCGGATATACTCGTCCAGAACAGACGCATCTCCACACACAGCCCTGCTACACACATTGGCACTTCGCACTCGGGCACTACAATCTCACCCATGCACTGGCACTCCAACAGCGTCTCCACCCGCGAGCTATAAAAAACCAGAGAGAACAGGGCACTTACAGGGCACTTACACTGATAGCATAGGTGCGCTTCCTCCGGAAAGTGTGGAAGAAACTGAGACATGCATGATGGCTTCGCTCGTATCCTCAGTTTCTGTTGGCGAACATGCTGTCTCATGGGCTGCTCAGACCTGCCTACGCCACTGGCCGCAGCAGAATCGTACTACATACTAACACCAATACAACCCATCTCTTCTATTGGGTGTCAGGTGGTTTCTCGCCCGGGTCTTGAGTCAAGTCTTGAAGCCGTCCACACCATATTTTCTGTGCCTGGGATTTTTCATGTCATCATGACCGACCGGATCATCACCACGCGATGCTAAAGATAGGCACTCTCTGAGAATATGGAGGGTCTCTCATTTTAGGAATGAAGACAACAATGTGTCAGCTCTGGAGCCATTCATTCCTGTAACAGTCAACCGTCATTGATCTCCTCGGATGGCGAGAAGAAGAAATTAAATGAGGACCTAGAAGGGCGAAGAGCGCGCGCCAACTGTGCTGAAGGGGCCCAAAGAAGCAAAATATCAATCCCAACATGGGGAAGTTTGCATCCGAGGCGCCGAACCAAGTTTCGCAACCGGCCTGGGCACGTTTCTGTTTTCACAACACGCAGTATTTGACCTATTCTTCTGTTTCCCCTTTGCTGCCATGCCGCCACCGCCGAAACAGAGCAGCGTTGTCTGTCAGGGCTGTATCTCTGTCGCCAGGGGTGCCCGGCCAAGCAGGGTTGTGGTGGGCCAATGCCAGCAGCCCACGAGACCCCTCCTCGGGGCTTCAGTAGCAGAGCCACGATAGCATCAGTTGCCAGGTGTGGCGGATGCAAGACATCGACTCGCTGTGCCAGCCCGGCCGTCTGACGCCGTTTGTGGATCCTGCAATCTTGTGGGTAGCGCCAGCCATCCGAATCCAGCGTTCTACGCGCCGACTGGCCGGTCTCATTTGTGGCCCAGCCTATCACCGTCCCGGGCCTGCAGGCTCACCATCAGAGCTACTCAGCCGCCACTTATTGGGTCATCCAGCTTGTGAAGGTGTTCTTGGTAGCTGTAAACCGGCAAACAATGGCTCCAGCTCCCTGGTCAAGTGAGCCTGCGCTATTGCAGATGCGAAGTAGTATTTACGAGCACGCCCGGCCCTCCTCTTTTACTTTCTATCTTGGGCGCCGGATCTACTTTTTTTTTTATGTCATCGACTCGCTGGACGGTCTTTCATTCGCTTTTCTGTCGTACTTAAAGTTATATGCCGGCCCAGTCGGCATGACGCTGCTTTTTTCTCCCCATTATGAAAGCTTCGACGGGTGTTTTTGGTGAAGCATATGCGTCATGCTTCTCTTGCCTCACGTGTTGGGAACCGTTGGCTTTTCGTATCGATGAGAGATCTCAGTCTCGTATGTCCCCCCCCCTTTTTTTTTTTTCTCCGAGCCTTCTTGATTGGCCTCTCTTACTATTATAAATATAGCTGCTGAGCAGTTTGCAAGGTTTCATTGACTGATGAAGCCCCAGGCGATAACCAACGTGCATTTCCCATTATCAACGACCAACCAACATCTCACCCGCCCCCAATGGCAGTACCGGAGGCTGAGCCTCCTCGACCAAGCTGGAAGTACAAAATGCAAAAGACTTTTAAACCAAATCAAACAGGCTTCTCAACAAAAGGCAGAGCGCAAACAGACGGCTCACGGCCTCAGTTACAGATTTCAGCGCCGTTCGAATTTCGACATGTTGAATCTGGCTCATTCCAATTCCCATTCCCCCCTCATCGGCCATCTCGTCCCTGGGAGAGTCCTGTGACACCGGATACGCCTGAAACTCCCTTTGAACCGCTCCAGTTGAACATTTCAAGCTCAGGAAAAGAGTTGTCTCCAATAGTTCCGGATTTTTCCTTTCCTACTGAGATGACGCCGCCATCTTTAGTTCATATTCCAGGCAGGCCCTACGGTGAACGCTCGCCATCTCAGAAGAGAAGTCATTCATCTACGTCATTTCATATTCCTCGAAAAAATATTGCTGCCGGTTCATTGTCAAGCAGCCCAGAGGTATCACCATTAAACCTCGCTTCCGACAAACAGCCCCGTGCCCGGGATTATACGCCATCTGATATGGAGGCCATCAAAGAGCGCGTGGCGTGCGCCATGAATGAAGTGGAGGAGCTGCAGAAAAAAATCAACGACATTATTGAGCGCCAAAGCCTCTACACTGCCAGCAGACCATCGACAGCTCACTCGATGGCTCGTACGGTGCCTGGTAAGCTTACAAATGGACCCCTTCATGGTAACCTTCCCTAGCTTACCCATGCAGATGCAGCTGAGGTTCCGATAATTCCTGCTCTACCGCCAGCAGCGCCGTCATTTGCTGAGCGCCTAAACACAGAAGTGTCGCTGCCCAACATCGGACCCATTACAGCATCCGTCCACATCAGCCAGCTAGAAGCGTATGAGGAAACGCTTGACAATATCAGGCAGTTGTCGCAAATAATGCCGATGCAAGAAGAGCGGACACCCCCACCGCCTCCACCGCCTCTACCTCTTGTCCTACGGCCACCGCTGCGGAAGAAGAAGTCATTTTCGCGGGTTTCTACCTGGCTGTTTCAAGAACCAGGACGCGCCAGGAACCAGAGCATGGACTCTATTACGAACGCTCCACGCCCTATTAAAGGAAGCGAAGGGTTTTATCAGTGTGTAACGCCTCCCAGAAGACCGGATAGGCGAAGCATCGAGACATTTGATACAATATCTACCTGGTCGACGAATGACGGAGACCGAACTGTACCGACGGCCTGGTCGCCGCGGAGCACTCCAACAAGGAAGGAGGAGGATAATTTACTGGAAAGAAGCGCCACATTTGGGAAAAGCAGCATCCGAGGGTCGGCTGCGGTGAATGTTGGCGTTGCAATATGACAGCGGATCTCGTACATACATGCGCGCGACGACGTTACTAATGTATATACATGTTACCACCATGCTACTCATGTGCTGGGCCACATATTATAGACCACGAGGAATGATTGGAGGGCAACAAATGAGGGCAAGCTTGGTATAGGCTGGACTGGGGTTTTTCGGGGTATAATAGAACGGGATGGGTGTAATGCGCCTATCAATGATACCATTGGAAGTGAAAACTGACGGATGCCGCTGAGCGACATCCTTGCTTATTTTTTTAGGCGTTTAGGAGAAACGATTATATATAAAGGAGCTGTTACTACTGTTATATACTGGTACTAAATTGAGTGTACATACCGAATTGAGCATGACTTACTAGAGGACAGTGAGATATTACTTGGTATTGAGCCAGAATGTTATGAGATAGCTTTCTATTTATGGAGCATTGAAAGTGCTGCTATTTTGCAGTGCCTACTTGCTATCCCGTACTTTGGAGACGCTTTGTGCAATTCTACAAGCAGCTTACGCCCACCAAATTAGAGTGCTCGGTAGTGCCTTAGGCTCTGATGCGCTGCATGGGCTCCTGTCTCACGAATGCCTGAGTTGAACAGATGCTTTTGTTCACTCTTCTTTCAAGAACACAACACCAGAGATGCTCGAAGCGCCTCCAGCAGGAGCATGTACCTGACTAATTTGAACATAGGCCGTGCCTAGTACAGTAAGGTACCTAGCCATTAGCCGCGGCGCTTTACATAAGCCACGCGTATGCGCCACCGAAGCTTGGCTATTGGAGCTCAGTGAGTTCCAGCAATATCTGGGCCAGCAAGAAAAGCTTCAGTGACACGAGGAAACGATGATGAGCGGATTTTGAGCATTATCCGAGTCCCGTCTTATTCCATTCTTTTTCTTATTCTGTAGTTGCGTTCTTGCTTCCTCTCTTTCTTCGTTCCCTTCTCTTTTTCGTGTCTGAGTGAGCGAATCTGGCGAATCGAGCCTTTCCCCTTCTTGGGACACGCCCCCTCGCTGGGCTCCTCTTGACCAAGTCAAGATACGATTTGGCGTATTGCCACAATTAACCCTTTTAATTACATATCATCGCTGCGTTGCAGTAGAGCAATTCGCAGCCATGTCGATCTCCAAGATATTAGCCTCCATTAGAGGCGTCGTGTCGCGAGACACGTACAAATACAGTGCTATCCCAGAGCCGTTGGGTCGACGGCCATCAAGTCGACGACAGCGCAGTAGCGACTCTGCCTCTTTAGCAGCATCGTCACAGGGCCGGGAGAAATTAATCAAGATGTCACTTGGTGGAATGGCCCTTTTCGCCATATTATTGACCACGGTCTCACTTGGGTATGTAAAGTCGCAGGTTGGAGAAAGAAGAAGCGAAGAAGCGCTAACATGATGTGATTGAAAGGCGATTCAACTCAGGCTCAGCTTGCGAATTAGTTGGAAACTGTACGACAGATGTGTCGCACATTTGGGGCCAGTACTCGCCAGTGTTCTCGGTCCCGTCAATCATTGACGCTTCAGTTCCGCAAGGGTGTAATGTGACTTTTGCACAGATCTTATCGCGGCATGGAGCGCGAGCACCGACCCAGAAGAAGTCGGATGTTTACAAAGCCATGATCCAACGCATCCAGAGCTCTGTGAAGGAGTACGGAAAAGGATACGAATTCCTAAAAGACTACGAGTACAATCTTGGCGCTGACGATCTTACGCCATTTGGAGAACAGCAGCTGGTTGACTCGGGAAGCGCCTTTTACCAGCGCTACCAAGACCTGGCGTCTGAATTTGATCCGTTTGTTAGAACGCCAGGATCTGATCGAGTGATTGTATCGGCCCAGCGGTTTATTGAGGGGTATTATAAGACCCAGGGTCGCGATGCTTCAAGCCCAATGAAGAGCATCCTTGTGCTCCCCGAAGTCTATGGGTTCAACAACACTCTAAATCATGGGGCCTGTCAAGCTTTTGAAGATGGTCCGGTATCCGAGATTCGTGAGCAGAATCAGAAAACTTGGCTAGGTATCTTTGGCCCCGCGATCAATCAGAGACTCAACAGTAGACTGCCGGGCGCAAACCTGACTCTCACCGAGACCATCTACATGATGGATCTGTGCCCTTTCAACACGGTAGCAACCACCACTGCTGCGCTATCCGACTTTTGCAGGCTCTTCTCGATGGATGAGTGGGCGAGCTACGACTACTTCCAATCATTGGATAAATGGTACGGTTATGGTCGAGGCAATCCATTGGGCCCTTCCCAGGGCGTCGGATTTGGCAACGAACTGATTGCACGGCTCACTGGCACGCCTGTGGACGACCATACGACAACAAATTCGACGCTCGACTCTTCTCCCGACACGTTCCCTCTGAACAGGACGCTGTATGCAGATTTTTCCCACGACAACACGATGTCTTCAGTCTTTGCTGCGCTGGGACTGTTCAACTCGACAATGGACCTACCGCTCAAGTACAAAGTATCACCTCGACGCCTTCACGGCTTTTCAGCTGCTTGGGCAGTCCCGTTCGCCGGCCGCTTGTATGTAGAGAAGATGCAGTGCGGTGACTCAAGCGAGGAGCTGGTGCGAGTGATCCTCAACGATCGAGTGGTTCCTCTGCGGACGTGCAATTCTGATAGGCTGGGGCGGTGTAAGCTGAGAGGCTTTGTTGATAGCCTCAAGTTTATAAGGAGCGGGGGGCTGTGGGATCAATGCCCCCTTGACGGCTGATGTGTGCATATTTGAGATGCTCACCTTTTAGAGCCTTTTCTTCTTCTTCTTTCTATTGGGTTGCCTTTGGTTTTTTCTGATTATTTCCCGCGTTTTCTGTCGTGGATTTATTTGAATTTCGGCGTGCGTTTATACCACATCGGCAGATGATTATGAGCGATTTCCACCTGTTAGAGAGTCATTTTCAAGGAATAAAACTCTGCATACTAGAGGATATACATTAGTAGTAGTGCTCTCTATAAAAGAGATAGTATAAGATATAGTACGAATATTCTCGCGTGGCTAATCCCTTCTGTGTGCACTGCTTCTCGCAGCCCATCAAGCGTGAGTGAGCCGCTGGCCTAAAAATAGCACCTGAGCTCGTGCCAATCGCAGCCGTTTCTTGTTTCGCACCATCTCCTGAAGGCGTATAGAACGATGGGCTCTGAGGTTTTGGGAACGAGCAGAGACAATTATAGCGATGATGACAGAGCGTTAGTCCGCTAAGGAGCAGGGGCTCCCCTGGGCATTTTAGGCGCAGGTACCGAGCACTGATGCTCTACAGGGTTCCATTCGTAGCCCCGACACGGCCGGGCGGATTTTCTCTCGAGCACTAAGCGGCCTAAAGCGGTAGCTCGACGTCAGCACCTCTCCAAGTCCCAAGCTGCTCGGTTCAGATCCAAAAGCATTCGGCAGCCTCTTTGCGCACGGCGTTGGAAAACAACTGCTACCAGATAGATGGTTGGGATTTTGCAGATTCGCATTCCTTGTGTCTACTGAGTTGATCTTTTCGCACTGCGTCTGTTCCCCGCGCCATCCCCCTTGACAAGGAGCGAAGCCCAGAGCCAGCAGACCATGGTTTCGACCGCAGGAGGCATCGTCATCGCGATTGTGGTGATCCTAGTGGCGGCAGCCATTGGATGGGTTGTGTTCTCGCAACTGCGAGCGCGGAGACTAGGAGTGAGTTTTTTTCTTCTTCTTCTTCTACTGTTTTTCTTGACTCTCTCTGCTGCTTTGCTTTTTCCCCAGTTGGAGATGCAGGCGATGTTCCGAGACGGCGCATGGCAGTCTTTCGACAGCATCGCAAAGCCTCCTCGGGAGCCACGGCAGAGCCACGGCAACGCAACGACGGAATGACGTTGGCTAACGATGGCAATCCATAGCTCCCGCCTCCCAGCTTATCGTCATATCTACCGTGGCATAAATCAGACACCCCGTACGGCCCCCCGAAGCCGGCTCGCGGCGGCGTCGTCGGCTGGTTCAACGACATCGTGCGCAAGTTCAAGCATCGCAACGACCGGTCAGCAACCGGAGCCTACGAGCAATCCGGCCCTCGTGGAAACCGCGGCTTTGGGCCTCTCGACCCGGACGATGCGTGGGACGCGAGGGTTGGGAACGAGGCGGATGGATACGGCTACTACGAGCAGGAGCTGGGAGGACACACCGAGTATACCGGCGCGTCCTACGACAGCGGTCGACTCGGCTCAGTGCCCGCCGCACATGTGGGCTACAACGAAGATGTGGAGCGAGGCAGACGACCCAGCCGAGACGCGGGAGCTGCAACGGCTGCCACTGCGTCGCAGAGGAACCCTTTCGATGACGATGCGCAGCCAAGCCTCAGGGGCGTCAGTCCTCGGCCCATGGATGCGTCGGGCGGAGCAGCGCACAAGACGGGCGAACGGCCAGGAAGCTCTGGTAGTAGCTTTGCCGAGCGGAGGTCGATATTCAGAGAAGACGTCTAAGTAATGCGATGGATGGAGTGATGCGAGTTGGGCACGATGAGGGAGCCGAAAGGGGGGGTGAGGAAGGGACGAGAAAAGAAGACGAGAAAAAAAAGGCTGCATTTCTGAACCCGCACAACTGTTTATGAAAAAACTTGATTTATCTGGCAAAGGATACGGTACGCCGGTGGCTTTTTTCCCCCTTTTTGCTTTTTAATGTCATTTTATGCCTGCCTTCTTTTTTTACGTGGAAAAAAAAGGAAGCTTTGCATCACGACGATATACATACACTCATGTAGCTATTAGGTACTAGGTAGGTAGGTAAGGTAGGAAGGCTTTGTTGTTTCATTGCGGGATCGGAGGACGGAACGAATACGTTTTTTGCTCTCTTCTTGAGCGGCCTGGCTTAGTCACGGAGTTTTTATTTTTCTTTACGAATAGTAACTGATATGATCTTGACGATGGCACGTAGAATTCATGACGACTTTGTGTGGAATTTGCATGCTGGTACCTAGCTTGTAGACGGACACCGCTTACTGTAGCCAGAGCTCAGCCAAGAAAAAGCCCCACGCTCCACGTATTTTGCCCCTCCAGTTCCACAGCGCAGCGGTCTTAGAGGGGCCCCTCCTTAACTGGCCACTTTCGCTCATAAACTGGAGAGACGTACACAGATGCTCTCTCATCTCACTCTCAGTGCTTGGTTGTGATTTCATCAATCTCCCCTGATTTATTCGCGGCCAATTCAAAAACATTGGGAAAGAGGGAGAATTGTATTACGAGACACGGGATACGAGCAAGAGAGAGCAATCAGACACTGTAATGGCGGACATTAACCTTCAGGCCGTTCATGATGAACTGGTCCTCGTTGCCTATGAGGCTGGACGCATGATTCTATCTGCCAACCCAGCAGATATAGGCACAGGAACAAAGCTCAACTGTACGTTGGAGAAGCATGATTCTTATCTTTGCCACTGACTAGTTCTGATTGCACTTTGTCATTTTCTTTGCCTTTCACTTCTGTACAAATTCGAATATAATATACCTATCCATACATCTCACCTCATCTCTTCTTTGGGTCAATGAGCTGACGCGCCTGTCATATCGAATCATGCAGCCGTGGATATCGTCACAGAAGTCGACCAGGCTGTTGAGAAAATGGTCTCGTCGCGCCTCTCAACGGCGTACCCGGAGTTTTCTTTCATGGGCGAGGAGACGTACAAGCCTGGGACCAAGCTTGGCCCTGAGCCGACATTTGTCGTCGATCCTATCGATGGTGAGAGTTTTTCACTTTTGCTTTGCTTTACCTCACTTACCTTACAAATAACAATCCATGCTCAAACTATCTCCTAGGAACCACAAACTTCATCCATTCCTTCCCCAACGCCTGCATCTCCCTCGGCGTCGCCATCAACCGCGAGCCCGTCATCGGCGTCATCTACAACCCCTACCAAGACCTCCTCTTCACAGCCATAAAGTCCCACGGCGCCTACATGACCCGCATCAAGGGCTCAACTCCCCAAAAGTTGCCCCTCGCCATGAACCCCCGCCCTCTCGAGGGTCTCGCCAACGCCCTCGTCGCCATTGAATGGGGCTCCCACCGTGACGGGCCAAACTACGAGCTCAAGACGGAGGTGTTCAAGAAACTCGCCGCCACAAAGGAAACCGGGGGTGCAATGGTCCACTCGCTCAGGTCGCTGGGCTCTGCGGCGCTGAACATTGCTGCTGTGGCGGCTGGCCAGATGGATGCCTACTGGGAGGGCGGATGCTGGGCGTGGGATGTCTGCGCGGGATGGTGCATTCTCAAGGAGGCTGGGGGCATTATGGCGGGAGGAAACCCCGGGCAGTGGGATCCTGCGGTGGATGAGAGAAAGTATCTTGCTGTGAGGGGGGCGCCGAGCGGGCAGAAGGAGCTTGTGGAAGAGTTCTGGGGGGTTATTGGCGATGGAGCAATGGACTACTCTGTGTAGAGAATCTGACACATAAAAGTTAAATGTATTCAGGAGATTGAGCACTGGGATGGAGACGAATGACAAAACTAGACAGATATGAGATAAAAAAGATTGTTTATAGATTATGATACTGTTTGCTCCAATCTTTGGAAGTTTTCATATTTTCTCATTACATTATAAGTTTCTACATCAGAAACCTTTTTAATACCTCTAAACACTCGTATATCATGCTTGCTTCGAAACTAATGCAGTCGTTTTTTTCTTCTTCTAAAACTTTTAGTATTCATCCGCCTCTTATCATCACTTCTCCTTCTGTTTAAAAAAAAAAAAAAAAAAAAAAAAAAAAACCATCCATCACACAACTCCCCCTTTCACTGCGCAAACTTGCTCATAGCTCTCAGCTTCGGGCCATAAAACCACAAGAAGATGGGGCTCGGCCACCCAATGCCAATAGCAACAGCGGCAAGCACCGTCCCGCCAATGCCATACCCGAGCCTGTTGTACATGGTCGGCGCAAACAGCGGGAACCCAAAGCCGGCCAGGCTGCGCAGCACCGTCACGGCGCTCACGGCGCTGGCTGCGTATCGGGTGTACGAGTCGACCATGTATCCCTGGATGCACTGGAAGCCGATGATGATGCTGGCGCCGAACACCACGGCGCCAATGTTGGGCCCGATCCAGTGCGTGTGCGCCTCTGCGGTCCATGAGTAGATGAGGATGCCGATGGGGAGGAAGATGGCGCCCGGGATGAGCATGGGGACGCGGAACTCCGGACGGCCGGGGCCGCCGTCGGGGACGTAGCGTCTCTTCAAGGCGGCGTAGATGCGGTCTTGCAGCGGTGCGCAGATCTGAGCGCCCAGGAAGAAGCCGAGCCCGAGGGAGATGTAGTTGAGGCCGGCGATGCCTGGGCTTTCGTGGTACTCGGTGGCCCACAGGGAGGCGAACGTGGAGAGAATCAGGTACGTCACGCCGTAGAGAAACATCATGTACAAGGACATGACCTGCACAATGGGCTGCGTAGCCAGAAGGCGGAACGGCCGTGTAAGTGCAATCGTCAAGGTCTGGAAGACGGTACGATCCGGGTTGTCGTACTCGGTGACGAGATTGGTGTTGCCAGTCTCCTTGATCAGCGCCATCTTCTTGCGCTGCAGCAGCACCGGCGCATACGTCTCCTGCAGGAAGAAGACGCCCGCGGCCTGGATCACGCCGCAGGCAATCGTCGTGCTGTAAAAGACCCATCGCCACGTCGTCCGGTCGGTGACCCAGCCGCCGGCAATGGGCCCCAGCGCCGGCCCCAGCAGCGGCATCAGGGAGTAGATGCTCATGGCTTTCCCCCTCTGCTCGGCGTTGAACAGGTCGCCCAGCACGCCGCCGCCGATGGCGAGGGGCGCCGACCCTCCGATGCCCGCGAGGAAGCGGAAGACGAACATCTGGGCTTCGGTCCTGGCGAGGCCGCAGCCGAGGTTGAAGAGGAGGAACCACAGGTTGGAGACCTGCAGGATGATGGTGCGGCCGTACAGCTCGGAGAGCGGACCCCACATCAGGGGGCCGAGGGCGTAGGCGGCGACGAAGATGGACAGCACGAGGGCGCTTTCGATTTCTTCCGTGATGTGCAGGTCTTTGCTGATCTGGGGGAGGCCGGGGGCAACCATGGATGAGGCTACGGGCGAGATGAGGGTGAAGCAAGATACTAAGCATGGCCGGCGTTAGTTTCTTCTCTGCTTTTCTTTTTTTATTCCCATATTGTCAACTGTTAGGAGAAGGACAACTTACCGCAAAAGACAGCGGCCCATTTCCTCTTGAGGAGCCAGTTCTTTGGGTTCTCAGGGTCATCGGGGCCGGTCCATTTGACCAGATTCGGGTCGTCGACTCTGACCGTGGGCGACTTCTCAATAACATCGTCTCCCAGCTCCAGATCCCTCTGGTTTGAGATGCCATCTCGCACCTCAGACACCGTCCGCGATATAGACACGCCTGGAGCACTTCTCTCCGAAGCGGTGATTGTCGACGAGTTATCAGAGTCGGAGGGCGCTACCGAGTATTCGTGCTTCTCGTGGTCCAAGCTGGATGGCATTTGACGGCCACCTTCTTCTTCTTTGCTCTGGCGAGGAGGTGCCGAGGCTATGTCCTCTGTGGATTTGCGTTCTGGAGTAGTTCCCGACATCATCATAGACTTCATCCAAATGTCCGACTTTATAAGCAGTGTGAGTTGGAACAGTGACTTTTCATGTTATTGGGCCACTAAGATGCTTCTTTTTTAAAAAAGAACAATAAAAGCCGTTGTGATAATTTATTATCCAACCATGGAAAAAGAAGTACAGCTCAATTCGCCCTTCCCACCGCAACGCAAAGCTCGGGTCGCAAATGTGAAGCAATACTGGTATACTGTTCAAGTATACCAAACAGAAAAAAGAAGGCCCCCCCAAAAAAGAGCACGCGACACCAAAGTATTGATCCAATCCGCGAAAGAGCTCGATGATGTTCTTTTGTAAGTCAAATGACCGGGCGTAGGGCCTCCATCCAAATAAATAAATAAAAAAAAAGGACCAAGATCGCAGGCAACCAAAGAAGAAGAAGGGAATTCAGCCTCAACACAACACAACACAACAGGGCACGGGATACGGAAATTTCTATTACATGCTGGAATCCACATCTCCTTCTCCTAAAGGCCTGCCGACACTGACCGCACGGCAGCTTCATCCGATCGAACTGGAGATCGGGATGCCGCCTATTTTCAACCATCGCCGATACGGCACCGAAGATAAACGCCGGACGGCGAATCACCCATAAAAAAAAAAAAAATGCCAAGAAGAGCAAACTTGCCCATTTGCCTATTTGGTAGTCTCGGCCGACCTCCGTAGTTAAAAAAGAGGCACCCGGGTTTAAAGGGGACCGCAACGGCTTTGTTGGGTCTTTTGCGCAGAAATGCCCACGGAAACTCCGTTGCTGCGCACGTCGCTTATCAATCCGCATCGGTGCGCTGCCGTACATACTACGTATGTAGTACATTCTATGTATGGTACCTGGTAGGTAATCATACACTTCATGTCTGGGTTGCGCAGATACGAGTGGTACGAAGAAGGATAAGAAGACGAAGCAGAGAGCGACTTCGCATCCAAGTGATGGGGGCGGAGCAACATAAAGGAAAATAAGCATCGCAAGCATCACCGTCGTCATGACCTCCCATCTCCACGCGTGGTTGGCCTGCACAAACTTAAAATACACGACCAAAAGCTACCGGATTTAGTGAGCTGCCTCTCCGTTAGCTGCGCGTTTCCATGGTCATGGCCGTCATCTTGTTCTCTTGTTCCAGCCTTGACTCGATAAAGGGGGCATTTGTAACATCTTGCAGTTTGACTTCCAACGGCCGACAACGGATGGCCAAACTGTTTGACTCACTGATTCGTGATAACTGTGAGATTCGAAAACTACAGGGATACAACGAGAGTCACCAACCAACACGTCATTCTTCACTAGCAAGTCATGGATACGAAGCAGCATTGGTACCCTTGCTCGAGATAATCTGGCGTCGCAGAAAAAAAAAAAAAGAAAGAAACAGCCAAAAACACGTAATGAAACGAGAAAGTGCAGCTTTAATATTAGCTGCTATGGATTGACTAGTTATCTCAGTCAAAAGCCCACTCTGTCGGCGGGAAAATGTGCCCATGCAATCGATAAATACCCGATACCCGGAACAAACTGGAATATTTCCCCAATATTAAACCCATACATTGTTGGTTTTGGGCAGACCGGAGCCAAATGCAGATAAGGACAACTTGTTTGGATGGCCGGTCTTATGAATAATGCTTATACACTCAAGCCAAGTGTTGTCCAACACCTCTGGCCTGAGAAAATGATAACGAGTTGATAATCTGTCTACTCTTGACAGTGTATTCACTCGTCCTTGGTATCAACCTTCTTGGCAGCCGGTGCCGCAGCGGCGTCGTCCTCACGGGGTCTCTTCAGGTTAGTTGCGGCAGCATCCACGGGTTTCCTAGCCAGCATGTTAGTTTGGCGAAGTTCAAAAGTCCTGATAGTGGTTGAGAATGCTCACTCTTGTTTGTTTGAGTCGCGGTCGCGACGTCCACCATCACGGCCGCCCCGACCTCGTCCACCACGGCCACGGCCACGACCTCCACGACCGCCTCGGAAGCCGCTCTTCTGGTCGTTGTCGCGTCGCTTCTTCCAATCATCTTGATCACCAGAGCGAGTGTTCTTCTTGCCGAAATCACGGCCCTCGTAAAACTTTTTCTGTGTCGTCGCGCTGGGTACCAGCTTTCCTTGCTTGATGAGATCACTCTTCTCCTCGCAGTAGTCGTGCTTAGACATAATCTTAAGGTCGTGGTCCTTCCACTTAGGGGCAGGATCCAAGGCAATGAACTTCTTGGCCGTCTCCTCATCAACAAAGGTGACAAAGACGGAGCCCTTGAAGAGATTTTCGTTGGTGCGGCGAAGCTTCAGGCCATTGACTTCACCGAATTGGGTAAAGAAGCTCTCGAGCTCAAACTGGGTATCGGGCTGCTCGTCTCCAAATCCCTTGACGTAGACGGTGGCAGCCTCGGCCTTGGCCTTGGAGGCGGGGACGGGCTTGTATGGAACCTTGCGCTTGACCACCTCCTTGCCTTCCTCTCCAGAGACCTCGAGGAATTTGCTCTCCTTGAGGGCGGCAACGACGGCACTGTAAGGCTGGAAGACCCGCATACGCTTGAACGAGTGAATCTTTTCGATCGGCATGGGCTTGTTCTCTGCGCCTCCGCAAGACTCCCACATGAACTTGTCTTGAGGGAAGTTCCAGTCTCCAAAGTAAAACTCAACCTGTTTTTGCGCCCTCCAATTAGTAAGAGTGGCCTTCTGCTAGCTTTGGGTTATATGGGCTTTCATTACCTGTTTTCTGATCTCCTCGGGATCATCAGTCACCTTGCGAGCAGAGGCATCGAACTTGCGATTGTTTTGTAGGTTTTCACGGTCAATTTTGGCCGTCGTCTTCAGAATGTTGGCGCCATCTTTCTTCTCAGTCTCGGCCACGTCGGCCACCTCAGCCACCTCAGGCTGCTCAACCGCAACTTGTTCCTCGACAGGAGCAACAGCCTCGGTAGGGTTCTGTACGGCCTCTGATTCGCTCATGATGTATATATGAGGATGAAATATGGAAGAAGGGAAAGAGTTTGAAACGTGAAAAGGGCGTGCGATCGAGGGAGGAATAATGCGATGTGCTGGTAAACCTGTTGGAATAAAAAAAAGTGAGTAACTCTGGCTACTCGCTGGAGAGATGACAAGCAAGAAGCAATAGAAGATTGCTTGCGGATAACGGGCTGCACTGCCGCTAAATATCAATCGTTGACTCACCTTTGGGCAAAAATGCACGCGTCACCTAAATTAAATAAAAAGAGAGAGACTGCGGTGGCTGGTGTCCCAGAGGTTGATAAATAGAGGTTGGAGATGGAGCAGCGATTCCGTCGCGACGAAAAAAAAAGTTATTTGGGGCGCAAAAATTATGCGAGATCTGCTGTGCCCCACTAAAAAGGCGGCAACCCCACCATCTGCCCATCCATCCACTAAGAGGTACCTGCTGGCGACTCGGAACGAGCCGCTATCTGATATGTGTTGTATGCGAAAATCACCCAGCTGGGATATATGGAGGCTTGTGCTTAAAAGTACACTTGAGGTACTCGTTGGAGTGCTTACTGCTAAGTATGGGTAAGAGCACTCGCAATTTTTGGACTTACAGGCAGGCGCGGACAAGACTCACATGCAATCTAGAGAGGAACGTATATTGAGTCAATGGAAAGCAGCCTAAACCACAGGCAGGTGCATACCTATTTTGTCAATCTTTATTTGGAGGCATGCATTCATGGATCGTAATACGGCTTCGTAATTTCCAAATTGAAATAAAAACATTCAAATCCGAAACCTAAAGAGTAATCGCTTAGGTAGTACCTGCTAGGTGTTCATACCGAAGTGATACTAATCCTGGCTAAAGAGTCACTGTCCGTCATCTGCTAGGCCGCTTTGGCCACCCACCTCTCAGCCTACTAGGCAATTGGAGCTCCAATGTTGTCTTCATTTTTCTTCTCCTTTCAAGTTGTCTTCATCAAAGAAAGCTCTGTGAGCTGCTGTGAGTGCCGGCAAGAGAAAAAGAGGGGAGGAAAATATCATGTACATTTAGCTCCGTCTATGGTAGTGTAGTAGCTTCCACATGCTAGACGGTGCATTTTAGTGGCGTGGTTCTTTTTAAGAGGGCCAGGCTGCTAGGTACTTTGGCATTGACGTAAGATCTACGCCAACGAATGTAGCGCTGCATCCAGTGATTTTGTCCTATCACGCGATAAATTGTATTTGATAGTTGCATTTGTGAAAATTGCACTCTCTTGTGCTGGCCAATTCGCTTCCACAGCCCGCAAGAAATGAAGATTTTACGGCAGCATAAGCTGAGCACGTCTTATTTCGAAGCTGATGTCGTTGCTTTTTTACTAGCAATTTGGCTAGTTTGAGCTGTTGTGAGCTGTTGTGAGCTGTTGTGGGCTGAGCCTCAACAAATAACGCCGCCATGAGATATCCCGCCAAACTACCGCGGCCGTTGATATCTCTCAACACACGCCTCCGAGCCACAGGTCGTCCACCGGCATGTTTTGCTCAACTAGACCGCAGCTTCTTCACACAATCAAAACGTCAGTTGAAACGCCAGCAACGCACAAGCATACCTGCTGTCGTACTCTCTTTGGGACTCTTCGTTTGGTGGCTCTACCCATCAGAAGAGTTTGCTCGCTTGTCCGAGACTCAACAGGCTAATAGAGACAAACAAGGGAGACGAGACAGCGGTGATGATGAGTCCAGTCAACTTGTCACTGAGAAATCTGACGAGGGCGCATGGGCCTATTTTGCCCGGCGGTTCGAGTTTCTATCTGCCACAGCTGAGCTTGAATGGGCCAATTTGTCAGACAGGTTGGTTGACTATATTCTTCCCGAATGGTCCAAACATATACCCATCTACGTAAGGAAGCTCCAAAAGGAGCTGTCAGTCTCTCCGGGATCACTGGCAGATGAGATATGGCAAGAGGCTCATGACCCTTTGGTAAACCGCGAGATTCGATATTCCGCTAATGTTCGCGTCTCGTCGGAGTTATGTGATGAAGAGAAAGAGTTCCTTCTGAGACGGAAAATTGTTACCCGAGCAGCTTTAGCAAGCTATCTGGGGCTCAAAGAAAAGGACATCAACCCTGACGACGTGCCGACCATTGCTATGTGCGGATCGGGAGGGGGCTTGCGAGCATTAATAGCAGGGAGCGGGTCCATGTTTGCGACAGACGAGGACGGACTATTTGACTGTGTCACTTATACCGCTGGTGTTAGTGGTTCGTGTTGGCTCCAGCTGCTCTACCTCTCCTCATTCGCGAAAGGAAGCGTTGGCTCTCTAATACAACACTTGAAAGCAAGAGCATCTGTTCACATAGCATATCCACCGGTTGCCTTTCAATCTCTGACGTCTCTACCGACAAGCAAATATCTGCTGAGTGGACTGGTGGAGAAATTGAAAGGAGACACCAACGCCGACTTTGGGCTTGTCGATATATATGGACTCCTACTAGGCGCTAGATATCTGGTTCCAAGGGGTGAACTGGGCGTCGATGCTAGAGATTTCAAGTTGTCGAATCAACGTTTGTATTTACGACAAGGGCAACGCCCATTGCCCATATACACAGCTGTGCGGCACGAAATTCCGGCTGAAGAGGTAAAAGCCTCTCGAGACCGCGGTGCTCCAATACCTACAGTGGAGGAGATGAAGAAAGAGCCTTATTTCCAGTGGTTTGAGATCACTCCCTATGAGTTTTTCTGCGAGGAATTTTCAGCTGGGATACCAACGTGGGCCCTTGGCAGGCGCTTTTTTGATGGCAAAGATGTGCCACCCGAGAATCGATTCCATCTACCTGAGATCAGAACGCCTCTTCTGATGGGTATTTTTGGAAGCGCATTTTGTGCAACTCTCAGCCACTACTATCGCGAGATTAGACCTCTTCTTAGAACAATCACTGGTTTCCAGACGATAGATCAGCTGGTGTCAGTACGGGACGACGATTTGAGCAAAGTGCATCCTATAGATCCCGCCATTATCCCCAATTTTGCATATCAAATGTACGGAAAGCTGCCTAAGTCGACGCCAGCGAGTATCTTAGATGGAGAGTATATCCAGCTTATGGATGCGGGGATGTCGAATAACTTGCCTATATATCCATTGCTACGGCCGGGTCGCAATGTCGACATCTTAGTCGCGTTTGACGCCTCCGCTGACATCAAAACAGACAATTGGCTTTCTGTAGCGGATGGTTACGCACGACAGCGAGGTATTAAGGGATGGCCAGTGGGGATTGGCTGGCCAAAGCCAGAAGAGACACCGGAGCAGGCAAGAAAGGAATTGACCGAAGCCCAGGCTGCAACAGCCGCCGAAGCAGAACAGAAAGTGGAAGAAGCCCAAGCTAAACAGAAGGATCTCCGCGAGGCCGCTTCAAAGCAGGATGTTGCCAAGCCGACGCAACTTGACGAAAAATCGAAATTCAAGCCAGGCAATGAAAAAGCTGGTGAGCTCGGCTATTGCACCGTATGGGTAGGAACAACAGAAGAGCGATCTACGGACTCCCCACCCATCACAAAGCCTGTCACTGACGACACTTCATGGCAACTGATGGAGCCCAATGCGGGTCTTACTCTCATCTACCTGCCTCTTCTCTCTAACAAGAAGGTTCCCGGTGTCTCTCCCGGCACTTCGGACTTTTTGAGCACGTGGAATTTTGTCTATACCCCAGATCAGATTGACAGTGTCGTTAAGCTCGCCAAAGCCAACTATGACGAGGGCAGGGATCAGATCAAGGCCACCGTGCGTGCCGTCTATGAGCGCAAAAAGCAGCTGCGTGAGCAGGCTGAAACGCAGCGCCGCCTCGACAGCTATACTGCCATGGCCAAAAAGGGAGAGGAATCTCTCCTGCATCACGGAGATCAATTCAGCTAGATCAAAGAGGCAGCTCTCCCCTCTCCCCTTGTTCTTTTAGCCTCAAGGAAAGCTCCTATTATTGGCTTGTATATCATACTGTATTATCCTTTGGTTCGGGACTTTCTTATTATCGTTTTGGGGTGTTTCTCGTGCAAGAGGAAGTTTCCAACTTATTTTTACAATATGCTTTGTATTATACAGTGGGGGAGGGCCGTTTTCTAATAACCCAAGCCTACACATCCCGTCTTCATAAACCCAACCGTCACTCCCCCGTGCCTTCTCTTTTTTCTCATTCAGTTCGTACACATATATATATACCTGAGATCCAGCCCATCCGGATATTTTTTTTTTTTGTAACATTATTGTCACCATAGAGTAAAACAGCGCTTGATCCGCTTAGATGATTTCACCAATGTCGATGTATGGCGCTGTCCAAGGTCTGGCGCCCTCTTCCATCATGTCACTGGGCACTCGTACTTTGTTTCCTGGGCTGTACAGGTACCAGGCTTTAAGTGATGCCATGGAGGCCTTCCGGCGAGCTACATCCAGGCTAGGACCAGCGCCTTCTCCAAGCTTCTCCTTGCCGCTGTAAATGCCTACCACGTAAACGGGAGTGCGAGACAATCGACCAGTCTCGCTCTCCAATCGCGCAACGGGAGCCTCAAAGCCCTCTCGGGCACACAACATGGCCAACTCGCGGGTTGGAAGCTTGAATTCAAAGAGCTTCGAAAGGTCGAGTTCTCGGGATAAGATATGTGATTTGACAAAAGACTTGACCTCCTCACGGCCGCAGTGGGTATAGATGGCACCAATAACGGCCCGAACGACGGATCCGAATGCCTCGCTCTGGAGACCGCTGTACTCAAGCTTCTCGGGCTCGGAGCTGCTGACCTGGTCGCCAAAGTCGTCATCCAGGACCACGCGGCTGCTCAGTCCTCGTCTCCAGGCCTGTCCTTTGGCTGCTTCCGCACGGATATAGCCCCACCGTGTGTTGACCATCTGCTCCTCACCCGCCTTCCACTGCAGCAGACCAGGATCGACCTCCTCGCCTGGTGCAGCTGCAGACTCCACGCCCCACCTTCGAGCGATTTGCTGCAGAGACGCATCACCGGCATAAGCTCTTAGAGCCTCGTACAGGATGGCCATGGGCAGGCGGGGCCACTTGCAGACAAGATACTCGTAGACATGGTAGTTGATAATTGTGCTGCCCAGGTATGCGAGGTTCGAGTTGTTGAAGTTGGGGTTGGCATCGGCGGACGGCGTTACCAGGGCCCTCGCCAGGGTCTGTAGCGGGATCTTTCGGGGGAGGGAGAGTCGCGCATGTAGGGCGGCGAGCTTCGCGGACTGCGCAGCACGGTCGAATGAGGGTGCGGGGAGGGGAGGTCGCTGTGAGTCGAGGTCTGATGATTCGTTCGCAGTGGTGGCCGGGGAGGTGGATTGGCACCGGACGGCGAGAAAGAGAGGCTGTCTAGTTGCGGCAATGCCGGCTCTGCAGCGAGCCTGGAGCAATTGGCCGCTCCATCGTGAAGGTCGTATTCTCTTCATGTGGTCGTAGGGGGGAGAGATGTATATGTATATGTAAGGTGGACGATCGTATGAAAGAAAAAAAATTCCCCTCCAACTATCTGACCCAATGCCCCTCGAAATTACGAATTGGGACTAGGACTAGGTATGGCAACGCAAAAAGACCTGAAAAGAGAAGAAAAGAAGAATAACAGGAAAAAAGGTCGAGATTGAGGCAGGGATCAGGCGGTTTTCGCTGTCCCGGAGTGCCTTTGCTAGGAAAAGTTTCTGCGTCGATTTTGTCCAAAAAGTCGTGTGAGCCGTTTTGCCCACCTGCTTTTTCGCAAGATTCGGCGGGCGCACTACGGGCGGAATTACTTCGGGCCGGCGTCATTTCGCTGGCGCTGGCAGGCGGGAACCTCTCGCCGCTTTGGCTTCTTGCGTTTGATAGAGAGCGAAACTGCTAGACTATCCGCTTCAATTGCGCGCCAAGAGACTCTACACAGACGTCTTTTGATACATATTCAAGATGGTAAGCTGCGATGAACAGAATTTCCACAGAGATATGGGCTAACCAAAGCGCTAGGGTGGTGGTGCCAAAGTCCCGTAAGTTATGCCTCGAAAACGAAGACGAACTTTGACCATATTCCTCGTGCCTAATCGCGACACAAAATAGCTACCCCAAGCACGTCTGGTCGCCTTCTGGTGGTTGGTACGCCCAGCCTGCCAACTGGCGCGCCAATACGCTCATTGCCGGAGCCACCATGTTCGGCATCGTCGCCATTGTGTGGAAGTTCAGTGCCGACCGGGAGAGATGGGCGCACAAGCCAGAGCCATGGGAGTGGCACCCCAGCCGATAGTACGTGATGCGCGAATGCTGTGGAGGAAGGAAATTACAGTTTGGCTAACGTGATACTCTTTTGTTTGATAGCTGGTCAAAGCAGTTGATTGAGTGGGACAAGGAGGATAAGCTGAAGCAGTCGAAGGAGTAGGGTCATTTGTTTTTGGGAAGAATGATAGACGGAACTGTACAAATGCCATACGAACAAAAACAAATTTGAACAAAAAAAATGACACACATATGAAGCTACAATGCACAGGAACCTCCTTTTTTGGATAGTACTATTTGCTTCTATATTGCAGAGCTGAAGCTTGGATCATGAGGGCATACAATGTGATTGAATGGCCAGGAAATCCGCTCTAGGAGAAGAGAATCCGGATTTCCAATCACCTGATATCACATATCGAGACTGGGCAAAAACACCAACAGCAACCTGACAGAAGTGGCATGCTAGGTACCTCCCTCAGGCAGAGCGTGCCATGTGCCAGTGCGTCTTGGAGCCTGAGGAACTGCGTTGTATTCGGAATTTACGGCCCACGCCTGGATTTGCCAGCAATTCGGTATGTGAGAACTCGAATAAAATGGCTAGTAGATGATGATGGGATCCAACAGGCTCATGCAATGCTTCTTACCCCACCAACAAGGCATTAATAGCTTAGGCTGTTACAACAGTAGTATGGATTGAATGTAATGCACCTCAGCCTTATTCGGGCCTTGCGAGCCTGAGACTTCCCAGCAAAAGAAAAGGGTAGCACGGTAAACCGTGTAGGATACCCGTCTTCTACAAGCTTCCACAGGCTCCGACAGATTCCACATCTGCATACGGATCTGCAAGGGGATAACGGCAGGCAGATATGGGATACCTAATAGAAGTAGCAGTATTGGGTCATCATGATACACGAACTTTACTCCGCACATCTAGCGTCGTCAAGTTATCATGCAGCCAGAACCACTAGTTACCAGTAGTTGAATGACTTGTATGGATCACTTATCAACAATTCATAATGCTGCCTTTTCGGGAGCTCAAACAAACAGTCGCATATTCACCGGATGAGGATCCAATAATGCTGCAAGGGGGATAGGATTGCATCCTGCACGAAAACACAAGAGAAGAAAAGTAAAAGATAGAAGGGCAAATAGAAAAAGGGCAAAGGAGAGCAAGGTAGTTTTTCTTATTCACTCTCTCATAGCTATGGTAATCTGCCTTGGCTGCTTGTGCCTAACTACGGCAATGACAAGGCTGGCTGATACTAGGCATGTACGAACAAACAAAAGGGCTGCACGCCGCATATATGTGTGTTGCGTGCCGCTCCAATCTGGCCTCGAAGTCGATGCTGTGAAGGCTTGTAGCTACTACCTGTACCTACTGGCAGTTATAACACCCTCTACAGTACAGCCCGACAGTTTGTAGAGCGGGTTGCAGGTATAGCGCGTGGCCCCGTCGCCGAGACACAGGTACCTCATCGGACCTAGCAAACGCACCCGCTGTCCGGTACAAGTGTCAATGCTCCCTGGGCCACCCACTTGGGTGCAGCCATTCACTGACTCAACGAGCCTAGCCCAGGGTCCCAATAATCGCTGACAAAAACGTCACTCGCCTATTACGACTTGAACATGTATCGAACATGATGTCTGCGTTGCACAAATACAATTACAACCACTAGCACTTCGTGCCGCCAGCCCGTTTCTCAATATTGCTCTTTGCCTAATCATCTCCCCTTTTTGTGCACACGGCTCTTTTTCTTCTCTTCTTCATCACCTTGCGGCGCCTTATTTCCCATCGCAACCACCGTCACCGACCGGCTGGGGGCGACTTTCGAATACGCTTCCTCCTCTATTGAGTCCTCTTAGGGTCCTATTTATCATTTCGCACGCCGCTTGCTGGTCACTTTTCCCGGTCGATTATTGCGTGCGCCCGGTACAACCTCTCTCACCATCTTCCTACCTATTGACGACCGCCACCGAGAGATTTTTGTTCTTCGACGACCCTTTTTTCCCTGAACCATCTCTTTCGAGTGCGGTTGATTCCGCCCGCCCCATCTCTCTGGCGAATACCAGCCGAGCGATCTCCGACATCCTTCTTTGGCCCATAGGAGGGACAAATGGACTCTCCGGGCCATTCGCATGGGCACCTTGAAGCGACCCCGAGTCGTGAGGTTGTCTATTGCCATGCCTGCTCTAATGAATGGTATCGCGTGGACCACGGCTTAGTATGCCCCGGTTGCACCAGCGAAGCCACAGAAATCGTATGTTTTATTTCCTGTCTCCTGTTCTACTGTTTGCTATATGCCCCCGTCTTGACTTACACAATACATAGATAAGCTCAGACAGCGATCCTCGAGACTTTAATGACGGCTCGGCATCGACGTCACCCGAACCTCATGACCCATTCCATTTCCACAATGAACATGGTCACGACCATGATCATGACCACGATCACGGCCCCGATGGACATGATCACAGCCATGATTCAGACCCCGACGAAGCTGATATAGAAGAACACATGATACCACCTGGCTTTCATTATCGCCGCAGTGTTTTGGAGCGGCCAGGCGTTCCACATCATGATCCCGATGTCGACCCAGTGTTTGAACGCTTTATTGGCTTGATACATGATTTAGCACCACCACCACGTAGAACAGGAGGATCCGGCATGTTTCAACAAAGAGGAGGGGAGGAAGGTCGGTTCGGAGGGCCGCATATCCATCGCGCTACGTTCACCAACGGTAGCGGCAGTGCGTCTGTCACCATTTTCTCTGGGCCTTCGTCAGGATTCTTTTCCTCAGGATCCCCAACTTATGACCACCATGGCGATCCATTTCAAGCGTAAGTTGAATCACTGCTACACGGCGAGCTACATGAGCTAATCTTATTTGTTCCATATATAGGTTCTTTAACAACGTTCTGCGCGATGAGGCGCCTCCTGGAGGTGGTCGGGAAGCGAGTGGTGGTAACTCTCCAGGATTTGCGAGAGGGCTGCAAGAAATTTTGAATCTGTTCAATCCAGCACACGCCATCTCAGGAGACGCCGTCTATTCTCAGGAAGCTTTAGACCAAATCATCACAAACCTCATGGAAGCGCATCCGCAATCAAACGCGGCACCGCCAGCGTCGACCGAAGCGCTGGCTAACTTGAATCGACGACCTGTAGACGCTTCAATGCTGGATGGTGAGTCGAAAACTGAGTGCACCATCTGCATTGATGATATGAAGGTGGGTGATTTGGCTGCCTTTTTACCTTGTAAACATTGGTTCCACGAAGCATGCGTCGTTTTATGGCTCAAGGAACATAATACATGCCCGGTTTGCCGAGCGTCTATTGAGAAGAGTGGCGAAGGCAACAGCGGTGCAAATGCAAATGCAAATGCATCAGGTCCTAGTGGATCAGGGTCATCACAGTCGGACGATCAATCTGGGAGTGGACTGGACCGTAGCGGTCCGCTTCCAATCCCTGGCGCTCGACCCTCCCAGCTCTCTCGGCCTCCAAGCCAAAGCCAGAGCCGACTGAACGAGGCTATGAGAAGCATTTCATCGAGACAGCAGGAGCGGCAACAGCAACAAGAGCGTGAGCGTGAGAGGTATCGCGTCTGGGGTGTCTCGTCCCCAACAGAGCGTCAACGTGATGAAAGAGAAAGAGAGAGATCTCGGCTATGGGGCGTACGGTCTTCATCAGGCTACGATACTTCACGCATGCAGCGGCGAAGCTCACGAAATTCTCTTTCCCCAACGAGCCCTAGAATGACTCTTGCGGACTACAGAGAGCGTCAGAGACAAGAGAGTCCGCCACAAAGCGGCCGCCGCGACGGAGACAACGCTGACACTGGTCGACAAACTGCTACTTCCGGAGCTCTGAACTGGCTGCGGGATAGATTTACCGGCGGTGGTTCTAGAGACGACTCTAACCGCGATGACCGTTGATTTGATTCGCCCATCTGCGCAAAGCTTCATCAATTAGCAACCTGCAGCTGGGGGCTAATCGGCTCTAAACTAGCCGTAGAGTTGGTTTTGTAGCCATAGATGTCTTGCAGCTATATCCGACAGGGGTTGGTGAGATGAGCTGGCAGAGAAAAGGAGAATAAAGAAGAAAAAAAAAATTGAACAAAAAAAGAGCAAAGTGGGAGCGAGGGTTCAAAACGATTGGGTTTTACCGCACGCAGGTTAGCGGCGCATATCGAATAATGACATGATGATAGAAGGCTATACACACGACTGTGGAGATATGATGCATGTAGCTCGCACACAATGTATTGAAGCCACCTTTAAGTGCTTAGCACTAAGGCGGTATTGCAAAAGGGAGAGGCTTAAGACTCTGGTGCTTTTTCTTTGCTTTCTTGCTTCTCATGTTGGCTGCAATTCACAGTAAATGGGCAATAAAGGCTGCCTATCTTGGTTTGAGGACTCTTGACTAGTAGAGAGCCATGGCTATTGCCGTCCACTTCGTACGCAAACATGTACTTTATCAAGTAGTACAGTATTATTACTACCTATCTTTAAAGAAAGACTTTGCTCTATCAACTGCGTGATTCTCATTATACAAGAGCCACTTATGCGCAGATTATGAGCATAGGGGTTAGGAGGTCTGAAATGCAATCTGAAAACATCGTTAGCAGCCAATTCTTGAACCTCCATGACTGGCAGGTTGAAATGTGGCCATGACCATGGTCATTTCGCTGAAGATCTCAACAAGATAAGAATTAAAGAACGCCACCCACCCTTAGTCCGCGGAACAAAGGGGGGCAGCCGGGATTCGGGGCTTGTCCAAAGTGGCAGATTTCTGATCTAGGGGCCGCTAATTGACGGATCGCACGATGTACGAAGATACGAAGTGGTATTTGATTTGGTAGCCTGCTTGGACCGTAACACAATGGAAGCTTTAGAAGCTTCTGATGCACATGTTGAGGCCAGAAGCGGCAGTTTGAAAGAATTTCGGCCCCACCGCGGTAAGCCGAGGCGCCGAGGCCCAGCATGAGGAAGTGAGAAAATAGGGAGAAGGAAATGTGACGCACGGGGACGGAGACGGAGAGACGGATTTGGTGGTGGAATACCTATTAATTAGGTGGATATTTTTTATTTTTATCTTTTGATATCCAACGGGATACTAGAGGTGCTATCTGAGATATTGTATGTTGCGGTTCATCCGCGGATGTAATGCAGTGCAGTCGTGGGCGGCATGCTTCGTATCCTCGTGTAATCCTTTAGTTGCTTTAGTGATCTCGCAGCGGACTTGCAGCGCTGTGCTGTAGTTTGCATTAGGGAGCGTAGTTGAACGTGACACGGCCAATGAGCGCCTCTGCATTACTGGCCTACAGCCAATAATACTTCTCTACGCTCTGCCAAATGTCAAACAACAATTCTGACTGGGCGCAACTTGCTCCCCTCTTGGGAAAACTCGCCATGACTGAGGATCAGCATAAACGGCCGCATTAGCCTGCGTGCCATCTGTCAATTTATCCGCAACTCTAGGCCGTTTTTATGATGTTCGATTTTTGACCACTTACTATGCTCGTTCGCCCCGTTAATGCATCTGTTTCACGACATGGCACGCTTGACAGCAATGACCGCCGCGGCATAGTGCTTGGCGCCTCATCAGGAGCCACGAAGAGAAAACGACGCTGAAACTAGTCATGCAAAAAGAATCCGGCACGGCAGCTCTACCGCAATCGGGGCCAAGATCCGGCCGCTGGGACGACAGATCCCCGGCCTAGGCGAAAAAGAGGATCCTCCCATCGCCGAGAGCAGTTCGCCTAGCAGCTTGCACATCACATACCACAGCTGCCAGCTCCACCACGATGCCGCTAAGCAGCCAAGACGCGCAGAGACCCACCGGCGGCCAGTGGGCGGGATCGCCGCTGCGTGTTTGCTTGGGCGCACCGAGAGGGCTGAGAAATGAGAAATAGGGCCAGGCCAGGGAGGCTGCAGCAGCTCAAGCCCTGAGAGCTTTCAAACCGCAGACACGGGATTCGGGAGACGCCCTGGCTTGGAGCCCACATGGTCAATTGCCTCCCCGCTACTACGTTGTATGCACGATTCGGCAGTGCTGGAGCCCCCGAGTGGTGGGCTCTGGTTCTGCCACTGTTGGAGAGCTGGAGGAGAGGTGGAATGGGAGTGGGGGATGATGACATTGCCTCTGAAACGACGGCCATGAGTTGCTTCATTTGGCTTGTGCTAAACTGGATACCGGATCTCGCTGGGGACGAGCATCGCAAATAAATACACGGGGCTGTCCTCGAGCGAACAAAGAGGCACAAAAGTCCTGTCCCACCCCCTTTTAACCAACGGTGTTTAGCGTGTAGCATTTGGGCTTTGTTCGTTTTTGTGTTAAATAACGCCGATTGAGCTTGAGCTTGGATTCTTCACGCCCAGGCATTTTGCAACTTGATTTGTTTCTTCCTTGGCTTTCGTTTTCGATCATAATGGCGGAGGCTGTTCCTATTCCTGAGCCCCCTGGGCTGCCTTTGTTGGGTAACCTTGGCGAATTCTCCCAACAGCCGACTAACGATCTTATTCGTTTGGCCAATACATATGGTATGGTTTAATACCTGCATCTATACGCAGACATCTGTCTATTGGACTTGCAAATATATACCCACATCATAATCAATTGGTAGTTGATGCTCATGAATTTGAATAGGAGAAATCTACAGACTTCATCTGGGCACTCGGCCTGCTGTTTTTGTCAACACCCAGGCGCTTGTCAACGAGGTCTGCGACGAGAAGCGGTTTCAAAAGTCTGTTAGCTCAGTGCTTCGGGTATGTTGACTATCCAATCAATAAGGAAACCTGATTTTCACGTAAAAACCAGCTTTCTTCCCAGAGCAGAATACTGATTTTAATCGCAAAGATTGTACGAGAAGGTGTTCATGATGGTTTGTTCACTGCACACTCCGATGAGCCCAACTGGGGCAGAGCTCATCGTGTGCTGGTTCCGGCTTTTGGACCGCTCCCCATCCGCGACATGTTCGACGAGATGGAAGATATTGCTAAGCAGCTCTCATTGCGCTGGGCTCGCCATGGTCCTCACCACCCTATCCCCGTATCAGAGGATTTCACCCGCTTGGCCCTGGATACAATTGCTCTCTGTTCTATGAATTATCGATTCAACTCATATTACCAAGAAAAGATGCATCCCTTTGTCCAGGCTATGGCAGACTTCTTGGCGGAATGCAGCAGGCGAAACAGGAGACCTGGTTTTGCTCCTAATTTCTTATACCGCGCTGCCAATGAGAAATTTTTCAACGATATCGCCATCATGCGCGATACTGCTAATGCCGTCGTAGCAGAACGAAAACAGAACCCCTCTGACCGAAAAGATCTGCTCGCAGCCATGTTGGAGGGAGTTGATCCACAGACTGGCGAGAAGTTGACTGATGCCAGTGTTACGGATCAGCTCATCACTTTCTTGATTGCGGGCCACGAGACAACTGCCGGCACCTTGTCATTTGCGTTTTACAATCTCTTGAAGAACCCAACCGCCTATCGAAAAGTCCAAGAGGAGGTTGATCAAGTGATTGGACGCGAGCCTCCCAAGGTCGAACATATCTCCAAGCTTCCATATATTTCAGCAGTATGTGCCCACCAGCTGTTTCTTGAATCTGCTGCCTCCCTCATTCCTAGCTGTATCCTTTCATAAGATAATTAACGAGTACTTACACTGATGATATAGGTTTTGAGAGAGACTCTACGCCTCAGCGCCGCAATTCCAGCATTCACCGTTGAAGCTCTTGAAGATACACTCATCGGAGGCAAGTACCTCGTTCACAAGGGTGAACCAATCACTTGCCTCCTGGCCAAATCGCATCTTGATCCTCTAGTCTATGGAGAGGACGCCAACGAGTTCAAGCCAGAGCGTATGCTCGATGCAGAATTTGCTCGTTTGCAAGCAGCATTCCCAAACAGCTGGAAGCCATTCGGAAACGGAAAGCGAGGCTGTATCGGTGGGTTTACCTACACCTGTCATTTATAAAATTGATGGCTAACAAAAAATTTCAAAAATAGGACGCGGTTTCGCTCTCCAAGAAGCTACACTCGCCGTAGCTATGCTTTTCCAGAACTTCAATTTTACCCTTGACGATCCTAACTATCAGCTTGAGATCGTTGCATCTTTAACTATCAGGCCAAAAGATTTCTTTATGCGAGCTTCTCTTAGGCACGGAATGACTGCGACAGAGCTTGAGAGGAAGCTTGGTGGTAAAGGTGCCGCGGGAGAGCATCACGCTGATGCAAAGGCGGCTGGCGGAGCGACTCAGGGATCCCAGAAGCCTCTTGCCGTTTACTACGGATCAAACAGCGGCACCTGCGAGGCTTTGGCCCAGAGAGTGGCAACTGATGCATTGAGCCACGGCTTCAAAGTTACTGACCTGGCTCCTCTGGACTTTGCTAATCAAAATCTTCCCAAGGATCGCCCAGTGGTCATCGTCACTGCTTCATATGAGGGACAGCCACCATCCAATGCTGCTCACTTTGTAAGCTGGATCGAAAGCCTCAAGGGTAACGAGTTGGAAGGTGTTTCCTATGCCGTCTTTGGATGTGGCCACCACGACTGGGTTCAGACTTTCCACCGTATTCCGAAGCTTGTTGATTCGACTCTGGAGGAGCGTGGTGCCACCCGCCTTGTGCCGCTTGCCACCACAGATGCTGCCGATCGCGACATGTTTAGCGATTTCGAAGCATGGGAGGACGAATCTCTATGGCCCGCCCTGAAAGAAAAGTATGGTGCCGCTGCGGACTCTACCGAGGGCGTTGGCGGTGGCCTGGTTGTCGATGTATCGCTTCCTCGCAAATCGACGCTGCGCCAGGATGTTGAAGAAGCGATTGTCACCAGTGCTAAGACCCTGACAGCAAGCGGACCCGCCAAGAATCACATTGAGGTTCAGTTGCCTACTGGCATGACGTACCGATCTGGCGATTACTTGGCAGTTCTTCCTTTCAACCCGAAAGACACAGTATCAAGAGTTTTCCGCCGCTTCAAGCTTTCTTGGGATGCAGTCTTGACGATTCATTCAGACGGGCCCACTACTCTTCCTACAGACACGCCTATTTCTGCCAATGATGTACTCAGAGCGTATGTCGAGCTTAGCCAGCCGGCGACTAAGAGGGTAAGTACATATCAACCAGCAAACAATGAACACTGTGCGCTAACTATTTCTTCGTAGAACATTTCTGTGTTGGTCGACGTCACCCAGGATGAGGAGCTCAAGGCCAAGCTTGAGAAGCTGGCCGGAGACGATTACCAACAAGAGATTAGTGCAAAGCGAATCTCTGTCCTTGACTTGCTGGAGAGGTTCCCATCTCTGGAACTTCCCTTGGATTCATACTTGGCCATGCTTCCCCCCATGCGTGTCCGCCAATAGTAAGTCCAACACAGCCTTGCGCTTATAACCTCTAGAGACGGTGACTAACACACTTGACAGCTCCATTTCTTCTTCTCCTTTGGCTGATCCCTCTAAGCTGACGCTCACCTACTCGGTTCTCGAGCAACCTTCATTATCTGGTCAGGGCTCTCACTTCGGAGTGGCCACTCACTTCCTGGCATCTCTTAACCCTGGCGAGAGGTTTCATGTTGCTGTTCGTCAGTCAAAGGTCTTCCATCTCCCTACAGATGCTGAAAACACTCCTCTTATCTTGATTGGCGTCGGCTCTGGCCTTGCACCCTTCAGGGGTTTCATCCAGGAGCGCGCAGCCATGATTGCTGCCGGCAGAAAGGTTGCCCCTGCATTGCTCTTCTACGGCTGCCGCTCCCCAGATATTGACGATCTCTATGCTGAAGAATTCGAAAGATGGGAGAAGCTTGGCGCCGTCGAGATGCGTAAGGCCTACTCGCGCGCTACAGACAAGTCATTCGGCTGCAAGTATGTTCAGCACCGAATGGCTCACGACCGCGAAGACCTCTACAAGCTTTGGGACCAGGGTGCCAAGGTCTTTGTATGCGGTAGTCGTGATGTCGGTAAAGCCGTTGAGGCAGTCTGCGTCCAGCTCGTTAAGGAAAAGGGTGAGGCTGACGGAATAGACGTGACGGAGGAGCGGGCCCAGGCGTGGTGGGATAAGCAGCGCAACGAGAGATACCTCACGGATGTGTTTGACTAGAGGGTTGAGTTGTGACTGCGAGAGATGAGATGTTGCCTGCGCGGATGAATTTTTATTGCTGCTGTTGACGCTTCTAGTGAGCGATAAATCAAATGTTGCGTTATGTTATATGTTATAGCCTTTTCATAGTGCCCGATACGGGTTTTCTGATTAAATCATTTAAATCTTATTTTTGAAACTTTGCAACTAGATTTCTTTTAATATCGTAGTTTCCTTATGAATACAAGAGAAATGTATTTCTGCAAGACTAGTAGATGTGAAACATATTTGTGTGTGTTATAAAGTATCTAAGAAATCTGTGGCGAGGCAGAGCTTCCAGCTAATCGTATAATCTTTTCCTGTAAATATCCCTTTTTTGTCTACTCCTCGTGCCAAGTAAGATGTAACTCCCCCAGATCTCGGCTCGAGAGAAGATGTTGCTCAAAGAAGGTCTCTATCGCGATATCAGCCCGCTGCTTTGGAATGTTGCTCTTTTTCCGCAAGCCTGAAGTAAATAAGCGAATTTTTGGCCTCCTCATGCTTCTATTTGCATGGCGATGGGGATGCCTGCATGACTGGTGCGCGTGACTAATAGTATGTATGGTTTGAGAGCGCAACGTTCTCTTTGACAAGTTTCATTTGGCTTATCTTTGTGATATATGCGGCACAGAGGCCCGTATTTGGTCTGGTCTTCCATCTTGATCAAAAGCGTATTAACTCGACGTGGAAGAAGCGCCCGCATGAGTATGTGAAAGCGATAAAGAGGACACGGGGAGTTCAGGGAATTCAAAGGATTGACAGCATCCGCAGTGAATGGAAGGCGCACAGAGCAGCTATATAAAGTAAATGAGCAAAAAACGTAAAGAATACGGCTGTTCACTTCTCTTCACTTTCCCGTCACTTTATTACCTCACAACCGATTGCGCTTTTTCCTCACAGTGCCACATTTCACTAGACGTTGAGCCAAAAAAAAATATTTTGACAAGAGGTCTAGTGAAATGAGGCACCGAGGCCACTTATCTGCGGCCTGATGGGGTTTTAAAGGTTGTATATCGATATAACCGATATACAATTTCAGATCTGCATAAGGCGAGATGCCACATCTAGCACGGATGGCATCGATGTCGGTGTTCTCCGACGGTTTCTGTGCGTTTGATATGCTGTCGAGGGCATATGCCCGCATAATAGTCTGGGTTAGGCCACCTTCCTCGTCTGGCTTTGTCGCGAGGAATTCTTGGGTAGCGTCGGATGCGACTCTGATTTCGGCAAATTGCAGCAGCTCCTGGTCTCCGGCCAGTTTCGTAAATGAGGTTGCCTGCCTTGCTACCTGGTCGAATTCCTTACCGAAGTCTTTCCAGTTGAAATGCTTGTGGCAGGTCTGGATTGGGAATTGGTGAAGTGTTCACGGCGCCTTTGTATAGGACGGCCATGACGATGAGCACGGCGAAGGTCGTCTTTCCTGAGCTGAGTCCTGCAGACCAGTCATGTTCCATGCTCTTCTTTGGGCTTTTTCCATAGGGCTGAGGCAGAGACAGACAGACTCATATGGGGGGGGGTGTAAGTGTCGTATGATAAACAGTGCTTAGAGACCAACGCATGTGTCCTCGACAAACTAGATGTCTGAAGAGGGGGATATCGCAACTTGAGTACTGCCATGCTCGTTGTAAGGCGGCAGTTTTTGAGTTTTGGTTGCAGCTCCCAGGGCTTTCCATATTTGGGTGTCAGTTGGATTAAAAAATACAGGCCAAGTGACAGATTTACCCTCCCCTTCCATCGATACATGTAATTCAGTGTGTATATTTATTTGTTATATCTTCGGGTGTTTGTCTTGTATGTATTGTTCAATCCGCCGGTTAGGTGGACGCATGGACTGAAGTACCTTCATCCTCGATGACGTGAAATGAAGACGTCTTCCCGGTATTCATTATTCTGGAAGTAGGCGTTGGAGAACTCGAATGCACAACGCTGAATGAAACGGATGGTCTACAAGATATTCACCGGCCTACGCACAGCTATGTAAGTATCCAAGGCATATTCAGAGAGAGAAATAGAGCTACCTACATGTTCCGACATGCTGCGGCATACATGGACGTTGCAAACCCGTAAGGCGGTGTCTCATCTCTGACTTTGGAGGATTTGAGTGGAAGGAGAGATTTGCGTAACCATCATAAAAGCTGAAGCCTCTTACTATAATGGAGGACATAAGATAATGTTGTAACGATATGTAGAGAAGAAAAGTTGATGTGGAATTCTTTAAAGAGAGAGAGAATGAAGGCCGAAGAGGTGAGAAAGACTCATTGATATAGTATTATCCACGTTTCACGACGTTAGTGAGTTGATGCATAGGGCTTCATTCACTTGCGTGCCTTGCGACTTTTACCCTCATCACGTGTATGTTCAGGCAACGTCATGTATCACCAACATGCTGTGTCACCACCTGTGAATACCTCATTCATATCCATCAATGGGGTATGACTAGGGCCATGTTCATTTTCAATACTATTTCTCTCAATCATTTTCAATATCTCTCAATATTTCCATCTCTGTGATACCGTTCTATTCCTCCCGATGTTTCTCAAAATCTCATTCGTTTCTAATCTCTTAAACATTTTAGAGTCTCTAGGAAGATTGATATTATTTTTCACGCTCCCTATTAAGATGTTCTGTATAAAATAGCTCCTTCCTCGAAAGGCGAGGGAATGAGATCATTTAGCCTTGAGACGATAATCTCATATCCGTACGAATCCTACTGATGAGACTGGCTAAAGGCATTTTTGTTCTACCAACCTGGACGTCGGATTAGCTCATACTAACACTACCAACTATACAAGCCCTCTGCGAACTATTGTGTCGTAGTACATTTATACAACGTAATGATATCTTGAAACATTCGTCGTACTATGCTTGTCTATTCAATGTCTCTATGAGCTGCATACCTAAAAATATGCGCAGCGTCGATAAAGCGGCACCTACGCTATATACTAAATCAACCGGGGCAGTTTGCAATGAGATGAGAAGTAACGAATGAATAAATCATTTCCAAACTCATGGATAAGACGGAGAGATTATATAGTTATAAAATTATTATTGTAATATATGCCCAAAGTGATTTTACATATCCTTAAAAATTCCAAATCCTCAACTCCATGCTCATAAGCTTGCAAATAGGCTTCTTACCAAGACAAAAACCAAAAAAAAGGAAAAAAAGATAAAGAATGGCAGGTATAGATCAGCATCTTATACTAATGACATTAATGATATTAAGCAACGCTAACGGTTCGGCGGCTCAGTTCGCTGTATCCTGGTAGCCGATTATCATTCTGTAGCGCCGACTCTGGGGCATGTATGACGCGAGGCTGTAAATATGCGTCTGCTTCCTCCTCTGCCACAGCGCTTTCAAAGCTAGGAAGCTCGTGATCCTGCGGCTCATAGATTGTTTCGACGCCAACTTGCACAGGCACCGAAAGCGCAATGGCAGTATTGGTCGGTCCCACTGACAAGCTTAATTGCAGAGTGTAAGTTCGGGAAATTAAACACGAGTGAAAGGTTGGTAAGAAAAGCTTTTTGTTCGAGTTGGAAATGGTGAATGGAATCTCAAGATCTGTGGTGTGCTTGACAGTCGAAAGCTTAGGCGTTTTAGAGCCTTTGCCTCTGCTATTCTGTCGTCCTCTTCCCTCAGCAGCCGAGTTATCCGTTTCGGAGGCATCCCCTTCTATAACAGTGCTCGAATAGCCCGAGTCTCTTCGGGAGTGCAATGTCGCGTCTTTCTGCATCCACGACACAGAATCCACTGGAAGAGTGAATAAGGAGTGTGTTGTCGTATAATTCAGGCAAGGGGTGCTCTCGCAGTTGGTTCGACTACCTAGATTCGGCAGATGATCGATCGGCACGGCGCTAAAAAAGGTCGTAGATACGAGTTTTCCTGTGACAGAGTTGACCTTGGGAGGTGCCGTCTCAGCCGAAGATGGGGCGTATTCCAGATTAACACGGACACTCGTCATCGAGGACTTGTGTCCGTCTGCAGAAAGCATGACAGCGTTGGGTTGAACGGCATTAGCGGTAAATTGGCCCGTTTTGCTTGAGAACAAGCTCTTTCGAATCGTTTTGGTCTTGGACAGCTTATACCACTCATCTCGGAAAGTTATGTCGAGGGGTGCGTCCTCAGGGAGCGAAGGAAGCACTTTAAGAACATGGTGCGCTTCCATGGCCTTTACGGCAGCTCCGTTTACACGTTGAATCGCCTTTGCATTGATGGCATATTCAATTTGGGTCATGTCTGGAGCTTGGTCATCGGCCTCCCAAGCTCCCAGGCTGGGAGGAAGTCGTAAATGTCGCTCCCGTACCTCTGGTGACAAGCAGGTGTGGTTGCAAGCCCCGATGGTGAGTTGGTGAGGGACAACAAAGTGGAACGGTATCTTGTACTCGCTCCCAGCCCGAAACACCTGATCTTGTGGTAAATCGGACTCTTGAATCGGCATGCGGATCTTCAAGAATGGTCTGAAGGAGTGAGAAGGATACTGCTGAACAAAGTCAAGTCGTGTGGCAGAAATGCCAACAAAAACAATGTCCAGGTGATCGAAGGAAGTATCTTTCAGGGCGCGAACGGCAACATGACCGGCAATGGTAGATCCAGATGTATAGACCTTAGCCTTGAAGTGCTGATCTATCTTGACCTCCATGAGAGGATTCTGTGAAGAGCTGCTCTTGGACCCTTTGAAAGGGCGAGTTGTTCCTTGGGATGAAGCGGACATATTTTGGATGCAGGAACCAGGGCTGTGAAGAGATGATGAAGGGTATCGTCGTAGAAAATTAGACGGTTGTGACTCTAGTGAACTAGTGATACTCCTTATCAAGGAAGTGAAGAATTAATCGTCGTAGTAATAGATGAATAGTTGCCGAGTATGTGGCCGATATGCCGGCGGATAGCAGTTCCAAACACACTTCTCGTGATAGATATAACAATATTATGCTCCAGGAAGTCTCAGTCGTATTATAATCGTAATGCAGGCGAATAAACAAACAGATGGCAAGCAAGGAAAGCAAGATACTGGCGGATGATTGGAAGTCAAATAGCAAGCTGCAGAACGAAAGACGAAGAGGCGCATAAGACGGGGGGAGGGCAACGCCCTTAAGAGCTGAGTCAACTGAGGGTTTCCAGCATGACCAGGTCATCAAGAGCTGGTTCGTGGCGGCATGGAGGGGGTGATAGGACTCGTAAGAGAGCTTCTCGGCCATCGCGGTACCGGTACTTGCGGGCCGCCGTGGGAAAAACAGGTCCCTGAGCCAGTTGCTTGGGGCGTGCGTCGAGGGCTGGCGTGATGGGGAGTGTCGCGATCATCCAGTAGAGGCTCGTCTGTTTGCATGGGGCGCTGCTAGCAGTCCTAAGTGCCGCCAGTCCGCGTGGAGCTCGCCCGATGAATTGCATTGCTGGCCCATCCTTCAGCGCAGGTACGGTGCGACGATCACGGAGCAGAAACAGCGTGGATGGTTCGAGACTGAGGGCGATGACGGGATGAGATGGAGGAGAGAAGAGCAAAGAATTGTAGAAGATGCAGACGGGCAGACCGACTGCTTGGTAGCTGTTGAGGTCGTCCTGCTCTAGGTACAGTATGCAGAGTCAAAGGGAGGTATCAGCTACTCCTTAGGCACTGGCGTTAGGCAGAGTCTAAGTGGTAGCTCTACTCTACCCGTCGCGAAATCTTAGTACTGCTACTACCTGCTGGCTAAGGAAGGCATTGTGCATGGCCGCTTCCTCACCGTGCCCTTTTTTGCGGGGGATTCCACGCACACAATATTCGCATCAGATTAGATGGCACTGTCTTTGTTCACGCATACCAAGATGCAGATTCAGCGTCTGCTTTACGGTAATTACGGGACATCTCGTGCTGATCTGCTCCAGTTTTTGCCACGCAATCCAGTACCAAGTGGTGCTCATGATTTCATAATTCCAGTGTTCATGATGATTCTGGTTTACATGGAATACAAGGCACGGTACCGTCTTCAACTCCTCTACACACTCTTCAAGCAAAGCCCGCGGTTCTGTTCTAGCCAGAGACCCATCAGCTCGGTCTTCCCCGGTGGCCTCGGGCTCGCACCATGGTCTCGATTCCCATATTCGGATGTTGGGTCACGATGAACAGACCTGAAGCGCACAATGCAGGAAAAAAGACATCTCCCTCTGAGCCCCTGTCCCGGCGCATGCGCACGACTTGACAAAAACGTCCCGAAAAAGAACAAAGCTCGTGCCAGGACCCTGGGATTATGTGGAGGGTAAGTGTTCTGGCTCGGTCTGGACTCTATCGCAACCTTTTTTTCCGGGTCCAAGGTGGGCGTCCTCGTGGTGGATTCGGCGCTGGATCGGAGGTTGGCCGGGAATGAACGTGCATCTCCGTCCCTTGTTGGCTACGGACATTATTGGGCAGCAGCTGTCAAGCGACAGAGGCGAGGATGTGCCTTGCTGAGCTGAGTCGAGCTGAACTGAGCGGCTGCACTTGAATCCGTGTGATGTGCGTGCTTAGAGGCGGTTGACTTACATACATACAGCCAGATTTCAACGGCGGCCTCGTCCATTAGCTTGCGTCGCGTCCCACACGTGTCTATTTGTTACACAGTGAGTGCTTCATACGAATATCGAATCGATCACCACTTTTACTCCGGAATACGCTGGAAATCACGTCTTTGCGAAACAATGGATGTAGCATCTGTCATCTGTCTCCCCGCGAAGCCTATTGCCCAGCACCAAACTCAGTTTCCCGATATCGCCATTGTCGGCGCCATTCTCCATTTCTCACAGTCATACATTTGCCATTCAACCGCTCACGAGACATGACGAGAAATGGCCTAGGAAAAACTTCGTCTGCATTTAGCTACAGCCAGCCTCCTCAGCATCTCCACTACTTTAAAAAGCAATCATGAACGAGATCCCAGGCAGCAGGAGGGTAGCGGTACAGATACATTCAACCTGCCTAGCGCTCTTGATGCCTCTCCTGTTCTTCCTCCACCCCTCACAACTCGGTAGTTGGATACTTCACTTAAGCACAGCGGGCGGCTACCAAAGCCAAGTCTTTCTGGACCCAAAAGAACGTTCAAAGTCTAATGTTGCATACGCCCCTAGTCTCCAGTTTTTGGGCCCCAGATTGCTGCACGATTTGACAGACGATCTCCGTAAATGGCTTAGTTCAGACATCTATTTGCCGCCCCATTATTGCCAGATCCTCTTTTCGAAATATTTTTCTTCGTTTCGTGACTCGATTCCTTCTCCGCGGCTTCTTCTAGGGAAGCCATTCTCGCTGGATCCTTCGTCTAAGTCTTAGTGAAAGGGGGATGAAAACTTTCTTGAGCAAAGGGGGGTAGGACTCTCGAAGTTCAACGCTGGCGTGTGACCCAGAATTATGCGACCCTTGGCTAGTGTTAAAGAGCATACAGCTTTCCGCGTATACCTATTTGTCATGGATTTTCACGATGGTCAATTAATAAGCCTATGTTTCTATACTGTGCAGTCTAGATGCTACTCCGTATTAGTATTCGCACCATGTTGGCATAGTATGTATGTGCTGCCGAAGAACTGATTCATACTCCGTATGCCATGCAGACCGCACATGGATGCCCATTAGCCGTAGAAAAGCAGCGGATAAAACCAAGTGGAACTTCAGGTTAGCAATAAGGCAGCAGTAGTATATAGTGACAGAAATTAAACTTTGAAGAGAATATCTGTTGGCACAATGAGTGCTTAGGGTTCTTCTACCTCTCTACATTTTCGCCTTTATCATTATGACATCGTTGACTTGGTAAACTACTTGGTAAATGGTTCGTCTGCGTGTATATGCCCATTTCATCTTGACTTACCCATTTTCTTCCTTTGCAAATGCTTTTCATCTGGAACTATAGATGTTACAAGATAGTATTCCCCTTCTACTGTCTCACCCATTGTTATTTCTATTGCTTGCTTCCGCAGCGGTTTTATCCACTGATTGTCCACCTTGGCAAACCTAATTCAAGTGATCGTCAATCCACATACCTCATGCCGTAACGCCACTTATAGCGCAATATCTCCCGTGCCGAGCGCTATCAACGTGCATTAACTGTGCGAGGCACTCTATGATTCATTGATTTTCTTACAGTACTTATTTATAGACATGCAGCGGATTTCCAAGCAGCTGCGCACTTCCATAACACTGCCATCCGGTATCCACTTTCTTTCTACATCCAATCATTCGGCAAATCTCATACCGATAAGAAGCCATCCTATAGACCTACATCGGTAGTTTCGAGAGGTGAGAAACCATAAGGGCTGTTTTACTTGGAATGCTTATAATTTGTTCTGCTCGTTGCTTTGATATATAGAATAGACTCAGTAAAAGCACACATCGTAGTGGCACTTTTCATCGCTATACAGAGGCCAAATTCCCCCAAAGCCCCGTGTTTGCCGGCCACATTCGAGTGGAGACGCAAAGCCGGCAAAAGTTCGGCTAATGGCAGCCATCAATCGGAATGCGGGTGCCGTTTCCCACTAGGCCTAGCTGGGTACCTGGTAATAGCTTCGGTGGGCTAAACTGAACTGGGCGCCCCTTGTAATATTTCGACCGCAATCCTGACATCTGGTCATATCAACACCATCCCTTGAGGAACGATTGAAGCTCCGGACAAGCCACCAGATCAGCACAATTGTGCCATATCGAGGACTCCGTTACGATTGAGAAATATAATCTACAATTTGTCCCGGGGATGCGCCACTCTCTCAAGCGATAGATTCCATCGTTCGTTGCACAAAAGGGAGAGAGTGGGAGGCTGATCCGGCGTCTAGCTGTTCTAAAAGCTAACGAGATCCAACGGCTTTTCGTCGCGTTTTCCAAAACTCCAGAGTCGAACCCAGTGTTCACATTGGCCGAATGCTAAAATAAAAGAGAGGCTGGAGCCAAACTAGAAGTATATGCCTTGATGATATTGCTGGGAAGAGAGCTAGGCGCCGAGTGAGCTTATTAGAGTGTATCAACATGATTGGCGAATGGAGAGCTGGCCTTAGAGGCCTTGTTTACCTTTTCCTTTTATCACCGTCAACGGCTTTTTATATTCCTGGTATTGCTACCATCTGACCTCGTACCTTTGTCGTTGTTTCGGAACATATGTATAGGTAACTAATTGGCTGGTTGCTAACGTTTCGTATTGCAGGCTGGTCGATCAAGAGCTATAGAGATGGCGAGCTGGTGCCTCTAATGGTCAACAAGGCCTACTCAGATAACACACAGCTGCAATTTGCGTACACCGATTTGCCGTTTACTTGCTCCCCGACTGGGGAACACAAAGCCGGAGGCGGCTTGCTGAGCGGCCAAAGCGTTCCCTTGAATCTGGGAGAGGTGCTACGCGGGGATCGCATTATTACATCGGATATGGAGCTCGCCATGACAAAAAATACCCCGTGTACGCTGCTTTGCAATAAAGAAGTATCACGCCGTGACCTGCGTTGGTCGAAAGAGTTGATTCGAGATGGATACGTAGCAGAATGGATTGTGGATAATCTCCCCGGCGCAACCAGCTTTGTCACGGCCGACAAGAAGCGCAAGTATTACGCTTCCGGTTTCAAGTTGGGATATACTGAAGTCTCCCCAAAGACGGGGAGGCTTCACTATTACCTTAACAATCACCATACTATCGTCATCCGGTATCGCAGGGCACCGGGCCGAGCTGGTGATCGTGACGAGAAGATTATTGTAGGATTCGAAGTCTACCCTAAGAGCGTTGGAAATGGGAACAAAAAGGACAGTTCGGGATGTCCAGTGGATATACAAAACGTGGGCCAGCCCTTTGAGCTCTACATTGCTCCAAACAAGACGTCGGGCACAGAGCTGAATTATGATGGTCTATCATATCACCCCGACGAAGTAGAGGATGATGAAAATAGCCCTGGCTCCCTGAATATTCCATATACCTACTCAGTCTATTTTCGCGAAGATGACAGCATCGAGTGGGCTCATCGCTGGGATCTCTATTTCGTGAACCAAGAAGGAGGCTCGCGTATCCACTGGGTGGCCATTATTAATTCTCTTATTATCTGTGGGCTACTGACAGGAATTGTTATGATCATCCTCGCTAGGACTATTCATACTGATATCAATAAGGGTACTTCTGCTGAGGAAGGGAAACTAAGGGTTAAGAGGACAAGGGCCAAGGGCGATCAGAAAACTTCGGGCTTGTTGAGCCAGGGAACAGACGCCGACGACAACGATGAAGATGGAATGTCCGACGAAGGCGAGGCCTTGGAAGAGGCTACAGGGTGGAAACTGCTTCATGGAGATGTGTTCCGGAAGCCCAAAGCTGGAATTTTACTGGCTCCCCTCGTTGGATCGGGGATGCAGCTGTTTTTCATGGCTATGGGACTCGTTGCACTTGGTGCATTAGGAGTTCTAAACCCCAGCTTTCGAGGCGGCTTCATCAGCGTTGGCGTGGGACTCTTTATTTTTGCAGGACTCTTCTCTGGCTACTTTTCCGCGCGCGTCTTCAAGAGCTTCGACGGAACCGATTTCCGTGCAAACGCCATCGTCACGGCACTGCTATTTCCCGGCCTCATATTTGGGCTGATCTTCATCCTCAATCTCTTTGTATGGGCCCAAGCCTCAAGTACGGCAATCCCTTTTGGCACCCTCGTCGCTATTCTCTTTCTCTGGCTCTGCATACAGGTCCCGCTGGTCTATGTTGGGTCTTATTACGGCTTCCACAAGGCTGGTGCCTGGGATCACCCTACTAAAACGACAACGATTCCTCGACAAGTTCCTCGCCAAGCTTGGTATAGCAAATCTATTCAAGCAGCCCTGCTGGCGGGTTTGATTCCCTTTGCCGTGATCTTTATTGAATTATTATTCGTATTCCAATCCCTGTGGCATGACAAGAGTGGCTACTACTATGTCTTTGGCTTCTTGGCAGTCGTATCTGCCATTCTGGTAGTTACTATAGCCGAAGTGACCATTGTAACCATCTACGCTCAGTTGTGCGCAGAGAACTACCACTGGTGGTGGCAGTCATTCTTCATCGGAGGTGGGAGCGCATTCTGGGTCTTTCTTTACTCGTTGTGGTATTATTTCTTCAAGCTTCATATTAGCGGCTTTGTAAGTAGCATGCTATTCTTTGCCTACAGCTTTATGGCATGCTGCGTATATGGGCTTTTAACCGGCACTATTGGATTCTTGAGCGCCTATGCATTCGTACGCAGGATATATAGGTAAGTTCCCCAACAGCCCGAATCAGATGCAACGAAGGTGCAGGTTACTGATAAATCTCACTATGACCAGTGCGATCAAGATTGACTGATTATGCCTTGTGGAAGAAGCACGAGGATTTTTTCCTTCATTAACGTAATTTACTTTTTGGTTATTGAATCTCTCATCCTCTTCTTCTTTGCAAAGCGTGTTATACTTGTGATGTGATGACCACGGGGGGCCGCATGGACACGAACTGCAATACCCCCAGTATGCCAAAGGCATCTGCGCGCAGTAATGATTATCCAATTGTTTGGCTTCGCTCATGTGCCATGTTCTAAAGCACTAAATTCCCCTGTGTCGTGCTGTTATTTTGCGGAATGGGTGATGCGGATATTGAGATGAGTGACACAATTCATCATCATAACTACACCAAGTTGTCAAAGACATGCTAGGCTTGCGGCCAACGCGGCCAGCACTTTCACGTGTCATGCAAAAGGCGGCATGTCATCAAAGGGCGTGATAAGGACGACATATTTGACATCGATCCCCTGCTGTCCATGCGACCAGAGCAACTTCGCCATCTCTCCTGCAACTCCAAAGCCTCCAGAGGTTGACAAAGAAAGTGGGGGGGGGATAACGGAATCGGAAGTTTTGAGGCAAACGATAAACGGATGCGAGTCTGACAACGGCGGTTCCACTCATTCCGCTGCAGAGCCCGAGCTTTATTACCCCGATGAAGAATGGCCAGATCCTCCATGTGGGGGGAATTCTCATCGAAGGCTCTCTGATTGCACTGGCGCTGAGAGGCACTTGTGCCGGTGGCTTTTTTCCCACCCTCTAATTCTTCTTTATCGATTTGCCCCAAGGCTTTTGGCTGTGTTTCTGGAACCAAACAAGGCCAAAAATGGTTAGGATTTCGCAAGGGCTTCTCCACAGGGGCTTAGGACGCCGAGTTGGATTACTTTTCTCCAACTGTGGCGGGGCAAAAATCCAAGGGTCCGGCGCATATATTTTAACAGACAGATATCGCCTCAGTTGTAAGTTTCAAACACATCAGAGACGGTTCAAGGCAAGCCAGCGAGGGATTACCCAGCAGACGAGAGCAGAGACAAACATGGCACACCCAATGGATTCACAGCAGTTTAGAGAGGCGGCCAAGGCGGCAATTGATGATAGTAAGTTTCTTGTTCTGCGGCGTTAATACTTCACATATATTCGATCTTTGTTTGGTCTTTTTTTGTAATGGGGTTACCTTCTCTGTGTCGTCGACAGAGTCGCATTTCTGCAATTGATATTTAATGCGTTTGCAGATTTGTCAACTAGACGTCCTGAGTTGTGTCTCATTCTTGCATAAGAAATGAGTAGCGATGGCTCTACTTGACATTTCATGGATATAATAGGGAGAATGGGATTTTTCCATGAGACACCAGGCTAACAAGATGATTGAAAACTATTTGCAGTCGCCAACTACTACGATAACATCTCCGATCACCGAGTTGTTGCTGATGTTGAGCCGGGCTATCTGAGACCGCTCCTCCCCGCCTCGGCACCTCTCGAGGGCGAATCATGGGACTCCATCAAGGCAGATATCCAGTCAAAAATTCTGCCCGGCATCACTCACTGGCAGGCGCCTGGTTTCATGGCTTTCTTCCCCTGTTCAAGTAGTTACCCTGCTGCCATTGCGGAAATGTACTCCAACACCTTCAATGGTGCCCATTTCAACTGGATCTGCTCCCCTGCAGTTACCGAGCTAGAGACGATTGTGATGGACTGGCTGGCTCAGGCACTGGGACTGCCCGAATGCTTCCTGAGCGGTGGCTCAACCCACGGCGGTGGCGTTCTGCATGGAAGTGCGAGTGAAGCCATTCTCACCGTTATGGTTGCTGCGAGAGACAAGTATCTGAACGAGGCAACGGCTCATCTGCCCGAAGGCGAGGAGAAAGAGGAGGAGATGTGGAGGCTTCGCAGTAAGCTGGTTGCTCTGGGAAGCGAGGGCACGCACTCGAGCACCAAGAAGGCCGCACAGGTTCTGGGCGTACGATTTGCCACAGTGCCGATATCAGAAAAAGAGGGCTACACCATGACGGGTGAGGCTCTGGCTAAGAAGCTTGAAGAGCTGAAGGCCAAGGGTCTTGAGCCATTCTATCTGACTGCTACCCTGGGAACAACAGATGTTTGCGCTGTTGACGATTTCGAGGGCATTGCCCGCACACTGGCGCCACGAGCCGGCAAGCCAGGCGAGATCTGGGTCCACGTCGATGCAGCTTACGCCGGAGCTGCGCTCATCCTTGATGAAAACAAGCCCCTGGCAAAGCCCATCGCCAACTTCCACTCCTTCAACCTGAATCCCCACAAGTGGATGCTCACAACCTTTGACTGCTCTGCCGTCTGGGTCCGCCAGCGCGGCCACCTCATCAACGCCCTCAGCATCAAGCCCCATTACCTGCGCAACCAGTACAGCGACAACGAGCTCGTCACCGACTACCGCGACTGGCAGATCCCTCTCGGCCGCCGCTTCCGCTCCCTCAAGCTGTGGTTCGTCCTCCGCGCCTACGGCATCCGCGGCCTGCAAGCCCACATCCAGAGCGGTATCACGCTGGGCGAGTCTCTCGAGGCCAAGCTCGTGACCAGGCCTGACCTGTTCACCATCTTCACCAAGGCGCATTTCGGCCTCGTCACATTCAGGGTCAGCGGGGACAGCGAGGACAAGATTAACAGCCGCACGTCGAAGCTGTATGATGCGATTAATGCCGGTGGCCAGTTTTACCTGACGAGCACGGTGGTCAAGGACCACTTTGCGATTAGAGTGTGCACTGGTGTGGCGACGGTGCAGGAGGAGACTATTCAGAAGTTGTTTGATTTGCTAGTTGAGACGACCGAGGGACAGCTGAAGCTGGAATAGATGGAAAGAAGAAATACTGGATTCTACGGGTACATGAGGAAAAAGAAAGAAAAAACTTGGGTTAGACATTTGAAGTTTATATATACACTTGTATGCCTAGCTAGTCATGATTCCTTCAAGATGAAAAGAGAGATGTGGATAGATAGATCAGTCTGTTCTGCTTAGACAGGTATATATATATATTCATAGCGTATATCATACATACAACAAGCACGCAGCAAATAGGATAGCATCATCATAAAGTCATTACAATTCGCACTCGTTCGTTCGTTTCGTTTACTCATAGACCCATAACATAGTTCTTTTCAATCGTAATACTCCTTCCTCTGTCTCCTAATCAGCGACCTTTCATGGTTGAACAGCGCCGCCGCCCCAATCAACCCCAACACCAAGCCCGGCGTCCAGTCAAACCCCGGACACTCCTTTTCTTTCTGTAGTCTGTGAATTCGAGCCTCGGGATCCGCCTTGGAAGGACGAAAATCGTGTGGCAGGACGCGTTCGAGGATGCCCAGGCTGCTACTCCGACCCTTCCTTTCGACGTCATTATATTTAGAATCTCGGTCATGGGGGCGATTGTCGTCGCGGCGGGAATCTCTCCTAGCAGAATGAGAGTCTTCCCGAATATATCTCTCACTCCTGTCCCCTCGGCGATAATCTCGGCCACGTCGATAGTCGTGGTTGTAGCTGCGATGGCTGTCGCCATTCCTTCGCGCGCCATCGCCATCGCCACGTCTGCTGCCATGGCTGTAGCTGCTGGAGCTGTAGCTAGACCCGTGCTCGGGATACATGCTGCTAGGATAATCTCGTTTTGAAGAAGGCATTATGCATGCATGCAATAGAAAAAAATGATTTTGTAGATGGTCACAAATTGTTATAACAAAAAGGTAGTCTTCATCATTTGACTTGATACAGTCCACAGAGCAAAAGTAAAAAGAAAAAGAGCGCCAAGCTTATAAAAGCTCCCCGGAGCATATATTAAGCCTGACAAAGATCTGTAAATGTCGTTTTGCCTCCCCCTCTTCGATTCATCTTTTCCCGCCGCGCGTCATAAGGGGCCACAAGGCAGATCAACAAGATGGCAAGACTCCATGGAGATATGATGCTACCCTGACTTACAGAAAAAGACAAAGAAAAACCTGAACCTGGGCGAGCAGCATCCAGAAAATGATGTCAGACATTCCACGGCTCAGTTCCCACTGGCTGCAGCCAACTGGGGAGGACCAGCAGAACAAGCGCTCTAATCCCTGCATATCGCGATCGGCATCCACAAGAAGTCCAGGCAGCGAGCCAGTAGGGTCACTCCAAGCTTCGTCGCTTTCGTCATAGCACCTGTTCTGCATCACTCATCGAAGATCCAGCGATATGGGCACAGTAGACATGAAACGTGGCAGAGACGAATTCCTAGGGCCGTCGTTGTAACACGCTTCATTAACAAAGCCTCTTGGTGAGATTCATTAGCCATTATCGCGTCACTATTTCTTTTTCTAATGCTGTCTAGTTTGCTAAAGAAAGAAATTGCCATGCTTCTTGTCTAACCGCGTCTTCTGTCTAGATGCTGGCTCGTCGAGGCGCCGTTGTTCTCCGCAGAGCCTTCTTCGCCTCCGTCTCTTCCATCAAAGGCAACTTGTTCTCGTCTTTGAGCTGTTGGAAAAATTCTCGACCAAAGTTATAGCCCATCTTGTAAATCTCGTCAAACTTGCCAAAGTCCAGTGTTCCATACGCATCGATAGGCGGCCGCATGTAGATGCACCCTGGCATGGTCTTCGCTCGCTCCAAAGCGTCTACACTTGAGACATAGGCAAGCCTGCCTTGAATCTCTGCAAGCGTTGGTGGATTGGGATGCGCTGAAAAGGGGTTCCACCGATTGAAAAACGCCCACATGCCTGACAAGGAATCTCCATACGTCTGCGGTGTGTCATCGTCAAGCGCTCCCACATCGATCGCAAAAATCATATCAACCCCCAAATCTTTCATATGTGATACCGTCAAATTGTCCACGTAGCCCCCGTCTAGCAGCATGCTGCCTTCGTCGCACAATGGAGGCAACAAGCCGGCTAGCGACATTGAAGCGCGAATGTATCGCCATGCATATCCACTTGTATGAAACTCTGCTCGACTCTTACTGATGTTGGTGGTGTTGCAGTAGTATTCTAGCCAAAAGTCCTCGATCTGCGTATTCCCAAAAGTCTTGAAAATACCTCGATTAAACTCATGCCCAGTTGTATATGAAGCAGACGGATATGTCAGATCTAGAGCAAAGCGCCAAAGACTGGCCATACGACCAGCAAATTTCTTTGCAAACCCAAACATGGGAACAACGTCTGCATGGCGGGCATACAATGCTCCGACAAAGGCTCCGATGGATGTGCCGCCGACGATATCAATCGGAATACCGGCTTCTTCCATCGCTCTGATAATTCCAATCTGACTAATACCTCGTGCACCACCACCGCCCAGAACGAGCCCAATGGATTTCCCGCAAAGTCGGCGGGCCAGGCGGTGAAAGTCTCCCTTGAGTGGGGTGTCAGGCGAGTAATACGGAGTGTGATGCACATTTCTTGACGTATACTTTTGGATCTCAGCTTGCAAAACCTGAACCCTTTCTTTGAGAGCTTGTCCAAGTTTCTTTGACGGAGGATGAACAGGCATCGTGTCTGTTCTGAAAGCCATCTGGATATGGTAATGACCACCATTGATCCACATACGATTCCGCAGCCAGGACCGCGTAAGTCCAGGGCGTGAAAATCGTTCAGTGTGGAGCAGAACTAAAGTCTTCCGCGCAGTTGACTTCATGCCTAACATAAAGCGTTCGTACTCTCCAATAGCAGGAGAGCCTTCTGCTAGGCCAACTAATAGAATACTGTCGGCTTGGGTAATGCAAGTTTGCGTCCATGGCGAGTTGACGCTAGTATCTTTGACAGTCATTTATGTTAGCTTGTATTTCATTACAACATGGTTTAACAGTAAATGAGTGATTAAGTTATGCGATCAGGAAAAAATTAGAGTTAACATAGCCATCAACGACGATGTCTTCGGTGTAAAAAGTTTGTCATCAGAGAGCATGAGGATTTCGAATCAAAGCAGAAAAATAAGAATAAAAGCTTACCTGCCACATACACCACCAACCCATACTTCTCTTCCAAGTCGGCAAGATATTGTGACAACTTGAGTTTACCCATCTTATTGAATGCATGCTTGCCTAGATGGTTCAAGATAGCAGACTGATTCAACGAGGTTGCGCCATTCTGGGGCCCGACCTGGGCAAGCGCGTTCATAAGGCGGTGCCCGAATTCAACCACAGGGACGCCTGAGGTAACTGGCAGGATTGCCACAGTCCGAAGATTTAACGTGGACTTTCGTTGGTTGTTCACAGCACCCGAGCCTGCTTCCTTACCAATGTATTTGGTAGAATCGTCCACTGCTGCTCTCATCCTGGAGGCAATGATTTTGGATATCTTGATGGTAATGTTGGGATGCTCTTGGGCGAGACTGTTGAAGAGTGTGCGAGGAAACTTTACCAGCTCGGTGTCCCGAATGGCATGCAAAGTTCCAGAGCGCGCAGTCTCGGTAAGAACTTCAAGCTCACCGATACTCTCGCCCTGTCCAAATTCAGCTCGCGCTGACACTCCGCCATCCTGTCTATCTTCCACCAAGCGAAGACGGCCATTGAGCACAATGTATATAGCATCGCTCTCATCGCTGTCATGAAATATCACTTGACCAGCATTGACTTGAACCCATTCGAGAGCGAAGTCAATGTGCAGAATTAGACGAGGCAAGATGTGGGTAAGCCTCTTGGCCATAGTTAGGAGGATGATGGGATATTTGTCCACTATCCTTTCCAGAGAAGCTCGAGGAAGGAATCCAACATATACATCTGTCTTGGCTACTACATCAATGAACGACCTGTAAGAAGAGACGCTCCCAATGTAGCCGGCTATGCCTCCAGGTTTGACAAGCGCAACGCTGCGGCGGCGAGTCTGGCCCCGAGATGAAGCGAGCGGCGTGCCATCATTTGACCTTTTGGGAGAAGAGCTATCAAACAAGTGATCTGAATGAAGCGAGTCTGAGCTGAAAGAAGCCGAACCCGATTTCTGAAAAATGTTTTGAGGACCCTCAGTTATGGTGGTCCCAATGTCTAGAAACCCGTCAACGACGTAGTATAGGCCAGGGCTCCGCTCTCCTTGCTCAACAAGCACAGACCCTTTAGGGAAAAAGACAATTTCAACTTCGTCCATCATCTCATGAGCCAATGCATGCGCATTTGGTGGAATATGGCTGGCCAATCCATTCGAGGTCAGGGACTCAGTTTCTCCATCCATCGATCCGTCATATGGTCCGATGAAGCCAAATGCGTTGTTCGTGTACATGGTCTTGGCACGTCGTTGATCTATGGAAGTCAATCTCGGAGATCCTTCCATAGAGTCGACATCACGAGAAGAAGTTCCACCAGCATCCAAGCCAAGGGATTTAAAGACACATTCAAGAATCGATGCTCTGAAGAGATTGTCTTCATCAACCGAGTCACGATCCACTGAGATGCGAGCATGTCGTTCAGAATCAAAAGGATTAAACGTCTTTTGAGTCAATGGACTAAAGATAGCGCTCTCCTCTGCACCGATATTCGTCGGCGACCGTAGAGGATTTCCTGCGTTTGGGGTTCTGTTCAGCGCCCGAGTGAGCTGTGCGCCTGCCAGTAGATCTCCAGGGTTAAGGCCACGGGCTGATCGTGGATCGCGCGCTGGAGCAGCAATGTTGAAAGTAGACGACGCAGAGCGGTTCTTGGCAATAGCTTGCATAACTATCTCTTTTCTTATAGCTGCACTCGACCTTCGACGCCTGGTAGCTGCAGAATTGTGCAAAGCAATCCCTTTTGTCCCTTGGTCTTCACCAATACGCTCTCGCTCAACACTGAATTTCTCTTTCAATCTATTGAGAGCATCTCCACGAAGTATATTGGGGAGCTGGCAGGTGGTAAATTTGACCATGTCTTTCTCCGTTTGCAACACTTCAGCAGTCAGGCCAAGATAGTTGAACGCCTGTGCAAGTGTTACCCTTTGAAACCGGGAGAGGATCACGTGAACGATATGCGCCGTTGCTTTGGGGTATATCTTGATCAACCTCCTGAAGGCACTCGCAGGAATGATTGCAATCGTCGTGTCAACCGTGGCTCTAGCTATGATGTCGGGGTGTGCCGAGCTTGATATTAGCCTCTTTGGAGGCCCTGGCCGTTCTTCGCTGGGCTGAAAAGTAACGGGAGGCTCTAGCGATATGGGTGGGATCTTTGAGGCGCTTTCTCCATTTGATAATAGACCGCCATCCTCATATCTGACTCCTGGACGGTCCACGTTGGGATCGAGATGAGGGGTACTAGGCATCGATGTTGGGGCATGAGAGGGCTTTCGAGTAGACTCTTTCAGAGGATTTGTTCTACTGTGATGCCGACTACCACTCGCTCCGAGAGGAGACTCTTCGTCATGTGTTTTCAATCTCACATCCTCTGTGAACAAAGACATGATGGAAAAAAGAGATGACATCGGCGCTCCATTGCGCACTTCAGTCAAGAGCTGATACTTCTGCTGGCCCGGCAAAGTATCTTCATCGTCGGAGTTGAAGAGGTCGTCTTGAGACCCGCTCCTGGCAGGTGCTCGAGGGTTTCTCCCCGATTTTACAAAAATCTCAACTTGACCATCAACGACGATGCAGAAGCCTTTTTCCTCTTCCAGATTCATTGTTTCTCCGGCAATAAGCTTTCTAGTCTGCATGCTTCGAGTCAATTCGTGAAACACGGATCGTTCGAGATAACCAAAGATCTTGATTGCGCTCAGAAACTCGTCTAGGTAGTTGGCTAAACCAGACTTGATGCCGCCCTCGTGGGTATCGGGGAACAAGTCGATTTCAGGCTCTTTACGCTGAGGTTCGGGAGGCAACCTTGAGTACATATTCAAGATGCGATACCTGACGACCCAGCTAGCCGCCGACACGAAAGCGGCAACGATGAACATGCTAGTGAAGCTGTGAGTCTTGGGTGGCTCTGCAAAACCAAGGGATTGGCAGCATACAGCGTAGTAGCATTCATGGTCACTGTCCAACTCTCAGAGAAGAGAGTGTACAGGACACTTGGAAAAGTAATGGTTACCGTCCGAATAATCCAGTACAGGACGGTAGAGGTGAAGTTGATCATGCTCAAAAGAAGCCACCCGATGAGCCCGAGCCAGCTGGAAGAGGTTTGAGCAGCTTCAATAGTCGCAGGGCTCATGGCGAGCGAGCCTGAAGACGACTCCATGGCGTGAGAGACGCTCTGGGAGAGGCTCCCAGCCAACCGAGCAGCATTTGACAAGTCAGATGCCATGGTTGGAGATGATGCTGCACATTATCGCCCAGCATCATGCAGAGCGATAAGAGGCAGCTGCTGGGAGCGAGGTTGCCGAGGCGGCAAAGCTTGAGGGAAAAGCCGAGATAAAAGAGACGAGAAAAAAAGAGAGAAAAAAAAGAAGGAGCTTGTGATAAATTTCAAGCATGTGGTTTTGACCTCTGAGCTCAGCTTTTGAACCGATATTCTGCCGGCGTGAACACCCCACCATCCCACCTTTTTTTCGTCATAGACTACTAAGGTATAGCGAGTATTGGACAAATATCGAAAGATAAATAATGGAAGCTGAAGTAAAAAATAAATTATATAGATAAATATGTAAAGATGGAATATATAGACGGATATATATGATATGGCTTATTATGGAGATTCTTCCTCAGGTTTTGTTTCTTTGAGTGCTGCTTTCTGCTCGTCAACATTGACGATCACATGACTCGAGCCGAGTTCATTAGCAATAAGCTTCTAGAATCGCATCTGCCTGTAGAAATACATCGAAATGGTCTGCAGAGAGCAGCAGAGCTAGAGAAGCACCGGCATTTCTTCTCCTCTCTACCAACCGGAGCTCTCTCCCCCTTGACACAGAGGGCCGCTGCCTCCAGACTGATCATGCCACATTGATCCAGCGAAAAGAAAATCTTTCCCAGATGCCCTTTGCGCAGCTTGTACTCGGGAGTCCCGGCGCGGGAAAGAGCACTTATTGCGATGGCAGTACGTTCGAAAGACTCGCAATTCAGTTTTCAAAGTGAAGACTATGGAGAGCGCTGACATGAAGTTTTTGACCTTTCCCAGTGCACCAGTTCATGGGCGCTATTGGGCGTGCGTGCTCCGTCGTGAACCTCGACCCTGCCAACGACCATACGAACTATCCTTGTGCTCTCGACATTCGCGACTTAGTTAAGCTAGAGGATATCATGCGCGAAGATCGCTTGGGACCCAACGGCGGCATCTTATATGCTCTTGAGGAGCTTGAGAATAACTACGAATGGCTAGAAGAAGGACTGAAAGAGCTTGGAGAAGACTACATCCTATTCGACTGCCCCGGTCAAGTTGAGCTCTACACACACCACAACTCGTTAAGAAACATCTTCTATAAGCTTAGCAAGATTGGGTTCAGAGTCAGTTTGCCTTGTCAAGGGTAACAGAGCTCGGGGTTTGCTAACTATTGCTGCATAGTTTGTCTGTGTACATCTCTCCGATTGCTTCTGCCTCACTCAGCCCTCCCTATACGTTTCCAACGTTCTCCTTTCGCTCAGAGCCATGATTCAGATGGACATGCCGCATGTCAACGTGCTTTCCAAAATTGACAAGATAGCATCATATGACGAACTTCCTTTTAATCTAGAATATTATACCGATGTCGACGACTTGACGCATTTAACTCCATACCTCGAAGCAGAGTCTCCAGGAATGCGAAACGAAAAGTTTGGTCGACTGCACGAAGCAATAGCAAACATGATTGAGAGCTATGGCCTCGTGAGATACGAGGTGCTGGCAGTGGAGAATAAAAAGAGCATGATGTATCTGCTCCGCGTAATTGATCGCGCAGGAGGATACGTATTTGGAGGCGCAGAAGGTGCCAACGACACGGTCTGGTCCGTCGCCATGAGAAATGAAACTTCCATGATGGACGTTCAGGATATCCAGGAGCGATGGATCGACCACAAAGACGAGTATGATCGTCTTGAGCGAGAAGCTGAGGAGGAGGAGCAAAGGAGGGTACAGGAGGAGCACGGCATGGAGGTTGATGAGCCCCAACCAGCTGCTCCCCCTCCGGCTGCATCTGAGGGAGAGATAGACCCAGACTTTGGCGATATGACCATACCACAGGACAGCGGAGTCCGGGTATTTAGAAAGAAATAATCATAATTCTTCGCCATCCATCAGCTTCCATCCTCCATATCCTCGTCGCTCATGGCATTGTCCATGACATCTAGCATAGCATCCTCTTTCGTGCCTAGTATATTTGTAGAGAGTGAAGATTGTGGGTGAGCGCTGGCCTCTGCCTTGGCTGCCAGGATAAGCTTTCTCGCTCGCTCCACTGCGACCTCTTCGATTTTGCGAATGGTGCCACTAACACGAACGACGCGGAAAATGCAGGGCCGTCCATCCTTCACGGGGACACGATCCATAAACGTCAATGCCGACCATAGGAGTTGATAATGTGCCCTATTGCATCTCAGAATGAAGGTCGAAGTCGCTAGAGACAGATATTTGACTATTGGGGGCATGGGTCAGCGTTGCATCCCTAACTACCTATCACATGCGCGCCTGGAGATGTCGGCCAGCTGCTGACTCCAAACCAAAACTCACCCGAAAGATTGCCCTCGAGAGCGCCCGCGCCATAGTCGCCGTACAGCAACGACACCTCTGCCCTGATGGCCCTGACCAGAGCCTGGGGGGTCAGCTTCTCAACGGTCGGCTGGTGATGGGCAACCAAGCCCGGCACACGAGCCTTGGATATCTTGGTCGCATCGGGCGGATAGACGATGTTGACGAGGAGGTAGCGTTCCTTGATGCGCACCATTGCACGGTAGGGTGGCCAGACAAAGGACCGTCTGGTCAGATCAGACGAGATGCCGCTCGATTAATGGGAAAAGATTCGGGTTGCGAGCGAATGCCGGGCCCAGTCGACAGGGGCGAGGATCAGCGGCTGGCGTCGAGAGATTCTCTCAAGGTTGCAGATTCCACAGAGATTGACGCCGAAAAATAGTCCATGGCGCCAATTCGGGTCTCGGGGTATTGATGAGTGGGGATCTTGGCGCATGCAGCTTGCTGGCCAGCGCCGCGATGAAGCTTATCAGAGCACTAAAGCCGCGCTGCTGCAGCGGGTTTTTGGGGGGCTTTGGGGGGGCTGGCTAGGTGCTACACCCGTAAAAACCTCCGCATTGCTACATGCCTGTTTCTGCGCGGCATGACCTCACAGGCGTTTATACTGCACAAGCTTCAACTTTGCCTACAACTACCTAGATGTACCATTCCGTATTCGTTCATCCGGACGCTACTATAACTTTGTATTAGCTGCAAAACCAAACAGCTTCCAACAGACTTTGTTCTAGATCCGGGCTGCTGCTGCTCCCAACACGATTCTACGCTGCCCAACGTAAACCTACCAAGCTGAAGGATACCGAGTAGATCACAACAGCTTTCAGCCTCACCTCATCGTGTCAATTGACAAAGCTTAGAGTGAGCGATTGGGGGCAATTATCTTTGGAGTTCGCCAGTTCCGATCGGATACTACATCCAAGACTCGCTCACAGCGTCTTTGATCAACTATCATCTCCATTACATCTCCAGCTTCGTCCGACACCATGGACGGCCCATTCAACGCCGCAATCCTCATCGTCTCAACCACAGCCGCAAAGGATCCATCAGCCGATGCTTCAGCAACCGTCCTGCGAGAGGTGCTGATGCAAGATGGAGGCGGCCGGTGGGACGTCGTCGATGAGCGCATTGTATCAGACAATGTCTTTGACATACAGAGGAACATCATGCTCTGGGCAGACGGCCCCAACGCAGTCAATCTCATAATAACAACCGGCGGCACCGGATTCTCAGTAGCAGATGTGACGCCAGAGGTGAGTGCATATAAAACATCCCTTCCACCATGAGATATATATCGATGCTAATAAGAATCGTGGTTTCCTTGCCCCTCCGAATAGGCTGTCGCTCCAATGATACATAAAACCGCTCCGGGCCTGATCCACGCCATGCTTTCCGCATCCCTATCAGTTACGCCATGTAAGTCCATGACATTAAATGAGTGTTTTAATATTCTATACCAATTATATAGCTAACGAATCATCAAAGTTGCCATGATGTCTCGCCCCACCGCAGGAGTAAGGAATAAGACTCTCATTGTCACCTTGCCAGGCTCACCAAAAGGCGCAAAAGAGAACCTTCAAGCCATTATTAAGACTCTCCCACATGCCTGTCTCCAAGCAGGAGGCGCAAACTCAAGAGCTCTGCATGCCGGCGGCGTCAAAAAGCTTGAGGCCGACGCTGGGATTGATCGCTCCCCAGCTCAGGCCTCAGCTTCAACACACCAACACCATCATGGACACTCCCACGGTCACGGTCACAGCCACGGCCATGGACACTCCCACGGCCATGGAAGCCTTCAGAGATTCACTACTCCAGGCTCAACCAACTCATCTCACTTGTCCAATGATTTCAGCCAGGGTCCTACGCGCCGATACCGCGAATCTCCTTATCCCATGCTATCCGTAGACGATGCTCTTGCTTTAGTATTGGAACACTCACCGGATCCACAAACCGAATTGGTCAAGGTCGATGAGAATATCGTTGGAATGGTGCTGGCCGACGACATCAAGGCCAAAGAGAACGTCCCGGCTTTCCGAGCTAGTATTGTGGATGGGTATGCCGTCGTCGTTCCCAAAGATGGCATCGTAAAGGGCGCTTTTCCCGTCACCGGTGTATCTCACGCCGCTCCGGGAGAGATACCTCCATTGAAGGCGGGCGATATTGCTAGGATAACGACGGGAGCTCCGCTGCCGCCGGGGGCCAACGCCGTCATCATGGTAGAAGACACCACCCTGAAGACCATGACAGAGGATGGCAAAGAAGAAAAAGAAGTCGAGATCCAAGCTGAAGGAGTTACAGATGGCGCCAATGTCCGTGAGATTGGGAGTGACATTGCGCAAGGCAGCGTGATTCTCAAAAAGGGAGAACAGATATCCGCGGTGGGCGGAGAAATTGGCCTTCTCGCTGCCGTCGGCGTGGCAGAAGCCCAGGTATATAAGCGGCCCGTCGTCGGAGTCCTCTCCACCGGCGACGAGATTGTTGACTACCATCGGCCAGGAGGCTTGAAACTAGGCGAGGTTCGTGATACTAATCGCATCACGCTCATCTCTGCCGCCAAGGAATGGGGTTTCCCAGTCATTGACCTCGGAATCGCTAGCGATAAACCCGGCACCTTGGAAGAAACTCTGAGGGCTGGCCTCAGGGAAGCTGATGTGCTCATCACAACAGGAGGTGTCTCTATGGGAGAACTTGACCTCCTGAAACCTACGCTTGAGCGCTCTCTAGGCGGAACGATTCACTTTGGGCGGGTGGCTATGAAGCCTGGCAAGCCAACTACTTTTGCCACCATTCCCGTGAAGGACAACGCAGGGCAGCGCATCTCCAAGGCCGTCTTCTCTCTCCCCGGCAACCCTGCCTCCGCACTCGTGACATTCCACCTCTTCGTCCTCCCGTCTCTACATAAACAGTCTGGCGTCTCGCCCGTTGGCCTCCCTAAAGTCCCGGTAACGCTGGCACACGAATTTCATGTAGATGCCCGGCCAGAATTCCATCGCGTCGTCGTGACCATTGGTCAAGACGGCCTTCTGACAGCGAGCAGCACTGGAGGACAGCGTAGTTCCAAAGTAGGCAGCTTAAGATCGGCCAATGCGCTGCTCTGCTTGCCTGGCGGAGGTGGGAAGCTGGAGAAGGGCTCAAAGGTTAATGCTCTGTTGATGAACTCAGTGCGTGGTGGATGAGCATAGCTCAAGAGTCAGCTGTACATGGTACGTGAATCAATGTTGGAAGAGAAGGAAAAGGACGACAGGGGGGGAATAATTAAGCTCTTTTTATCTTTGAACATTCATAGCTCTTAAAAATGATGCCTAGATTCGAGCATCCGCAGCTGTCTTTAGTGTACACGGGGTGCTAGTCATACAGCTTCAAATAACAAAAAAAAAAAAAGATATGCACATCGTCTACAGCCCAGTCTTCCAAACGCCCAACCAAAAATTATCGGCGCAATGCATGTATATCAAATTCCTGCTCTTTTGATTTGATCATGGGGGAATAGAGGGAGTCGCACAGAGAGAGATAGGCTGTGCTATAGTATTGAAGATTATTTGGTTATTTCTCTCTCTTGTATACTTAAGTGGGCTTGACGCCAAAGGCAGGAGCCTTTTCTGACACCAGAAGGCCGACGATCAAACCAAAAAGTCCCAAGACAGAGCTGAAAATTTCAATAACCAGAATCTTGACGAACCTATAAAAGCAGTTAGTATGTGCGTTTCAAGTGTAGTGTCGTCAGAAGAGTCGGAATGTAAATGGACAAGGGGCAGGGGGTGGCATACAATGAGGCATCCGCAGCATCAGCAAGCGCAGCTCCACTGCCGTTGATGCCGACCGCAACACCGCAGACAAGATTGCACGCGCCAACGGTCAAGCCAGCCCAGAACAAGGCAAAGCCAGTAAAGTAGGAGTCGGGAGAGTAGAGTTCGGCACCGTGGACAGACTCGACTTTGGAGGAGAAGACAATGGCCATGATGACGCCGTAGATGGCGACGACCTCACAGAAGATGATGGAGATCAAGTTCTTTGTTCGGATTCGAGGAGCCTTGACGCCGGCGCCGAGGATGGAGGATCCGGTAATGAAGATGCCCCTGTGTGAAAATGCGATGTTAGTTGATTGTGCTTCCATGTAATGTTATCCCCTGCGGCATAGCTGCGTAATGCTGTTTTAAACCACCGCAATCTTTCGAAATCGATGCACTCACCATGCTGCACCAACGACAGAGAGACCGATGCACAGGGAAATGCCCAAACTAGCCCATGCATATGGCGATATCGATTCGAGAAAGGCTCCGACGTTGAAGGACTCGCCGCTGCCGGTAAAGAGCATGTCTGTGATGGTTCCCTGGTGTCAGCCTTGGCAGTCCAATCGCAAGCGATTGCATATCCGGATTTCAGCACGTACAAAGTCCCACCACGATCAGAAACGACCAGACGCCGCCTACTCCATACGTATAACTCATGATTTCCGTGATGCTGCTGCCGCTGCTGCTATTGTCGAGTAGATGGCGAAAACGGGTTGCTGCCGCAGCAATGGCAATGGGGTTTAGATGCAAGCTTGGCCGAAGCTCTTCGGAGCACAGAGGCGCGACACAGGCCGATGTCACATGACAAACGCGCTGAGTCATCCACACTCCCGCAGCTCCCCAGAGCCGTGCTTCAGCGCCCCACAGCAGGCTGCGCTGAGGTCGGAGGCCACTTTATACTTCCAGCCGTGCAGTGCAGCCTTAGGGACGGCATTAGTCACGCTGCGCTAGGCTGAGCCGTCTTCAACACCGTCTGTCAGCCGCTTGCTGGGCCGAACTTGATCCAAACATCATCCAGCGCCGTCACGACTATCGGCCGCCCTCGACTTCCAGCCTCTCGCTTGCTCAACGTCGACTCTCCTTTACACTCATCACCGACGACTCGAGAATCCCATTCATTCGTTACCCACCAGTCACAATGGCAAGCGGCGCGCAGTCATTCTATGAGCTCTACCGTAGGAGCAGGTAATGGCCAGTCTACTGCGGGGGGCCATGGCTTGTTACTAACTGGGTTCGCAGTATCGGGCTCGCCTTGACTGATACGCTGGACGATCTGATTAGCGAGGAGCGCATCCACCCGCAGCTGGCGATGAAGATCTTGAGCAACTTCGACCAGGCTATTACCGAGGCGCTTCAAAAGAACGTCAAGAGTCGACTTCAGTTCAAGGTAAATTACGGCGGTCACCGAGGTCTATTCGAGAGGCGGAGTGGGCGCTCTTGTTTGTTTGAGCCGTGACTGACGAGTGGACTGGAACAGGGGAGCCTAGATACCTACCGATTCTGCGACGAAGTCTGGACTTTCTTAATCAAGAACGTGACATTCAAGATGGACAACGGCAACGTCTCTGTCCAGGCCGACAAAGTCAAGATTGTCAGCTGCAATGCTAAGAGACCTGGCGAGGGACAGTAAGGGTGTATGAACCGATTTGACAACTGAAGAGATTGTATGAAAACAGTACAGAGAGGAGGGCGAGACGAGCCCAAATAATCATGCACGGATGGCGACAGGACCGCCAGAGACGTGTGAAATGGCGTTCTAAGGCTTGCATTTGGGATACAGGACAAGGGGAAATCGCTTGATTTTATATATAACAATTTGCACCTATTGGGGAATTTGGCTCTTTTGACGAAACCACCTTATGAAATAGACAATACAGATAATTATTTGCTTCAACACTGAGATCTAATATGTCGAGTCCCGTGTTCTCGGCATTTGCCTACAGCCCCTGGGAGCACAAGAACCGGCACATTCTGTAGTGTCACAGCAGAGCCGCGCCACTGTGGCGGTGAATGCGCCCAACTTACACTATTCCCCCAAAGGGTGGTCAAATTACACGACAAAGAAAAAAAAGACTTTTCATCTACAGACATAATAGATAGCAGTAGCAAAGTTGCGTTCATATAGAAAGAGAAATTCATATCAGGTAAATACAGCCAATGTAGAAATAAATGGAGATTTACTTTGGCAGCTATGACATGTGCTCCGCAGTGATACAGCATCCAGTCCCGCTTATTCTGTCCACTGCTCGCCTATGGCAACGCAGAAGCAAGCTCACTAAAACATTCAAGTTCCACTGTCTTGTCTGGCCTCAGACAATGTCAACGCTTCAGCCGTCCTTTGCCAGCGATTTGATCCGCAGGTAATTTGGGCATTGTCGTTTTCCAACACTCACCCACTCACACACCGGAAATCTTCTTTTCAAACAAAAGCTTCTTTGTTCAATCACATAAGCCAAAAAAAAAAAAAAATCCACCGCCCCCACATAACATTTCATATCCGTGTACCGTGGTACTTATGGACACACGCAAACGGCGGACCAAACCGCCGACCTCTCCGGCACCCCAGCATCATCACGAGTCTTCTCGCACTGCCAAGAGCACTTCTCCTACCGCCGACAAGATGGACGTCGAAGAGCCTTCCTCATGGAGAAAGCATTGGATGTTTTTTGCGGTGGCGAGCGGTGCTTGTGCGGCGTTTAATGGCGTGTTTGCAAAGCTGTATGTGATTCCATTATCTAGCTTGTCATCTCCCAGCATGTATATTTGCACATATATATGTGCATTTCATGGGAATCCATGTGTCGGAGGAATAAGCGCTCATTTCGTGTATATACTAACTTGATTTTACTACTTTAGGACCACCACGCAACTCACCACAAGCATATCAAACGGCATCGCCCACGGTCTCGGAATTGCAGCTCACGAGAAGATCGTCGAAGTCGTTGTCCGCGCTGTAAGTCCCCTCGGCCATTAAGAATCTCAAAATACACCGCACGCTAACGCACCATCATCTAGATCTTCTTCATTCTCAACCTCACCTTCAATGGCATTGTAAGTTTAAAAGCTCTTCTTATCTCTCGCACCTCCTTATATCACACATCTCATTACATCTATGAAACTCGCATACATCTAACAAAACACTAGATGTGGTCTCTCTTCACTACTGCCCTCGCTCGCGGCAAGTCTGCAACTCAAGTCTCCATCATGAACACCTCCACCAACTTCCTCGTCACCGCCTTCACCGGCCTACTCATCTTCTCCGAGTCTCTTCCCCCGATGTGGTGGGCCGGCGCCTCACTCCTCGTTGCTGGAAGTGTCATCGCCGGCCGCAAGGACGAGGGTGAAGGCACCAAAGACGCTGCGGCCGGCGAGTCGTATGAGCCGGTACCTACAGATGGCAACCTTGAGCTGAATGAGGATGTGGCTTCTGGTGAAAGATATCGTGATGAAGATGTCCCCGATTTGGGAGAGCTGCGTGGTTGAATCACATGAAGCTCTGCTTTAATCGATAACGATAGCATAGCATTTTTATATTGTTGTATATACAAAGCCAAATAACGCTCCCATGTATTATCCCGTCTATCTTCTTTCCAATTCAACGCCTTCATCAACAACCTCTTCGTCCCCATCCAGGATGTTACCTCTCCTCCCACGGGTCCGCTCATCGTCAAACTGGTCGCTAAGCCTTATATGGCCCCGTGAAACGGTCGACACCGAATTGGAAACCCAAAATCCCACTCTGCGAAGAGCACTCCATAAATGTTCCTGTCCCTCTATGACATGCTGGTCATCCTTGGGATTCTCCGCTGCTTCTACCTTGAACTGGTACTTCAGACAGTCTTTCACCGTGACTAGACCGGAGAGCTTTCCATGATATTCAATCAGAATGACGCGAGGACCAATCTTCTGGAATAATTCCATAACAGTCTCCAGAGGCAAGCGAGGATGCGCCGTTACGGGTGTGGCGTCAATGTATCGGCTGAAATCAAGAGGCGATGAGGCCGCAGTGTCTGCGCGGAAAGCGGGCGTAACAGGGGTGATCGCAGGTGCCTGAGTCGGATGCGGTGAGAAAAAGCATTTTGCGTCTTGAGAAACGGGTCGTTCACGCTTTGCTCGATCAATGGCATAGCGCAGCTCGGTCCTACCAATGTAGCCAACCAGCGTCTTGGAACTGCTATCCAACACGATAGGGAACCCCTGATATTTGTCCTCGGCCAGCAGCTCCTCGACATCAGCAACTGTCAGTCCATTAACAGTTAGCGACACGACAGAGCTTCGCATGACCTGAGAGACGGGAACGCCATAATTGTGATCCTCTTTGCTATCAATAAATGGAAAACCATTGAACCAAATCATGCGGTCGGCAATACCTCCCTTGCCAAACATCTCGCTGACAAGTTTCGTGACGCCGACCACGATCATTGTCGGGAGGATATACGTCAGTGCTCCGGTAAGCTCAAACATAATAACGACGACAGTCAGGGTGAGATGCATGATGCCGCTAAGTGCTGCCGCTGCGCCGAGGAAGGCATACGTGCCTGGCGTGATACACGGTTCATCCGGCTTGCAGGCAGAAAAGAAGACGCTGGTTGGGTTTGCTTCATATATAGCTTGGACAATGATGCCAACTGTACGCCCAAACGAGGCGCCAATGGCCATGGAAGGAACAAAAATTCCTGCAGGCACTTTGCATCCGTACGAAATAATGACGAGGAACACTCTCAACACCGTCGCAAGGATCAGTGACACGAGGTTCCACGCCCTCTTATCCTTGTCGCAAAGCCCATGGTAGTTTTCGGCTCCTTCGCACTCGAGGAAAAGAATCTCCATGCTTTCTGTCATGTCGATCTTGAGAAAAGCGTTGGGATAGGCGATGATGGCAGTCCCCGCCGCAAGGAGCGTCGCCTCCAAGATGGCATATTTTGTCAAGTACTTTTTGCGAAAGGCCTGAGCTCTCAGATTCCACTTAATCACAAAGGCGCCATACAGCCCGCCAAATATTCCGATTATGATGTAAAACACGACCTCGAAAAAATGCCAGTCTCTGTCGTATTTGACCTGGAACATGACCAGCTGGCCCGTTCGAAAAGGATTCATCGCAGAGAGAACCGCTGTGGCAACCAGCGCACAAAAATAGCTCCGCCACATCGTCTTGAGCGGAAAGTAGCTCGACATCTCTTCGAGAGAGAAGAGTACACCTCCGATAGGGCTACCAAAGGCAACAGCAACACCAGCGGCAGCACAGGCGCTGAGAATCTCACGAGTCTTGGACGCATTACTCCTGTACTTGTTGAACAGCCTTGAAATAACATTGCCAGTGCAGACGGCGTAGTGAACACTAGGTCCTTCCTTTCCAACCGACAGTCCGGAGGCGATGGCCAGTGGCAGGCATATCGACTTGATTAACAGGGTCCAAAATCCAAGAAAACCCTTCATCACGAAGCCGGCAATGATACACTTGATCTCCGATATGCCAGATCCAGCTGCATACGGGGCATACGACTTGACCAACGTCGCAGATATCAAAGCGAAAGTTGTCTATAAGCAATTAGAATTCCTTGTTCAGCCCAGTTACTGTCCAGAATCAGCGTGTTACTTGCCGCAAAGATAAAGTAGATAAAGTAGTTGAGAGGACCAAAGCCCGTCCATCGATGCCACGCCTCACAACCTATAAGAATAGTCAGTTAGCCGCTCATGCACATTGAAGTAGATGCAAAAAGGGAATCATCACCATTGTCCTCTCCCCAGCAGCAAAATTTCTCGTTGAGATAGAACCCCGTCGTACAATGGCCCGTCTTGATATCCGATAGCCACTCCGTCACAATATTCAAAAACGCCGCGTTAAGCCCAATGGCCGCTCCAATGATGGTGACAACAATCCATCCTTGCGCCGCATCGTAGGATTCCCAGAGCCGATATCTCCAACCGGGCTGCCCCAGCCTGTATACTCCTGCCGTGCGTGTCCTGCGAGCTTTGCGCCGTGCTTGTTCTCGCGCAGCGTCTTGTACCCAATCTGTCGGAGCTCTGGAATCAGTCTCGTCTGGTTTTTATGGAGATGATGGGTTGAATGTAGACCCCAAGCATTCATTCGCTCTCACCTATAGTTGTAAAGTCCTGGATACCACAACAGTCAGCGCTGAGATCTAAAGAGGGCACGCATAGATGTACATGTCACTGTCACATGCGCTCTCTTGCTCACCTCGTATCTCTTGATTTCAGCAATCTCCTCTTCAATCTGACCCTCCCTTGGTGCGCTATCGGCCGAAGCTTCGCCCTGTTCTGCATTGGACACCGCAAAAGAGAGTCGAGAGCTGATGGACGGTCGTCGCGAGAGCGCCGGGCTGAGAGCGCCGAAGGCTGCTGTTTGTGAATTCATCGCTCCGGCCCGCAGATCATGGCGATCGGTTGGCCAGTAGCGCAATCGCTAGTGCCTCGGCGTGTAATTCGATGCGATATGATGCGACTGCGACTGCGACTGCGGTGACGTTAAGCTGGCTGTTTCCACAGTTCTGGTGTTGAAGGGTGCGTGTGTCGCAAGCCAGGTATGTTGTAATAATAGCCCGGCTGGATCAGATTGACCAGCGTGCCTTGCTGTAAGTGGTGCATGTGCCTACCTAGCAGTAGCACTACAGGCACCCACTAAATGCAAAGCCCCTGCTGTAGCAGCAGATCCTCCAGCATGTCTAGCAAGCGACTAGCAGAAGGCTGTAAGCATTGTACTACACACTACGTCTTTATATGCATGAATAATACAGCCTTGATATGATTCAAACTTCATAAGTAAAATTGAAAGAAAAGATCCTTGTTTTCATAAGTCTAATAAAGAATATCGGCATCTTCTTTTTCTTTTCTAGACGCACAAAGGCCTGGTACACAGAAATTCGCAGGCTGTTCTACCAAGCAAAATCGCAAATCACGTGCATACTCCCAAGCTCCCCACTAGCCTGTCTGTCCCTTGTCAACTTGTCCATCTAATCGCAGTGGCGCTACGTATTGGATCGTTCATAGCTTGCTGGCAGGAGAGCAGCACAGGCCAGATTCGCCATATCGCATTGCTTCGACTTCTGCCACCTACAACGCCAATTCTCCCCGTTCCTCACTCGCACGCCCATTATTTCAGTCTGTTAGCGATTATACACTCAAGATGGTAAGCTGCGCAGCTCTCTGCAACATCGACACCCCTCCCAGCGCACCCCCCGCCGTAACTAACAAACCAACTCTATCCAGGCGGCGCAGGTCATCTCCAACTCCGGTCACGATGATATGATTGTACGTTCGACCTTTGCCAGATATGTTCCGACTTTGCTCAATATTGCTGTACCTAAAATTTGGCATCTACGATACCTTGATACGATGTTCGACTTCGAGCAACAGAAAGTCAAGGTCGCGCCTTGGCTAATTCTTGACTAACTATGGCCCAATCTAGCACGATGCCGTTCTCGATTACTACGGACGAAAGCTGGCGACATGCTCAAGTGATCGAACGATTAAGATTTTCGAGATCGAAGGCGAGACACAACGCCTGGTAGAGACCTTGAAAGGGTGAGACGCCGCCTCATCTTATACAACCCAGTATGGCCCAATGCGAGAACACAATTATTGACATCCACATCCTATATAGACACGAAGGCGCTGTATGGTGCGTTGCCTGGGCGCACCCCAAGTACGGCAATATCTTGGCATCGGCTGGCTACGATGGCAAGGTCTTCATCTGGAAGGAGCAGGGTGCCCAGAACAGCCAATGGCAGCGAATCTACGACTTCCCCCTACACAAGGCCTCGGTGAACATTGTCTCCTGGTCTCCTCATGAGGCAGGCTGCCTCCTCGCCTGTGCATCTTCTGACGGCAACGTCAGCGTGCTCGAGTTCAAAGACAACAGCGTCGACCACGTCACATTCCCTGCCCACGGCCTCGGTGTCAACTCCGTTTCTTGGGCCCCTGCTACTACACCTGGCAGCATCGTCAGCAGTGCCCCGGGTCCTGGAGCCACTGGTAACCGACGGTTCGTCACGGGCGGCTCCGATAACTTGATCAAGATTTGGGCATTCGACCCCGCTGCGCAGTCATATAAGCAAGAAGGCGAGGCCTTGACAGGCCACTCCGACTGGGTGCGCGATGTTGCTTGGTCTCCCACTGTCTTGCAAAAGTCATACATTGCATCAGCCTCGCAAGATAAGACAGTTCGCATCTGGACTTCAGACCCATCTAGCGGTGGCCAGTGGGCGAGCAAGGTGCTTAACTTTGAAGCCCCTGTTTGGCGTGTGAGCTGGTCCCTGAGCGGCAACGTGTTGGCGGTTAGCTGTGCAGACAACAAGGTATCTCTCTGGCAAGAGAACCTACGTGGCGAGTGGGAGTGTGTCAAGTCAATTGAGGAGTAAACTAGAGAGGAGGGGATAGAGGCGAAGAAATACATATCTCGGTGTTATGATTAGGCGTTTTGTTAGTGAGCAGGGCATCGAAGGCAGGGGCGCAAAAAGAGGAACAAGGATGGATAGGATAAACCTATTCATTTACTAGTCATGCTTCATGCAGTGGGGAGAAGCAAGACTGCGAACGTGATGCCCATCCCCCAGGGGCTAAATGGTGGAAGGAGATAAAGCCATTGTGATGATATACAATAATTCTTTGGAAAGTCTTTAAATAGATGGTTCAACTTCACCTTTACTATGAACTAAGATATGATGCGCTCAAAACGGCCATTGACATTTTAAATGGTCTATCCCTCTGATTGCTGGCTTCTTTGTGCATCGCCTACAGTATCCCTTTATAAGTTCTTGTAAGTCAAGCTTTGTTAGTACAGTTCAAAGACAGCAAGATACCGCTGGTCAAGCATTCAAAAGCCGGCAACAACAGGCAGAGTAAATGAGCTTTGAACACCAGAAGTGATCAAACCATCTTGGCATGTCAAGAAAGAATACTGTCTCAAAGACATCAACTCTTTAAACTGGCTCAGTCCTCAGACTATTAAAGGATAAGTTGAACGTAGTACCCCTTCAGTAGGCTTTTTCCGTCAGCTTCGTCTATGACACTGAACCTCTGCTTCCAAGTACGCCTCCTAAGACTTGCAACATTTCAAATGCACACCTTTCTCTCCTGTGGCCAAGATGAACCTCGACGAGCCATACATCTGCATTCCAGGAGTGCCCAACTTTCGTGATATCGGTGGCTATGCTATTACTTCGGAAAAGAATAAGCAGGTCCGGCGAAATGTCATCTTCCGTTCGGCATTTCCTCGTCAAATTTTAGATCCCAAATCAGGGAGAGCGAAGAACAAGATACAGCTGTTCAATATAAGTCATGTGTTTGACTTGCGCTCAGAAAATGAATTTCTCAAATCGAGAGTCTATGACAGGAGAAGATGGCTCTGGTCAGCAACGTTTCGAGTGTCAGCGCCGGTATTCCGGCCTGAAGACTACAACCCTCATACTCTAGCTTGTCAATTCAAAGAAAGCGGCTCTGGTCCTGAAGTATGTCAAATTTTATTTTATTTTATTCAATAATATGAGATGAGATGACAGCTGGAGCGTAGCTATAAATCATCCGCTAGGTGTATAGATACTGATCAGTTTACAAGGGGTTCGTCCAAATATTTGATAAGATTCTTGAATCGGCAAGCCATCCCGAGAACAAAGCTCGCCCTTTTGCGCAAATTCTCGAACTTCTATCCTCTAAAACTAACAAGCCTCCTGCGCAGCCTATACTTATACACTGCGACTTGGGCACGGACAGAACAGCTGTCATCTGCGCATTGATCCTATCCCTGTGCGGCGTGAGCGACCTGGACGTGGCTAAGGATTATCATCAATCCGGTATCGAGCTGGCTTCCCATCTAAAGTGCAATGCGGTAAAGCTCGAGGAGGATCCCGTATTTAAAAGCGCTGGAGGAACTGCGGCCGATGCGAAGATTTTGGTTTCAACGCGGTGAGTAATTCTCTTTGGCCATATAATGGGGCGATAATGCTGCTGAAGGCTCTGACTTACCTTTTCTTTAAGGGAGGATAACATGTTGTGCTTTTTGAAGTATCTCAGAGAGAAGCATGGCTCGATTAAGCAATGTATTAAGAACCACAAGTTGCTCGATGATGATGGCATATCGAGACTGAGGAAAAATATGATTGTCGATGCCGCCAAGAATCACTCTATTGCTAGTAAGTCGAGATACACTCTTGAACTTTGCTTGTGTTTCATGATGGTGAGAATATTGCTAATATTGGACTGTTCGCGTGAAGGGGCATGGGATAGGTAGGCAGGATTTTGAGTGCAGGTAGATAGGATGATCTCAACATGGGCTTTGGGCATCACAAATGTGCTGCGTTTCATGATTGATAGGATGCAAATATTTCATGTTTGTTTAATGTATGAGACTATACTTTAATTAATGGCCGCAGTCAAGAGATTACCGTTGAAAAGCACTCTCAGCTTTTACAGAGGTGTTGGTCTTTAAAGAGTAGCTTGTTTGATCGCACCATGCACATATATGTATTAGCCTAACCAGGGCAAATTGCTGCCTACGCCCAACACATGACAGGAGCAAAAATAAAGAGATGGCCTCTATTTTTGTTATGAAACACTTCTCTTCCGAGTTACTTCATCTATCAAGCTTCCTACCATTTCTCCAATATATATCCAAGACTGGCTAATAAATACCCGGCGCTTCAGTCTCACTCCCCTCTCCATCCCGCAATTTCTTCAGCCTAGAAAGCCGCTCATGGCAGCTTCTCTCCATGCATCAAATCACAAGGCCATCGGCACCAGACAGCCAGACAAAACCTATACCGATCGCAAGTCCGCTCGTGTCGTGGCCCTCAAGCCCTCCGGCGACGTTGCCGTCATCCACGTCAAAGTAGGAAACTATTACAAGCTCCCTGGCGGCGGTATTGAAGCGGGCGAAAGTCACTCTGACGCTGCCCAGCGCGAGGTCAAGGAAGAAACCGGAGCGGTAGTCGCCTTGCGCAGCACCTATTTTGCCACTACTGAAGAGTTTCGCTTCCATCTTCATCAGGTTTCTTACTGCTATTTGGCCGATGTGCTCGATGACACTGGCGAGCCATGCTTGACCGAAGAGGAGCTGGCTGATGGGTTTACTCACCAGTGGATGAATATCGACAAGGCCATGGAGGTCATGGCTGCGGCAGAGCCAACCACAGAATTTGGCTGTTTCGTCAAAGAGCGAGATACGTATGTCCTTGCCGTGGCTGCTAAGATCATGGAGACCAGGCAGGGCTAGAAAATGAAACCATTGGACATGGCACTAAAGCTACTGATCAGACAGCAAGGGAAGGCAGTTACATATAGAATTAAAAAAAAAAAATAAGCTACTGTATGCGGTTTGATAGAAGAATTGCATCTCCTGAACGAGATATGAAAAGGGCAGAGAGGGCTGCGTGATGAAGAGGATTTACGCATCAACTCACTTCTTTTACCAAAGATCCATCCTACAACAACAGTAAATTTGTTAAATTTACAGCTTTTTCCTTTTTGCCTTTTTTTTAAAAAAAAAAAAAAAAAAAGAATGAAGGTGTCTCTTATCGTACTCGCAACCACTGGCCTCTTATCCGCCGCAGAAGCGTGCAAATGCTGATACGACAAAATGTTAAAATTTGGCCCCCTTCTACCGGCACATGATACTCTCGGGTAATAGAATAATGATTGCCGAAGAACACCCATATAACTGCCAGCTTTTGTATATTATAAATACGGTATGAACGGAACCACATTCCCCATGATGAATCTAGATATTGCCTGAATGCTCCTTGCCTCTCATAAAACTCCTAGTTCAATAAATTGGTAGCCTCCATGTCCATATACCGGCCCCAATGATACTAGTGCAGAAACGCCAACGCCCATGTTAAAAATTGCCCAAACATGATCCCCAGTATAGAAAATAGCTTAAACGTTCCTGTTGAATCTAAGTCGCCAAGTCTCACCATTTAAAAAGTCGTCGTTCGAAAACATAACCTCATCAAGTGCTATTGTCGAGTTCGTTTGAAGAGGCACCTTTTTGTAAGACGTAAATGCTGTGTGTATATCATTTCCGTAATGCTTAGCAATAGATACCACGAACCCGGCTATCTCTCCTACCAATTTTTCATCGTGAGTATTCTTCGATGAAAAAAAGATTATATAGTATCACTTACCCAAACTGATGAGCATAAAGTTTCTTGTTGCAGAAGGAGGCAGCCCATATGATCCAACAACCAAAGAGGTGAGAGGGCAGAATACATACGGCCACCAAGAGCCCCATCCAATGCTATTGTAGATAGAAGTACGAAGAGTAGCTGCCGATGACGAAGCTGAATCCAAAATATCTACTAGATTCGACGCTGTTTGCTGAGCATGGACCAGTCGTTCTTGGTGACCTTCATGCTGAATCAGTAGAGAATCGGCTAGTCCTTCAAGCCTCTTCATATCCTACCATTTATACATCAGATATTCCCAATCCTCGATTAAATTTGGCCAAATCTATCCAACTTACTGTCTCTATTTTCTCTTGTCTCAATGCAACAGCTGCTGCTATGGATTGTGAAATTTCCTACCCAATTGCAGTCAGAGGAAAAAATGTTCAATGGGGAGAGGAAGGCTCCTCACAATTTCTCTATGTAAAGATGTAGATGAGGTAACTGCTGCAGCGAGTGCAGATAAAATAACATCCACTTCAGTGGTAATTCGTTGCGTAGCCTCTTGTAAAGCAGACTCGTGTGAAGATACCAAGTCATGGTTCTGGGTTTGCGTCACGTCGACTAGCATTGCGAGTAGTATTTGCAAATTCTTGGCGTCTTCGAGTCCGTGAACGATAAAGTCTGTTGACCGCTGCCAGTTCTGTCAGCACCTTTAGTCTATTTTTGTCTGCGAAAAATATACCTGAACTCTTTGAACAATTTGCTCCCTGAAAAACGTGTCTAGTTCAGTAAAACCATTTTTTAAGTCGCTCATCTGGGGCTTTAGGTTGGCCGTGGCAGTTTCGACTTCTTGAAACATTTGATTCAGCGATCGAAATCGCTGCCCCATCTCTTCTTCAAGCTGAGTAGTCAGTCTTGCGAGGATATCAACTAGTCTCTGGTGAAGCCGGACATTTTGATCTAAGTCCGAATTAGCGAAGTTCCTTCCTACCTAGTAGGATGCCAATATATCTACCCTTCGCATTATCTGCACGAGCGGCCTCGCAAAATCGTAGTGTTTTATGGCGATAGCTCACCCAGGTGTTCCATGCTGAATCTGATTGTGCTAGGCCTTCAAGGCAGTAGTCAATCTCTGTCGTCGTTACATGCAGCTGTGGCTTAGTCGGTGGAGCGATTCGTGCCAGGGTTGACTCTTGAAACTTGGAACAAACAGAGGGAATGGCGAAACTACCCCTTTGTAGGTCACATATAGCTAAGCTTGCAGCATATGAGTCAACAAAGTCTCTAGCAGCTCTTCCGCTGTCAGTCAATATTGTTGCATCATCTCGTCCGTCGAGTAACTGGCAGTTATTGACCAAAAGACGAGCTGCAATACGGTGACATAGGGGCTCTGATTCCAATTCTTGTAATTCATCCAGCGCCGTGGAATACATCGCAGGCAGCTTTGAGGATTCTAATACGGAAGTGCGAGCCAGGTGCTCTCTGGAAGACGATGGGCCTGTAGAGCTGCTAAGGCCTAGACTCAGGTTAGAGATGATGATTTACATAGAGAGAGGTGGGTAAAACTTGCTGCTTATCCGCTTGTTACCTCCCCATGAGAAGCTTCGCACTCCATTAGAAAATATTAGAATGATTTGAAAACTCCAAAAAATAAAAGCCAGCGCTGGGGCCATCTTCCACTAGCAACCAGTCGAGTTGCCTGTACCTCGCAGATACGGCCCTACAAAGACAAAAGGGGCTGAGTGTTGAAGAAATTGAGGCCCTTGGTCAGGGTGTGGATAGATTTATCTTTCGAATCGGGCCTTGATATGCTGTGAAGTTGTGGCGAAGATTATCAGAAAGTAGTTCGAAGAGTGGCTTTCGGCGATATATGAGATAGATCCAGTGACAGGCTGCAGATGGCTCGCATTGTTTGTGCATGGATGCCGGTTGTTGTTCTCTCAATTGGTTCTGCTTGCGAGTTTGTCAACTCTGATTTCTACGCAAAGAATGGTGAAAACACGGAGAAGGCAGATGGACATGGAAAATTTTGGCAATGGTGATTCATCGAGGTCGTGACTGCCGCTTTTCGACCTCGCCAGTCGTACCTGCTGCAGGCAAGCGGATGTACAACGGGCCGCCCTCTTTCATCTCTGCACTTGCATAACCCCATTAACAGTGTCGATAGCAGTGATTGTGGTTAATACGCGTAGCTGCTTCAATTCTACAATTAAATTTCACCATCAATGCTGACGCCAGCATCTTGAGCGCTAAATGAGCAAATCTCTGCCTCGCCAGTCAGAGACCTAATTGGCCATCAAATCAATCACTACTGCATATCGAGGTAAACTCAGGAGTACCGCACCGCACGCCGCCTTACATCACCACTCTAAGTTGGCCCAAAGTCTCAGCTTCCTCTGCCCTTGGCCTGACGATAACCTCGGGGAAATATTTCGGTTCAAGGATATGAACAGGCATCACCCGATCATTCTTCTTTGGGACAGAAATGCTACCGCCTCCAGGTGCAGCCAAGTCAACTGCGTGGATAATCATGGCTGCAAACATGAGAATCTCGTTAGTCGCAAAGTCACGACCAGGGCACAATGTCTTGCCACCGCCGAATCCACGAAATGCCGCTGGGTGAAACCCATCACCTCTACTCTTTTCCTTAAGAAACCTATCCGGGTTGAAGTCTTCAGCATCTTGGCCCCAAATCGAACGATTAGCATGGATAACGCCTCCAGAGATCTGTACAACAGCACCCTTCTTCAAGAAGTATCGATCAGCCAGCATCGTGTCCTCTTTGATCATGCGAACAGAGAAATTCTCCGATCCGGTGCGCAGGCTCTCTTTATAAACAGCAGCGAGCGTGGTACAAATTTCTTTAACTATTCCAATGCTCAGTGAGCCCGGTCCAGTGCGTTGGCTACTAAGCTCCAGCGCCCGGCGGATCTCCTGGCGCGCCTCAGCGAGTAGCGTTGCATCCGCAAATATTCGTAATACTGTCCAGAACGTTGTGGTTGTCGTGTTTACGATACCGGCAAAAAGAAAGGATAAAGCTGAGCGAGCCGTCATGTCTGTGCTCATGCCATATTCTTTTTCTATCCGGGCTCTACCCTGTACAATTGATGACGCTGACTCTAAATGACCAGCATCCAAATACCTGCGGAACGCAGCGGACAGCTTCTCACGGCCGCTATACGCCTTAGGTGCTATGACGGATGGCAATATTCCAATAAGTAACCCCGCAAGGCCGTGATCAAATGCCCAGAACGCATGCTCTAGGTCGGGGTCCTCAGCAATGGGATTATGGGGTCCAAAGAGATATTTCGCCGTGCCAACGGTTACCATATGGCGAGTCCAGGCCAAAAGATTAATAGGCTGAGGGGCATCAATAGCCTTATCAAGAAGGCCAATTCTTTCACGTAGCTGAAGACATAGTTCCTGGGCAGCTTCACAGCTCAGCGTATTTACATATTCACCTGGTCCTAGGGAGGTATACACCCAGTCATGGATGTCAGCAAAGAATCCCCGTGGCTCGCCCGGCTCTGGATCCAGATTTTGGCCAATAACATGATAGGTCCTCTCGTCAAGCCCAAGCACCCGCTGTGTTATCTCTGGCAGCAGAGGTGACATGGATAGCGTTTTTGTATTACGCTGAACACTAGCAGCCAAGGACGGCTCCGTAACGACATAAATTCGAGATCCCGGCACAGGCAAAGTCAGGATGGGCTCTTCGGGGTAAGACAAACTAGCAGTTATTAGCCCAGTGTCTCATATCTTATGAGAGTCTAGATTCATTTCTAACCCAAGCTGTTTGATATATCGGCCGCCATGCAGCGCCATTCCCACCAAATGGCCTATGAGAGGAACCCATGGCTGAATAACTATTGGCTCGCTTGGATGCACCTTTTTCCCTGAAGTATAGCGGAAAACGAAAGACAAGGCCAGAAAGCCAGCGGTGACAGTGGTGACAGTGCCCAAGTTTATAGGCCAAACCCCAATGTCAAACAGCGCCATCATTCATGCCAGCCCTGGGCTGCTACGTGCAGTTTGTTCGTTTAGGAGACGCTAATTCTCAAAGAAGCCAGTGGTCAATGGGATGAATGATTATGTTATGGTCTCTTTCAAGTGATGATTAGTGTCTATATCTGCGCTTCATCTTGGAGTTGATGAACGTCGTCGCAGTCGAAACAAGGCGGGGTTGCATCCCACGGAAGCGTTACGGAATCGGGATGCCCAGTCTATAATTAGCCAGCTGCCAATTCCTACAGGCTGCTTCGGCGGGACTTTTCCTAAGTAATGGCTTCGCCGAGCGTGCAGACTAATCTCTATAATTGGCTCCCCGAAACAATCAACAATACATGCTGATGAACGGCTTCCGGTGCTTCTGAAAGAAGGAAGCTTACGGCTATTCCAGAGATGAGGCTTGTCTGGCTCACCGTTGATGACCAACCCCAGGCTTCTAAACGGCAGCAGGATTCTATTCCTGCATCGATTCCTTCATTCAACGAGCAAATAGGTGTTCCGTGTAAAAAACATCAGGCCATATTTTCTGCATTCTCTATACGCCGTATCCGGCATGAAAGCGAGTACTAGTATGACTGGTCATTGTGATAAGTGGGGTGGAATATGGCTCAATTTAATGGAAGTGGAGGTGAGGCGAAGCCCTGATAGTGATAGTCTCCGAGGCGTGCCTGTAAACCCTGCGTCACCGAAGTTTTCTCCGCTTTCACACTTCTTCTTTTATTTCTCACACATGCGCTCTTGTTTGGGAGGCGTATGTACAGGGTGCCGCTATTTCCTCACTTCTTAAGAAGCCCCATTCACTGTATGGCACGTGCTGTTGCTAGATAGGGGCTCGCTTGAGGGCATCGAGCATAACCCCCTAAGCCATTGTATGAAGCCGCAGCCAAGCCCTATCAAACCATGAACGCCACGATCACGAGAGCATTTTGCGGCGAGAGAAGACGGATTCCAAGCTTCGGCATGTCGAGAGGAGAAGAGGCCACGTGAAGAGAAAACAAAGGACAACCAAAAGAAGAAACTCAATTCCATGATTATTCCCGACCGCCGCCCTAGCGTATATACGAGGAACCGCTTGATTACTACTAGTGCCGAAGCTCAACATCTCCCCACTACTGCTGGGTAAACCCGGAGCTGAGGCCATATCGCTCCGGCCCGGGGTGGACGGCCACATCGCCGGGACGGAGCCGGATTTACGGAGGAAAATGTGTGTTCAAGTGGATAAACAGTGGTCTTGTGGCCATGTCGGCTACTTTCAGATCCGGTGGTGTGAGAAGCTGTTCAAGGGGTGCAAAGGGACGTCAGCTGCTCACGATATCATCTACCAGCCCGAGGAATGCAGCGATTGTCTCCGACGCAAAAATCTCCCCAAACCGTTTACTTCCAAGTAAGCTGTCTTTGTGACAGTTTACGGCTCTGGTTGGCTGGCTCCTTCTCGGTGTATTAGCCAGGAGTCAGAAATCAATTTCAAAAGGCACGAAAAGCAAACATAAATAAAAACCTTAGATGTTGTCTTAACCTGGCTACGTCTATCGACTGCCACAGATTGGAGACTTGGGCAAATATGGGAAACCAACTTTGCATACCAGCATAAGCATAGTTCAAACAGCAAGCGATGGGAGAATGATGATGATATACAGCTATTTTTGGAGTTCAGGAGCGATAGAGATGTCTTTTGACGAATTCGGCACTTCCAGCCCTCATGTTGATAGCGGCAACAGAAAAAGCTGTTGCCATATTAGACGCCACAAAAGCTAATTCATATCGTTGACTTATTACAGGTCCGTCATTCAGACTGTTCTACATAGAAGCCGGGCAAAGTCACGATTTAGGTATCCAGCTCAGCAGCCCCAGACTAAAGCTAGGGAAGATCTAGACTTGGTGCAACGCCCGCAGATGAGATCCAAATACGATGGCAGACGGCCCGTAGTATCTAGCAACAGCCAATGTGGCAGATTATGGAAAGCTAGCAGTAGTAGTGCTGGGCATGGCCTTGTAAGAAGATTCCGTGGCACTTTTATGGGAAAATGTTCGTAGAGCTTGTCTCCGTCATCATGTTTGATATTTTCCCCTGGAAAATGGACTCGGCGAAGAAGAGGATTTTCCTTGGATATGAAGCAAGTCAGATGCTAACAGGCCAAGCTGTTGTTCGGGGGCGAAGAGGCATCTGGACATGGATGTCAATGTAGTGGTGATGTATAGGTACTCAGCGTTGCATAGGTATCGACTGCGGCTTCGACAAGATAAGCGTCGGTAATTAGGGCATCGCTAACACTCTGCAACCTGTGTTTCCCTTTTTTTTTTTTTTTTTTTTGTTATTCCCCTTTTCCTCTCTTTGTTGTACGAAACTGCGGGGAATGGCTGCTGAACCCTTGGGGGGGGGAAATAGTACGAACGGAGCTCGGGCGATGGGAGGAAGAGAGGCAGTCACATAATGGCGATTCGCGCAATTCTAGGCCGTTTGGAGTGGTGCTGTGGAGTGTGTTACAGTAGTCGCTATGCCCATTCGTGCATCTGAGAGGCAACGGGCCAGGTTGAGAGTCAAGCCGCATCGAGGCATACTCCCGGCATGCGAGTTGGCTCTGCGCGATGAGTTTTGACAGAAAGCCTCGGGGATGCCTTGGAGATCGGCTTAGACGGCGCATGAAAGCAGAAAACGATGCATCGATAGCCGCCTAACAGAGTAGCGTCACATGGCCCCGTGTCGCGTATAGTAACTGGTGCTCGCTCAGAGATGCCCTTGGCCGGCACTCTGCATTGTGTCACTGCTCAGCTCTTGGGTAAATTGCCACAGGCGAGGTGAGGTGGATGATGAGAGGCGAGCTTCGCGATTTTGGGGCTAATTTTTGGCCTTTTCTCTTGGGGATTTTTCTGGCTTTGGCGTCGACGACTACCCCGTAAAGCACATGCAAGAAGCTGCGGGTTTGTGTATCCCAGGGGGTCGTTGGTCGCATTTCTCCAGTGTCAGCAGTGGATGGGCCCATCTTAGCGACTGATGGCATCCCTAATTTTGCTTTTCTTATTCGATGGTGGCGAGACCTGGGGATATCAGAGCATATCGCCAACGACACAGCAACCGCCCAAAAATACTTAAGAAAGCAGCTTCCCCGTGGACTTGGAGATGCGAGACGATCGCGGAGAAGGGGAGCTGTCGCGACGAGGTTGGAGCCGGCGCTGGCGCAGAGGCCGTCACCATCGCCTGATTGTATGGCCACTTTTTATTATATTCCCCGAACGGAAAAAGTCGTGCCACCCCTTTGCCTAACGGGGTAGCAATAAGCTGCGATACCGAGGCGCCGAGTGCGGGAGGGCGGCGGACCAATCAGCGCGCGGCGGCGGCGCCTCGTCTGCTCCCTTGGCCCTCCAGCAACCTGGCGGATCGTACGATGTCTGGATATTTGGCCAGCAGTTTTTTCCCTTGCCTTCCCACATGCATGGCATCCATGGCGCAGGGTCCCCTCCAGAGGATCCCCAGAAGCGGCGTCTGGACCGCCCGGCGCCTCGTTGGCTGCCCCTCCGCGCAGCAAAGTCAGGCCATTTTCATCGACGCCAGCAGCAGCTGGTAAAAGGCTATCTTGGGCCCTTCGCAATTCAGAATTTTTCGCCGCGCCGCTGCAATTCGCCATCTGCCTGGCGCATACCCGCAATGACAGGTCATGTTGGCTCACTTCGCAGCGCCTCGATCCCGGCTCTCGCCGAGCAGAGTTCGCTCGCCCGCAGGCGGTTGAGGCCAGAGGGCCCCCCGTTGCTGGCTCCAGAGCAGTTCTGTAGGGGACCTGTAGGGGGCCTTGGGGGACCTGTAGGGCAGAGCCGGGAGCCAGAGCCACGGGAACCCCCTCCAGAGGGCATGGAAAGCCAAAGCCGTTGGGAACAGTGAGTGCTGGCGGACGAGTCTGCAGGCGTTTTGGCGTTGCTTGCATGGCCTGACTGCTGCCATATCCACCGCTGGCAGCCGCGGGTCCTAGCGCGCCCGGGGCCTAGACGAGAGCAGCCGGTACCTGGAGCGGCATCCTCGTAGCAGCTGTGCTGATGATGGCTTGCGGTCGGTTTTGACGTTGCAGCGCCGTCTGCTCAGGCGTCGGAAGGGCAGCCGTCGTCGCGGCGTTGCCCGACAGAGGCACCCGGAGCTCTGGCCTGTACTCCCCTTCTAGGCTGGGAGGGTGCCTTGATGTAATCCAATGCCATGCTGAAACTTGCCGACCCCGTATATTACCATTGCATACCTGACCTTTGATGCTCTGCGCACGGCACGGGGGTCTTTCTGCACGTCGTCGTCCCAAATTTGCATATCAATATCCCTGGCGTCTCGCCTGTTGCACATGTTGCTTGTACACCTGCGAATGCCACGCCTGTCCACATAACCTCTTCCTCGCCATATACCACACCTACTATACTCTCCTACGCACATACGCACATACATACATTCATACCTCTACTGCTTCGTATATTGCCCAGCTATCCATCTTCCTCCATCCGCTGCATCCCGGTCCGAGCCACCATTCACCAGCGCCTCCTTGATCTCGGCCTCCAGGTACCGAGCGCCACCACGAAGCATTCTGATAGTTGGACAAGCTGCTGTCCAGCCCTCCTCCCACGCCGTGCCCCCCCGCCAGCCATCCAACACAGCCAAATTTCTGCAGCGGCTGCAAAGCGCAAGTGCCTAATAACTGACGCCGCACGCCGTGCCGATCTGCGGATGCCATTGGCCTCTCGGCGCTCGCATCTCTCACGCCACCTGTAGGGTTCTATTAATCTCAGCAGCCCGTCAACGACCCTGTGTTGCATCCAGCTGCTGCGCTGGGCATGGAACAAGCCCTCGACTATACTTCGCTACCCAGCCGCCGCGTTCTCAGTCTGCCGGAACGATACCTCAGCTCCTCAAACTCAGCCGTCCAGCCATCGCCTCCACGGAAGCCCGCCATGGACATGTTCAACTTCACAACCGCAGCCTCGTCTTCGGCAATACCTTCATATGCCCCGGTGGCCAGCAGCAGTGCCGCCAACAACGGCCGCAACTTGGGCGACATGACCTTCTCCCAGCTAGCGTCGCAATATGGCAATCGCAATCATCCCCTGCAGTCTCATGAGTCCAAAAGGATAAAGGTCGAGTCGCCGCACTCAGCCTTGGACTCTATCGACTCATGGCTCCAGTTTGACGAGGAGGCCGATAAGTTCGGTAGCTTTGAGATTGACTTTTCCAAGCAGTACAACCCGGCTAACCAGCCAAGGTGAGTCGGCACAAAGCGCCGCTCTTCTTGCTCTCATCATCTTTCTGACATTAATTTTTTTTTTCCTTTTATGGAATCAAGGCCTGCCACAAATATGACACCTGGTCTGGGCAGTGGGCTGTATGCCAATCCCACCCAGCAGTTCAGAGAAGAAGACTTCCTCGATGATAGCGCCTTTGACCATTCTCTGTCCGAGGATGACGACTTATTTGATACGATGAATCTCAATGACCAGCTGCCCAAGATTGAGACGCAGCCCTCGACCGAAGCCCAGTCATCCCGGAGCCTGTACTCGACGCCATCAATGGGCTGGGAGAAGCCCCAAACGGGCATTAACCCGGGCGCTGTTTCGATGGCGGAAGAGATCCCGAGACGCATGGGCAGCGATGCCTGGGACGCCATTCCCCAAGCTGCTGCCAACTTTAACCTCACTCTAGACGAGCGCCGCCGGCTTCTCGAAATTGCCATGGGCTCCAGCCGGATGTCAGCCTTTATCTCTCCCAATCGATTCAACACGGGATACGGCGGTTCTTCAATGCAGCCCAGCATGGGCCAGGATTTCGGCGGCTTTAGCTTTGGCCCGAAACAGGGGATGAGCCACGTGGGAATGTTCCAGAGAAACAATTCTACCGACACCACTGCCTCTGGAATCTCCCAGCCGAACCGTGAACTGAGACACAAGCACTCCAAGCACGAGACGCCGCCCAAGATGGTGCCCGCGAAACGGCCAAGCACGCATTCGGAAAGCAGCAGCGTGAGCAAAGAAAAGGCAAAGTCTGCTGATCGCATTGCGCATAACGACGTTGAGCGGAAATATCGGACCAATCTCAAGGACAAAATCACTGAGCTGCGCAATGCGGTGCCAGCACTGCACCAGGTAGCTGAAGGAGAGCCAGATAGCGCACAAGGCATTGCCAAAGTCAGCAAGGTTAGTAGTGATTGTGGTACTTTGGACTTGATAATGGAATTGTTTTGCTCACTCTTGCTTTACAGGGCACCGTACTCACAAAGGCAACGGAATACATCCACCAACTAGAACAACGCAATAAAGACATCATGTCGGAGCATAAGCAGCTCGCACGGAGGCTCCAAGCATTCGAAGCACTCCTCAACGATTCGATGAGAGTCGACATCATGCCCAGTCATAGCATGGCACTCTTTGACCCAAGAGGATTCTGTTGAATCATTGTACCATTACCATACGTTTTTACGTATCGATTCGAGTACGATTGCATGAAAAAAAAACAAAAGATACAGCAGTGTTTTTTTGCGGAGAGTTTTTCAACGAACTTTTCCCAGGCCGGCATTTCTTATTGTTATTTCTTTTTTTCTTTTTTTTTTTTTCTTTTTTATCTCTCTTTTCTCTTTTTTAATATTCTGCTACAGCCGCCACCATTTACAACCACTACATACCTCTCTACTTTTCGGCGTTAAGGTGAACGTCAACTTTTTTTACAAAACATGGCATGAAAAATATCAGACAAAGGGTGTATATATCTCGGCATTGGAGGTCACTTTGAAAGTTCTTGTTCATATGGGAAATTTGGAAAGGGGAATGAAGAAGGAGGGAAAACCGATTCAAGGCATTGTGGGTCTGGGAAAGGGTCAGGCGAGGCATATTACTTTTTACGAAAGAGATATCTTCCATCTGTTTGAAAGCAGCAAGAAGAAGAAGAAGAAAATTTTTCCGGAGCGGGCGGCTTTTTGGGCAAAATGACGGTGTGTGACAAAGGGGGAAAGAAGAAGACGAAAAAAAAAAAAGGATAAATTAATGTATGAAGAAGGAATAGATCTGGCGGCAAAGCAAAACCAAAATGAAACGAGAATGGGCTGCTCAGAAAAAAAGGAGCGGCTTTATTTTCGTGAACATAAAAGAACCAATAGAGCATTCTCCGGAGGCGTCTTTTTGCCTTGATTTGAACAAACATGTTTCAATTGTCCCACTTCTGTGCTTTTTAATGATTTTTTTAATCAATTACTCGCCACTCTTCGGAAACCGTATGTAGTAGATGCAGTAGAAATGATACCCTGGGCATACGGATATGTATGTTCATGTATGTAGTATTATGCAGGAGTGAGAGAGGGGCCACCAAAAGAAGGAGAGGAAAAGGGAGGGCCTAGATGCGATGCTACTGCGCACTTACATACATTTAATATATGTGAGATGCATTAGTGTTCCCATTTTTTTCTCTTCTTTTTGCCTTATCGGCATTAATACATGGAAGGGTAAAAGGAGAAAAGGAAGTTGCCGCAGACACCGTTCGAGTTATTCTGTACATGAGATGAATGTCAAAAAAAAAAAAAAAAAAAAAAAAAAAAAAAAAAAAAAAGGTTAAGTAATCCTTAAAATACACAAAGAAAAAAAGAAGAGGGGGGAAATGGAAAAAGGTTTTTTGTACGGGTAAATTTTTTTTTTAGTCTCGTAACGCTTCAATATCCGCAACTTCCTTGACAGCCTCGGTGGTGAGAATATACGGCGCGTCCTCGTCCACGCAGATGCTGTCCTCGATGCGAATGCCCATACCCCTGAAATGAACGGGCCACCGCGCGTCGTCCGGGACGTAGACGCCCGGCTCGACGGTAACGCAGTGGCCCCTCCGCAGAATCTCTCTCCTGCTGTACCCTGGGCAGTCATGCACGTCCAGGCCGATGTAGTGTCCCACATGGTGGGGGAACAGCTGGTCAATGTTGCCCGTGGTCAGGTTGCTGAAGCCGATGCTCTTGAGCTGGTCGACCAGGCCACGGGCCGTAATGCCGTGGATGTCCTCTAGCGACAGCCGGGCAGATTCGCGGCAGAGGGAGACGCTTGTCCGCTGGACCTTGAGCACGGCTTCGTAGAGGTCTCGCTGGGCCGGGGTGAACTTGCCCGAGGCGGGCCACGTCCGCGAAATGTCGGTGATGTAGGTGCCGTACTGGCCGCCGGCGTCGACGAGGATGAGCTCGTCGTTGTTGAAGACGTTGTTGTTCACGGTGTAATGAATGCAGTTGGCGCGTGGGCCGCCTGCCACGACGGGGATGTAAGCTGGCCCATCACAGCCGTTGATGGTGAATTCGTAGTCGAGATAGGCGTGCAGGTCCTTTTCCTTGATCCACGATCGCCGCATCGCGTTTGTGATGGCACGACCGGAGATTTGGCCGGCCAGGCGCATGTTGGTCACCTCTGCTGGGCTCTTGATGACCCGAAGCTTGTTCATGACGGGATACAGGGGCGTCTTGGCAGGGCCGTTGCTGCCGGTGATGAAGCGCCATAGCGAGTTGTTGGACGCCCTGGCCGACTCGACATCGGTGTAGATGAGCTTGGCCGAGTCGAGGAGCCTGGGCAGCACCGAGTCGATTCTGTCCATGGACCAGGCCTCGTCTACATTCCACACGTCCTGGGCGGCCTGGACGCCGTTGCGATAGCCGGACCACTGCTCTTCTCGGGGGTTTTTCGCCTTGACAAACATATGGAAGAGATAGTCACCCCATTTTGGCCCAGTCTTCTCAATAATGGCCATGGCATCCGGCTCGTCCCATCCCGTCAGCCAGAGGAAGTTGGTTTCCTGGCGGTAAGGGTGAAATACGGCACCGGATTTGTACTGGAGAGACGCGGCATGGAGGACAGCGACGCCGCCCTCGGACATGGCGTCAGCGAGAGCAGCCCGACGGTCGGCATATTCTTGAGCGCTGATGCCGGGGGTCACTGGTGAAGTTGCTCAATTAGCGAGATGTTTTCATTTTGTTTATTCTTCTTCTTTTTCTTTTCTTTTTTTTTTTTTTTCAGATTATATTCCAATGCCCTCCTTTATAGCTCAGTATTCATCTTAATCACACGTGTATACTATAAAAGCTGAGACATCAAATGAGAGTGACAATGAAAGGGTAAACGCACGCTCGCCAGCCTTGAGGATGTGGGGATGTGTCTCATGGACTGGTTGGCCAAACTGAACATTGGCTGCTGATACTACGGAGCTGTAGCTTCGCTGAGGCCGCGAAAAGACATGATGCGGTCTTTGATAGGCGGTTTGGGTGATGCCGCCGCGCTGCAGGGGCAGCAGTTTCCGGGATGGCTGGACGAGGCTCCGGAATGATGGCCTGGGGAGCTTCATTTTATAGACGCAGGATAATTTCTGAAGGGATTGAGAGACGGGCTCATGGTCGATCTCCACTGGACGCCTCTACTTTTTTTTTCGGGCGGTACTCCACTTTGCGCTGTGGTATTCGTTCTTTTTCACTTGATACGCGGAAAGTGAGGCTTTCTCAGCTCTCCGCGTACTGGGGCATGAGAAAACTACTGGTGATTACTGAAGAAGAAATATAGTTAGAGAGAGGCCGGCCGGGCGCTACAAGTCAAATTGCCTGACGCTGGTCGTGATGGAGTTGAGCGAGAGGCTCGCATTGAATCATGTAAGCAAGGAAAAGCGCTTTTTTATGCATTGGAGAGCATAAAATACCAGCCCAAGTACGTGCCTACATGTGGCTGGGTGTGGCGGATGCACTCGGTAGCGTGAGAGCTGCAATCATGTGCACACAACTGAGAGCGCGTCTTGCAGCGCCGCTGTTGCTGGGCACTAACACCAAGTGGTGCTGCGGCGGCGCAGCGTGTGTGATATTTTTCTCGTGGCTGCCCCGCCTTGTGGCCGCGTCGTGTTTACAGCTCAAAGCGAGCTTTTGCGAATAGATGGACGATATACGTGCATGCCTAGAATTTAAATTGATGAGATTCAATTGATTCTTTCTCGCTGCACCTTTAATTAAATTGACTCTAACCCTTGCAGAGAGAGCTATTGTGTGCTTTGCCTTCCTCATCTCTCCCTTGGTCAATGAGACAGCTTATAGAATTTTTTAATTTTTTTTTTTTTGTTATTTTCTGTTGATGGAGACGGCGGCTGACGCTAAAGAGAGCCGTGTGTATGGGGTAAGGTGTGTTATATGGCGTCTAGTGCTCATAGCAATTGGAGCTCCCAGTTTGAGGAGAGAGCTCATGTGCCGCCCAGCAGTGAAATATAACAAATCCTTTTTGCATTGATACTAAAATTCATGTCCAATGCATGCATTTTGCCACCAAGTTTTTAACTAGATTCACTATCAAAGCTGCCATTTCCTCGTCTTCTTCACCACCAGCACTCACGTCCTTAGAGCTACCCTACTGCTGTCCCTTTTATGCTAAACTGGCCGTTGCTGGTGCGCCGGGCGGGCCCGTGCATGTTTTTGGCAGGGAGGCCAAACCGGGCATAGCGCTGTTGTGCCAAGCGCGAAGGCTCCATCAACACCCTCCTCAAAGCACGCCTCACCGAATTCTTTCTGCACACGCAAAACCACCGTTTCTTTGTCCTCCCCAAAAACGGCCCTCGCAGCCTCCTCGACAAGCTCTCCAGGCCGCCGAAGCTCCTCCCCAAAGGCGTCTCTGGATCTTCAATGTCGGATTAGCATCCTTTAGCCACCCTCCGCTGCGCCTTTTCCTCCGAGACGTGCCTGTCCCTGCCCGTCGCGTGCTCGTAACCTCTCCCGCCATCTGTCTCCCAGCCCCTCTCCATCGGAGCCCTTCTCCGCCGCGGTTTCTAGCACTTATACCCGGGCATGTTGGTTTTGGGACACGCAGCTCGCGTACATGGCCACCGTTTCTGTCTCTCTGTCCGCATCATCCAAGGCGTCTGCGCCCGCGGCCATGTCCTCCAAGCGAGCTCCTCTCGCCAGCAATCCCAATGTCGCTAACTCGCCTCTTCGAGCACCTTCAATCTTGACTGGCTACGCCAAGACTAAGCGTTCCTTTGCGACGGTCCAGCGCGAAGAGCCGTACGGACAGCCTCCGCCAGTAAAGAAGCAGATCCTCGAAAATGGTGCCCAACGTGCCGTACGATCGCCGTCCAAGCCAGTGGCCCGCGCACCCACCCACATTGTTGTCCCCCGCAACTCGAGTGCTGTCCCGCGACCTGTTGTCAGAGAACGATCGACGAGAACTGCTACGGCTACCTCGACGGCGAGAGCTTCACAGGCTGTTGACACGGAAAAGGAGCTGTGGAAGAAGCACCATCGGGCCAAGTTCCCGAAAATGGTCTTCTACTTTGAAAGCATCCCGGATGACGTGCGAGCAAAGCTGACCAAGAGGGTCACATACCTTGGTGCTGTATGCCGCCTTCTTTTATTTTGAATCTCACCCCAATTGAAGACAATGACGCTGACCCTCGAATCAAAATAACAACAGAGACAAGAGCCTTTCTTCTCAATTGACGTTACCCATGTCGTCACGAGTCGAGCGATCCCACCTGAAAAGCCAGAGACTGGAGATGCCGAGGCTGAACCTGAAGCAACCGAAGAGCAGGAGCCTGAAGAGCAGCCCCAAACAATCAATCCGTCTCTCCTTGACAGGAATACTGCTGCGAGGCGAAGATTGCTTTATGACTTTCGTCAGGCTTCATCTTCCCAATTTGATGGCCTCGTGAAACGCAACAAGACCACTCGCAACAATGACGTCTTACACAAGGCACGAGAGATGGGAAAGAAGATTTGGTCTCTGGATAAGTTTCAGAGCATGCTGGCCGTGCTTCTTGAATCAGAAACCCAAAGCTATAGCTCTCGGTCTGCGAGCATGAGAAATCACTACGGCACCAAGAGTTCTCATGAACCCAACTTGTACCAGCTTCTTCATAACGAACGTATAAATGGACCGTCTGATCGTGACCCGACTGTCAATACCAGGGAGTTGACATATTTCAAGGGCCCATATCTCTACATCTGGGACATGGACGAGAAGCAGAAGCCCATCATGGTCCGCGAGTACCCCAAGGTTGCGAACAAAGCCGACGGCGAGTGGCCCCAATTCCGCAGCGTTGGGAATGGTCGCTGCCCGTTCGTTGAGGAAGTAGATACCGCTGAAAGAGACCAGCGAAAGGCACGAGAGCGTGAAAAGGCATATCAGGCCAAGAAGGAAGAATCCGTCCAGATTCTTAAAGCACCTGAAGTCCCTCCCATGAAGCCTGTGACTGGAAAACGAACCCTGACACAGATGGAAGATGCCCATAACCGGGTTCGTGCTAGTATGTCAATGGAAAAGCTCCAGCCGATCAAGGTCACTTTCTCCAGGCAGCCCGTAGCTTTTACTAGTCGAGCTGAGGCTGGCCGTATGTTTGCAGGAGAGCCTGTGGCCTCTGGTATCCAGAATACCATAACATCGGCAATTCGTTCCCAGATGATCTCATCGACGTCTGGCATCAACGGCTCAAAGGCCGGAACCAGCAAAGAGGTCCATGGACTGCAGAGGAAGGTCTTGCAGATGGCCAACCCGACTTCGTACGATGCCAGCTCGCGCCGGCCTGCGGAGGCCGCAGCTGATGCTGCATCTAGCCGTTCGACTCTGACTCGAACCACCTCCAAGACCATCCCAGCCCAGGACGATGACAGTCAAAAGGTGGAGAAGAAGGCTCCCGCCCAGCGCTTGAAGAGCAAGCGAGACTTGAAACCGGGCTACTGTGAGAATTGCCAAGATAAATTCAATGACTTTGACGAGGTAAGAATTCATCAATCTACAATTTATTAAACTGAATGACTAACCAATCCTTTCAATAGCACATCTTGTCCCGCAAACACCGTAAATTTGCGGAAAATGACGATAATTGGATCGAGCTGGATGCTCTTCTTGCACAGTTGAAGCGCATGCCAAAGTTCTCATCTGCTGTTTCCGATGACGAAGGAGAAGAGTGGTAACAGCAATGACGCTTCCTTCTCGATTTGATCTTGTCCAACTAAAGAACTTATGATGCGACGCGTTGAACCTTGATTTTGTTTTCTCTGCCAATGCGCTGATCATTGCATTCGTTATGCTAACTTGTCGACACTTTACGAAAAAAACAAAACAAAAAGAATCTTTGGTTACTACACCCACCAATTACATCCTGGGACCCCGGCCCATGGGAACCAAGTACCAGGCTTTGAATTTTTTCTTTGCATCTCAATCAGATTTGCGTGACATAGCGCAGAAGGCAGTTGTGTCAATACGTCACTGACTAGAGCTATACTTTTTTTCTTGTTCTTTTTTTTTTCTTTCTCTCCTTTCATGGTTGTTTATTTACTTTGTCTCTTTCGGCTATAACGAAACGAAACGACTTGTTACTTTTTGGCACCCCGCCGACATGGTTTGGTATTTTCGAACCCGCATACATAGCAGGAGGCGTTTTTTTCAAGCTCGGGTTTTTCTTCTTTTGACAGATGGATGGACTTCTTTCTTGGTGGCCGAGTGGATTACGATAGAGGAGAAGCTGAATGTGGTCTGGGTTATCTGATATGAATGGTTTGCAGACTGACGCAGAATTGGCACTAATGAATGGACTGGACCGAGGTGACTTGCGAGGCTTTGACTTGAATGAAGGGGAGGCTTGATGGCATGACTGTGCAAGACATGCCTTGAAGGGAAGTTGGTTGATGGGAGACTTCCTAGGGACGCCTGTTACAAAAATTCATGTATATTGTAGCTGGCATGTTACAATTCACGACAGTGTATAAGCAAAGGAGGGTCCGGAGGCGTCGATTTGCACGAAACGGACCGGTATTTATGACTTGGGATAGCATTTTCACGATAGATGTGTAGGTAGTGGTAACAACAGAATTCAAAAGCTAAATATGTACCATGGGTTTGACTGAGTTGTTGCGTGTATATATTGCTGGCATGTATAAAGGCACAGTGTATTGTCGTTGCGAGGCAAGGCATATAGCGCGTGCCTGCACTGTATTGCGCACGGTAATAAGGGAAGGCAGCCGCTTAGAGCTGCAGGCTGCAGCAAGCCTCACCTTCAACATCAGCTTTCATCTCACATCTGTTAATACCTAGATATATATGCAGATTTTTTTTTTCATCTCACTTTCGTTCCCCACAAGTGATTATACACTCTCATTGAAACAGAAAACAAGCAGACATTAATCGTATTTCTCTCAGCCATGGACCCCCCCTCCGACTTACTCGCCCCCCCGCCATCCCAGCCCGCCTCGCCCATGCCAGACGCAGACTCGGACGCCAACAACAACAGCAGCAGCAACAGAGACAGCGGCGCGGCCTCGCCCGAGATCCCCCTGACGCTGAGCGCGTCCGTGGTGCTGGCCGACCTGCCGCGAGACGCCACGGCGGCGCTGGCCAGCGCTGGCGGGTTCCCCGCGACGAGCAAGGTGGTGGTCAAGTTCAAGGCCGTGGGGTCGGCGCTGGCGCTGCAGCAGGACGTGTGCAAGATCTCGGCGGCGCGCAAGTTTGAGGAGGTGGTGCGGTATCTGCGGCGGAAGCTGCGGTGCAAGGACACGGACAGCGTGTTTCTGTATGTGAATAGTGCGTTTGCGCCGTCGTTGGATGAGGTGGTGGGCAATTTACACCAGGTGAGTTTGACTGCACATATATATATATGGGATGTATATATAGGGAAGAGGAGAGAGAGAAAGGATTTCTTCTAAACTTCGATTTTATTATTTCATCAACACGCGAAAAAAAAAAAAGACTAACAACTAGAATGCGCAGTGCTTCAAAAATGCTCATGATCAACTAGTTGTGGCCTATTCCATAACTCCGGCGTTTGGATGAGAAAAACAGAAAGCTTCTCCCTACTTGCCGCTCAACGTGGTGGTATATCATCATCGTCATTACCATCTCATTTCCCTTGGAAACATCGTTATTAGAATCCTCCCATCATGCCCACGCATATACATATACACAAGAACACAATCTATATACTGGCTGAAAGAACATACGTTAAGCCAAGAAAGAAAAACTCAATAAAGCAAAGAACGCCGCTGCTTTATGCTCTCAACTTGCCCCCCCGCCCTCCCATTATTTTCTTTTTCTTTTTCTCTACAAGTTCTTTGCGGCTTTGGCAAATGATTCAAATTCCTCGGCGGGCATGGGGTAAGTGTGCTCTGGAGCTGGGAACTGCTTGCTCTTGACCTCGTCCCGGTAGGCTACGACTGCTTTGGCAGATTCGCTCCAGATGTCGCCATACTTCTTGACAAACTTGGGCATGAATCTGCCAGGAGGAAAGTTGCCGGTCAAGTCGATTTGGACAAGCACCTGACCGGAACAGCCATTGCCAGCGCCAATACCGATGGTGGGGATGGATAGTTTTTGGGTAATCAGTGTGGCAACTTCAGCGGGCACAGCCTCCAGAACAACAGCAAAGGCTCCAGCTTCTTGGACAGCGAGGGCATCTTCCAAGATGCTCATGGCTCCAGCGGAGGTCTTGCCTTGGACGCGGAATCCGCCGAGGGCGTTTTGGCGTTGGGGTGTGAGACCAATGTGGGCAAGAACCGGGATGCCAGCAGTGGTGATCTTGCGAATGGTTGGGGCAAATTCTTTGCCGCCCTCGAGCTTGACGCTCTGTGCCTTGCCCTCCTTGACGAAGCGGATGGCAGTGGCCAGGGCTTGTTCAGGAGATATTTCATAGGACCCCATAGGAAGGTCTCCGACCTATCAAGTCGTGTTAGTCGATGCGATATTGGAAGAAGGATATTTTAAAAAATAATAATGATTAAGCACTTACAGTGAAAGAACTCTTAGCAGCCCGTGCTACTGATCGACAATGCAGCAGCATGTCTTCCACCTCTACTTCGTTTGTGTCTTCCATGCCCAGCGCAACCATGGCCAGACTGTCACCCACTAGGATGATGTCCATGCCGTTTTGGTCGGCAACATAGGCACTGGGGAAGTCATGCGCGGTAATCATGGCAATAGGCTCTCCCCTTTGGTACAGCGACTTGATAGTGCTCATGGTGACCTTCTTGCGAGGAGGCCCGGACTGAGAGCCCATGGGGGAGTGAGAGCTGTGTCTCTTTTGATGGAATGATGAGGCATTGTTGGTGGCATAAGGAACACAAAGACTTGAACAAGGCAGATGGGAGTGTGTCAATGAAGACGAAGACGCAGCGACAGCAGATTTGAGGCTGGTGTTGAGTCGCGTGCTGCTGCGTGCGAGCGATCTGGCCGAGGCTCCGATCGGGAACATGGCTTCTCCCAACTTGGAAATCGACGTGGTATTATGGAGATGCGGCGGGTTCTCTGCAGGTACTGCGCAGCGCCGCTAGGTATGTGATAGGTACTAGTGAGGTACCTAGGTAGATAAAGAGTGGGACAGGAGGTGCAGAGATGGATGTGAAGACTAAGCACGGAATGCAGATGGAAGAAAACAAAAATATCTTCTGGTGGCTCAGGACTGCTTGAGAAGTCTTGAGCAGTGATGAGAATAAAAGTGATGATGAAGTTAAACGGGAAAGGAAAGAAGCAACGAGGGCGGACGAAGCGCTTTTTTTAAAAGTAGTGAATGAGGCATGCTGGTTTTTACGATGTAGAATTGAGTATCTTGGAAATCAAAAAGAGCCGGTCTCGTGCGTACAGGGCACTTTTCAGCATCCCTTTTTAGTGCTCCCGTCACTTACGAGTGCGGGCGAATGGGTGTAAGAAACAACAGGAGGACCTACGAGAAAAGAACCGACGGCCGACACGGGGGCCAGCAGGGGATTGCGAGGGTGATTCCAGGCAAAATTGATTATTTTTCATCATCCTTCTTTTCTCTTTTCGAGCATTGTATAGTGCCCAAGATGGCAGATGGTACCTCGTCTGGTTAACTCGGCACGGTGCGAAGAGGATAGAAACTTGGTTTAGCCGAGGCACCTTGTTTCGCATTTTTTGAACGTTCTCGGACCGTGGCGGATTCGCCGTGGCCGTGGATGTGAGAGCCTTGCGGTAAGCCTTTTGATTTGGACATGTAAAAAACAAAAAGCCAAAGGATGGGGATGAGAATATGATGGAGATGTGCTGCTGCTGATGTGGGTTGTGGTCACGTTTGAGAGAGTGAGAATTTGACTTACATGCACCAGCACGCACGGGGCACAAAGGGCAACAAACAAAGACAGCAATATTTCGCATCATGGTCTAGGGAAGGATTTGGCTTACATGGAGAGAGCGCTTCCGTCTTTCCGTGCTTCCACGCCATTCTGCCAGCGGTACCTTGACGGTTTCCCTCGTGGGGTTCTTCGGCTGGTTGCCCGATAAGGCTGTGTGGCTGGATTTGGAGTTGGCTCTGACGTGGGACGTTGACTATGACGCCGGACGCATCAGCCCGTGACTGACTGAATGAATCGCAGGGCGTGTTGGTGCTTATTGCGTTGTTGAGGTATACGACTACATGCAGATGCACAGCCACCCGGAATATATAAAAAAAAAAAAAATCAATATTGTACTTTGATACAATACCTAATTACTCTAGAAAACGGCTGGATTTTAGACAAGCTGCGTTGGTGCGGGTAGTGCATATGAGATGGAGTGTTGCTGTATGCACATGTAGTCGAGGTACCTTACCTACCTACCTATAGTATGAGCTGACATTCCGCATCAGTGCTAGATCATGTACATACATAGATAGATACCTCCTAAACTATCCAATAATGCTGCCTCTTAAACTCGTGCCAGCGTAACGCTGCAGAAACTCAGCTGACTCTTCGGGATTCCGCAACAGTAAAACCGCCCCGGATGGCGCAAACCATGATGCCCAACCCAAACGGGGCAATGCGCTGCCAATGTCTCAGCTGGCATGTCGGCACCTTTCCGCTAAATCCTCGGCGTCCTCAGCGCTGCTGCAGCCGCTGGAAGCAAAATTGTTAGCGGTTAGCCAGCGATCCCCTCGTGACTCCTACAGCGGGGAGGGGCGTCCAGAGCCTAGCAGAGAGGGGCTGTTGGAGGGAGTGACAAGACCGACAACCTGGCGTCTGGTCGTCGGCAGAAACTCAAACCTGCTTTTTCGCTCTGCATCACATACAACTGACGACTTGGCCCGGCCATCGACTGACTTGGCTTCTGGCCTCTCCTTGAAAAACAGCGGTACAGATCCTTTCTCTTGCGAATCCACCCTCCTTGCTATCCTTCTTTCCTCCCTGCGCCCTCTCTTCGTCTTCGACCGCCGAACCAAGCCCGAGCATCTCCAGTACATTGCTGCGAGCCCGCAACTGCGACGCTACTGCACGTCACCACGATCTCTGGCCACGCCGGGCGCCACACCTTGGAGAAGGCTCAGACACAACAAGCCTTCCATCTCCACATATATTTGATTCCTTTCCGCAGCCGCGGCGCGAGTCCCTGGACAGCCGCCCATCATGAGCAGCCCACGCCGCCGGATTGAGACTGATGTAAGTCATGCAGTCTACGACCACCAGATCCCACTTTGGACGACCCGGCAGTTTGGGGGCTAATCAATTGCTTGTCTGCTGCTTTGGGGAATTTTAGGTCATGAAGTACGTTTCTCCGGAATCATGGCGAAGTAATTTGCTTTTCTGGGGGCCGTCTGACTAACTAACAACCTTGCAGGATGTACGAAACTGCCTCCCGGTGCCGCCACTGACCGGCAAACACTAACACGACTGTGAACCAGGCTGATGAGCGATTACGAAGTGACACTCGTCAATGATAACAGTAAGCAACAGCGGACAATGCTCTTCCTTGTTTCTAGAGCTTGATCAACAGCAGTCAACTCGAGGAAATTGGTGGCTAACTGACTCGCTATAGTGTAAGCGTCATCGACATATAAGCCACGCCCTCGTTCCTCCCCTGCTCGCACTGGCCGAAACGGAATAACAATGTTGGGTTATTAACAAAGATCCTTTGTAGGCAAGAGTTTTTTGTCAGGTTCAAAGGCCCAGCAGAGAGTGAGTTGGTTCCCGCGTTGCGCCGCTCAGGGAAAAGAGGGGGGATCTGGCATATCTGTGTCACTGCAACTAACATGATTCTGCAGCCCCATTCGAAGGAGGCCTATGGAAGGTGCATGTCGAACTGCCCGATACGTATCCATACAAATCTCCTAGCATCGGATTTGTAAACCGCATCTTTCACCCCAATATCGATGAGCTGTGAGTATGCACCAATTGGAATATTTTTTTTTCATCAGGAAGGAAGCTGTGACTTGCGAATCGGGGGACTATAATTGGGGTGCTTTTTTTTTTTTTTTTTTTTTTTTTTTTTCGTTTTCTGTTGCTAAGATTACGGTGAATTGGAAACTAGGTCCGGTTCAGTGTGTTTGGATGTCATCAACCAGACATGGTCTCCGATGTTCGATATGATCAACATTTTCGAGGTCTTCCTGCCACAGCTACTCCGATATCCTAACCCGACGGATCCGCTCAACGGGGAAGCAGCAGCTTTATTGATTCGGGAGCCAAAGAGTTATGACGCAAAAGTCAAAGGTACGCAATTTGCCAGAGGATGAATTTGAAGCTGGAATAAAAGGGGCAGAGTGTGCTGACTTGGCGGGTCCCATGCAGAGTATGTCCAGAAGTACGCCAATAAGGATATGGTGGACGAAGCTGGGGCCGAGAGCGAGGATGAGGATGACATGTCCTCTGTGGCGAGTTTCGGTGACGATGATGACGAAGAACCCGCTGGCCAAATGGACGACGTATAAGAACGATGGCATCCTATATTTTTTTTTTTTGGTTCCGGGGAGGGCTTCTCGACAAAGTTTGTCGCCAATTATCGATTTAAACAAACCATAGCAATTCAATCATAAACAACGGCGTCTCATTTGGGAATAATCAGTCAACAGGCCAGCCAGAGCAACAGGAGTTCTTTTCTTGACATTGGTTTTCAACTTTTCTTTTTTTTTTTTTTTTTTTTTAAAAATACATCGAAATGGAGGAATAACGCAAGCCTCCCACATTACCATTCTATGTCTTGTCATCTTGCCAGCTGCCCCTCTTCTAGCCTCGCGATGCAGAAAGAGAAAAGGAGAGACTGTGAGGGAGGGGAGAGGTAGACCTGGCGTGAGAAGGAGGCGATTTGAGATATTATTATCCGCGGTTTGGGTCACATCTGTCATGGAGTTAGGCATATGTAGGTAGTTATTCGAATGGGAAGAGATGAACGGCTTTGGTGAGTAATGACAGGATTGGTCAAAGTATGATGAATAGGAATTCGTTTTAGAAGACGGAGTGCTAGTACTATGGAATAGTTTGAATTCGTTTGATTAAGCGAAGCCTGCAATTGGGCTAGCTCTATGAAAGGGGGTATCTTGAATATCTAAATAATATAAAGGGTCCGATATCTTGAAGCTTTCTATCCATGCCCATGATTAACGCCATAAACCCTCACAAACCGAGAATTGTACAAAGAAAAGGAAAGAAAAGAAAAGACTAGATCCACCAATTTTAATGCTAATCCGAATCATACTCGACCAATCCTGCAGCAGAGGTTGGCGCTGGCGCTGATACTGCCACTTTAGCTCCCGGCTCTTTGACAGGCGTCGCGTCGTCGCCGCTGGCATCGCCATCCACGCGCTTTCTCTTCTTGATGATGCCAAGAGAGACTTTGTTCGTAGCTCTGTCGCCGCCGCCTCCAAGAAAGGGGTCCTGTGCTGCTCGCGTGTTGGATATAAACTCTGCGACAAACGTCTCTTTCCTCCGGGATGCTTCTTTTTCGGCCTTGAGTCTTGTGTCTTTTATGGATGAAGATGGCTGTTTTTGTGTTTTTGTTTTTGTTGTTTTTGTTGATTCTGTATTTGTCGTCTTCGTGGCTGTTGGCAATGTCGCAAATAAAGGTTTCGATAACGCCTTTACACCCCCATCGCCGTCCTTTTCTCCATCTTCCCTTGATCCAAAATCCACCAGCGCAGCCCTCTTCGCATCCTCTTCTCTCTCCGGCAGCAAATCTATGCCCAGGCCCAATCTATCTTTCAGATCCTCCGTTGCAGCCGCATCCCTCTCCCTCTCCTTCCTGCCCACGCGAAACGCTTTTCGCAGCTTCTGATTCTGCGTATACGGATCGTCCCAGTACTTGTTTGACAAATCCGTCAAGTCGTCGATCCGTTCCGTCGCCAGTTTCAGCCTCTCGCGATCGGCAATCGTCTTCTCCAGGCTCGCAAAGGCATTCTTCCTCAACGCCTCCCTCTCCTCATCCGTCATGATGGCATTCTCGCCCCCTTCCCCCGGCAGAATCTTATCCTCCCCCGTGTCGCGCTTCGTCGCGCCCTCGACAACGACATACGCCGTGTTCTTCGGATCGGTGCGCATCTCGATCCACCCGCCGCAGTCGGCATGGCGGAAGCGAAAGCTCCAGATGGGCGTGGTGTAGTAGTTGCCCGCGCGCTTCTTCTCGGCGTTGAAGCGCACGCCCTGGCCGATGATGGTGGGCTTGGGGCAGTGCGCGCACCAGATGGGGAAGGGCATCTCGAAGCGCACGGTGAGGATGCCGTGCGAGGCGAGCTTGGAGGCGCGGTGGCCGAGCGGGTGCTTCTTGTTGAGCTTGTTGCCGGAGGTGGTGCCTTCGAGGTCCGGGGGGACGTAGCGCCCCATGTTGAAGCCCTGCATGGCGGGCGATTTTTCGTTTGTTTGTTTTGTTTCTCTGTGTTTGTTTGTTTGATTTGCTTGTTCGTTTTTTGAGTCGGATTTGGGAGAGGCGACGACTACGGGGAGTGATGATGCCTTTCTGGATGTTTTGCTGGTAGAGAATGCAGAGACAAAGTTGAAGCAAGGTTGGCTTCCGTGTGGGGTGTGGCTTGATGGATGGATGGCGGTACGTCACTCGGTTGCTAAACAGGGACCCTGGAAAAGGCAGTGGGGCGGATCTTAGCGTATTTGGTGTTTAAGCAGAGCGGCCTCGGGAGTTGAATCTCAAGCTACGGCGTTCAAATGGTAAAATACTACTGTATAAATGGATAAATGGGGAGATTAGATATTATAAAGAAGGTAGAAGGTACTTGTATAAAATGTGAAATTACACTGGAGTATAAGGCTAGTCGCTGACTTGAATACGTATTCGTTGGTTTGAAATAATAATACTTCTCTCAAGTGGTTGTAAACCACCCTGCTCCAATCTTCGACTTATAAGCGGTCTTAAACGCATACTACTTGTATAAAATACTTGTATTATTTCTTCACTCATACTCTTCTAATCCATCCCCCCCTCCCCCTTTTCTAACTGCTAACCGACCAACTCGGCGGTCTATCCTTCAGATCCGTCCCCCACTTCGACTCCTTCGCCCCCAGCACCAACTCCAACGTCCATCCCTCCGTGAAAAACTCATGTCCAATCCATGATTTCGTCCACGGCCTCCCATTAACTCTTGCGCTCTGCACATAGATGTTCTTATAAGAGGCATCAAACCCGACATTCCTCACCGTAGCCGTCTTGCCCGTGACGGCATGTCTGATGCTAATCTCCTCGACAAACGGCGGCGAGATCAAGTACACGTTCTGTCCCGCAACGGGGAACAGGCCCATGACGGAGAATGTGAGGAACGCGCCCATGGCGCCCGAGTCGTCGTTGCCGGGCAGGCCACCCGGAGACGAGTTGAAGGACGAGGGAATGTACTGGTGGATGCGCTCGGTCGACAGCGCTGGCCGGCCAGTGTAGTGGTAGAGGAAGACGGTGAAGAAGACGGGCTCGTTGGAGATGTCTGCGAGGCCCGAGGTGTGGAAGAAGTCGAGTCGAGAAATCATGGCATCATCGCCTCCCAGCAGAGAGATGAGAGATGAGACTGAGTGGGGGACGTAGCTTAAACGCAGAGGGTTAGTCGCGATTCAATAACTTTGGAGGATGCCATTAAATGCTGCTTTTTTTTTTTAATCACTTACAAGAGATATTGCCAGATACTGGCTTCAAAAGTTTCGCTAGGATTCGTTGTCAAGGAGCAGAACCCCGCGAGGGCAGAACACGCAATGGGATCCTGGAACCCCCATGTTCCGTTTAGGTACTTGGGCTGGAAGAAGCCCTTGAAGCCGGTATCAGTTCCGTTAATGAACGAAGTCTGGTCGGCTTTCCACAGATTCTTCCAGTTCATGCTTCGGCCCTGGTACTTGGTCTGCAAATCACGCCTGCCCAACCCGCCCGCCAGTTCCGAGATGCAATAGTCATCGTACGCATACTCGAGCGTGCGCGAAATGCTGCGGGAGTTGGTCCCGAAGCCGTACGGGTCAAAGTCCAGGTAGGGGATGTAGTTGAGGCTCTTCCAGCTGTGGAGGCCGCCGCGGCCGTGGTACGACCACTCCAGTGGCTCGTTCTCGGCGTCGGCCATGACCGCTTCGAGGGCGAGCTCCCAGTCAATGGTCGTGCTGAGGTTCTTGACAAATGCATCTGTGATGACCACGTCGGCGTTGGAGCCGCCTTGAGTCCAGCCCTTGCAGAGAGACATGCGGCAGTCTGGCATCCAGCCTTCGTGTTTGTAAATGTCAAGCAGGGCCTCCACCATCTGCGTCTGGGCGTGAGGATCGAGAATGGTCAGCAGAGGGTGCTGTACACGGAAACTGTCCCAGATGCTAATATACAAAAAAGCAAATCATGACACTAGGTTAATATATATATCTGCATTAAGATTTAAAGACACACGTTGCTTGAACCCAACTCACCAGTAAAAGGAATCAAAGTAAGGCTTATCGCTATGCCACAATGGATTCTCGCCCGTGTAATTCTGAGGCGAAATCATGTTGCGATACACGCCGCTCCAGAAGCTCGTCAACAGATCGTCCGTCGCGCCGCCGCTCTTGACCGAAATGGGGCTCAGCTTCTCTTCCCAAGCCCTTTGAGCGTTATCAACAAGCCCGCTAAAAGCCTTCAACGGGCTGGGGATCTCCCTTTGAGCGTTTTGGCAAGCCTGTTGGCTGCTGATGTAGCTGATGCCCATACGCACCGTCACGGTGCCGTCGCTAGGGGGATCTAGACGGACGAAACCGCCGCCTTCTAGGAAGAACAGGTTGAAACCGCGAGTGAGGAAGATCTCCTTTGGCTCTGTGCCTGCTCTGTTATTTACCCAAACACCCGTTTCATGGATGTTGGAGCCGAAGAAATCGGCACAGAAATGCATCACATATGATCCAGCGCCAAAGCTGGGTAGAAACGTGCCGTTGCCAGTCATCCGGCCCGACTTCTCGTCAATCTGGATAGAGGCATTTTGCCGGCTCTGCCACAAGTCTGTCAAGTCCAGCAGTATCAACGGATGGCTTTTGCTGCTCGCCTTGGGGAACGTGAAGCGGTACAGCGCCGCATGCTGTGAGACGGTCATGTTGGCCACAATGCCCGACTCCAGCTGCAAGCCAAAATGCCCCGGCCGGGCATCAACAGAGCCGTTGACATAATGGAGCTTCCTGTCGCCGATGCGAAAGTTGCAATTGTCCAGCACGTCGTCGGGGCAGATCTGCGGGAACAGCGGGAAGTTGCCCAGGCTGGGATTCCCTCCAGTGCCGCTGTCATGGACGCTCGAGAAGCCGACGACGTTGCTGCCGTCTAAGCCAAAGCCTCCGGTGTTTTGGCCGTCCACGTCGGCTGATGCTTTGGCGAGGCCGTAGGGAAGCGTTGCTCCGGCAAAGACGTTGCCTCCATTGGTGGTTCCAATCAATGGGTCGACGTAGGACAGGCCACTGCCTGGCTTTTGGCCCGTGGGTGGTGCTGCATAGACAGGCACGCTGCCCAAGAGATTAAGAGAGACGAGGACCTCGACACTTGGACGCATGTTGACAAGAGAAGCCCAATTGTGAAAGGCTCACGGCCCCAGATTGCAGAGGAAGGAAGGTCGTGTCACAGAGGGCGACCCAGTGGAATGCAAGACTCGGCGGATGCCGTTATTTGTACGGCTTCTCTCGCCCAACACCCATGGCCGAAGAAACGCGGGGAGGAAGTCGGCCGAGACGGCTCAATGCAACATCGGACATAATGTGTCTATCCATGAGCTGTCGTGCCGATTGCTGCATATGAGTCGCGACAGAAACACGACGTCAGCGATCTGCACGGCCATGCATGTTGCCCTGCCGTACAGTAGAAGCATATCTTCAGACTCTCGAAATCGCAATTCTTCCGACGGTTAGAAGCACAAACCGGTCCAAGAGTCCCCACTGACTGTGGATGATGATGAGAGTTTCTTGCATAGTTATCGTAACCCCGCCTTGGATGAGAGGAGCACTAATAGCTGTTGTGAAGCTCAGTTGCCTATTGTAGACAAGCTGGCCAACCAAAGAGCAGGGGGTGATGGCGCTGGATTGGAGGTTAGGATGCTTAGAGCTTGATACGAGAGCTTCTGTGAGCTTGCCATGGGAATCTTTAATCTTCTTGACATGATCGATACTATTGCCTTGAGACTATTGGCATGTGATAATATTTAGGGTGCATTGCGTAGGGCAATTCTTCCACTATTACTATTTATTCATCTCATAATGTCAAACCGTATCATTTAATCGTCATAATTCATGTACATTATGGCCAAATGAAACTAATAAAAAGCGCCGTATCGTATTCCAGGATTCGTCTGTTGTGCGAGATTATAGCACACCAAATCTTATATAGCTCTAAACCCAAGCGTCTTTTTTATAATCTCAAGTTGGATATTATCGTGTTCTCGGTAGATGGAAAGAAAAAGACTTGGACTGCATAGAATACTTTCTACGACGTCGCTATTCGTAATTTTGAATCATGACATGTCAAACTCGCCATGCTCATTCGGTTTGCCAATAACAGGTTCCAGCAGAATCGGTAGATATTCCGCGGCGTCTTTCCCAAAGGCAAAGTCGCCAGGTTTAACCTTGAACATTTCGGCTTCGTCTTCCGCCTCCGGGTTGATGGTGACTATGCGCGCGCCTCGCTTTCGTGCCTTGTCGATGTAGCCAGCAGCCGGGTAGACTTGTGCCGACGTGCCAATTACGAACATTAGATCCTTTCGAAAGCGTTAGTGACGGCGAAAAAAAAGGGGAGAGATTAAAAGGCTATGAGAAAGACATCGCTCAAGCGTCTAGATACGCACCAGAGGCTCAGTGTTCATCCACGCTGATATGTCCATCATCATGGCAGAGTCCAGATCCTCCCCAAACCACACCACGCCCGGGCGCTGCAGGCCTTTTTTGCATTTCGGGCACTTTGGCAGCTCGTCCTCGGTGATGTGCTTGACACGGTGATACGGGTCTAGTAGTGGCAAGGGCTCGCCGTTGGGCATGTCCACCGAGGCCGGGGCGAGCGCCGCGCAAAAAGGATCGTCAAAGTTTCCCTTTTGTATCCAGTCACAGCTCTCGTTCGAGCACTTGATGTCATACAGGGAGCCATGAAGACATTTTAGCTGTGAAGAAGGATGTTCAGCTCGCTGTGAGAGGTCTAGATGGAAGTAGCACATATAAGGGTTAGCCGATATATATACATGTATATACATACATACATATATATATATATATATATGTATGTATGTATGCATTCTTGCCATAACATGTTCAACATGTCGTGTAATATTACAATAGCCTGACTTACTATCGACGTTCTGGGTCAGGCACATAAAGTCCAAGTTCCGTCTTGCCAGCGCCGCCAGGGCTTTGTGTCCCGGGTTTGGCTCCGCCTTGAGCCCCAGGTGCCTGCGGTAGGCGTAGAACAGCCAGACCATGCCCGGGTCAGTCCTGAACGCCCGCACGGTGGCCAGGCTCGCGGAATCGTAGTTGCGCCAATATCCACCGGCGCCACGGAAGGTGGGCAGGCCGGATGAGGCCGACAGCCCGGCCCCACAGAGGGCGAGCATTCGGCGGCTGGACCGAAGCGCTTGGTGGAAGGCCTCGACGTCGTTGTGAGGCGCCATGGTGCTCTGGCGGGCGGTGCAAAGTCGTTTGATATTTCTACTCTACTTCTTTTGCAAAGGAGTCCAACAAGCAAGGCGTCGATGAGGAGAGACGGAGCAGAGACGAAGCAGAGACGAGGTGGGAAGAGCAGCGGCGAGCGAGCGACGAGGATCTGTGGGAGGGGATACAAAGGAGGGGAAATGGCCAGACGCAGCAGAGGTTGAACGCCCGAGCAGAGACGCGAGTTGCTGCAGGCACGAGGCTGGCGACCTTATAGCAGGGCTGGTGAGGCTCGCGGGCTCATAAGGCAGCGAGAATCAGGCGTCTGATCGAGTGTTCGCGCACAGCAGCCCATGCGAACGCGAGTTGTGGTTCTCGGTACTTTGTTCCAGCAGCCTCCGCCGCCGCCAAAGCCCGTTCCTGCGACCTGGCCAGGCACGTACGTCATGCCCTGGCGTCTGGCGTGGAGCGGCCGTTGATTCTACAGCGCAGCACCTCTGCTGGCGTGGTGGGCGACTACGCCATAGCGGGCTGCGCGGTGAGGTGATTGGCCGGGATGCGGCTCCGCTGGCTGTCACAGATTGATTGCCGGCGAGTGGGCAGATCAGGACGGACAGGGACCGAAGCAGACAGGCAGCCAGAGTAGAGATGGAAATGTGCTGATGCTGCATGTGGGCGTCCGGATCGTCCAAGATGCCATCGGTCGTTGGCTGCTGCCCAGCTCACTGTACATGTGCTTTACACTTGATGCATTCTATTCTTGTACAAACACGCCAGGCTAGTCCCTGGAAGCCACCAAAAACTACATTGCAGCCATCGTTCTATATTTAGCGATTTTGGGTGAAGAGGAGAAGAGGAGGAGAGGACCCTGTTTTTTTTCTTGTCTGGCTCAATCAAAACCGTGCCCACCCGCGGCACTTGGTTGAGCCGCCAAAACTTTAAAAATAAGCCAGATCGAATTTCAAGTACGATGTAAATAGGAGATGACTACATGTGGCCTCTCATACAAGCAAGAGAATATGAATACAGGGATATAAGGCATTGACGGTATGTCCGAATGTCGGAATTGAGCTTTATATACAGGATTTTTTGCTGGTAGCCGAGCTGAAGCTTTCTAGAAACGAAAAGCAAACACCTTCTAGAGCAAAGATGGTGTTCTTAGGCTAGCAACGCACATTGGATGATATACGCAGCATGGAGCCAACACCTTATCATGTCTACTTATATGCACACTGCACCCGCACGCATGTAGGTTTACCGAACATGGCGTCGTCTTGGAGTCGCCGTTCGAATCATGGACCTGGCTTGCTGTATCATCCCAAAGTGAGAGGAAGTAATATCAACACTGCACTTATTAGGAACATACATTTTAACTATTTGGCGATTCCTACCCATTCACTCCAACCTGTACCAAGATAGTTGCTTCTCTTGGCATCAAAATTCCCATTTTTTTCTTGTTGAAAAATATCGAGCCATCCAACAACTCCCATCCATAGGCGCTGCAATTATAGCTTTGAGTTCAAGTACATGTATGCACTCCCTCCAGCATTCATAATGTAGCAGCAGATTGCAACAATCTTGTCACTAAGACGTATATCGACCAAGTAAGGACTGTAATCTGTAATACGAGCAATAACAGCAACAGATACCATCGCACAATCACAACGCAAGCTGTAGTATGCGCAGTGTCAATAGCGGGCAAGATTACCCTAAAGTTATTACATGTATAACTGGCTTTATTGGTTAATATTTTAAACATGGTACTTATTTAATACGAACATGTAGCATCACGCTAAGCAAGCTAAGTTTGTATCTCTATCGTTGTTTATTATGGTCAAGTATAACTTCGAGATGCTCATTTCGCCTTCGCCTTCGACTGTATCATCGTCTTATGCGTACGGGCTGGGAAAGTAGTGTATAATTCAACAATCCGTCAATTTGATAGATAGTTTAAGACAGAAATACCAATCGGCTGACTGAAAGGGGAAGATTTGCCTAAGCTCAAGCTACTCCTTATAATACTACCATCACCTGCATCATTTCCAGCAGTATTGCACAATGGTCATATTCTTACCGGTTTTATTCTCCTAGCAAATTAAGATATTGACTGCATCAAACACAATGATGAAAAGGATTGTAAGTTTATGAGTTGGTTCTTGTCTAGTGCTTCGGTAATAATTGTGCACTGTCAACTTCTCTAAGCATCATCGTGATCCGTTGCCGGGTTAAGACCCGTCGAGGGGTTGAGGAGAAGCTGAGCTATGGAACGCAATTCCGCTTAGTATAAGTGCACCCAGCAGGTGATGGCTTTTTCAACATGCCACGAAAAGATGAAGATGTCAGTTTAAAGAATGTAAACACACGCCTCCTAAGTACTGTGCCATCACGTTCCGCTGCTTGCATACTGTAGCCACCCGAGAGGTTGATTGTTTTTTTTTTCTCGGCCCTTATGACGGGGTAATTTCGAACAGCAGGAAGAGGAGTTCGATTTGGTTGAGGGAAACGATTTACTAATAGACCAACCTCTAAAATATCAGCTGTTACTTACGAGAAATATGAGCCCAATCTTAACCTAATCTTGGTATATGCAAGCAAATCTAGTTATATGCAGTTGAGACATCAGGCCGTATACCCTGATCCCTAAAAAACATTGACGACGGCAACCTAGCATCGTGATACGCGCTACAGATGTCGGGCCTTGACATAAACGAGAGCTCGGCCCATATTGCAGACTATCAAGAGCTGGGAGATACAACACCTACAACAACAAATCGTAACAATAACAGCAACAAAAGAAGACTCAAGTCAAATTCAAGCGAAACATGGGCTGAGACACTCTGCCGACACCAACCGAAGCTTAGCTTCAAGGGATGGCGTAGCAATAGGCTATCAAATCAATGCCTACCTAGTAGGTACCATGTGCTAATGTATAATACGACAGCCGAGTTGTTGGGTTTGGAAGAGGGAAAAACCTTATGCCAAGCGGAAGAAGGGGGTCGGCGAATACGGGTTATTGGTTTCTGGGGAGCAGCTTGAATCCATTATCACGAGGTTTGAAAAGGGCAAAACTAAGCCTTACGCGAGCTTTGTTAATAATATCCCTCACAGATGACTGAGTCCAATCTGCTGGTTGTCGCAGACAATTTGCCCAAAAAGGGACAACCCGAGATGCTAAAGTTGTCTCACTCGCCCTGCAGGATCAGCCATTCACAAGCAAGAGGCAGGGAAAAGCGATCATAGCCCACTATCATCCAAAACACACACACACACACACACACACCAAAAAAAGGTCCTCCTTCTGCAACCCCCTTCTTTGCACCAGGTAGCAGGCAAGACAGTGGTGCTTAAGAAATACGTTTCATGTGAGGAGGATCATGTCTGAAACACTTCCGGATAAGATATTAGGCTGTCGAGCCAATGTTTGAAGATGATCGCCCGCGACACCTTGGCGGACGGACGAGCCGCCTTTTTCTTTATTCTAACCCTTGTCCTGGAAGAAGAAAAGAAGGAGAGAGAGAGAGAGAGAGGGAGGGAGGGAGACACGAATAGTAACAATGGATAGCTGACTCGACTCGCAGAAACGAGCCATATGCGGTCATGCCCGACGACCATGGGGAGGGAGGAAAAAAAAAAAGGTCGACAGGTCACCCAGTAGGTAATATGGAGTCAGCAAGCCCCCAGCGGTGAGGCCGTGAATACGAGATACACGGTGGCAGCGAGCATCACGCATCGAACCGAGCCGAAAACCAAGCACGCTCGTGCTAATGTGTAAGTGGTCTCGTGAGAGTCGGAAGACAGCGCATTAGCTTGCCAGCGGGAGTGATGAGACGCCCTGCAATGACGGCTACCAGCCTATATACATGATGAGATTTATTTACACGAGTACAAGTAAGCAAAAAAAAAAAGAAAAAAAGGTTCACAGAAATCCTGCTGGAGTATTGGTTTAGGGAGAGACTTGGGCTCTTGTATCTGGGCCTGGCAATCTGGTTGCGCACGGCATAATCTGGGTTAATATTAAAAAAAAAAAAGGCCATAATGCAATTGAATCACAAAAAGACCAATGAAGCGAGATGGGTTCCCCATACCCTTTTTTTTTTTTTTTTTTTTTGTTGCCTCGACAATCTGGTGCGTCAGAAAGCCCGGGATCGCAACTTGAGATGAGCCAGCCCTGGCTGGAATGCGTAGTAGTGCTCCGTACACACAATACGGTATTTACGCACATGCATCCGAACAAGGCCGAGCAGATCAACAATGAAAAGGATCAGCAGTGCAGTTGGATAATACCGCAGCCTAATGGAACCACAAAAGAAGAAGAAAAAAAAACGAAGAAGTAGAAAGAATCTGCGTTCACTTCCCCCCTGGGCCTATGCGCACAATGCACAGTGGTCACGCTCACAGCTTTGTAATTACACGCTGCATGCTGGAATCCGAAGTGTTTGGACGCCAAAGCCAATTTTACAATTTTTTACGAGCCAACCACGAACCGTTCATTTGGGAAGAAAATGTTCCGTAGTAGCAACAAGTGAAATTTCGGCCGAATCTGGTAGTCGCCGTGCCGGGGTCGCAAAATGCACCGCGCAGTGGCCCTGGCCGAGGAAGAAAGAATTGCATTGAGAGACGGAGAGAGAGGAGCATTGACCTGGGGTCAGCACAGCCACACTGCGGTGCGAACCATCTGCCGAGCCTTGAAAATCAACAGCGATACAAGGTTAAATAAAGAGAGCAACTGATAAGAAAATGAAGCATGCACAGAGTACAGTTTAGAGCACACTATGTAAAGCATGAATAACGGCGTTGCGGGCTAACAGCGTGTCCGTGTGAATACGAAGGGGGTCACCACCCATGAGCCATCCCACCTCCCGCAACGACGACGGTGCCGCGGTGCCGTGGCCGAAGAGCACTTGGAGCAGGCGAGCAGGAAAGCCGGCAACGAGAAACGGGCTCTTGTGTTGTGAGAGGAAGTACGGAGTAAAGACAATACCTACATGTAGGTAGTCACGAGAGCAACTCCTTGTCCTCGACACATGGCGTTTTCTTTTTTCATCTTCTGCATCTGTTCCTTTCACCTTGCCGCCTCTTTGGGATCAGTACGAAGGAAGGGGGGCATTTTTTGCTTGGCATACCTGAAAGCTCCTCTATACCGGTACTTGGCGCTTCGTGTCGCGGAGATAACACTTACAAGTATTACATTGGCATTGCAGCTATAGCACCTCGTACATGCATGCCCAACCAGTTGCGTCTCGTGTTTGCGGGCTTTTTTTTTCACCCCTCGTGTATGTGAAAAAAGGGCGAAGGGAAAAAAGAAGAAAGAACGAATGAAGAAGAAAAGATGGTGTGTAAGCGAGCGAGAGTGAGGGAGAGAAGAGAGGTTGGGCGTCAGCTGCTGTCGGTATTTGGCAGTATCAGGAATGCCGGTGCATGAGCTCAGAAAAAACCTCGTACGAGTAATACCCCGTAAACCGTTGGCCCAGATTGGACGAAGGTTGAGTCGACCGAGATACAGTTTTCCGATTAGGCCCATCAGAACCGCACAAACTGTGCGCCAATGCGTGACTGTGACACTTGGAACCAAAGTCTTTTTGCTTGTGAACAAACGAAAGTGCCTTTGCATGTTGTCATTTTTGTGGTCCGGATCGATGTTTTGATGGGGCTCTCTCCGACTGGTGTGACGATGACGCTTCAGCCACGGCGTTCTTGAAACTCATGGCTGGCGGCGGCGTTGCTTGTTCTTGTAGTGCAGCGCCAGTGGCTTGAAAGGGATCAATCGAATCAGACCGCCATCAGAAAAGAAGGCGAAGAGAAGACGCAGAAGAGACAAAAGATAAAGAGGCTGATGTGATGGCCGAAGCTAGTGTTAGTGACCTCACATGCATAAGGTCGATGCGATGACACCGCACCAGCTAGAGCCTGAGATTCGAAGATTCGAAGATTTGGTGTAATGCTCCGTAGTGCGGCAGCATACGCAACTATTGACTGATGGGCACATCTCGGGGGGTGGAATATTGGTGGGCTGGTGGGTTGATAGATGGGCCAGAGTGGGCGACGTGGAAGTGGGATCACCGTGCCGAGGCGCTTGTCCGATACAGGCTGGTTGCAGCCGGGGACGAGGCGGTGGGGTCTCGGAACCGCGAGGGTTCGAACGGGTCGCTTACCTGTACATGCGCCGTGTATGGGGAGAGGCTGAGCATGACAGGTACCGCCGATGCTTTTTTTGGTATACGCGTGGGTGAGGTACCTCATATCAGGTGCTGCTGCAACGGACAAGCTCGTATAATTGGCAGTTGGTAGTAACGGCGCAGCATTATTGAGGGCACTGGTACGATCTACTACCTACTGTACAGTACTGAATACTACCACTACTACTGCTGATAGGTAGTAGCACTACGGAGCACTTTACTGCTAATCATTAGTGAGCTGCTAAAGGAACAGTCAGTCCGTCGGTGAAGCTCAGCTGAGCCGATGAGCTGAATCGGGCTGGGCTTGAGCCCCAGAACTGGTGGCAACAGACTCGCAAAACAAGCGCAGACACAAAGGGCTCCAAAATCCTTTTTCTGGAGCTTGTGACGATCCCCATTGTCCCTCCCTGGCGTCCAGCACACTGTGACACGCTGTCGTCGGCGGCTGCTACCTGTCATGATCGCGGCGCTGCTGTGCGTACATACGTTGCCACGCAGTTTTTTTTTTTTTGCGAAGGGTGCCCCCCCTAGACCGAAGCTCTAGAACCCTGCAGCCCTTTTTTCGTCGATGGATGACAGTCATCAGGGGTAAACCCGCCCACCAATGACGTTGTTGGCCCTTTCTTTATCAGTGCCAGACACGCGGAAATTTTGGCCCCAGGTCATGGTTACGGGTGGTTGGATTGGTGTTTGGAGCAGCTGGCGGGTAGAGCTGCAGGGTACCTGCACATGTAACCTCCCTAAAGCAGCAGGTCGACTTGTGTCAGCGGCTTGCCAACGGCGGTTTCGAAAGCGTGCAAATCGCTGATTGACAGTTTGGACGGACCGAAACTGTGAGGAGCAAAGAGTTTGATCGAGGGCTTTGTTTGTTTGTTTCGTGTGGTGGCCGCCCACTATAACTGCTGTCTTGCGCGTGTCGCAAAAGTTCGCTCAAGCACGTGTGCAAACTTGCCGCCCTTTTTTTTTTTTCCTTCTCACTCCTCGTTCTGTAAATAGGATCATTAGCATGATGGGACTAACCCCGTCTTGCCAAAATACGAGTTTAATGTGTGGGCGCGCTGCGAATGACTGCCGTGCTCGTTACGCGGACGAGCTTTCTCTTCGTGTACTCCGTATGAAGTAACACCCAAACGGCTGATAACGGCCGACGCCACGTTGGATCTGGCAACCGGCTATGCCTGAATGGACGTGAAAAGTATGGGCGGCTATGGCTAGTCGACTGGCTAGCACCGAGGGCAGTGAAGCATGGAGCTTGACACGAGGCCCGTTTGGGCTACCGGCGAGTCGGAATTGAATTTGGGGAGGATGCGATACGATACGGCTGGCCTGTGGCTGTCGAAAGCACCGCAGGTACATGCCACTTCCAGCAGGCGGCCCATATCAGCAGTACGAGGAAAGCACTGGCAGTGCTAGTCGCAGCGCCACCAACACGAGCCAGAGCCGTCGCCCACCGTTCTGGACCCTGTCTGCTCTCCACCGGGCGGACTCGAGATGCGAGCCGAGGGGCTGGGCTCTGGGCTCTGGGGGCGCCTTCTCGTGGCCGCTGGTCGCTGTGCTGCTCAGCCGGCCGTTCCTGGGCGCGGACGCACTGGCTGCTGGGTGCTGGTTGGCCACCGCAGCGGCGTCCGAGGCCAGCAGGGGGTCGGGATGTGATGAACAGGGGACCGGCAGCAGCATCTCGTACCAGCGCCTGGAGGAGAGCGCAGAGACACTGGGCGCCAGGGGTCCGGCACGCTTTGCCTCCCTCGCAATCGCCCAGGCTTGGCCCTGCAGGGATTTGCGACAAGGGTAGCGCCAAAGGATGGTGGGACCCTGGACTGCCTCGACCAGATTCGGCCCAGGTCCCCCACAGCGCCGCCTGCTGCCTCCAGCTCCAGGCGGCTGTACTGCTCGCACTGCTCGTATACTGTTCTGTCTCTCGGTCCTACATATATAATAAGACACGCTTCTCACCACCTCGTCGCAGCCTCTCCTCCTCTCCTTCTTCCCTCGTCCCTCTTAATATATTTCATACTTTCTCGCCAAAAGTCTGTATAGACCCTCTCGAGCTCATCAACCTCCTCGAGCCGCTCCTCCCCCCTCGAGTCTTTCTTTGCGCAGTCTCTCGCTACTCAGCCTCGGATTGACCGACTATCGCTTGGTTCCTTGCAGCCATAATCTTGCAACAGGTGTAATAATCGCTTCGACTGTTCCGCTTTCTTCTGTTTATACTCTTCTTCTCCGTCAATCCGGGTATATATAATATCGTCAATCGTATAATCAACATCTGCGACCATGCACTCCAAGACTTTCACCGCTGCCGCCGTGGCCCTGGCCGCTTCCACCCTGGTCTCTGCTCAGACCTCAACTGACTGCAACCCTCTCCAGAAGAGTAAGTGAACGATATCAACTATTCACATATATTCTATTCCTTTCCAAGGAATCATCACTAACACAGTTCCACAGCCTGCCCCAACGACCCTGCTTTCGGCAAGAACTCAGGCGGTTGCGACTTCACCAAGGGCGCGTGCGGTAACTTCGATTCTCTCCCCGGCACCTCTCTCTCCTACAACGGCAACGGCGCTGTCTTCTCCATCAGCACCGAGACTGAGGCTCCCACCATCCGCACTGGCAAGTACCTCTTCTTCGGCCGCATCGATGTCGTTGTCCAGGCCGCCGCCGGCGTCGGTATCGTCACCTCTGCCGTTCTCCAGTCCGACGATCTTGACGAGGTATGTATTATTGAATCGTGAACTACCGACATCTCAAGCATTGTAAACTAACCGTCATGACGATAGATCGACTGGGAGTGGGTTGGAGGCGACAACGCCCAGGCTCAGACCAACTACTTCAGCAAGGGCAACACTGCCACCTACGACCGTGGTGCTTTCCACCCCGTCGCCAACCCTCTTACTTCGTTCCACACCTACTCTGTTGAGTGGACTTCTCAGGGTGTCACCTGGTTGATCGACAACAACGTCGTCCGTACCCTGAACGCTGCCAACGCCGAGGGTGGCGCTGCTGGTCTCCCCCAGACCCCTATGCAGGTCAAGCTTGGAACCTGGGTTGCTGGCCGCAAGGATGCTCCTCAGGGCACCGTCGAGTGGGCCGGTGGCTACACCGATTTCTCCAAGGCTCCTTTCCTCGGATACTACAAGAGCATCTCCATTGTCGACTACGCTGGTGCCGATGCCCCTACCTCCAAGAGCGTCAAGGAGTACATCTACAGCGACCACAGCGGCAGCTGGCAGAGCATCAAGGTCGAGCTTGGTGACGGCAGCGACGACAGCAGCGACAGCTCTTCGTCCGCCCCTGCTTCCAGCCAGACCAAGACCAAGACCTCTGCTGCCCCAACCTCCGCCAAGGCTTCTTCTACCGATGCTCCCAGCTCCACTGATGCTCCCAGCTCTTCCGCTGCCCAGGCCACTACCCTGGTTTCCTCTACTCCCACTTCTAGCAAGCCCAGCTCTGGTGGCGCTGCTGGCAACGGCACTGGCTCTGCTCAGCCTACCGGATCTTCCAAGCCCTCTGCTCCCCCTACCGTCCCCCACAGCGCTGGCGCCCGCAGCCTTGCTACCATCGGCAGTGTCTTCGCCATTGGCGCTGGTGTCGCCTTTGCTCTCCTGTAAACGGGATCTCCAACCCACAAAATCTACCCCCCTTTTGTTTCGCTTTGTGTACTTATTGTTGCGGGCATGAAAAGCATGTAGAATGGGGCGGAAAACGTTTGCGTTCGGAGAGAAAGAGCAGACCAAGCTAATACTACTATACAAATTCGAGTTACACACACGACCCGCTGTTTGTTTCACTGTACATCTGACAACGGACACGAACATGTGGCAAGTGCTTGCTGTTCTCGACCGAGTATATCTTACAACAATTTCCCCATTATTTCCTCTCTTTTATTTCCCTGCAAATTATTCTGGAACGAAACGCTTATAATGATCTATTTTTAATGGGGAGGTCTGCTCTTCTTTCGACCGAGCTGATTTCTGGTAATGACGTTTGCTTGGATTGATGAAGAGAACAGGATCGATGATATTTGTTTTTGGTGTTTTTTTTTACTTTTGATTTTGCTTGATACCTATCCTTGAAGTTTGTTGGCTTGCCTTGTTTTGGAACAAAACAATTTTTTTTTTTCCGGCGCATGCCCTTTAGAGGTATTGCATAGGCCAGTATGTAGAATGGAGGAGATATAAAGAGAACATTTTGCCAAATCTTATCCCTGCTCAGCTGCTCAAATCTGTTTTGTGATTGCTTGTGTCTGTCCAAGTCAATTATCCTTGCTATACTACCTTATCTACTGCCAATTTGTCGTATCTTTGAAAATACGTGTGAATACGGGGTACTGGAGCAATTCATTACGCACAAACGCGGAACTAGTTGGTGCTAGCCCAGCATCTCCCCCGCGCATTAATTAAGACGGACAGGATTTAGGCCCGAAGCGGACGATGCGATGCAGGGGTCCAGGGAGGAGCTTTTCATTTCCTTTTGGTGCCTGCCAAGATTGGGAAGCGCCTCTGGCGGTGGTGGTTCCTGGTTTGCATGTCCTGTTTAGGGTTTGGCTTGTCTTTGGATGGTTCGTTGAGTGATGAGTATATCCATCCAATACGAGAATTGGGGAGATTGGGAATATGATGTTTATTCCTCTTCTTTTTATTTTTTGTTTTCCCTCCCATCTCTTCTCTAAGGTGAATAATTAATTAGAGGGAAGAAGAAGAAAAAAAAAAAAGACGAATATTACCGAGAGAGAGGCTGTGCAAGGCGTCTGAGTAATCTAGCCATGCATGATTCAGCCGTTTCTTTTTTGTAAATGACCTGCATGAACCATGCGCGTAACCTGCCAGTTTGGCAAGGATACCTACCATTGTGTGCTGTAGATAGGTATGCAACGGATAATACGAGCCGGGTATAAGACTTGGTGATTAGGCTTACCAAATATTTGCAGTAGCAGCAATAATAAATAACCGCTAGTTACGGCGGCAATGCGGCGTCAGACCACACCTCCTGAATGCCTGGATTTACTTGCCGCATTGGGGAAGCAATTGGACGAGGGTGCTTTGGCGGATAAGTGTTTAGTAGGCATGGATGTATGGTAGGCGCGTATTTGCGGGTTTGCGGCACGGGTTGTTACTGGGACACGGCACGAGGATGGGGACGGAAACTCGGTCGAGAGCAAGGATTTAATACGTAGTATGTACTTGGGATATATATAGGCGCTGATTAATATATTGATTCCAATCACTTTGCTTGGCAGAGAGGGCAATTGCGATTTGATATTACTCACACTGCCTTGCATTAGGCAACGTGAAGACAACTAATTGCCTTTCTAAACAGCCGGGCAAATGACTTACCTATTATACCATGTGCCGAAAAGCAGTAAAATCTTTGACAGGCTAACTAGCTTGCTAAAGCAATTGCATGATTTTTATGTACGTGATTTATTGCACAGGAATGAGCTTGCTGTCTACCTACTAATACAAAAGCCAAGGCGCTAGAAGCCAGACCGCCTTCGAAATATCAATCCATCAACCAACCACAAATGAATTGAATTTTATTCGGCCCCGGCTGTAGACTACTTGTAGGTTGCTCCATACGACTCGGGTGCAGGCATAATCTCCCCATACTTTGACGTCGTACGGGGAGCTCCCTGCAAAGCCAATGGCTTCTCGGCGTCGTCCGGACGAAGCTGTCCATGGGCCGCTACTGCAAGCGATCGCACCACTAGAAGCCCGTGCTAGCACAGGTGATGGTAGTACATGTAGCAATAGTTTCCGAGCTAGCCCTGCAAGCGCGACGAGGGTTGAGTTGAGCGAGTGGACGGGGGAGCATGAGTCATGGAAGCTCAGATAGCATGCTATGCTACGGGTAGGTTATTGATCTCTTGGCGTTTGTAGGCCACACGGAGTGGTTTGGCTTTATCATCTCGCTATGGTTTTGCTCTTTTTTTTTCTCTTTTTATTTTATTTGGGTAACTGAACTGGCTGGTTGTAATATATAAGGCGCAGATGATTGCTTTTTAATAGTGAGGACTTGTAAAAGCTCTGATGGATGCGATTTGTCCGCTAGTTTATAGCACTTCATTCGACTTTTTGATCATATCTTTTTAAGATGTAGCGCATTCTGTGATTCCATGATGTCCTGATTAAGATATCTTGAAAGTCTATTAGAACGTATATTAACAGGTGGCAATTGGTACGACTAGGTACATAGGTAACAATCCTACTGCGAACATGGGTAGGCGTTCAGCGCGTTGGTACGTATAGTTTTCGGTAACCACAAGCTCACTCGGTCTCGCTATCATCACCATCACAGGACGACCTCAGTTTCCTAAATATATATCTATAATAAAGTGCCTGCTGCTGTTTGGGTGTCGTAATAGAGACTTAATTTAAAAATGCAGTTAAATAGCTTCAAATAGGCCACAAAGGTCGATGCAGTAAAGGGCTATACCATCAAGCTCAACCAATGCTAGATCACCTGGTACCCAACAACGAAAAGGTTCAAGATACAGTTCCTACACAAAGATAAGGCTCTAAGCCGATGGCTCAACAACGGTTGAGTTGCAGGTAATATCATGATATCCCTTTTGGCTACCGTGCAATGCAAACACTGCCCTGGAATCGATAGTGTCAATGGTTTAATCGCATTATATGACTCTGTCCAACAAAGCGCCTCGTAGTTATCCTCTCCTCCGGACTCGATTATAAAGAGCATTTTTTGGGGGTGACATGATTGCGCCAGGAGGCAAATGTTTAATTCATACTGTTAGCCTCCTGCATCCGACCTTAGAGAATTCAGACTTTTAAATTACGCTCGATCTGATATAGCTTTCAAGACGAGGCTGCTATTTATTTTTCGGAGAATTATCGTGAGTGAATATCCTATATTCTATAAGCCTTATAGGGGATTTTTTAATAAGAGATATCGCAAAAGGGGGATGATGGGAAGAAAACCATATGAAAACCTGTCATAGATTTAAGCCGCTGGTGACTTTTGGTCTTTGAAAGGGAAAAAAAATTAAAAATAAAAAAAATAATCCCAGCAGAGCTCTTACCAGAGCATACTTATTGCCAGATCTTTGATTAGAAAACGCCCCCGTCTCGTAGGTATATGCCTCTCTCGGTTCGACCTTGCGAGACATCTGACTTACCGTTTGATGTGGTTGGTGTAACTCTAAACCAGCTTGTAAGCTCAGAATCATGCGAATGAGATTAGATCTGGTGGATGACCATATGAAGGGGCAGATTGCGCCTGGAATGCTCATTCCTTGAGTTTGCCGGCATGCATCACTGTCGATATCGCGGAGGATGAGTTTGACAGCGATGCAGCCAAGACGGTTCGGAAGGCCTGGGATGAGGTTGGTGTAAGGAGGAGGACCTAGACGAAGGACTCGGGTGTGCTGTTTGCTGAGACGCGCTCTGATGTTGTTGTGATTATTGTTTGTTGATGTTGCTGCTGTTATTGACGAAGGCGCAGATGCTGATATCACTATGACCTTGCGAAATGCGTCTACAACGCTTCAATACATAATAATGTTTTATTAAATCTCGATAGTGTTGAGATTTATTGATAGAGTGAGTCATAAGACTGATATTGCAATTGTAATCGCACAAGTATCCCGTGTGATGTTTGAAGTTCTCTACGATCGAGGACCGCATGTCTAGTCAAGTCGGATTAACTGACGTGCCTCTTTTTTTTTTATCAAATGAACCTTCCCAGGAGATAACGACAAAGCAGAAAGCAGAAGCTGCTTTTATATGACCTGTATCGATGAAGATTTCAAAGGAAGGAACGAGAGGCTTAAAACAGCGGAAAAGTAGAACCGCTTTCAATTTAGGAAGGAACGACCTTGCACCAAGTATGGCAGAAAAAAAAAATGCATCTCTGTAGTTTAGCAGCTTCAACTTCTAGCATCTTCTTTTCACTTTTCCTTCACCTGTAGCATGTCACACATATTCCACAGCAATCTATGACCATTCATGATTTCCGCAAATACTGATTTCTAGGCCAAAAAGTGCAGACACACAGCTCGTTCATACAGAACGCTACGACAAGACAGACCACATGGCTTCATTTACACTTTTCAACAGCATATCCGGTCGTACTGGTAATTCTATGGAGATGCCATCTTCGCTTTCCGCAGAAGAAGAGCGTCCAGAGAAATCATCTCAACCATCCCCCCTTCCCGCTGGAAAGCTGGATTCTCCAAAGTATAATGAGATTCGACTTCGATACCAGCTATCGCTGCCCACTCTGAGATCGCTCTCTACTATTGAGAAAGCGCCCGATAGACGAAAAGTTCTCCAGACTGCATGTCTTGCAGCAGAGTTCCGGTCTTTCCCTATACGGCCAGAGGAGAAGAATTTTCTGAGGGAAATCAACGATCACACGGGAATTCCTTACCCCATTACCGGAAATGCTACTGAGCCGTGGCACAAAGTGTTATTGCTCGTTCAGATCGATCTTTTGCGCGGAGGATGGCCGAACAAGATATCATCCAATGGTCGCAAAGAGCTGCTGCGAGAGAGCTGCCGAATCTACGTCGTATTAGATCGCGTGTTGAGATGTCTAGCAGACATACTTGGCGAGAGAGAAGACGGCCGAGGAGTGACTGTCACTCTTGATGTTTTGAGGAGTGTCAAGGCTAAAGTTTGGGAAGGCACTGATATGGAGTTGCTACAGGTAGACGGAATCGGCGCGGCAAAGATGAAAAGACTTGTCGATGCAGGCGTCAAGACTATCAAGCAACTCGCTGGATTGGAGTTTTATCACATTGAACGATTGCTCAGTAGGAACCCACCCTTTGGACATCAAATGATCCATCAACTATCGGGATTCCCATTGCTGCATTTACACCTTGATGCAGTTAACAAGTGCACGCTCCCGCAAGACGGTATCCAGGACAGCACCAGATCGGAACCCCGCCAGCCTTGGGTGGTTAGAGTCGTGTTGGGATTTGGTAATGAAATTGTGCCAACCTGGTGCAAACGGTGTCCATGGACGACTTTGGTGATTGAAGGAGATGACGGGCGGCTCCTGTGGTTTTGGAGGGGAAGTGTAAAGAGGATGGAGAACACCAAGATCATGTTTGTTCGTCTGGATGTCAAAAAAGGGGAGAGTATCAAGGCAACCTTTGCCTGTGAAGGGATTGTAGGGACCCTCGTACGATTTACATTGACTATCTAGGGTGTGCCATGCCTGGAAAAAAAGCACCCCCAATTCGATTCTTACAATTTTTTTCTCTTCTTTTTTTGCCCTTTTTCACACCTTTCCCCCCCATACATCGAACAAAGTACCGGCATATTGATGATTTCCCAGAATTACCTATACAACTAAGAAAATAAACAAGATGATGCAACCCTGGAGAAATTAGAAGGGACTTCCCGTCGCATTGGCTTGTAGTCGTTGAAACCAATGAGCACCGACCAACCTATTTTTGGTTGTAGCGTGGATGCAGGGCAAACAGCATAGTCCTTGACAACTCACTGCAACTAACTCTCAGCCGCACGCATCCTGGCTAGCTCCTCTGTAAGAAGGAGAAATTAGACGCCGATTTCTGCAGAAAGAGAGAGAGAAGCAAGCACGACAAAGAAGAAAGGAGAGAAAACGATACGAAAAAACAAAACAACAAAAAGGGATGGCAAACTTCCTTACTCTTTGTTTGGGAGAGTTTTTAGTCTCAACGATAGCTCTTGTGAAGCTTCATCTGTCTACCGTGCTCATCGCGAGGACTGTTCTCCCCCAAGCTGCAGCCTAATTCTGCCCGATGGCTTTTAGTGGCAATCAATGCATCTTAGCCACATCTCTACCTGTGGTTGCCTTTGGAAAACATGTCCCGTGGTCCAAGGCACTCCCTCTCGAGTGGTAGCGCCAATACGATATACGATAGTGCTGGCAAGAGCAGTTTAGAAGTATGTTCTCGGCTGAGGCTGGCGCTGGTCTAGTCTTTCCCGCTAAGCTTAAGTGCGGCTCCACCGCGACAGCCGACGATCATTGCTGCTATTGTTGCTGGGCTGTTATTGACATTGACGACAGCAGCCTGGGCGTACAGCAAGCGTCTTGTTCATCGACTCAAGGTTATAGCCGCTGGCTTAATTGCAGGTCAATGGACTTCTGAAGACAGCGAGTCGAGGGCTGATTTGTAGGCGAATTGTTCATTCTCGTGCCTAGGCGATGATCCGACTGCCGCCGCTGTTGTTAGGGTATATGCATACTTGTAAGGTATTAGTGGGCGACTTAGGATGGAGATCATCTACAATGGTCTGCTCCAGTTTCTGAGCGGCACTCGACGACTATCACAAGCATTATAGCGAGCTAGAGCGATCCCATGTCTCGCGTATAGTCAACTATCCAACTACTGCCTCGCACTATTCCCAGAACTGCCTATCAATGTCCACATGGCCCCCAGGAGCTGAAAGATTCGACCCCGCTCTAGCAACATTTCTTTTCCATCCTTCTCTTGAAAAGGCATCACTTATGGTATCGCCAATGTTAGCAATCCCCGCCACCGCTACCGCGACTGGCGAGCATAATGCATCAAGACTGACCGCCTCGCTGAGAGGCGAGCGGATAAACAAGTTCTCCACACCCTCATTTTCTGGCACCAATGTCTAATAACTCAGTGGCTAAGCAATGCCACAGGAAGCCGTTTAAACAGCCTGCATGAAACTGGGCAGCAGCGTAAGCCACCTCTTGATTGTGGCCTGGGTGTAAGGCTTCCTCTGGCACACTAGAAGTACTACCCGGCAGAATGGGCTGAGGATTAGTGCCGGCATGGGTCTTGTTATGACTCCAACAGATGCACTAACATGGGCCTTCACCAATGAACACTGCCTATGCGTCCCTTGTTTGACCCCTGGGTAGGACGGCTTGTTAGCTCATGATGGCTTCGGAGGAGGCTTAAAACGTGTGTGAGTCTAAGCTGCCTAGTCGAGCTGGGAGAAGCCGTGGGAGGAAAAAAGGAAATTGTTGAGAGCTCTTTACTACCTTGTCTGGTCTCATATAAATGCGGCTGAGAATTCTCTTCAGCTCTGGCCGCACGACTTTCATTTCCCAGCACTTCTGCAATTGGAGGAGGTGATTTTCTCAACATAAAGGATTCTTGTCTTTTCAATTCTTTACATCAAGACACCTTTATGCTTTCCTCGATTATGCCTCCTTACTCTGCCCTCCTCCTGGCTGCGGCCGGGCTCGCCGCCGCCGAAGGTTTGACGGCGATGAACCTCGGAGAAGTCCTCGGTCGAGGTGTAACTGCCGCCGGCCTGGGCTCTTCGGCCTTTGGCGTCCACGCAGTCACTGGTACTTGTGGCATCGGAGAGACAGATTGTGATATCGGCTGTATGCCTTTGACCGGCATCTGCTGTGGCTTAGGCAACGGCGCTTACTGCGACATTGGCTACTCATGTGTTAGCGATGGCTGCTGTCCTGTTGGGAAAGTTTGCACGGGCGAGCCTACAGGCTGCGAAGGAGACCGTGACCTTTGCGGAGAGTTTTGCGTGCCCAAGGGAACTTGTACTTCAGGAGGAGGAGGTGGTGGAGGAGGAGGAGGTGGTGGTGGTGGTAGCGGAGGCGGCGATGGAGGCTGCCCTACCGGATATGTGGCCTGTGATGACGAATGCATGCCCTCTGGCAGTGTCTGCTGCCACAATGGCTACCACTGCGATGCTGGACAAACATGCACAGCTGATTTCCAGTGCCAACTTGGTAGCGGTGGTGGTGGTAGCGGCGGCGGCTCTGGTGGTAACGGCGGCGACAACCAATCTTCATCCCCTGGCGACTCTTTCACGAGCGAAGGGTCTGGTGGTTCTTCAGGCCATCAAACCAGCTACAGCCTCTCACCAGACCCTCAGCCAACGAATGCTCCCACCCAGTCAAACCCCTTTGGCGGATCCGGCGGCGATGACAACACTTCTAATCCTTTCCCTCCTGTCACCTCTGGTGATAGTCGGCCCAGCCCTACCGATAACGGCTCGCCCTTCACTTCAAATGCTGGCCCTGCCATCACTTCTGACGTCGGCCGCCCTACTACGACTGCTGCCTCTCGCCCGACCAGCACTAACGGCGCCAACAGCGATGCGATCGGCTCTTCCAACTTCCTCGTTGGTCTTCTCGCCTTCATCCCCTTTGTTCTATAATCAGATTCTCCGCCGCGGTGATTTGAGATGTGAAACATTTGGGGCTTTTGGGCTGATGCTTGCAATAATGAATGGAGGGACAAGGTCCTAAGGACAATGTCCAGTAATGATAATGGAATAACAGTTGGTGGGATTGAGATTGAATTTGAAATGATACCTTTATCACAGTCGAGAGACTCAGCTCCTGAATGGCGAGATTGTCGAGACGTCGGATAGCTATTAGAGATATAAACGATTCTAATACCATAATTATCACTCTTTGTGTTAATTTATACTATCTGTCTTATGTGTCCATCAACGTTTTGTTCACCATGTTTTGCTTAGTCGCCGATTCACACTTCACGTATGTAAAAAAAATTGTTGGCACTTTGATATTTATTTTTGATTGTTTTTTTTTTTTTTTTTTTTTTTCAAGCAGCCTCTTGTCCTTGTCGTACGGAAAGTGGTATTCGCCTACTTATACAAACGTCGCAGTCGCGTTCTCCAACGTCCCCCTTTTATGACACGGGTAGTTTTACAAGCTAAAGAACAACGAGATATAAAATGGCATATGATGTAAATGTTTAGGAGGGGAGGGTAAGAAAGAAAAAGAAAAAGAAAAAGAAAAAGAGAGAAAATTCACACACATGCGACCAAAACCGCATAAACGCCATGTCTGCTCCCTAAATCTTCGCTTTTTCCATTTAGTGCAGTCGTGACGTGAGCCAACAACGCCTTCCATTCCCCAAGTCTGGCCTCCCATTTGCGTGGTCCATAAGGTGTTCCTGTGGCCCCTTATCTAGCCCCAATGTGTTCCTCTTCAAAATATCGTATTTCTCCTTTATATGTGGCCGGCGTGTCGTTTATTGATTATACATAAAATTTTCTTTAAAGAAAATAATAAAATTATTTCTTCCCTGCAACCTGGTTAAAGCTCTCCAGGACCTTGTCCTTCAGATCTCCCTTGTTCTCCTGAGCAAGTTCTTCTGTCGGCGTCTCAGCAGATGGCGTAGCGCTTTCTCCTTCTCTGCTGGGAGAAGACGGCGAGGTAAGCTGCTTGGCCAAGACCTTTGCCTGAGCTTCGCTGACTTTTCCGTACACGTTTAGACCAGTGGCAATCATGCCGCTAATGTCGCCAACGTTTCCAGGGACGACCACTGCCGTGCCCTCCTTGGCAAGCTTGCTGAAGGCCTCGACGTACTTCTCGGCCACTGTCAGGCTCATGGCGCCCTGGGCTCCGTGGGCACCCTTGAGGATGCTTGCCGCCACAGCATCAATACCCTCGGCAGTTGCTCGGGCTTTGAGCAAAATAGCTTCGGCCTCACCATCGGCTTCGTTGATGCGCTCGGCACGCATAGCCTCTGAGGCGAGAATGACGCTCTGTTTCCGACCCTCGGCAATGTTGATGGCACTCTGACGCTGACCTTCGGACTCGAGAATCTCGGCACGCTTGGAACGCTCGGCGGTAACTTGGCGGTGCATGGCCTCGACGACGGCTCCAGGGGCGTGAATATCTCGGATCTCATAACGCAGGCAGGTGACTCCCCATGCTTGGGCAGCTTCGTTGATAGCGGCGGTAATGTTGATGTTTAGCGCAGCACGCTCCTTGAGAACATGGTCGAGGGAGAGCTGGCCGATTTCTGATCGCATCGTGGTCTGGGCGAGCTGGGAGATGGCATATTCGGCATCTTCGACTCCGTAGCTGAAATAAAATTCTTATTAGTATAGACCAAGTGACCAAGTTTCGCCTCTCTGTCAGACTCTGACTGTCTTTGATCCTACTCTCCGAACAACGCCGAGAGAGAGGAGAGGGAGAGAATAGAAAGTAGGACGAGGGAGAAACAAGCTGCGTGCAACTCACCTAGCCTTGTACGCATCAAACACTCTTGTATACAGAACACCGTCCAGATCCAATGTTACGTTGTCGGCCGTAATCGCACTCTGACTCGGAATCTCAATGGCCACTTCCTTCAGGCTCTTGACGTACGCAATCCGATCAATCACCGGAGCCAGAATTGCCAATCCGGGCTCTAAGATGCGGCTAAACTTTCCCATTCGCTCAACAATCCATGCTGTCTGCTGCGGCACAAACCGTATAATGGTGTTGGCGGGCAACCGAGGTTTCTGGAAGTACGAGGGCAGAGGGCCGCCGAAGCTGCCACTGTTACCGGAGAAGCTGGCGGGGAGACGAGTGCGCGAGGATGTCGAGAAGGAGAGGTGCGATTGGGGGCGCAGAAAGAGGGCCGTGGTTGTTCTCCCCGCGCGGAGGGCGGCCCTGGGCGGCGGTAGTGAAGGCATCGTGAGATGTGAAAAAGCGAGTCGAGTGATGCGAGTGTATGTTGGGTGCCTTGCTCGCTGGCCGGGGGTTGCGAATTGCTCGTTGGCTTTGCCTCCGAATCGCTATCTGTGTGCCAGTGCAATACGGGCCAATGATTGGAGTGTCACAGACGAGATTGGTGGAGGAGAAAACAAGAGGGAAATTCGGCTGTCGTATGAGAAGTGAGCAGTGATGTAGATGACTGCGGTTTGTCTGAAGGCACAGCTTCCATGGAGGAGCAGTAGCTGCTTTTGGCGCTCACGGACACCCGATGCTTACCCGCATGGCTGCCCCGGCCATACATCGCACTATCTCAGCCCAGCAACAACCAGCTGAGTAGGTGCTAGGGAGGTACCTCAGGCCAGGTGCTCCGTGCCTTCCAAGCCATTCCGTCATTTCTTCTCGCTGCCGCCTGCCTGCTGTGCATTTTCGTTTCGGCGGGGCATCAGGTTCCGTGGCTTTCGTTCTCCATCAAAACTGCCCCGCGCCAGGAACAGCTGCACCGTTTTTTATATTAAGACTGACGCCGACGATTATACGAACCGCTCCGATCCTGACCGACATATCCTCGACTTTTGCGGCGCTAGATCCGTTCGATCGCAGAGCCAGAATACACGCATTTGAACAGCAGTGATACGCAGGTATTGCGCTGCGCAGTAGCACAAAGGACGAAGGACGCATCATCAGATAAAGAAAGAAAGACAAGGAACCATGTCTGCCAAGGTCCCGCGCAACTTCCGCCTGCTGGAAGAGCTCGAAAAGGGCGAAAAGGGTCTCGGAGCTGAAGCCTGCAGCTACGGCTTGGAAGATGGCGAGGACCTGCTCATGTCCAACTGGAACGGCACCATCTTGGGGCCTCCGCATGTAAGACTTGACTCACTCCCTCTTGGATCTTGCTTCTCGAAAACACATTGTCTCGGCCTCCCCGCAGAGGTCAACGTTGTCGTATAAGTCAATGTACAGCTGGGAAACGGGATCCCGCTGGGTTGAAAGAGAAGCAAAACACACACATGCCGAATCGCCGACTTCGCCTCTCCTTCAGCCCAAATCGTATCTCGGCAAGAGGAAATCAAAAAAAGAAGAGGCTAACCCACGTCCCTTTGCAGTCCGCACACGAGAACCGCATCTACAGCCTGAAAATGCACTGTGGCGATAACTATCCCGACGAGCCCCCCTCCATCCAGTTCGTCAGCCAAGTCAACCTCCCCTGCGTTAACCCTCACAACGGCGTCGTCGACCCGAAGCAGCTCCCCTGCCTGGCCCAGTGGAAGCGTGACAACACTATGGAGATGGTCCTGATTGAGCTGCGAAGGTGAGCTTTTCTGCGAACAATATTGAACTGAGCATCAAGGCTAACTCAGCATTGCAGATATATGGCCTCTCCCGCGAACAAAAAGATTCCCCAGCCCCCTGAAGGCTCTACATACTCATAATCCTCTTAGGCGTTTATTCGCAGAGACTACGGAAGACAAAGGGGGAAGGGGCGTTCTAGACGGGAAAGCGAAAGGGCCAACAGATATACGTGAAGACCTCTCCTTCAGCCAAACAAACACACAAATCCATATCAACATCACCACGCACAAAGAACTCACGTAGCATGTTTTTTCCCCTAAATCTCAAATCATTCCATTCACATTTTACATTCAGAGTTTGGTAGCACGAAAATCATAATTCACATTCCAAATCGTCCACTTCTTTCTAAGGGGTAATTAATTTCTTTCACATCAGTTGCGCCATAAGTCGATGCTACGTGAAAACCAGCAAACATAAAATTTCGTACTCTTTCCCGCTCACCACCCAAACCAATCAATCATAGCGCCCTCTCAATCTTCCTTCCCAACTCGCAGCAAACATTAGCCCAAGCCTTGATCTTTTTGATTTCGCTCCAGTCTATCCTCAATCATATGTGAAAAAAGGTAGAAAATAAAATGAAGAGAAGAGGGACATAAGAAAATCCTTTCCGATAATGCTGTTTGCTCCGGGTATCAATTTAAAATGTGCTTGTCGGTAATAGCAACGGCTAATCCATTATGTATGTAGGAGTACGTGACGTAAAGAAAAAAGTAACAAAAAAAAAAGAGAAAGGAAAAAAGAAAAAAAAAAAAAAGAAAAGAGATATTATAGGGGTAGTAGCAAGTTCAACGTATAAGCGGTGAAGAATCGAACGGAAGTTGTAATTTGTGAGTCGCTCCTCGAAATTGCGACAAAAGGTAGAGGGTGCAGATAAGTATATATATGTAGGAGAGTGAGAAAATTGTTGCAAAAGGCACAGGTGCAGATGATATATATATGATAATGAGAGTAAGGGCGTAAGGGCAACTCCCTTTCTCGTTCAGTCGTCGTCTCCCCACCACCCCGGCTCGGTATCTCTTCGCACGAACCCTACAGCACTCAATCGTGCTGTATTCATCGCAGCACGGCGGGGCGGCCGCGGTTGAGGGAATGTCTCGTTGGATATCGGGCTGTCTGGTCGAGGTACGTCTTCGTTGCCATCCTCAGAGAGCCGGGTAAGTTTAGGGCTTGAAGTGACGCTCTCAGCTTGAGGTTGCTGTCGCGTTGCCTTATTCTTAAGCTTAGAAGTGCGTTTGTCCTCCGGATGATCCCAAGAGACGGCATGAAACCCTGACGAGTTGGTTGGGTCTTCAACAACTCGGCCATCGCTGCCGATTTGGTTCCACTGGCCATTATGTTGCTTGCCTTGATCAAGATACACACGGATATCATGCTGCTCTGAGTACTCATCTGGGCCACGAGTGGAAGAGACAAAAGATGCTCTTTCAGATGACGTGTCTGTAGTCAGGCGAGAGGGTGCTCGAAAATGCTCGTCTTCGCTGTAGGGGTGTTCCGGAATGGATGCACTCATCAACGAACTGGCTCCGGACTGCCGATGCTTTGAGCTGTGAGATGGAGGCGCGGGGAAGTCAAAATCGAGCATGGAGTCGGTCACCATTACTTGTGATGGAGTCGAGACGTGTCTTCTGCCTTGTCGACCGTCCAACGGAGGTTTATTGCTAGGCCCCAATTGCGATTTTTCACGCATGGCCTGGGTTTTCTTGCGGAGTGCAGAAATAAGCATCTCCTCTTGGCGGGTAAGCGTCATGACGCGGCCGTGACTGCCAGAATCATCAATGGATGACCGGGCAGATCGCAGATAGAAGTTGACCGAGGAAGGGCTGAGCGGTGGTGTTGGCTCGTCGGGTTGGTCTGATGAAGTAGCAAGAGATTCGCGTCGCAAAGAAGACGCGGTGCCGCTGGTTAGCTGTGCTAATGCCTTTTGTCGATCCAATTCCGCCTGAGACGGCCGGCGTGCAGGCAGAACAGTCACAGGGGGGGAGTCTTCTGCCCCGAAGCCGATTTGACTTGTCATGCCTGATCCTGTTGAGTTTGTAGATCCAAGTGAAGGCTTAGGTGAGGGAGCGCGGGCGCCGTCTCTGTAAGGGAGACTCAGTCGGGACGGAGAAGGTGAAAGCCGTTGTTTGCGCTCAGTGTTAGTAATAGCAATGTACGTGTTGGCCGGCGCGAAGCTTGTCTTTTTATTCGGTGCCCCGCTTGGCTCACGTCCTGAAGGCTGGCGTGGCCGTGATGATTTCGGTAGTTCTGGTAATGGTCTGGTTGGATGAGGAAGAGGAATGTGGTCCCTAGTGGAAGACCTGCCGTCATCATCCTCTTCAGAGTCAGAAGATAGAAGCAGCACGCTCTTCTCCTGGAAATCGGCCTCCTGCATCCCGCCGTCGGTAATCCTAGACGCCCTTGAAGTTCGAGTGTGTCTACTTGAAACACTTCTAGCTCCGTCGCCCGGCGATGAGGAGTAGTCTGACTGAGCCACAGCCTTTGGCTCGTGTGATTCACTTAGAGGCTTGTGAAGCCAGTCCAGATTTTGCCGTGCTGGCACTTCTCGCCACTCCGCTTCTGTCCGGCTATCAGCTGGGTCAGTCTTTTGGGCAGTGTTGTTTGTGAGATCGGAGTCGTCGCCTAAGCCATGACGAAAAGTCATCTGTTCATAGTGGTTATATAATGTGGAAAGCCCGTTATCTGAAAGTTGTGTCGTCATTCGACGGGCTTCCCCAGTACCTGGTGGAGATTGTTCGGTAGCGAAAGATCGAAAGCTGTCTTTTGTTCGCCGTTTGAACATGCCGCGTAGATCACTCTGCCGATGAGATGGAGTGGGAAACGGAGATGAGAGCGTAGGAGTTTTGGTCGAGCTGTTTGATAGATTGGAATTAAATGTATCCGATCCTTTTTTAGACAACCGCGGGGTTGGTCCGCCGCTTGAAAATTCGAGATTCGGAGGCTTCTTTCGTAGTTTAGCAGACTCATTGGCACTGTCAGTATCTTGGAAGTGATGTGTCTTTGCGGAGAGGCCATTATTCATAATCGGGATCGAGGCTTGTCGTGAAAGAGACCGCGAATGTTTCGATTTGTCGTGCCAAGATTTGATAGTCGAAGACGACTGTGCTTTCTTAAGTGTTCCGGGCAAGGCCATTGCCCCAAAGCCAACACTATCGGCGAGAGCACTGAGCCTCATGTTTGAAGGGGACGGTCCACGTTCTCTTCTTAACTCAGCATCAGCCCTTGGTATCCTTGCCTGGCCGCCCGGTAAATCAAATTCCAGTTCGTCTAGGGTCGAGTTTTCGTAGCCACTACCAGCAACACTTATCGTTGGCTGTGGGGTGCTATGAATTGAAGAAGAATCGATGCTGAGTGGCGTCGAGCCCAGGATTTTATGGGCTTTACTCATGGGCATCAGTGGTGGTGCTGGCTGCTGAGGCTCCTGCGGCTTCTTACGTGCCGGTCTGGAAAAGTTGAACTTTCTCATCGTGTCAGATTGCCCCCAAAGCGCCCTAAAAAGTTCCGTCTCAACCCTGGTTGTCGTCGTACTACTTTTCCGTCATCTGACAAGATGGGTCGAATGTATCATGTAAGAGACGAAATGAATCAGTCCGGCTGTGCTCTGGTTTCCAAGGACCTCGAGGATGCAATAACAGGTTGAGGCTGGGGTGTGAATAGGTCGGGATTGTAGAGAAAAAAAAGAAAAAGAAAATCGGAATATAGCTTGTCGTTCGCGAATGCCGCTCGTTAGCGGGGCCCCATTCTTATCGCGTATCTTCGTCGCTTTGCCTGTACAGAGTAGTAATAGATGAATGAAGAGAAAAGAAAGAGTCAGACGGCGCAAAGAGAGCACAGGATTTCTCGCCCAGCCGAAGGGATAGCGGTTATGGCGGGGAAAGACGCGAGTTGCAAAACGAGACTGGCAAGATCGGGAATGGGGGCTCTCGTGTAAATGAACAAAAGAAAGCTGCGGGTGCTGCCCAGGATGTGGTGAAGCGAGGTCTAGTGTTCTGCAATGCTGGATTAGACCACTTCAGAGTCCGCAGTAAGTCTCCACACTGTAATTACCTGGAGCAATATACACAATGCGACCAGCCGATCATGAACGACCACCAGGGAGCAAGATGCGAGGGTACAAATAAGGTAAGGTCTTGGCTGCATGCGTAGACACTTCTTGTATGTGCTCCGTGTTATAGGCGTCGTCCGGGAAATGATGCCTCTGCAGGTAGCCGGTGTCGATAGGAGCTTTGTCCCTTTTTTTTCTTCCTTTTTTACCTTGTCCCGCTTCTTCGTGGCAGAAAGGATAGGCGAAAGAATCAGCCCCGGCTGAGCCAAGAGGGGAGGGAAATAGCGCCGTTGTCGACAGCAATATGGATGTCTCAGACGATGCCGGCAAATTTACAGGGCTTAACAACAGATCACCGACTTGGATGCAACGCCATCGACTCCTCGACGAGCAAGGATTGCCGAAGCCATACAGCAGCTTCTCGCTACAGGCCCGGCAACGAATTGGATTTGGCAGTATCAGTGGTGCCAGCAGGAGCACGCACACACACTCGCCTGCATGTACCACACCCGCGCTGGTGTACTCCGTACTATCTGTATTTGCAGTAGCGCGTGCTTGTCGACCGAAGCTAAGGCCGGTGTAAGAGCTCGTGGGAGATGAGTGGCAGTCGTTGGTGCCAATGGTCTACTACACAGGCGGATTCCTTCGTCGGCAGTGAGGGGGAGGGCTCAACGAGCACGCCATAGAATGCCCCGGGCCTTGCGCATGCAGTATCGAGTATGTATGTAGGTACTGCACAATCAATGCCCCGTCGGTACTTGTCGCCTGCGCGAGGCAGCTCTCAAATTATCTCGGACGGAGGGCTTTGCTGGGGCGACGCTAGCCACGATCTCCACGGCCGACCCATGCTCGACCTCTCGTCTTCCCTGCCAATAGTCAACAGTAGCACTAAGTCTGGGCAGCGCCGGCGCAGCGGGCTTGCAGATATTTTCGTACCAAGACGGACTTTTGCGACAGGTAATAACGGTGGCACAGAATGCCTCAATGCGTCGCAGGTGGCCATACCACCTTCTGGACCGCCTGCGTGGCTTCTGTGTCTGTGCATACGCTGGCACGATGCCATCCCGGTCAATGAGTCGGTGTCGTCTCCTGCTGACCAGCCATCGGTCGAGCAAGCGTCTAATTTCCGCGGGGACCCGTCCTCGGGGGCTAGAGCATCTCAGCCTTTCTGCAGCGCGCTGCACCACATGGCAAGCACAGAATGACGTCCCGGGTGGTGGCGGCGAGCGAACAGAGCAGAGGTGGGAAATGAGAAATGAGGTCAATCCCAGGGATCCCCCCTTCTTAGGCCCCTCCCGCTGCAGGTGCCTGGGCAGCTGAGGTAGCAGCCCGGCGGAAGCTCCCTGCTTAGCGATGTCTCGTAGCGCCGATTTTCAGGGCTTCAGCGTGCTAAGGTGCCCGGATCGGCCGCTGGAAGCTACAGGGACATCCTTAACTTGCATGTGCATACATACTGTAAGAGCTGATGCATCAAAATCCGGAAACAACAGAAGCAACGTCGAGCTTGCTGCTGCCATGATCTAGCCGTTCAGCAATGCACTGGTATCAGCCGAGTCTCCCAACAGAGGCATCGACAACGGAAGCTGGTTGTCCAACACAGCATACATTAGCAGTTGCACAGGTCACAAAGTCGATTCATATGGAGAATTTGACACTCTGCACGTTTGGTACTACGCGCGAACAAGCAAGACCGGCGGCTTTCCTCAACTGAAACATCTCAGAGCAAACCCAAAATCATCGTCGTCCATCTCCTTCTGCAGCTACAGCTTGCTGCAGGGAAGTCTCCTAGACCGCTTGCCTCAGCCCGGGGGTGGCCACGTTTCTCTGCAAGCATGGATGGATGAACGGAGCACCAGCTGCGCTCAGCGTATCCCTAATCCTACCCCTTTTGTCTATAGAGCCAAGTCGCTGATCTTTCAACTTTCAACGAGCCAATGAATTGCCACAATAGCCAGCCATGTGGGTTGTGGCTGGATGCCTATTCTCTATGGCGATGCCGTGGCACGCTGCGGTGTTCCCGTCAATCTCTGGGGCACGTACTAAACCCGCTGTCAAATCTGGCAATTTGGTAGAATTCGGTAGGAGACAATTTCATCTGATGATGAACGCAAGGATCAACAATATCCGCCAGGATGTGTTATTGCACAGGCGCAGTGGTTCTGATCGGCAGCTTTCTCGTTTCTCATCCCTTCTAATTACAAAGCAGCAGCATCAATATCCGTGCTTGCTTCGATGATAAGGGGAGGCAACCGGAACTACGGCGCAGATTATAATTGCGTTCAAGTATGCAGGGCAATACTTGATCCTCACAAGGCAAGGGATAGAACAGATCGTCGGTCATCTACGTATCGATAAAGGCAAGGGAGTCGAGGATATCCAAGTTGTAGGCCACCATTCGTATTAGTGAAAACAAGAGCAAAAAGTCACCATGCCGGGATGCGCACAGATAAGATGGCACAACTAAGACTTGATTCATAGTAACAACAGCTTAGGTGGGACAAAACAGACAAACAGACTTCCAAGATTGCCAGCACAGCCAGCCAGACCAGGCTCGCTGTTTCACTGGCAAACTTTCAGCCCAGCACGAGGAGTATCCGCCTATCCGCCGCCTGTTAACCCCGGGGCATTTGTTCATTTTGGCCGTTTGATTGGAATAAGAGACATTTTTAACTTCAGTAGCATCGCAAGGGGAGTGTGATCCATTGCAGTCATGAGATGAGGACAGCAACAAAGCAAACAGCCTGCAAGAATGGCGCTTGTTGTCTTTGTTGGCCAGTCAACTTGTAGAATCGCCCAACCAGGGCTAATCTTCAACGTCATTTTCTTGTTCCTGGTCTGTTCGTGCGCGTGATTCGTCTCTTTATCCATGTCAATATAATTACGGCTCAATGCGGAGCCCGTTGACTTGCCATAACGGGATCGATCTATTGTAGCACGGCCCCTTAACTGGCCCGTTCGTATACGTGAACTTTTTTTTCCTTTTTTTTTTTCTCCTCTCGGTTTATTTGCTTTTTGAAACTTAGTCAAAAAGTTTGGAGTAGAATACTTTAATATATTAGTAACGCTTCAAAACAGATATACCATGTGCATGTGTATGTACTTATGTGCATATTCATGCCTCGCTCGAGGGCGCCATGTGGCCGCCAAGAGTCGTCTGAAGTCTCAGTCGGCCACGACTTAGCCTAGAGCTCATTTCAATTTCCAAATACTTAGCCTATAGGGAAAATGGAATACGGAGAGTAGGGCAATGGGGAAAGCAATGACTCGATAGCAGAGTGGAGGCCGCTACAGCGACTGATCCATCATTTTCACTTTCGCCACGCGCCGAAGTACCTGGTAGCTCAGGGTTTGACAGCTGTTCCGCTCCTAGGCGTGACGGAAGAGTGAAAATCAGAGCTGTCTCCAGTATGGAAGGTAGCTTATAGAACTACTCTATCCTGCCACAAGCTATGGGGAGATGATAGAGTCTCAGTTAGTGGCAATATGGAAATAGATGTTATTGGCATTGCATGACTAAGTTAGTCGTAATGTCGACCACGGTCAAATTATAGATTCAATTTCTCTTCAATATAGCTAATCGTATCGTCATAGTATTACCCTGCGTGATATACTCCGTCTAGAACACTTAGAGACGTAGATGAGGAGGCCATCCTTCTCTAGAACGATTCCCCATACTCAGTCTATAACGAAACCACCACTCTTGAACACCTAGTTTATGTTCGGAATTACCCTTAACGGCTTCCTGAATCTTATGCGTTCGGAAGACAACTTCTACCCCATGTCCATCCATACCGTCAAGCTGGCCCTGTGAAAATCGGCGCCACCACTCAAGGACGTCTACTCGTCCATAAGCTGTTGCTGTAAAAATTACTTCTTCCGCATCAAAGATGACATTCTCATCACCCTTCAACTTACGCCATGTTTCCAAGGCATGGACGTGCCCCCATTTGCTAGCGACCAAAGCTACGCCGCCTTCGTATCCAACACATATTCCGGAAGTATGCCACCATCGCAGCACATCCGCGTGACCATTTTTCGCAGCCCATAATAGCGATCTTCCTGAGTGTAAAGGAATGCTACAGTCTCGGGCTGCAGTATCGAGCCACCAATCAAGGACTGGGATATGACCATTGCTGCTCGCTTGTTCCAGTGAGACTTTGGTATACAGCAACGGCAACCCCGACTGCTTCCACCACTGCAAAACCTGCACATGACCATTCTTAGACGCACCATCTATGGCCTCTGTACTATACACATGTCGATTTTGAAAATGCTGGCTATTCTTCCAGTAATCTAGAACTTCGACCTGGGGGTAATATGCCGATGCTTTTGTTGGAAGGAAAGCGCCATCGAACGCCTTAAATAACCGGGGGTGATTGACTTCTAAGTAAGCAAGGACTTCGACAAGGGCGAATCGTATTATGAGTTTCACAGCCAGCACTGGCAAAATGTGGAAATCCGCCGGTGCTTCTGATAATTTCGCACAGATAACAGCCGTATTGCTTGAGAGGACCGTCCAGTTCAGCTCGTGCGAATAAACGAGTAAAGGGTTGCTTAAACTCTCGGCCCGTATGCTCCATTCTGTTGGCATTGGCAGATTGACTTTGATTCCCAGTGCACTGGCCAGCTCCCAATCCCCCGTAAATCTCAGTATTCTACTCCACAACTCGAATGGTAGCCCCGGCAGAGCCTGTGTATGTGTGTGGTCCTTTGGTATAGGAACCATTCTGGCAGTCCCTTCGACATCCCGACCAAGATTTAGCAAATCGGCTTGATTCTGGATAAGACTGAGTAGATGTCTAAATCCACTCCAGTTTGTGGTCTGCTGTGGATGTGCCGCATCTTCATAGTGCCATAATATGGGTTCCATAACATGGATACAGGGCCGTGTTCTCTGGAGTGCATCCAGCTGTTGTTGGACCAGTGGACTCAGCCACATGTTGTCATCCATTCCAGGGACCATAATAACCCCTTTCTCAGCCCTATTCCAGTTTCTCAAGAGGTCTTCAAGGAAGGTATCTGCTGCCCCGGCTAACATTTTATCAATGCTGTTCATATCAAGTGGCACGCACACCAAGAGATCAGCCCAGTCGACTAGATCACGGATGTTCAGTCCAGACTGCCTAAAAAGCGAGCCTTCTGAATCAATTTGTGCACCGCCTAAAGGTGAGTTTTGAATGGTAATGATCAGCTGATTCAGCCTCGGAGAAGGATCATCAACCACAGCTCTCATCTCTATGCGGCGATCCTTAGAAAGCCGCACCACGAGTGGTTGAGCCCACGAGGAGTGTCGTGTGCCCGTGGCAGCAACGAGCAGGCGCAGTTGGCGACTTTCTAGCGAAGTTTCGTCAAGAGAAAAACAGGCCATTGAGTCAGAATAGCTGGGTCGCCGCGGCCGATGAGATGGAGATTGCCTGACGGAAGACATGGCAGTTTGTAGTACAGAATATTCCGTACCAAAGGTAGAGGTAATTTCAATGGCGCTGTGGTCGGCACTCACGGAATGATTGGTAGCTTGCAGCAGTGCTCATATACTACTGCCTGAAGCATCAACAATCAATTCTGAGGCCGGCGAATTGCCTTGTCATCCGCCTTCTGGCAGATCCAATCCAGTGCCGCCCTGGCGGATGTATTATATCATGACATGCTCCACAAGCACAGCTTGCATCCAATAGAGCTCAAAGAATTGCTGCTGTATAGGAAATGACAGGATAGGCAAACATACAGGGCTCGCATATACAATGGCCAGAGAGACACGGGCATAGCTCTGACACTTCGCGGATACCCGATTCATGGGCTTGATGAGCCGTGCGGCTAACTCCAAGATGCGTCGAGCTCATGTACTCGGTGGCGATTGCTTCTCCGCAGTCACTATGAACGACCTCCCGAGATACTCCGTACAGTGCAAGAGATACGCGCAAAGCGGCTGTCACATGACTGCCCCGAGCGTCGCTCTTGTGCTTGTACTCCATACTGGCGTCTAATAAGTTTGCGCCGCAAACTTTCGTCACGGCGGCGATCGTCGGAACAGAAAAAAAAAGTCATTTTAGACTCTTCTCTAACTTCAGTTGCTATCAGCAGCAAACTACATAGTCCGCCATTTTGCTCTTTTCATCCATCAGAGATTCTGCTTTGCTTCTTCCTTCATCCTTATCACTTACCATAGGACTTATCCGCCCCCACTAAATTTTTTTCTCTACTTTTTTCTCCCTGCAGAGAGAACTTCTGCTCCTTCACTAACGATGTTGGACCAAATGGCGAATGAAATCAAGCTCATATCTGGGAGCTCCCACCCAGAGCTCAGTGCTCTGGTCGCTAACCGGTATGTCTAGTAAGGTGGCTGTTGAATGAAAAAGAAAAAGAAAAGGAGACATGGGATAGATGAGTCAGTGATCAACAAGGACCAAACTGATTTTTTGCGGCAGACTTGGCATCAGCATCGCCAATACTATGAGCCTCAACTACTCCAACCAAGAGACTAGTGTGTCGATTGGCGAGTCTGTTAGAGATGAAGATGTCTTTATTCTTCAGTCGACAGCGCCTGGCGATGTCAATGATGGCCTGATGGAACTGCTCATCATGATCCACGCCTGCCGCACTGCCTCGGCTCGTCGTATCACGGCTGTGATCCCCAACTTCCCCTACGCACGCCAGGACAAGAAAGACAAGTCCCGTGCCCCCATCAGCGCTAGGCTGATAGCAAACATGCTGCAAGTTTCTGGATGCGTGCGTCAAACCCATGCCCCTCCTTTGATTCTAATGGAGAATCTAACATGCTTTAGAACCATGTCATAACTATGGACCTGCATGCCTCACAGATCCAGGGCTTCTTCAATGTTCCCGTAGATAACTTGTATGCCGAGCCATCAGTCTTGCGATGGATTCGTGAGAACCTGGACGCCGAAAGCTGCGTCATCGTCTCTCCTGATGCCGGCGGTGCTAAGCGTGCCACTTCAATTGCTGATCGTCTCAACACTGGCTTTGCTCTGATCCACAAGGAGCGCCCAAGGCCCAATGTCGTTGGCCGAATGGTGCTCGTCGGTGATGTTCAGGACAAGGTTGCCATCCTTGTGGATGATATGGCGGACACTTGTGGAACAGTATGTAATTGTCCGGCTTTTGATATTCCATGGCCATGCAGCTAACAGTATTCCCATAGCTTGCAAAGGCGGCGGAGACCCTTAACCAGCACGGTGCTCGTCAAGTATTTGCCATTGTTACTCACGGTATCCTCAGTGGTAAGGCCATTGAGACTATTAACAACTCCTGTTTATCTGGCCTTGTTGTTACCAACAGTAAGTGATCTCCATTAAAATCAAACACTCTTTTCAACAACGAATCACTAACGTATTCTCTAGCTGTTCCTCGTATGTCACATGAAATTGCCTGCCTTGTAAATGTCTGTAATCTAACTAGGTGTAATGCAGTTGGCGATAAAACAGAGCGATGCCCTAAGCTCAAGGTCATCGACGTGGCTGGCACACTGGCCGAGGTATGACCATGTCTACGCACTTGTCTTCTTCAAAGTTAACCTCTCTTAGGCTATTCGACGAACCCACAATGGCGAATCGGTATCATATCTTTTTACGAATGTTCCTGTTTAATGCAAAACTTCTCTACAATGTTGTTTTAATTGGTTCATGACTTTGGTATGCCATCACTCCCTCCTTGTCAGAAAGCTGTGCTAACGCCTGTTCAAGGCTGCGTATTTTTGGTTAGGCTTTGGTTAGATACTGGGCCAGCCAATACTTGGGATCACTGGGTGTGACGAAATCCTTTTTTTAAAAATTTTTTTCCCAATTATTGAGAATAGCATAGAATGCTTTCCCTTAAAAACATAGTTACCGGCAACTCAGATCATAGATCATGTGCGGCCCCTTGCTATTATTTGAAGTGCTTTGATCAGTACCTCAATCTTGGCAGATGATATCCTCCCCAAGCTAGAGTGTGCAATACTAGTAGGCATGCTTGGGCGCACTGCGTTATAGCAAGCGCCACAGTAGATTCTCCGCTGGAGAGTGCACGCAGCTGAAAGACGGAAAGAAACGGAAACATGTTGCATGCGGGTATGATAGGATGATTTATGGCTACATAGAACGAGGCGTATTTGGTACAAACAGGGCATCGCAATACCCGAAAGTTCATCATAGAAACAAATAATTTGAGCGTCATAGGCGAGGTAAGCCTTGGTTTTAATTCATGTCATGTCGAGATGTCGAGTACGCAATCTTGAGATAGACCTTGTATTTTGAATCATGAATGACATCTTGAGGGATAATGTTAGCCAGCATAGATCTATAGGCACCTGGTATAGATCACTTATCTACCTCTTCGAGTCGTGGAGAAGAGTTATAAAAAGCCCGGCTAGAAGTCTCAATGCTTTGCGACTAGTACCAAAGTGGATGAGTGGAAAGGCGGTGAGTTAATTCTGCCGGCTATGATGTACCCAAGCATACCACCTACACGACACCGTTGCGCTGTCCTTGATTATTGTATGAAACATAATTAGAGCTCGTGAGGAGCATGATCCCGTGGCATCCACCCATTTTTACGACCTGGAGCTGCATGAAGGCGATATAAACGTTGCACTTACATTGAATGCTCATGGGCGGACTATTCGGCCTTATCCAAGATGACGACGCAGCTTCTGGCCACGGAGCTAGCTAATCTCATTCAGGAGAGCAAGCGGAAACACAGTGACCTTCGACAAGTATGCACTTTTTCTCTTATGGCTTCAGCTTTGGAAGCTTATGGCCGCTCATTGGCTCACCTATTTCTTCTTTTAGGCAGCTGAAAGATCCCTAGAAGAGCTGAAAGGCCTCGGTAATGTGTCTGAGGCCACAGCTCCTGAGCGTATGTGCTAGTGGATCCCTCTAATTGAAGCAATACTGTATTGACTTGGCCTCTCAGTACTCTCCCAAAAGCCCAGCTTTGTGAATCCCTTCATAATTGCATGTGGAACCAAGAATGCAAAGTTTACGGGCATCGCAATAGTTTGTCTGCAGCGACTCATCGTTGCGAAAGCGCTGCCCAGAGCGAAACTCAACCAGGTCTTGGAGGCGTTGATGCAGGCATCATCAGCAGGGCTTGACGTGCAGTTAAAGATATTGCAAGCGCTGCCCTCGCTGCTGCAGAACTACTCCTCAGATTTGAATGGCGACCTTCTTGTGACTGCTTTGAATATATGTTTCATCTTACAAAGTAGTAAGAACGCCATTGTGAATAATACCTCAGCTGCTACCCTCCAACAACTGGTTGTTTCAGTCTTTGATAAAGTGGTCGCCGAAGATAGTGAGTTTCCTTAATCTGCTATTAATATGCCCATCTGTCCTAACTAAACCAGAAAGCGGAAATGATGCCCCTTTTGCGGGAGAAGCGCCATCCGGGGATGGTAAAGTTGAGCTTCGCGCAGCCGCGTTGGATGCCTATCGTGTTAGCAACCAATCTATTCCAGTAGGCACTTGGATGCAGGCTAACAGTGCTAGATTTTCAATGACCTATGCCTCTTGACCGAGAATCAACGGTCCGAATTTTTACGTTTCTCAGGCTTGCAGCAAACATTTGGGCTAGAGTTAATCGAGTCAGTTATCACAAATCATGCAGCTGTCTTCACGAGCCATGCTGAGCAAACTCATATTCTCCGCGAGCGCGTTATGCCTCTCCTGATGAGTGCACTTAAAGGGAGACCATCGTTCGCCACAACTGTGAGACTCGTTCGCATTCTCTATACACTGTTGCGTCGCCATATTAGCGTCCTGCCTTCAGAGTGTGGTGATGCGCTCTTGCTGCTTACAACCCTCTTGGACCAAGATACCGCTGTCTGGAAGCGAGCTTTGTGCATGGAAGTCTTCCGCGGCATATTTGCTGAACATTCTCTTGTTCGTCGCATATTCGCGATGTATGACGCAAAGGAGGGCGAGAAGGACATTATCAAAACGCTTACCGCGACCTTTGTTCGACTCAGCACTGAGAAGCCAGCAGTAATTGGTCTAGGGCATCAATCCACGATGCCAGTTTCCGATCCTTCTGGCAGCTCTGGCCTATCTGCAGATCCAGCCTTGATCGAAGCGACTAGTGTCACTGGGATAATCAGTGGCTCTGTTGGATCGGAGAGTTCCAACGTTGGTATTAGCATACAATGGAGCTCTGTTCGCGTTCCTTGTATCGACCAGCTGGATAAAACCGAAGCTCCTGCTATTCCCGAGTCGTACATTTACAGCTTGATACTGGCATGTATTTCATCGCTGTCGGATGGGCTTGCCAAGTTTATCCTACCTCTTACAGTTCCTAATGAGAATCGAGCTCGACGAAAAGCATCAAGGCAAGATATGGGACGTAGCTCACCTGCCCCATCTCATCTAGAAGCAGAAGCCCCGCCTCGCGGAGGATCGCGGGAACGATCGGCTTCATTTAAGAGAAATCCCGTGCCGCTTAATCCTCTAGAGCTGGAAGACCACCCTGCCTACCCAGAGGTTAAAGTTTGTTCGGAGATCGTCAATGAGTGCTGGCCGGCTATCCTGGCAACGTGCTCGACTTTTTTATATGCCGCCTTGGATTCAGAGTATTACCATGGCTTGGTTCGTGCATTTCAGCGATTCGCCCATGTCGCAGGCCTGTTGCAGCTCACAACGCCGCGAGATGCATTTTTATCTACACTAGGAAAAGCCGCTGTGCCTCCAAATATTCTGAGTGCGTGCGTCAATGCTGGCCAGTCACGATCTGTAGCCACCACGCCAACGGAAACTCAGAACAGCGTTTTTGGCAATGCCCGTGGCCTTCTAAGCGTCGAAAGCTTAACACAGGTGTCAAGTCCTACTGAAAGGCAGCGACAAGGGTCCATGGATGCATCAATTACTCTAAATACTCGTAACCTCCTCTGTTTACGAGCTCTCCTCAACCTCGGCATTGCACTTGGTCCGACGCTTGGGCTCGCCTGGGGTATTATACTGGAGACGTTACAGCAGGCGGACTTTGTGCTCTACGTTACCGGAAAAGCTCCAGGGAGAACTCAATCTCTTAGCCGCGGGGGACAGGATTACCAAAATGAAACAGAAGGCAGTTCGCTCATGGCAAACTTTAGCACCGAGGTTCGGTCAGTTGAAACGGCTGCATCCAGGCTGATTGAAAGTAGTGTTGACTTTCCCAACGAATCTTTTATCGAGGTGGTCCATGCCATCTGTGGCTTACTACCAGGCGAAGGCCAAACAAACTCAAGCACGCCAAACAAAGAACAGCCACAGCAGGGTCAGCAAGGCCAGCAGGGAAAAGTATCATCTGCACAACATCGGAGGGTGCTCAGCTTCTCTGGCCAATCCTCGACAACGTCTAATCAAGAACTTCAATTTGCACTAGCCAAGCTGGGGGAGATTGCTATGATTAATTTGGAACGGCTGTTGGCATATGATCCGAAAGAATCAGGCTGGGATCCTCTGATGGACAGGTTGATTCAGACGTTAGATTCGAGCGCTATTAGTCCACCAGTGAGAACGAGAGCATCAGAGATCCTTGCAAAACTGGCGCTCGAAGCAGCTACTGCTTCGGGCACACAATCCCCTGAAGTTCGGGGGGCGATTCAACTTAGATTGCTGGGGGCACTTCACGATTCATTGAAATCTTTACAGAAAGGCGGCCGAGATATCTCTGTTGCAAATGCGGCAACTGATATTGAGATTCATAGGATTATTTTGGATGGCTTGCGAAGTATTATTGAGGATTGTGGGCAAGTTCTAGTCAGCGGGTGGGACCTCACGTTTGATATTATTGGAAGCGTTTTCGTAACGAGAGAAGCGAATCTGGACGAGGACCATGAACTAATTATCACTGCTCGGAGCCTCGGCACACGATCTTCCAAACTTGTGCGGTCTTCTTTTAGCTCACTTCAGCTTATTTGCTCAGATTTTCTCCCATCATTGCCCAACTCATGTTTCTTAATTCTGGTCGACACGCTCTACAAATTCAGTTCACAAAATGACGATTTGAACATTGCATTAACGGTGAGGCTCGACCTAATTCCGGATAAGTTGGAACAATTATGTCGCTAATGGGATTTTACTTAGACCGTGACCTTTTTCTGGGCCCTTTCTGATTTCCTCTCTGGCAAAGACAAGTCACTCGATATCACGATTGACCTATTTCAAGATGCCGATGTAGACACGCTAGAACGCTTAGCAGCAGACTACGGCGGCCGAGGATCTGGTGCCGCGTTATGGATGTTATTGCTTTTGAGACTCACAGCCGTCGCGTCAGACGACAGGGTTGAGCTTCGCAATACCGCAATCCAAACTCTGCTCCGAATCTTTGACGCATATGGCGAGAGACTCAGTCCTGAAGCTTGGTCAATATGCATCAAGTCAGTTGTGTTTAAACTGCTAGCCTCGCTTGAAGAAGAGCTACGGAGGACTGAGGATGAAGAAGTTGAAAAAGCCGATAGGCCAGAGTGGCATGACACCGCGGTGGTTGTGCTAAATGGCATATCAACGTTGCTTGGAAACAATCTTGAGGTATTGACAGCACACTCATCGTTCAATAAACTTTGGAATGAGTTGCTAGAACACTTGGCTACGCTGCTCGACTTTCAGGTCCTCGATATCAACACCGCAACGTTCAAAACGCTGGGGCATGTGCTTTCTCAGTCGGGTGATGAGGACAAGCCTGTTTTCAATGAGACAACAGTCACATTCGCTTGGAATCTGTGGTCCCGTGGTATCCCAATCACTAAATCGCCCGATGGGAAGATTCAAGACAACCAAAATTGCCTGACTGCATATGTGGCGGCTCTCCGAGAAGTTTACAGGCTTATCAAGTCTGATCTAACTGTGGAGAGAGTTCAACGAATCCTTGCTTTACTGCGAAAAACCGTTGAAGAAGCTTCTGTGGGAAGCTATGCCACAGATATCGATAACCTGACGCAGCTTCAGGCACAAATATTAGATGCAGTGAAAATGATTCGGACTGATATCGACGGCGTGCCATCGGCCCTGATCGTGCAAGTTGCCGAATTTGTAACCTTGGCCTATGATCAGGACTACAATTCTCGACCTTTGTCAAAGAGAACATATGTTGCCATGTCGAAAGCCAGTATGCAAATGCTGGAGAATCTCATTGTAAGCCATTCATCGGATGCAGATATTTATAAGAGCGGATCGGTCGTCACGGCCTTATCCGCCATCTACAGGCCAATTTCTCTCAAGTACCAGTTTCCCATCACCACGAGATCCATTCAGCCCTGGAAATTGGCTACGTCTACTGCTTTAGTAGTCATACAAGCAACACTGTCAAAGCTCGATGATCTCGACATACCCACAGCCACAGTCCAAGATATCTGGCAGTGGATCGTTGAGATTGCAGATGGCATTCTCAGTGCTGATTGTAGCAATACACCACCCGGGACGAACATTGAAGATGATGAAGCAGCAGACATTGGCTCTTTTCACAAGATGGCGGAGCTAATCATCCCCCTGATAGGGTCAGAAAAGGTGAAAAAAGAAACTCGCCGCGCTTACACTAAAAGCCTGTTCAAAACGTCAATCATCCATGAACCGCCGTCAGCCGACAAGCTCGCCCTTGAAGATGAGGAATCTGGTCTGTCTATGCTATATACACCACGGACCGGGCGTACAATATCCGATCCACCGACACTGCGCACCAAGATGGCCTATGTTGCGTTTGAAGAACTCTTCTTTCTCATCTCGGTAGACGAACCGGCTGCTCACAAGTCATCTGCTGCTAAGTCTATGGCAGACTACACTGCTTGCAGAACCCGCATTGCTTGCTCCACAGCGCCATATTTGGTCCTGCGATGCGCATTGACTCTCCGTGCCTATGTATCCGACCAGCCCCTCCGAGGCAAGATGCCGCAACCTCTTAGCCAGAGGAAAGAATTGGTATGGACTTTGCAAAAAGTTGTTGATTTGGAAAGTCAGAGCGAGGCAATTTCACCTCTCGAAGGGGCAAAAAGTGAAAGCAGAAAGCATCTATTGAGGTTATATGCCTTGATTGTGAGGGCGTTGGGAGTTCAAGGTGATGAGAAGGTTTTATCGCTTCTGCGGCAGGCTCTGGAGATTGTTGGTGGCGAATTTGGAGCTGTATAAGAACAAGAGGTTGTTTTATTGATTTTCAGCGCGTTTTAACATAGATAAGAACTCCGCAAGTAATAGAAGATGTATGGCGAGTTGGTTTTAATACTCGTAAACATTTAACATGAATCGATGTCTAGATCTATGCGTCGATGTACCTAGTTACCCTTCTGCAGCAAGTGAGTCCTGGGCAATAGAATACAAGTATTTCCAGGAGCTGAATGTCTGTTCAAGAACAAAATCTCTGCAATCGATCATCGTGCCGTGATTCCACGTCGTCATCTAGGGTAGTGCCATGGTGTCTAACCACCATTGTAAATCGCTTTCTGATATTAGTAGGCATGGCCCCACTACGCCACAAAGGTACATCGTACCTGGACCTAGAGCCACCAAAAATGACATCGCGGGGCAGAAAAAGTTGCACATGAAATATTCAGATTTCTTTCCGTCCCACCATATTCGCCAGCATTACAACTTGTCCTATAATTCAACCAGAAAATACAAGACAAGGAATTATTTGTAATGGGTAAATCCTCCAAAGATAAGCGTGACGCTTACTACCGGCTCGCCAAAGAGCAAGGTTGGCGAGCAAGAAGCGCATTCAAGCTTCTTCAGCTTGATGAAGGTATCTAATCCCCCCTCGATCTCAACCCTATGACCTATTACTAAATAACTTTTTTTTTTGTCGCGCAGAGTTTGATCTCTTCTCCAACGTCTCTCGCGTCGTCGATCTTTGCGCCGCTCCTGGCTCTTGGTCCCAGGTGCTTTCTCGAGTGCTCATCAAAGGCGAGAAATTCGGCCGCTCAGCATGGCAGGATCGCGATGCCAAAGTGCGCCAGCAAATGCTTGGTGTCTTCCCTGAAGCTTTCACGCCTGAGCAGAAGGAATCAATAGAAAATACCATCTCATTGTCTGGCGATGATGCGGCGCAACACAATGAAGTTGAAGCAACAACGGTAGCAGCTAACCGCGACGTCAAAATCGTCTCCATCGATCTCCAGCCCATCTCTCCCCTCGCTGGCATCACTACTCTACGAGCAGATATCACACACCCTGCCACCGTGCCTCTCCTCCTCTCTGCCCTCGACCCATCGTACGATCCTGCCGCTGTGGCAGGCACCCAAGCCCAGCATCCTGTCGATCTCGTTCTCAGCGATGGCGCCCCCGACGTTACCGGCCTGCACGACCTTGATATATACGTTCAATCGCAGCTTCTCTTCGCAGCCCTCAACCTCGCACTTTGCGTGCTGAAACCAGGCGGCAAATTTGTCGCGAAGATCTTCCGGGGTCGAAACGTGGACATTCTGTATGCGCAGCTCAAAATCTTTTTCGAAAAAGTCATAGTGGCGAAACCGAGAAGTAGCAGGGCTAGCAGTGTGGAGGCATTCATCGTTTGCTTGAATTTCCGGCCGCCAGCGGGCTTCCACGCCAGTTTAGAGGAACCGCTTGGAGTAGGGCAGCGCCTGGATATGCTGGTTCGAGAGAGGGAGATGCAACTACCTATTGTTGCCGAAGCAGCCATGCAATCAGAAAGGGGGACCTGGGACTGCAGCGCCGTATCGACGCCGGCGACATCACATGAGAGCGGAATCACGGAAGTGGAAGTATATGATGAGACAGAAGGGAACAATATGGGAAATGGCGCACGGTGGATTGCACCTTTTATTGCTTGCGGCGATCTATCGGCCTTTGACTCCGACGCTTCCTATCAGCTGCCCGAGGACTATGTCTCTCTAGATCCTGTCCAGCCTCCTATCGCTCCGCCATATAAGAGGGCCCTCGAAATCCGGGCTGGGCTATCCAAGCCCACCAAAGTGTAGAGACACATGGGAAGATATAAATGAAGAAAAAAGAAGAGAAAAAAAGTAATATCCAAAAAAGCCCAATGTGCAAAAGCTAACCGTGCCTCGCCGCTATATATCGATCGAGACTATGCAATGCTGAAAAAGAAAACACGAGATACTAGATGGTAACGGAAAATAAAAGGACAAGGCAGGGTAAGAACCGCCAGTTTCATTTGTGATCCTCTGGGATGTCTTTTACGCCACCACCCGGCATCTCCAGCAGCACCAAGCCCGCAGATGGACCTTGGTCCCAGTCAAGGGCTCCCAGCTCGCGTTGGTACATCTTTGCGGCAGACTTGTCGTGAGTCATGAGGACGAGGCCTCTCAGGTTTGGCCACTCTTCGACAAGTTCTTTGAGACCTTGCATCATCCAGCTGGCGAGCCCGCGGCGCTGGAACTCTTCAAGGATGAAGACGTCGGTGAGATAGGCGAATGTGACGTAGTCGGTTACGACGCGAGCAAGGCCGACGAGTTTTACGTCGGATCCGTGTGGCCGCCGAGGCGCTCCGCTTTCTATTGGCAGCAAAGAAAAGAAAAGAGTCAGTTTGGAGTAATTACCAATTGGTGACTTGAATTTACAGGAACGACAAGAAGAAGGGAAAAAAAGAGAGGGAGGGAGGGAAAGAAACGACGTACTCTGCATTTGTTTCTCTGATTCGGGAACGTGGTATATGCTCATTGTCATGCAATTGGATATCATCTTTCGCATCTGGCCCTCTGGCAGCGGATCGTTCCACCACATGAGGTCAGACTCGAAGACGGCATTGATGGCGTGAGGATCGAGATATGCCTTATCGTTGGTGAGGAAGAAGTTGTCTCGGTACCAGTACCGTGGCTTGCCTTCGGGATTCGCAGCGACAGCGTTCTTGGAGCTCTTTGAGCCCATTGTGGAAACGAGAGAGCCCATTGTGGTGTTCTGTAGCTCTCGACGGTATACTGATGGGCTGGAAGTCTTTGTTTGCCTTTTGTCCTTTGTCCTTTTATCTTTTTGATTTCCGGAGTACAGTTGGTATTCAATCTAACATGGAGAAGGAGATGGAAGGAGATAACAAGGGCGGTGGCAGCACGGTATAAGTTACTTTGCGCAGACGAAGCAGGCCCTGTCTACGGAGTACCGTCTTCCACAAACAAGCCCCCCCAGCGCCTGCATTCCCCATGTTTCCCGGCTTCCACCCTGCTTCCTTTTCGATCCCCGGCCTCCCATCAATGACCAAGTTTAGAAACACGAGACTCCATAGTCCATGCACACTACAGCTAATACATATCGTGCGAAGCACTCGAGCCAATCCTGTTGCGTAGCTAGCCGGTTAGTTGCGGCCCCCTAGCGCGCCATCTGGAACCTTGCGGTTGTGCTGAGCGCCAGCTCGAGGTCAGGTGCACAGCGCCGGAGACGTCGTGGTTCGGACGACGTGCTACATTCAAAGTGGTACAGTACAGAAGACTAGTATAAGTAAGGGCCCTTTGTGCATGTTTGCATGGGCCTTACTGGCTGGCGATCTGCCCCTTGATGCTCAGGTCGAAAGCAAACTACTACAAACAGCAATACGGCGGAGAAGCGGGTCGTGCGGATTCAGATGAGGAAGGTCGCGGTGCTATCTACTCCCTTTAGAAAATATGCATAAGTATTACAGCGAGTGAAAGCTTGCTTATTTTTTTTTTTTTTTTTTATCTTNATACGGGGATTGTGTGAAATGATTGAGTCTCTTGTTATCAAGCAATGAAGTAATTCGGTTGCAGGACACCGCCCCCGTGATGAGCAAGCAGCCTGCCTATTGGCGAGGCCCGGCACTTGGCCTCTCCCACAACAAGGGCCCAGTCAGATCGCGAATCTCAAGCCAAAGCATGACCTCCAATAAAGCCCGAGCCCTTTCCTGCAAAGGGCAAACTGTTAGGCAATCATTACATACTCGTGGTGTGCAGCCCCGGCATCATACTTGCTTGACAAGCTCGAGTTGAAGATCTCTGAAGGGCGGATGACGCCGGCTTGGACCAAAAGCGTGTGGGGTTCACACCGCGTTACCGAGCCGGTCTGACGGCATGGGGGAGTGGAGCCCGCCCGCACTGAATAGATACCGGAAACAGAGATTAACGGTAGAAAATGAGACGAGGCGCGTGGCTGGACGCTTCCGCTAGGGTTGCACGATGCAACGGCCTGTTTATGAATCCTGCTGCTGGGGCTGGATGTCCCAAGTCCGGGGCCCTGACAGGCCGGGAGTTTGATAAGATGCTGCTATCTGGGCGTTTGCTTGCAGGCAAAACTGTGCTTTTGCTTCCTCCTTTGCAAGGGCATCTTGGCAGACTGTCCTCCCTGCGTTGCTCAGGATCGGTGAGCTGTCCAGCAGTATGTCAGTATGTACTCCTTATTATGGACGAGGATATGCCGCCAGCATGATAAGAAAGGAGAGCTCCTTCATTGGCTGTCGCGGCTTTCCCCCCGAACATGGCACGTCAGACGGCTTGGCCTCCGAACAATCACCACTTCAGCATGACGGATGTGCTACGCACCGACTGCCCATTTATGGCAAACCGGGCGAGATGGACACAAACGAGCGAGATTCAAGATCTCATCTAGGGAAGCATGATGCGTCTAGCCGGATTGGGATAATAGGATGTGGTATGCTTATATAATGCGAGGCCGTCTATCTACGGCTTAGCTGGTGGCGAGGAACGATTCCGCTTTTGTCTCGTGCATGCTTGAATAACACCAACTACTGTGTGATTATGACATACGCAGAATACGAAAATCAGCAGTACACTTTCGGCTTCTTTCTCTATATACGGCAACATCCAATGGCTGATTTATTCGGAGGGCGACCATATCCTATTACTGGCAAGAATCTCGAAATGCATTAGAGGTATCAGACATTATTTCTAAGAGAAGCTCACGCCAGCCCCGGGACATTGACCACCATTTATATGTATATGTTTTGCTATCCGGTAGCAGAAACTATGAGTGATGCTACGGGTCCTTTGCGTACTCGCTCTTCTTCCTGAGCTTGGGACCGTAGCGCCAAAGCAGAAGCGGCGCAGGACTGAGAATAGCCGCAATGCAGCCCATGATTGTCAATGTCCAATGTACGCCAATGCCCGAGTACATTGGGCGGGTGGCCATGACCATGCCTCCCGCAGCCAAATACCGGACGGCTGTAACGCTTGCAAGAGCGATAGCCGAATGCTCTCCATAGCTGTCTATGATATACTCGTAGCTGCTCACATAGAAGGCGGTCAAGACAACGCCAAAGACAAAACAAGCGCCTAGACCGCACCATATGGATATGCGCGGGTAATTGGTCCAACCGAGCCAGAAGAGACAAATGGGTAGCATGGGCGCCGTGACAATTGCGGGCCATAATCGGAATTCAGGCTCAACATGTGCCCCATGTACGTGTTCCGTATCGTTGCGAGCCCAGCTGTATAAACCTGGTGCACTCAATGTGAAGACTGTTGACCCAACCGCGATGGAGGCAAAACAGCTGCCGGTAAGTCCAGTGGAAAGCCGGTACGTGTCCTTGAAGATGAAGTCAAAGCCTGACAGGGATGTAAAGAGCAGCGTGTATAGCAGTAGCAGGTAAAATCCCAATACCGTTACAATGATTTCTGTTCGGTAAAAGGTAATGCCAAGTTTCGCATTGTGCTTTAGGCGATGAAGAAAATTATTTGCCATTGCGTGCTCGGATGTGAATCGCAGATCGCCAGTCGCACGTCGAAGTTCTTTCGCTTTCCAATCCAAAAGCAGCGGCAAGTATGTTTCTGGAAGAAACAGCGTCGCGACCACGAATGCAACACCAGATATGATTAAAGTCATCCAGTCGGCCCATCGCCAGCCCAGGCTGGGACTGGATACTAGCCATCCGCTCGCTACTGGGGCAGCCAGAGGACCTGTGCCACACAAATCAGCGTCTGTTGGATTGACTTACATATATAAGCGGCCGTCACTTACCTATTACATTGGCCCAAGCTATCACTGGGAAAACGAATGCCCTTTTCACATCTCTGAATTGGTCTCTAACGCTCGATCCATTTATTGCTAGGGTGGCACTGGAGAATAAGCCCACAAAGTACCGGCACGTAATACGGCCTCCAAAGTTCGTCGCCATTGCAGATCCAAAGACGAAGAAGAGGTAGCAAAACGTTGCGATCAAGTATACAGGATTTCTCCCCACTGTTTCAGACAATGGACCAGCAAATGGAGCGCCGCTCCCGATGCCAAATAGATACATTGCCGTGTCCAAGTTCTGGGCGACTTGACTGACATGAAAGTGCGAACTTGCTGCTGAATTCGCCATTGATTCAGAAGCGCCTGCCCAGCCCTGGACGAAGATGAGAAACGACAAGATGGCAATGTTCTTACATCGTGAAATCAACGGCCAGTTCTGTGGATTGAGAGGGTCCCCGGGTTCACTTTTGACTAGGATATGCCCCTTGGTTGAACTGCTCGGTTGCTCCTCATCCGAGTTTTGAACGCCAGCCGCGCCATGGAACCAACATGTTCCATTAAGACTTGCAGATGGGTGTCGAGTGCCTTCGAGGTCGATAGAACCTGGAGCTAATAATGGCTTGTCTGTTGATTCTGTCCTTTGTCTGAGCTCTCGATTGACCTGAGCTCTAATTTGGTGACGCTGTCTCAGTGACCACATGGCGAAAAAGGGCACCAATAGACGCTTTCAGCCTAAACTCGTGCTGGCTATTATTGTTTTGATAGGGCCATTGTGCTATTTTAAATTATTGCCTTGACAGTGTTTTGATGTGGATAACGTCAAGTTGACGTCGACATGAGCCCATAACCACTGCAAGGCCACAACGTTGCCTTTACAATTCGTACGTAGTGTAAATTACTACCCTAGATTTGCAAAATCAAAGTAAAGATTTGCCAATGTGCAAATTTCATCCGTAGTTTTATCGAATATCGTCAAAATATCCTGTGATGGTAAAACTGGTATATCCTGTGTTGGCATAGTGCCGAGATACTGTGCTGGGAAATCATCGCACTGCATTGATACACATATACTTGTCCTATACATTATTATAGTATAAGTAATGTTTATATTGAAACCGACTGGATCATCTGTTCAACCCATAGGTCTTTGTGACCCAAGAGCATCTACTCTGATCGATGCTGAATAGTATCTTCTATGGCTACCCCCCCGCATGGTTCTGTTTTATTATAGATGATGCTCGGTTCCCATCGCCAATTGTTCTATTTACTCTGGGAACGACAAAGTGTCCGTGATGTGAGACTGACAATGTAAGTGATCTACATTCAATCCCAACAAAAATGAAAAAAACCATCTCCCTCTAAAGATGGTTGTTGTGCCAATTCACGTAGGACTGCGTTTTTCCTATTGACTTGATGACTTTTGCTCTTCAATCTATGGCTTAAAGATGTATGAGATGGCACCTGATTCCGAATGATGGTAAAAAAAGAGCCTCCATTCGATGAAATATTCCTAAAATTCACACAAAACCCAGCTAAAAAGAACTGACTACATGCACATAAGCCTCCCGTCTTCATTAAATTAGCTATGCATCTTCCCCAACACTTCTTCGGCCACCACAACTTGCTTCTTCGCAGCCAAGAAGCTGTCCGGGCTCACAGAAATGGAATCAATGCCCGCGTCCACGAGAAACTTTGCAAACTCCGGATGGTCACTCGGGGCCTGTCCGCAGATGCCAATCTTGCAGCCCTTCTTGCGTGCCACGGAAATGGCGTGGGAAATCATCCACTTGACGGCCTCGTCCTGCTCGTCAAAAAGGCCGCCCAGCTCGCCAGAGTCGCGGTCCACGCCGAGCGTCAGCTGCGTCAGGTCGTTGGAGCCAATGGAAAAGCCGTCGAAATGCGCTGCAAAGTCCGCCGCCAGGATCACGTTGGACGGGATCTCGCACATGACATAGACCTGCAGGCCGTTTTCTCCGCGTCTGAGGCCGTTGCGCGCCATGACGTCCAGCACCTTCTCGGCCTCTTTTACGGTGCGGCAGAAGGGCACCATGACTATTGCGTTGTTGAGGCCAATCTTCTCGCGCAGGCGCTTGATGGCCCGGCACTCGAGCGCGAAGCCCTCCTGATATCGCGGCGAGTAGTAGCGGGAGGCGCCGCGGAAGCCAAGCATGGGGTTCTCCTCGTCTGGCTCAAACTCGGCGCCGCCAATGAGCCCGGCGTATTCGTTCGTCTTGAAGTCGCTCAAGCGAAGGATGGCCGGCTTCGGGTACACGGCGGCGCACAGGGCCGCGAAGCCGCGCGAGAGCTTGTCCACAAAGTAGTCGGGCTTGTGGGCGTATCCCGCCGTCAGCTCGGCGATTTGGCGCTTGGCGTCTGCGTCCTTCAGCCGGTCGAAGTGGACGAGGGCCATGGGATGCACCTGGATGTAGTTGCTGACGACAAACTCCATGCGAGCGAGTCCGATGCCATCGGCCGGGAGGCGCCACCAGCGGTAGGCCGCGGCCGGATTGCCCAGATTGAGCATGATCTTGGTCTTGACGTCGGGCAGTCCCGCGACGCTGACTGTCTGGCTCACCACGTCCGAGATGCCTTCGTAGACAAAGCCGCAGTCGCCTTCGGCGCAGGACACGGTCACGTCCTGGCCGCTGTGCAGCACGTAAGTGGCATTGCCCGTGCCGACCACGGCGGGGAGGCCGAGCTCGCGGCTGACGATGGCGGCATGCGAGGTGCGTCCCCCATGATCTGTGATGATGGCCGCGGCTCGCTTCATTATAGGGACCCAGTCGGGATCCGTCGCTTCCGTCACGAGGATGGAGTTGTCGATAAACTGGTTTATATCCGCCGGCGATGAAACGAAGCAGATCCGTCCTGAGAGCGCCGCCTCGCCAACCGAAAGACCAGTGACCAGGACACGTCCTTTATTGTTGACTTTGTAAGTCTTGAAGACACTGGCGTCATGATGGGAATGCACAGTTTCCGGCCGGGCCTGCACAATGAACAGCTTGCCCGTGATGCCGTCCTTGGCCCATTCCATGTCCATGGGGCATCCGTAGTGCTCTTCAATGGTACACGCCCAACGCCCCAACTGCAAGATCTCGTCATCATTGAGCACAAAAGAGTGTTGCTCTGCCTTTGACGTGGGCACGTTGCGCGTTGGCATCTGCTGGTCTCCATAAACCAGCTTGACCCCCTTATCGCCTCGCTTCTTCTCTAGGATAGGGCTGAGCTTGGGATTGGAGAGGAGCGGCTTGAAGACCTGGTATTCATCCGGGTTTACAGTTCCTTGTACAATGTTCTCGCCCAGGCCCCATGCTGCGTTGATGAGCACAATCTTGTCGAAGCCGCTTTCGGTGTCGATGGAGAACATGACACCGGAGCCGCTGATATCAGAGCGAACCATGCACTGAATACCGATGGAGAGCGCAACACTCATCTGATTAAAGCCTTTGACCCGGCGATAGCTCATCGCTCTGTCGGTAAACAGCGACGCATAGCACCGGCGGCAGGCATCCAGGAGAGCTTCATCGCCAGAGATATTCAGATACGTCTCTTGCTGGCCAGCAAAGCTTGCATCAGGCAGGTCTTCAGCAGTCGCACTAGATCTGACGGCCACGCCGAGCTTCTTGGCGCCTATCTTGTCCGAAAGATCATGATATGAGGCTATGATTGCTGTTGCCGCATCGGTCGGCCACGTACCGCGGAGAAACAGGTTGCGGGTTGATTGGCCGGCTTCGGCAAGAGATATCTTACCTGCTTCCCATTCCGCCACCAGCATGGCCATCTTGTTTCGTATCCCGTTGAAATCGACATAGTGCCAGTACATGCGCGAAGTCGTAGCAAAGCCTGGCGGGACTGGTATTCCTTTAGCACTCAGGGCACCGATCATCTCGCCGAGTGAAGAGTTCTTCCCGCCAACTGAGTTGACATCTTTGCGTGTCAAATGCTCGAAGTTGAGGACCAGGGGTCCTGGTGTAGAGCTACCATTCATTGTTTTTCGACGCTTCCTAAATTGCCGTCGTATAAAGGAAGCTACACGTAGTTTTAGCGATTCAGTCAACAACTATTATGCGATATCAAATAATATAGCATTGGATAGTCGCCTATAGTCAATTATCTCGAGCTAAATAAAGAGGGGCAGCATGCGAGTATTCCAAGAATATATACACTCTTAATAAGAGGGCTGGATACTGTGTTTGTTCTGATATACTACCCTGCTGTCCTACTCTTAAGGCATATCAAAGCCCTCGGGAACTTTTTTATGGCACCACTGTAGAGGAGAGGCTTATAACTAAACTAAAATCATATCACTTTAGAGTTTGAGGGCTCAAACTTAAGTGTTGTCATCTGATGCCACATCAGGTGAATTGGTTTGACGGCAGAATATTCAAGCGGCAGCATCTGAAAGTAGCCAAACTTGTAACTCATTTGCTCCTCTAGTTACATCCTGAGTCAGAATCATGATTTGTACTATGGTAAACAGAGCTCGAGCGAGAATATTCAGAATACCCCGACCAGCAAAGTAGTGACATATCTGTTTGGTGGTGAATTTGAAGATAAACATTTGTACAAATACGGCAAATGCATTAAGATAGCCTATTAGACTGGATTAAAGAAGGTGAATTGATAGCCCATCAAAATGCCTTCATTACTACCTATAACCTAGATTTCAATTTGTACCTTACAATCACGTTCATCAGCAGTTCAACAAGCCCTACTACATGTTATGCGTCAGTTTTTCTCTTCCTGTTTTTCGCATTCTCTTAAATTTTTTAATATCCTTGATACTTAGTTGCTATTATTCACTTGATCAATCATCGCCTTGAGTGCGGTTGCTGAATCGGTTATCTGAGCGTCTTCCTCAAAACTCAGCGGCATCTGGACTTTGCGTGTGACTCCCTTTTTGCCGAGAACCACAGGCAAGCTGAAGCAACAACCCAGAGTTGGCTGGAAGTGGCTAATAGGATGAACGGTGCCCTTGTCTTGAATGATGGCACAGCAAATGCTGGATACGACGGATCCGATGCCAAAGGGAGTTGCCCCTTTAGCCCTAACTATGCTCTGTGATCGGTGCTTGCACTCGTTGGAAAGATCGGAGCGATTGATCACGTCCTCTTTCGAGAGAGATTCGTTGATTGGGACGCCGCCAATTGTTGCGGCAGACCATGCCGTCACCTGCGATTCTCCTTGCACCCCCAATACGAACAAGTCAATTGACTTTGCCGCGACCTGATGAATTCGTTAGCATGGGCTAGATTCTGTGTACAGCTCTGTTAGGCGCGCATACTCCAATTTTGTCCGCCAACATCCCTCGGATTCGCATAGAGTCCAAATACGTGCCAGAGCCTAAGACTTGAGACGGCGGAAGCTTGGAGAGTTGTAGGGCAAGGGATGTAAGTAAGTCGACAGGATTTGACACGACAAGTAGGACAGCGTCTGATTTGAAAGGCGTCATTGCGTCGACAATGGTCTTGACGATTGAGATATTTCGATAGGCATATTCGAGATTAGTTTGACCTACGAAGTCTGTATAAGCTGAGGCATTCAAGCTCCTGAACTGGCGGGAATTTTCCCTAATGCTTACCTATAGTGTGTCTTGATCCTGCAGTAATTACTATGATGTCGCATTGGCCGGCCTCGTGATGGCTCGCCGCTCGTACCCTTGTCCGGCTGTTGCAGCTATACGCTACATCCGAGAGATCGCAAACCTGGCCGTCTCTCAGACTCACATTATCGTCAACCAAGAGCAGCTCAGTGGCGATTGAGCCTAGAATAATTGCATAAGCGGCAGCGGCGCCAACTTGGCCGACTCCGACAATCGCAATTCGGGATCCAAGCATTTTGGCTGTTAATTGAGAATGAAAGTTATTTTGTTCCTACAAGCTAGAACTGAATGACAAAGTCGTTCCTTTTTTTAAAATTACAATCAGAAGCAGAGTGAGTTACAGCCTTGTTTTATGCTTGTGTAGTTTATAAGCCGAGTTTGCAGAAAACGCATAATGTTCAGCCGTGTAAATAATGAATGGGCTGGCTGCTATGCTTTAAATGACGGTTGAAGTTTATATCAGCAGCTTGACAGCTCATCAGCCACAAAACCAAAGTCGAGTCACTGTTCAGCCTACTTTGCTCCACTAGCCAAGGCTACCGGCCGGGAATGATTTGAGCTTATTTTGTCCATCACCTTTAGGTGGCAAATATGCTTCGAGGCTATCAAGAGAAATCAGGAGATAATTTTCTGACAAGGCACGCTGGCGTCCGAAATGGAGCACACACACTGTATATGAATCGGCTATAGCTTGGTCACGGTTGAAGATGTTAAGTAAGAACGACGTAACCGATCGGCTTGTTATTTTTCATAGCAGATTGCCATTTGATCAAGGACGGTTGGCGCATAACGCACGCCGTTTTTGAGCGCCATTCCAGCCAAGACAATTCTTTTAGTGATAACCAATCGCACAACGTAGATATTGTTATTGGGAGCCTAACAAGAAGGGAGAAATCTACATAGTTTCTTAATAATGCCATATATATCAAATTTGACTAATTTTACATGAGCAGTGAAATCTTTAACTCGTTTGCGCCATCATTCATCACAGCAAGGACAGAGGCCGCGCGGAGCATTCCAACATGAGCAATTTGTGCAGTAACCGTACTCCATCTCCTATCCGGGACTTATGAAATAGAAACCACATGCTTGGCAGAGTCGTCATCTAGCTTTTTCGGTATGTGTATAGTAAGGACGCCGTTTTCAAGCGCCGCGGTGGTGCCATCCTGCTGGACACGCTGCGGAAAGGTGAACGAGCGGTAGAATTCGCCTATATTTCTCTCCGCAACCCAGTATTTGACACTGTCGTGCTGCGTAACCTCAAAGTCAGCCTCTCAAGATCGGATGATTATCACTTTCAATCTCATTACCTCTGTAGGCTTTGTATCTTTTGTTGCAGTATCATCGGGTGCATCGTCCTTGTCGCCTTGGTTGGAAGGTGACTGGTAGGAGTTTTCAACAAAGCCACTAACTTCCAGTGACTTATTTCCCTTGAACTGGATTTTGACGTTTTCTTTTTTGACTCCAGGTAACTCTCCATGGAGCTCAAAACTGTTGCTCAGCTCTCTCACATCGAAAATGGGGAGGAAAGCTTGGCCCAGGTGGGGCCCGCGATTGCCATGGATTGAGTGGCTGAAACGAGGGAACGAGTCGAGGTGTTTATCCATGTCTTGGAAAAACCTCAACGTGGAAGGGAAATTCCGGATAGAGGCAGTTGGCTGATTAATGGTCGCCATAGTGTTTGACGATTATATGGTCAAAATAGGTGCAGTAGCATGAGAAATGCTTTTGTGAAAATCGCAGTGGAGGATTGATGAGTCTAATATTTAAATAGATATGACGACAGCTACTTCGGAAGATAAGCTTTTACGGAATCGTACTTTACATCAATTGTTATGCCACATTACTTACAGTGGCTTCCAGAGCGATATTACTATAACGCCATGGTATGATTAAGAATCGCAGCGGTAGATCATGCCATGCATAACTCTGGCTGAACTCTAGTTGTTCGTCATGGCTCAGCTCCAACCACCCTTTTGAATGGCGGTTACTACATCTTCATTGTCCTCCTTTGGCATACAACCTGTGTAATAGACGAGGTTTTTTGGCTTGGAGATGCTAATCAATGCATCAATACCAATGCTGGTGTTGTCTATTGACTCAAACACACCCGCCAGACCAATATTTGGCCAATTAGCCTAGTGCTATAATTTATTCCAGTGTGATATACCAGCTGGCTTATCAGATTGATTGCATCTACGCCTGAACATAACGTTCTCACTACTCGCATTTGCTGAACAAGCTTTCTGCTTACAAGTAAAAACCAATGAATACATCATTAAATAAGCTAAGAATACAACCAATAAAGCTTCAAATCTTAATCCCCCCTTCGACTACTGTTTTTAATCCACCGTCAAGATTTACTACATTAAATCCTCTCTGACTGAGGATACGGTAAGCCAAGTATCCTCGGTAGCCCACTGAACAGTATACAAGAGTCGGAATGGAATTATCAATCTTAGATACCCGATCACGTAGCGTCCCAATTGGCAAGTTGATTGCATGCGGGAGGTGGCCAGTTGCAAACTCGTCAGGTGAGCGAACATCAACGACTTGCCAGGCACTCAGATTCTCGACACTGATGTCTTCGGCGTGCACAAGCTTATAATCCCCGCGAAGCAAATTGGAGCTTACAAACCCAACCATGTTCACGGCATCCTTGGCCGAACCATACGGCGGCGCGTAGCTTAGCTCGAGATGTTCCAAGTCAAGGACTGTCATGCCAGCCTGCATCGCGGTCGCCAGGACGTCAATGCGCTTATCGACGCCAGCCATTCCCACTGCCTGCACTCCCAGAATACGGCCTGTGCCTCTTTCGAAGGCTGTCTTGATCGTAATCGGATGAGCGTCGGGATAATAGCTTGCGTGGTGCGGAGGATGCACTGTGACCCAGAGTGGCTCTTGTCCGAGACGACGCAGCGCTGCGACGGACAGGCCTGCTAAACCGACTGTTAAATCAAAGACTTGGCAGATGGTTGTGCCAATATTGCCGCGATAGTGCACCGGCTTGCCGGCGATATGATCTGCGGCGAGTCGGCCCTGTCGATTTGCTGGCCCCCCCAGAGCAACCACGCATGGCTGTTTTTGAATCATATGCTTAGTCTCAACCATGTCTCCCACGGCATATATATCTTCATCAGACGTCTCCATGTGTGATTCGACTTTGACTCCTTGCTTTCCCACTTCCAGACCGGCCAGCTTTGCCAGTGAAGTTTTCGGCGTCACGCCAGCAGCTAGAATGACCATATCGGCAGGAATCTCTCTTCCATTTCTAGCCATAACAACGTACGACTTTTCAATTCTCCTTACGGTGTCGTTTAGGAATAGCCTTACGCCGTTACGCTTTAGTTCTGCATGAAGAGCCTGCGCGATATCGGCATCGAGTGGAGGCAAGACGTGTGTCCCTTGTTCGACAATGGATACCCCAAACTTCATCTTCCGCAAGTTTTCGGCGGCTTCAAGACTTATGTATCCGCCTCCAATGATGCAAACATCTGTGGGGCATCGCTGTAGCATGAGCGTTCTAATCGCTTGCAGATCCGAGAGAGTCCGGAGAGTGACTACATGGTTCTGATCCACTCCGGTGATCTGCGGCCGTATTGCGTCTGTGCCTTGGGATAAGATGAGCTTGTCATAATCGACTCGCCGAATCTCAGCCTCTCCAGCAGTTCGTGTGCAGACTTGCTCATTTATGCGGTCAATCTCAACAACTTCTGTGTTGAGATAAACATCAATGTTGAAGACTTCCTTGAAGTATTCGGGCGTATGTAAAACTAGAGCGGCATCATCTCTTATGACCTTGCTCAGAGCATAAGGTATACCGCAGTTGGCGTAGCTAGCGTAAGGTCCTTTTTCAAACACTGTAATCGTGGCCGATTCGTCAAGACGGCGCATGCGGGTGGCAGCGGACATGCCTCCGCCAACACCACCGATTATGACGATCTTTTTCGACATGATGGAAGATTATATTCTCTTGGGAAGAATATCTGGTTTATAAACGAGGTATTTGATTGTAGTTGAAAAGCGATAAGGTAATATCAGTATCGTTCCCTATGGCCGTAAATTGCTTTCTAGTTCTCCTCTGGAAACCAAACCGTATATTACCTTCTATTTCTATGTCTGCGTCTATTTCCTCAGACCTCAGTGGTCTGATTGACGACTGATTTGAGGGTCTAGATGCTGGTCTACGCCATAGCTACTAGCGACCATCCATTTATGTGAGGCTGATAACATGACGTTTCTTATGTGTTGGAAACTACGTGCGTTGCCTGATTGTCCTGCGTATAGCCTATTCATTTCCGGTGGTGCATCATGCCATAATAACCGCCACCGCGCTTGGCACTGTGTGATATTAAACTCTAATAACCATAATGGCGATAAGAAAAGTTTTATAGTTTTACTAACCGTTTGGCAGCCAGCTTATAATGGAGAGGTTAGAGCCGTGGTTAGCTGTGAAATGCGCAGAAAAGTAAATTTTCCTAGCTGTGGCGCTCTCATACGATAGCTACGCACTTCTCCTACACAAACACCACATAACATCATTTGTTTATGATAGCAGTTCAAGCAAGTAATCGTTGTTATAATAATAGTCATAAATGGTACTTCAATGGCTCGTAGTTATGAAGAATGTATCTTGTCGAATCATGGGTTTTATAACGTCATGACCAAACTACGTGCCCTAGGGCATAAAGTATGGCAATATAGATGACATGTATGTATTAATTAATGGTAATAGACTTGGTTTCAACTTGCCCTAGAAACACTGTCCAGATATTAGTTGAGGCTGTTTGCTGTAGGACAATTTGCATTCTCCCTTTCAAGAACGAATAGTCAGTGCTTGTTGCTTGCCTATTCCAATAATGAACTGGATGAATATTTGTATTAGTTTCACGTTTGCTGTTTTGATGTCACTTATATTTGCGGCTATGTTGTACACACCGCAATATTCAAGGGTTGATTTCTTCACATGGCGTGCATATTCATGACACATATCACTCGTTCGCACCATCATCACTATAAGTGTATCCTGCCCAAGCAGCCATTGGGATGAAACGTCAGTCTCCCCAAAGACGGTTTTATTGAAAGTTTATTAACATCTCCAGTTCTATCTTCTCCTTATTGACGATGCATTCGAGTTGACAATCAGCTCTAGAGCAAGCACAAAACACACCTGTCTATCTATTTACAGCATTGCAACAGCGGCGGCAACACCAACAGCCAGGACGGATCCGAGGACGCCGGCAGCGGTAGGAGCAGCACCGTTGGCGGGAACGGTGCTGCTTGGGTGAGCGCCAGACGAGGTACCGTTGCGGCCAGGGGTGCCAGGGGTGCCAGTGGAAAGACCCTTGGAGGCTGTGGCCGTGGATGAGGCGCTGGAGACGACGGGAGCCGCGGTGGTGGGAGCAGTGTTGGCGGCCGGGGCAGACTCGGAAACGGCCACAGAGGTAGCCAGAGTCGTGGCCTGGGCGGTGGCCTTGACGGTCACCTGGGTCCCGGCGCCAGTAGCCGAGGCCTCGACGGAGGACGTAGCGGCAGCATCGACAGCCTGGGTCTTGAGGTCGAGGTAGCTAGGCGAGTAGGTCGCGGTGCCCGAGTACAGAGGGCAGCCGGGGACATCGGTCTTGGGGGGAGCACGGCCGCCACCGCAGTCCAGGATGTCGCAGAGCTCACCGGTGCCGGGGACGTACCAGATACGGCTGGCGTAGGCGTCGTAGCCGGGCAGGCCGCTGGGCTGGACGACGGTGTCGGTGTAGGTGCAGCCGGCAAGGTCAGTCTTGCCAAAGGCCGAGGCGGCCAAGAAGAGAGTCGCGGCGAGAGATCGAACAGCCATGATTGATAGTTTGTTGTTGACGAGTTGGACTTGTAAGTGAAAAGCGAACTGGCGAGTGTATTATTCAGTTGACGTGGATTCAACAGCCTAAGCTTTCAGCAGCAAATGAGCGAATGGACGATCACCGGAGCAATCTTGGAAAATGAGCGAATGACTGGCAGAAACAAGAACTGAAGGCGCGTTTGCACGGCCATGGCGCCCTTTTAACGAGAATCCCGAGTCTTGGTCAACGTGCCGTTGGTGGGCTCCAGTTTGCCCGCAGCCTCCGGGTCTACCAAGATGAGACGCCGCTAACTGGGGCCCGTTCAGGCAATGGCCGAGCCACGGGCCCTGAAATCTGGAAATTCTCCTACTTGATGGAATGGTCCGATGTGGTATCGCTCGCTTGACAATTGCCCCCTTTTTCTTTTTGGTGCTGGAGATGGAATATCCGTGTCTTTTCCTGGCTGCCGCTCGGCGCTTCTCGAGTTGCCACATGCTACATGTTTAGAGTGTTCTTTAGAATCCAACTCGCCACGAGCACGGATCATTTAAATTGCCCCATTAGCTTACAATTAACAATGCATTCTATACGAGAACTGGGAAAAAAAAACCTGGCTAGCCATGAGAGTGGAGTGGTGATGAGGCCTAAATCATGAACGAACTATTGAGCGCTACTAGTTTTTATATCCGGAGCTAAGGTCAGCTCAATGACAGGAATTGCGGTCTATTGATACACCGAATAGTAAAACAATATGCTTGGAATACAACACTACATAACTCATTGAGCCTATCCCTAATTTCGAAAAGCCAAAGAAGAATGATGGTAGGTATTCCAAACGATGATGGCTGTTCACGACGTTGGGAATATTCTAGAACATGTATCCGCACAAGCCGCAAAAGGGCCCTCAGAATTTTTTTTACAGCGAGTCATTAGAAAGTCTAATGTTCCAAAACACTAGGCGTATCATGGCATGGCAACCCCTATTTTTAGATCCTCTCAAATCCTTCTTGGGGATTAGCGAATTGGGAAATAGAAGGGAAAGCTTCGGATAGAATCTTACTTATCGCTTGCCTGAGGCCCGGTTGAGCGTCGCTGTTAATAATCGAGTTTTTGGGCCAACGGTAACTGGAGAATGACAATTTATATATCTTGATGCCGAATAAGATTCGTCGATTCGAGACCTTAAGAAACATCAATCCATTCTTTACATGTGAACCTGCTTTCCTCTCCCTCCTTCCCCTAATATTAGCTTAACACCTTATGTACCGGAAACCCCATCTGTTTATATATGAATTCTGTTCTTTTTCCTTCCCATCATAGGTAACTATCGGTGCTTTCTTTGTTCCTCAACGAGGATACCGCTAAACTACAATATGTGCAATGCATCTCTTCATACATGGCTATCTTAGGGTCTCTGAGGTTGTTTTGTTAGCATAGCACCTCGTTCTGCTGGCATTATGGCTCCTGGCGCCGGTTTATTTCTAGCCTTAAAATCGTCGCAGATTTCTTCATTCGTCACAAACTCGACCCCCTCGTGCTTTTTGAAGTGTTCAATGAGCCTTGTGAGTTGCATTCTTTATCAGTATAAAGGCAGGATATAGCAGAGGAGGCTCTTTTTTGCTCTTGAATTCAGTTGTGGGGAAGGATACATTTCTTTTTACGTACCTCTCATGCATGAGCAAAGCATGCGGATGGCCCGAAACATCTGGGTGGATCGTCACGGGGAAAATGAATTCATCATATTCTCGATAAAAGTAGTCAAAATGATCGCGCCATATGTCCTCAACATCTCGGGCGTTGACAAAGCCATGGCTGTTTGGTGCTTTCTTGATGAACATCATTGGTGGCAAGTCATCCAGATACCAATTTGATGGAATCTCGACCAAGCCTGTGTCAGTTCCCATATCAAGGGGCTTCATCCACTCCTCGGCATTTTTGGAATAGTCAATTTTGGTCCATGATGCTCCCACAGGAAGATAGTAGGCCTGACAGTCATGGTGGCTCATGCTACTGTCGTACTCGATTCCATAGTCTAAGAGAAGTTGAGCACCTTCGCGACTGGTTTCCCACCTGCAAAAGCGTCAAAATGCCTGAATCGCGCCAGGGGCTCACGACAAAAGCTTAAACTTACCATGGTGCGACACTACCCCTGGGCGGTTTGCCGGTAAACTCCGCGAGCTGGCGGTACGTCTTATCTAATACTTGCCGCTGTTGCTCTATCGTCATGGCGGTCGGATTCTCGTGAGAGTAGCCATGCAGGCCAATCTCATGGCCAGCATCTCTCACGGCCTTCATATCTTCTGGGAACGAGTCGAGGCTGTGTCCTGGGATGAACCAAGTGGTCTTGATGTCATATTTGCGAAAGAGCTTGAGCAACCGCTGTGTGCCAACAGTACCAGCAAATATGCCTAATCACAGTAAGAAACAAAAAGAAAAATATGGCAAAGTATTATAAGAACGTCTATATTCTTGAAATTGTCATTACACATATAGTACCTACCTCGGCTGATATCGTTGGTCGAATCCTCTCCGCCATAGGAGCCCAGCCAGCCTGCAACAGCGTCGACGTGAACTCCATAACTAACGAGCACTCTCTTTTTGCCCATTTTAATAATTCAACAAAAGCTCGATAGATGTGACAGCTTAATAGAGCTTGATTTTTCTAATAGATGAGACTCAGATACAGAGAGATGGAAACCATATGCACACATTGTCGACAAAAGGGTGGAGAAAAGGTGCGAGGAACGTCATATCACAGCTATCTAATGGCGGGGTCGTCGAGCGAAGATGCTAATCTACAAACACCCGCCTTCTTAGGTAATACACGTCTTTATGCGGGCTCATATACACGATAATGTTCAACCTTTGTGAGCCACATTGTCGTCATGAAGACGGTGAAACATGTTAACAGAGTTGTTCGCTATAGTAATTGGTATATAGTATGGGGGTATCTACTTATAGGCCCAGAGTTTCGGCTCCAGATCGGCCCGCCACCAAAGTCTACCTCTCAACTAGCATGGATTCATAATAATCTCTTGAAGATCAATAATCATCATCTGGCGGTATTAGGCTAAGGTGGTGTTGAGCTTTTGTTGTACTTTGTATTGTTCTACCTACTACAATGTAAGGGCGGCATTGCTGCTGGCAGAAGTCCTGCCAATCTTGGACAGGTCGGGCTTTGCGTGATGACTGGCTGCAGATTGCTAATAAATAGCGTCTTGCTTGGCATTTCTTAATGCGCTTTGCCTACTGGATCTTCTGCATAATGACAACGTCTGTTGGTCGGGCTCATTTGGCAGCTCGCTTTGCACTGCACTTTTGCGTTTCTGGGCGCTCGGGTCTAGAACGGCGGCCAAGGCTCTCAAAAGGCACGGGAGAATTCATGGCGCACTAAGCGCCCTTTCAAGGTGCCTACTTCGTCGTAGGTGGCGTCCATATTGATCGGAGGGTCGATCCGTTCCGGGAGAGGACGCCACAGGGCTCTTGGGCCGATTCGACACGGAGGAGCCGAGGAGACGGAGCTTTGCAAAGGGTTGGAAAAAAACAGCAGCCTGCTTAGGGAAGCCAAGTTGGCTGATGCCAGACATTGACAGCTTAGAATGTCATGTCCTGATATTGCTAGCAGGCAATATGTATATTGGAAGTTGCCTACGGTTCAAAACACTCCCATTTAGGGCCAATATGCGCCGGTTGGATACCTGCGGGGTACTCTGCAGAGCGTGCTTGGAGATAGTCGACGCACAGACCAAACTTTCTTTATAGCGCCAGGCTGATCTCCCGCCCCCAAAAAGAAAGTGATCTTCCAATCGTGTACTTAATAATGTATGCATAATCATACAAGTACATGTATTTAACCCTGCTCCTACCGCTTCGAGACCGTCAGCGCCGTGTGCAAGACGCTCCTGGAAACATCTCCGGCATGGCCTGGAGCATCGCATCACGGGCCAAGGACCAAGTACTGCTTTTGCAAAGGACCCGGCAAAAGGTCTTCTAGCTTTCATCAAACTGCCTAGGGAGATACGGTTGCAGATACAGTCGCCGATAAGCATCAATTTGCACTTGTTGCCACCCCACTTCCAGGGGCAGCCAACCAACTTGCATGCCTGTCTCTGCATGGCTCTATTGCCTCTGTAGGCTTCGTATAGCAGAGTCTCGCGACGAGGACAAAAGTCCCATCAGATGCAGACGAGACAAGGCACCATCCTATGGACATCTGCCACCAAGCGGCCCGCGATCCTGTTGGAACCAACAACACCTGGACCGGCCTCGGATCGGCCATCGCCCTCCAGCGCTTGGCATCGCCTTGCTGTGGGAGGCGCAGTCGCTTTGTCTCACTGTAATCTCAGGTTGGCCGCACTGCATTTCACATGGAACATGTCCTTCAAAAGTTCCTTTTGCTCTCGGCATCCTTTTGCCAAGCCTCTATCTCTGTGTCTTGCCTTGCTCCATGTAGCCGGCTGGAGTCGCACATAATCTTCGCAAAAAAATTGAACAACAGCACACTGTCCGACCCTGTCCTACTAACCTCAAGCCATAGCGTGGGATTGATGTTTGTTTATTTGGTTTCCAGTATTGATCGTACCGGCATTCACTACTCTAAATTCTATGCGCAGTCGCGGCATGAATCAAGATATGGCTTTATACCCCTGCCTCTATCTAGACAGCCCATTTTCTAGAAAGAAGACCTCTTACTCCGCCGTATATGGCAGCCAAAGATGTTTACAAAGAGCTTGATCAGCGATATCTGCTTTGAATAAACACATGATCAAGCAAAGACATGGCATTCATCGCTATGCTGTTGGTAGAAGAGGGGTTTCGCTCAGGCCAAGACGCTATGATTCCATGAGCGCGTATTCTTATCAAAAGGTCCCATGGTTAAATGGTTCTTGGCGCTCGATATCAGTCCCTCATTTGTCGGAACAACATCATTAAACGCCAGTAATATGCTTATTAAAAAAAAGAGAGAAAAACGAAAAGAAAGAGAAAGAGAGAGAGAATAATGCTAGATATAAATGTTAATTTTAGACATTATAACCACTTGAAGCAAGACGAGATCCGACAATGGACATAGAATGTAACAGTCAGATGGTCAAGATCGTGCTCCATAGCGGAGAGCTTACCATCAATGCTACGTTCAGCATATACAGATTGCTCACCATCTACAATTGATAAACTCCTCATGCAAGATTTGCATGTAAACAATCTTTACGGGCGCGCCGAGACCCTTGGCATTCTGATGCCCAGACGTATCTCGCATATGATAACATCGCACCATCTTCCATACGTGTTGGACAAAAGGTCTTTGGACCCATGTTAAATCACCAACACACGTGGTTACTTACCTCTTGCATCTACTGGCTGTTTGTTGTCTTTTTGATAGCCATTTTTATAGTTCAAACCCAGCCCAAGCGAGCAAGGGTACAGTTTGAGCCTTGATTGAGAAGGCACCTATCTGCCAACCCATGTCCAAAGCAGCTTTGCTGGTTGGTGTGCCTCCGTCTAGCACAAACGTATACCATCTAAGATGGACATTACATCTATGTAGTTCTTCTTTGCCTTACTCTCTTATTCTAATTGCCAGGTAGTAGTAATCAAATAACTATATCCAATACATAGCGTATATATCTACAAGAAGGCTTTTGATGGCGTATTTGCCTCTTGACCCAAAGCTCCGCATCCTGAACTTTAACTCATGTCTCAACAATAGTGGAGGCCATACTATTACTATTATACGACACTGGCTGAGAGAGGCCGGGCCATGCAAGGGATGCCACCCTTTAGCTCCTCTGCGCTCTTTTGTTGCCATGCACCCTGCCGCTGGTGTTTGTCTTGAATGCAACATGCTATCAAGTATCTTCCCCTCCTTTCCCTATACGGATCTCAAGTGAACTTTTGGCTCGGAGAAAATGGCTGAAGGCTACTCTGCAGTAAGACAAAAGATAAAATGTCGACTAGACCCCTCTTCTGCTGGTTGTTCTACCGACTATTCATCTCTTGTCGAGCCCAAAGAGTATTTCGAACGGCTGCCAGAGCCTGAAATACCGCAGCCATGTCTGAGGAGCATGTCACTCATGTAACCTCAAACGACACCGGCGGTGTTTTTGACGAGAAAAACACTGTATGTGCTTTGAGTACCGTTGTTGTCCTATTAAACTATCTCAATTGCCCGTCAATACTCATTATGTTCACGAGATGACTGATTAATACTTTGTCTCACAAGGTTGAAAATGAATCCAAAGAGCTTCCTCGCATCACAGATGAGGATGACGCTGCAGAGCGCGACCTCCACGTCACCGAAGACGATCTGCTAGAGGCCAAGGAGCTTGCAGCAACATATACCCTTGAGGAAGTACGAGAGGTAAGTGACTATTAAGACACTCTAAAATAATGACGAATCCATTGCGGTAGACTAAATTGAATTAGCTCCTGAATACCTTCTACAAGCTGCACAAAAGAGATCCCAACTTCCCCTTGGACGTTATTGAGAGGATTGAAGACTTTCTCAGTAAGCTCCTATCCAAATCACCCTTTAGCGACTCAGATTTCCTAACCAACATTGCTCAGACAACGATGGCATCTTTGACCAACCCGAAAAACACGAGCAGCAAATCTCCGAAATGAAGATCCAAGCCGCTCTAATCACCACAAACTCCCCATACGCCGAAGTCCGCAGCGTCGTCGACAACAAAGACGACCCGACAATGCCCTGCTCCACCATCCGAGCCTGGGTCCTTGGAATCCTCTTCTCCGGCGCCATCGCCTTCATCAACGGCTTCTTCGGCATCCGCCAGCCCGCCATCAGCGTCACGTCCAACGTCCCCCAGCTGCTGGCATACCCGCTAGGAAAGCTGTGGGAGAAGACGCTGCCCGACGTGGGCATCACGCTCTTTGGAACTCGCCATAGCCTCAACCCTGGCCCTTTCAACAGGAAGGAGCACATGCTCATTACGCTGATGGCTAGCATTGCAAAGAGCACGCCGTACACTCACTACATTGTCTGGATACAATTCCTGCCGCACTTCTTCAACCAGTCGTGGGCCATCAACTTTGGCTACCAGATCCTGATTGCCCTGTCGAGCAACTTCATCGGCTATAGTCTCGCTGGAATCTGCCGAAGATTCTTGGTGTACCCGTCTTACTGCGTGTGGCCGCAGGCACTCGTCACGATTGCTCTAAACAGCGCTTTCCACAGCGACGGTAACGCGCCAGCCCTGGGACCATTCGGCAAGATTTGGAGAATGTCTCGATTCAAGTTCTTCTTCTACGCCTTCACGCTCATGTTTGTCTACTTCTGGTTCCCCAACTACATCTTTGCCGCGCTTGCGACCTTCAGCTGGATGACGTGGATTGCTCCAAACAACTCCAAGCTGACTTACATCACGGGCTCCAACAACGGCCTCGGACTCAATCCTTTCCCCACGTTTGACTGGAACGTCCTCTCTTACAACGTCGACCCTCTCATGGTGCCGTTCTTTAGCACTTTCAACTTGTTCATTGGCATGTTTTTCTCAATGTTCATCATCATCGCCGTGTACTTCACAAACACATACAACACCGCCTACCTGCCAATCAACTCGAACAAGCCGTACGACCACTTTGGCCACCGCTACAATGTTACCTCCATCCTCGACAGCCGCGGCATCATCGACAATGAGAAATATCAGGCATATTCGCCTCCGTATCTCTCCGCCGGCAACATCATCATCTACATGTTCTTCTTCAGCGCTTACACCGCCGCCCTGACC